TTAAGTTAAAACACTGATACAAAAATTAATCGATGCATTTTTATATTGATCACTTTCCTTGTGTACGTAATATTATAACCTAGCTTTTTTACCATTTTTGATTAAGAAAGGTTGGTGCAATAAAATTTCCACGAGACTAGGACAATGTTTTTACTATGCAATCATTATGCAATGAACACTTTCCTTATAATTTTAGACATATAAATCACCCACCACATAATACTGTATAATAATAGTAATATAGTATATGTATATCATAATATATCCGCCCTATTTTTAATGAAAGAATAACGTTTGTCAATTTTATCCTAAGAATCCTATAAAGAATTAATGATCTATCAACAAAGAAAGATTTCATATATTATTAGTTGACAAATGTTGCTATTCGAGTCTTTGTAATCGATCGTATTCTAACGTAATTCTTAATTAATGCTCCAATATTCACATGTTTGAAAAAACTTTCCTGAACAGTAAACGCACGCATACTTGTGAAAAAAAAACTGTCCGCATATAGGATAATCAGATGAACCATCTTTATATGTTGGCATGGTCGAGACCTAAAACAATATCCGTGTACACGATATATAACTTCTCGGCATTTTATACCGCAGAGGTATAAGCCTATAGGGCATTTCAGATTTCACATTAATCGATTCCTTGAATAATAATTGTTACAATTCGAAAATATTATTTGATAAAAGGTTCGAGTGTAGTTTTAAAAATGGGAAAAAATAACAATACTAAGAAAATCTAACATAGATAACAACCTTGATCACCTATGTCTTATTTTTTAAAAAGTTTTAAAAATTCGGAAAAATAAGAATACAAAGAATCTAATATAGATTGTTCACTTATGTTTTCTTCTTCCATTACTATAAAGATACAAAATCCAACAAAACTTATACTCCAGTGTGGAATGATATGTAGTCAAATCCCACTAATGGAGGACATTGATTATATTACTTTCACACCTTTTTTCCTTTATACTATACATAGATCGTTCACTAATCACTAAATTAATAATTCGGATGATAAAAATTTGAATAGGATTTCCTTTTTGTTTCTTCTTTCAAGTATAATTTTTTTTTTACATTAGTATGATATATTTCACTTGGTAAATCTAAGATTGCTCAAGCCTGGCCTGCAAATTAAATGTTTGTTACATCTAATAGATATTTGACTGTCAGAAAATACAGCGAGCATAAGTTAAATATATGAGGTAACAAACTTCATTTTTCGAATTTGAAATTCTAAACTAATAAAGCAAACAAAAGAAAAGTAAACGTTGGGGCACATGTTATTCTAAAGCTACACAAATGTTTTATTTTTATATTGTCCAACCTGTATATAGAATCGTAGTCTTTTCAGTTTTGTTACGTTTTAAAAATTTTAGAATGTTGTATTAAATTTTTGAAGAAAACAATAAAATTAAAATCAGTGTCCGTGTGCTTATTATACCTGGAAGTATGGACACGAAGGCAAGGGATTAGATAGATAGCCAATACGAACACGCATCACGTGCTTTCAATCGCTTCGATCACTCCTGAAGTGCCACGTGTATAAATCTAACCAATTAGAGTCAGAACTTGCCATGTGGACACGTGCGATTCCCGCAGCTCAAACATCTATGATCTATGTATGCCCCCACGACTCCATGTGATCATTTGAGCTAATCATAAAAATAATTTGTGTATATATATTAAGAGTTTAAGATCCTAATTAAGTCAGCTACTCAACTTAACATAAATTGAACAATATCGATTGTAAATGGTTTTATAAACGACTAATCTTTTGGTTAAATATATAAAACATGTCATCCACACGCAGTCACGCACCAAGTACATAAATAGACCGATTAGGTCTTAATTAGTTAACCAATATATAGTTTGTTTCACAGAAGAGTAAACGATAAAGCACGAAGTAAATAGTGAATAAACAATAGACAATTTGCTTGGATAAAACACGGGTATTATATGTACAAATTGAGCAAAAAGGATATGGTATCATTATTTTTTTTGTTATAATGGAGCTCATGGAAACTCGAAGTTAATGAATTTGAACCTCACTAATGGTGTACTGGTGCAAATGAGCCCGCGCGTGATAATTGTGAATGGTCTCGGAAACCAGAATTGTAGTAATCTGTGAAATGGCTACTTGGCTAGTAACGTGAGCTGTGGAATTACGTGCTGTTGATGAATGTGATATCTGATATAATCCACACATAGTTACAGGACTAAATTAGTCTTTATTATTTTATGAAATATGAAATCGCCATCATACTAAAGAAAAATAATCCATATTCTAACAAAAAATGAAAAATGCATAAGTATTCTCTGTTTTACTAAACTCTATACAATATACTATATCTTCAAAATTTAATTTTGTGCTTCCATCGTTTTATTCACTCTCTCATTTAGAATCAACAAATTATATCTTCCAAATTTCAAGAAAGTAATGAAGATTATTTGACTCCTAACTAAATTTATCATCGTATTTTGTTATTATATGAGTATTACTCTTTATTGTATAGTGGAACTGAAGTATCTTATTTCTTATTGAATTTTCAAAATCATTTCTTATTTTAAAAGTAATCATTTTTTGTTTAATATTTTATTTATAAATTGTTTCGAAATTTTTTAATGTAATCTCTTCGTATATGCGGGGCCTTATCTAGCAAGTCTATAAAAATACTATTGTTTTATTTTTGATTAAATTCTTATAGTATGTCGCGGGAACAAAAATCTTATAGTATTACATAACAACCGATTTATTTGGTTTCATCACATATATATCGTATGTGTTCCTATAATATAAAAAAAAAGATAGAGGAATATAAATAATTAATATGGCTTTAGATGTGATAGGCGGCCAAAGGTCGTCGTCCGGGAGAAGCGGTCGTCTGATAGCTGCAAAAGGATTCTCTTTGCTCCCAAAAGCTTTGCTGGCAAAACGTCATCGTTTGCTTCTCCCTTAATCTATCTTTCCTTCATTCTCTCGACTTCAAAACAATTAAAAACACATACATACATACATACATATATACATATATGTACCGTGTATGGATAACATCGCTACATTTGTTTAAATCGAAGGACAAATTATGGAAGTTTTCTGACCTTTCATATGATGTTTGCTTTGGTGGGTGTACAAGTGAAGATGTATACAGTTAATAATTAAACGATAATATTGAAATGACTATCTAGTGATCTATGTAAACGCTCTTTTTGGTCCCTTTCTCATCGGAACAAGGATTGTTCTATGTGGAAACAGATTCTTGAGGTCATATCATTTTAGCTTTACAATTCTTACATGACCAACTTGGAAATTGTTAAAGGCTGGCACTTTTGGTTTGATGTGTGGTCGCATGCCCTCTAGTCAATTTATTATTAATCACCTTGGCTCTCACGTACCTAGACAGTTTGGCTAATTAACCTAACCTGTTAATATGTAGAAGTTGCTGTTGTAACCACTCAAGAAGGCTGTCCGGGGTTTTCACAACCACGTAGAGGTAAGCGACTTAAAAAAAAAAAAACTAGAAACATCGTTTAAGTTTATAACGATACAGGCAAGAAACTGATTAATCAAGAAGAAAATGTCGAATTTCTGATGGATTATTATTATACTAAAAAAAGATATACTAATTGTAGAAAAATATAACACTAAATGTTAGCCTCTATTATGTTACATCAACGCATTTTGCAGTTTAAAGAAGAAAAAGATTAAAGCTGCAAAATGTTTTTCAATTACCTATGAAATTTACATTCTTAGCAAAAAAGCTACAAAAATGTTTTCAATTATAGTTAGGAGGCCTAAACTACTTGTCTAATAGCCCATTTAAAGCAAGCGCAAGGATCCACGGTTACCTTCATTTGGGCCGACATTTGTCATTATAAGGAAAATCAAGTCCCCTTTTTTTAATAAGAGTAAATTGAATAGATGACAAAACAAATGCGAACCATATGGTCCAACGAAACAGTGATCTAGTTGATATCTAACTAGACTTTCAACGAAACCAATTCAACTATAACCAATGGCGAAGATATCTTTAGGACATTAAGGTCTATCACTTTCAGCTCTTCTGTTTTTTGTTTTCCCTCTTTTTCCTCTATTTTCCCTAAAATTTGCTTGGGTTTTAAATTAAATAAACAAAGAAATCTTGTCTTTTTCACCAAGAAAATAGTTTAAATTCATACACACCATACATGTGTAATATGTACATAGTTTTGTTATGTATTTCTCGAATTGTAGGTCACCATATGTAGGATAATTATCTAAAATGTTTGGTGGTAATGTGACCGTGTAAAGCTACACGAGTCATTTGTCAGATTCTAACAAGAGAATCTTAGTAGTGATCACGCAAAGCTAAGATCTTTGCCTCACCATTTAAAGCAAACAAAATTTGTCTTAACCTTACACAGGACATCAAAGTCACAACCAACTTTTTCTCTTTAAATCTTCACCTATTTATGGTTTACACTTTCTTTATTTGTAATTGAGTTTCCTATGTTAGATGCATAGCTATCTTGGTCTTATAAAAACTAATTTTTATTTTTTTTACAAACGCCAATGAAGATAAAGAAGATGTACACAACTAATAGCATAGGTTCAACATACGTTTGAAACTTGTAATGTAAAATCTCACTAAGTAGCTAAATATCTGAAACTAGTAGAAAACTGGACTTCCTTATAAATGACAGCGATAAAAACATACCTCATGAGGAAAAGATACTAGAAAGATAAATTCTAGGACAAAAACTCAAGTCTTAAATTAATAATAACCACAATTTTTTGTTTCTCTTATACGCACGGTGAAATTTGAAATTATTTTAATTTCATTTATTAAAATGATTATTCGAAGATAAAATGACATATCTACATATATTTCGGGTCCGTCTCTCTATTTATTATTCACATCATTATCCATCAACCCCATCTTCTTCATCTTTTCTACTGAGATTTCTCCTAAAAAAACTCATCCTTGAGTGAACGGTGGTGCATGGATGTGGAACCCTAACAAAGTTGAAGAATTAAGGGAGGATGATGATGAATCTTGGGAAGTCAAAGCCTTCGAGCAAGACACTATAGGCAACATCTCTGGTACCACTTGGCCTCCAAGATCTTACACTTGCAATTTCTGCCGCCGTGAGTTCCGTTCAGCTCAAGCCTTAGGTGGTCACATGAATGTCCACCGCCGTGACCGCGCCTCATCTAGGGCTCATCAAGGTCCAACCGTTGCGGCTAGAAGCGGCGGCGGGAGGTTACTCAATTCTTGTGTTCCGCCGTTACCTACAACCACGCTTATCATCCAATCCACGGCGAGTAACATTGAAGGTTTGTCCCATTTCTACCAATTGCAAAACCCTAGTGGCTTTTTTGGTAATTCCAGTGATATGGTGAATTTCTATGGTACGACATCGTGTCCTTCGAGCAACCTTGCTTTTTCGGTGTTGAATTCTCCGGTAGAGGTTCCTCCTCGGCTCATAGAATATTCAACAGGAGATGATGAGAGCATTGGCTCGATGAAAGAGACGACAAGAACATCAGTGGATGAGCCTGATCTTGAACTTCGACTAGGGCACAATCCACCGTGACATTTCATTTTCCTCACCCACTTGAGGCTTTTCACATTCATATCCATTCATACATGTTCTTTACATGTTGTTGTTATGTTCTAAAATCAATTTGGCTTGAATTGTGTTTCAAATTCATTTGATTTCATGCTTTGCCTTGCTTTTACATATATATGTACTATTACAGAAGACTATATGAATACTTGATTTCATTGGTACAATTCACATATATGTAATGAGCCCTGTATTCTATGATTGTCTATATAGTACTAACTAACTGCTGATTTGATCCATTAATTGGTTTACAAAGGATTAAGTCTTTGTTTAGGGATACAAATTTAGGTTCGATAGAGATACTTTGTTTTATATTCTTATCATTTGCATATGGTTAGGGTTTTGGAGCAGGAACGAAGGCGAAATATATGTATACTGAAATGAGTTTTGTTTCTTCATATACTCCATTATTTGATATGGGGCCTTATGACTTCATCTTCTTAATTAGGTCCGGTGGACTTAATCTATATATGATTCGTTTTAGGTGATTTTAAGAGCTGTAATATAATCGTAATTTGTTATTGTTATTGTTTTTATGTGTTTAGTTCAAGTATTTTAAACGATTTTTTTTTATATTATCTTAACTATCTTTCAAAATTCGGAAGTACTATTACAAATAAGAGAGAGTCTGTTCTAGTAACACTGATGTTTGATGCATTTTAGAGGTTTCTTAGTTAACTAACACAAAATTTTGATAACTTTTGTTGAGTTTTGCAGATACAAACAAGTATATAGTTTATGATGAATAACAACGAAGTTAACAAGGAACAGAAATCAACTGAATAAGTTCTTGTAAGTGTATATATGCATCTTTTCCATATATAATACAATCTGCAATGTTAAAAAAAACGGTGATGTTGCTTTCTACTATACATAAGCGTGTGTATGTTGAAATTTCATACTTTCAATTTGATATAATTTAAAAAGAAACGTAGAGCAACTGAACAAAGGAACGTTACAATAATGATCAGAGGATATCAATTAGGGTAGAGGCAAGAGGAATCCAACACTGGAAGAAGATTTGAGGACCACTTTGAAATGGAAGAAGAGATAGAGAAGGCATGTGAGTTCTTTTTAATTCGTTGCATGTTTCTTCCTACTCAGATCTATTTCTGTCTCCACATCCAAAAGATATTAGTTTCCTTTCACAATATCTTTTTTTTTCCTTTTTTTTCTGATTCAATATAGTATCCCGAATTACGACTAGACTACAATAAATTGTTAAAACAAAACGACGACGATATAAATTGTTAAAATAAAACAATAATCATGAATAGAATTTGACATTATCTTGTCATGGACCCGTACATGTGGAACAAAAACATTTCAAACTAGGCCATTAGAGGTATGTTGTTTCTTCTAGTTTTGGTCCCCGCTTCCGCACCATCATACATCATACACCATACACCATCTTTATTTTATAAATATATTCGACATGTGGGTTTCCTAATAACAACTTCTTTAAAGACTTACACTAGCCATCGACAATATATGTATCGCAATATATAACATTTTTATAATGATGATATTCAAATACTTTACTCATTAACTTAGAGATCCGATGCCCATTTTTAAACCTTATTAAGTTATACTTACGTTCAGTTATTAGGGTTCTAAAGAAAGAAAATGTAAAATTTACTTGGTTTTGCTTTGAAGATGACGCAAGACAAACCGAAGAGGACATAAATATACCGACCAATATTCGTGTAAAAAAGCAAAACTGAGATATGAATTTGTTGGTATGCGATAAATTATAAATATATAATGGTAAGACCAAATAAAATTAAAGAGGGATTTACGGGTTTGGGGTCTGTGAGAGGAACAGTCCATTGAATCAGTGAGGTAGGATTCTTTCAATACACTGTCTTCTTCTGCTCAGCAAAGGTTTGAATCCCCATACCCATCATCCACTGTCTTTTTCACCTTTGTTTTCATAAATAGAAAAAACTTTAGTTTGCAGTTTTTGACAAAAAAATAAAATAAATTGCGATGAATTTACAGTTTCAATAATTAAATAATATTTTAATGTTTTATAATCATATGAAATGAATATAGTACAAATGTATTCATCTTTGTTTTGTAGACTATCTACTTATCTTCACAAAAGGATATTTGCACTCCAACAATCTACAAGTGCTAGACGAATTTCGTCGACAATCAAGGGTGGAAAGCAATATTGCAAAAAAACATTACTTGGGGATATCCAGAGTTAATTTCATTCAAACTGAAATTACATTGGTCGTCTTATATCCTTGGCTTTCCTATGGAATGGTGACCCCACCAGCTATACTCAGTCTTATAGAGATCCACTTGTGGCTTATGACTAAACCTTAGCCAAGTCAAAATACGAACTTTTGATAAGAGTTCGATTTCGTGCAAACCTCACTTACATTTTCAAGTTACTAGGGAAGTACCCGCACATTTTGTTTACCTAAACCATTTTTTTAGTTGAAACAAATAACTTTTTTTTTAATGTATTACAATGTCCGTTTGATCTTAACTGCATCCAATTGGTGTCATATGTGTTAGTGTTGGATTTACAAATCTTGATTTTTATATACTATTGAGCTTTCCTCTTGTGATTAGATACTATGTTAGAAAAATATCAGTTTATTCTGGCACATTCACATTAATATTTGATTTAATATATATCATATTAACTGTATATAATTAATAAATATTGTTATATTTAAATTATTTTCAAAACTGTCACGGTTAAAATTCTACCGTTTTTACGATCCCGTTAACCAACGGTTTTATGGTAATTATAGTTAGATAACAGTTACGGTCCATATAAGGTTAAAAACAGTCCGGATATGATTTGATATTGAAAGAGTAATTTAGTTATCTCCCTTTTTGTGCTTCTGTTAAATTTGATTGGTAACACAAAGTAGTAAGTTTCTTTCTAAGCTTCTTTTAAGTTTTAACATAAAGAAAGAGAGGTAAGCTGAATGAGAATACTTAAAAGAAGTAAATATAAGAAAAAACTGAGAATACTCAACTTATAAAGCGATATTATTCTTTTTTCTTATAACATGGTTAACATAATAATTTTTATCATACCTTGGCTAACTCGATATATTTCAGAAAATCAGCTGTAAGAAAAAAGATCCATAAACCTTGACCCAATATGAATTAACAAGGAGAAATTTCAAAACTACACATTTTTACCTTTTTTGATACATATTTTCAAAACTACACCTATATGTGGTGTGTAATTCAAAACTACATTTTTTTCATTGAATAAAAGAACTCTAAAACCAAAATCTAAACCTTAAAATCTAACCTTAAACCCTTAAATCTAAACTCTAATTAAAGATTAGTGAACTCATAATTATATGTTAAATTTAGAAAAAGTGTAATTTTGAAAATTAACACCACAAACGTGTAGTTTTAAAAATTAATACATTGTAAGATGTATTTCTTAAAATTTCTCAACTAACAACTTGATATGTCGTACTTAATTAACATCTTATTTATCATAGAAAATTATTGAGAATTTATCATAAATAAAATGATTGAATTCTCATAGAAAATTTAAATATCTAAATTAACATCTTATTTATCAATAAAGTTTACATAAGTTTTTTCTTTTAGAGATTAACTAATTTACTAGATCAAAGATCTTAACACCTTATTTATAAGCCTATAATGGCTAAATCGAAAACATGATTCCCAAATGAAGAAAGAGAAGGAATTATATACAAATAGATTTGACTTAGAACAAATCTAAACTGTACCTAACTGATTTAGATCCCAACAAAGAGTATATTGGAGGCAACATCACCTGCTCTTTAATTCATACCAGGGTTCAATCATCGATCTCCAACCACCCTGGCAAGAATGCATTGAAACCCGAAATCAAGCTTCGGTGTCCTTTAATTAGTTTATTCACCTCTTTTATGCAGTCAACCCTATCAATTCTGCAATAAATTATATTTGAAATTAATAAATTTTAAGAAAATTATAGATTGTTACACACTGAAAAGGATTGAACTATAGAGAAAAACCAAATAAATTCTCATATTTTTTTTTGCAAAAACCATTTATATTTATACATACCTCCGAGTTTTAAAATTATTCATAATTGCTAAAAAATTGTCAAATTTGTCACCCTCATTGTGAAATGTATCCCTCACAGCCCTAAGATATGCATATGCATCATCTTTAGTTGCATTTGGTTTACTATCATCCCTAAAGATTGCCTTCGATTTACTACTCCTTCCTCCATCATTTTTAGTTGCCTTCGATTTACTACTGCTTCCTCCAGCCATGGTTTATGGTTTGAAGTTGGTCGAAGCTTCGTTTTCCTAACAAATAGAGCTAAAGTTATTATTGGAAATTAACTTGAAATCTTTGGGGAAAAATACATAAGTAATTTGTATAAAAAATCTCAATTCACTATTATTAGAAATAGAAAGTTAGGTTGAGTTGAAGATTGAACAATATGAGCACGAGAAGATGAAAATAATAAAATTTACATTGATAGATAAATCAAAATCCAAATCCAACTATACGCGGTCACATTGTCATTGACAAAATGCATTATTCATTTTGTCAGTTTAAGGCTTTTTGAAAAGAAAACAACATTGTCAACTTCGAGAGATCATGTAAATTTCTTCAATCTCTAAAAATCGATGGAAGTGGAATTGTTAAATAAATTCAAAGTGGCATACCAGAAAATTTAATACAAATACAAGCTTCACCTCTGTAGTACTAGCAAATGAATGGTTTTTGAATTGTATAACCATGCACTGTTGGCATCTTTATATATATATAAGAAACTTTAATACAAGTGTACAATAACATTTAATGATATAAAGTTTCACATTAATTTTTATTCATAAAATAAACTAAGAGATCATTAATTTATAGATTTGTTTATGTATATTAGTAAAGAAAGTTTAAAACTTAATTTAAGGACCTATTTAACCTAAGATTTTCATTAAATAACGTTTGTTTTTTAAAACTAGTAAAAGTTAGTTGATATCAATTAAAAAAATAGTGTGCAATAATATTTAATGAAATAAAGTTTTACAGTAATTATAATTTTTTAAATAAAGTTATTCAATCAAGATTTTAAATACAGTGTTATTCAAATAACTAAATGACTTGTAAAATCTTTGATAAGTTAGTCATTTGAATTGAATTTCAATGAAGTTGTATGAGTAAATTATTAAAAACAGAATCCTTGATTGTTTGTGGTTTTTGAAGTGGTTTTTGGTTTTAGTTTCTTCAAAAATCTATTTTACAGCCATTCAAGATTCTGAAAAAAAAAAATTTCCTACAAAATAGGGAATCTAGTTTTCTAGTGTTTTAACCACTTTTCAAAGAAAAACCAAAATCCACTTTTTTGGAGTTTCTCAAATCCATCGTTTTTTATTTTATTTTATCTTATATTTTTATAGTTTTTGTAATAACCTATGAAAATCAAAAACCAAAAACTAAAATCACCATTCAAGTTGTCGACAAAAAAATCAAAAACCAAAAACTAAAATCACCATTCAAGTTTTTCTGAAAACTAAATCTACTGCAAAATCAAAAATCAAAAACTAAAATCTAAAATCAGAAACTAAAAGCCAAACACCAGAAACTAAAAACCAAAAACCACTTAAACATTCATGACCTGAATGAAGTTATATGGATTTTTAAAACTCGAGAAAAACCGACCCGAAATCGGAAGTTCCAACCTAATTAACATTAACATAATGGTTTTATTTTCTTACCACTATACGTGTTGCCAATCAATCCCACTACATTTGTTTTCTGTTAAATCGTTAGATGTAACACTCCACCCAAAAGGTTAAAAGGTCAGACTTTCGACAACACGACTTGGCCGCATTCTCACAACAAGCAAAACCACATTTTCGTGCAACAATGGCGTCGTCTTCTAACGCAACGATCCAATCCTTAGGCTCTCTCAACAAAGAATCCTTCGTTTCTCTTCTATCGAAACTGATCGGCGAATCAAAGTTCGTCCAGAATAACCCACCGGAGCTCATCCCGCAAGAGGATCGAATCGTGAACCACGTCCTCGATTCCCTCCGTCCTTACAGCACAGAAACTGGCGGTGGTCCTCTGCTGATCAATCATGTGGCGTATCACTCCGGAAGAGGGAATCTCATCGTCGAGTACCCAGGGACAGTCCCCGGAAAGATCTTGTCTTTCGTCGGAATGCATATGGACGTCGTCACCGCGAATCCCGATGACTGGGTAATCTCTATTGATTCCATTTCCGTAGTTTTTGATCCGTGCCCATTAGAATTAGGGCAAGTTTCGATACTGGGTTCATGTTCATTGATGCGAATTGATCCAAATTTCAAATCTTTCTCTCCTCTCTCTACTCTACTGTGACATTGATTTCTTCATAGTGTAGTGTTTAATCGGTTTAAAGCTTCGGTTTTTTTTTCATAGGAGTTTGATCCTTTCTCGTTAAGCATCGATGGTGATAAGCTTCGAGGTCGTGGGACTACAGATTGTCTAGGTCACGTTGCTCTTGTGACGGAACTCATGAAGAGACTCGGGGAGACTAAACCGGCGTTGAGATCAACGGTGGTGGCGGTTTTCATCGCCAGCGAAGAGAACTCTTCCATTCCAGGTGTTGGTGTGGACATGCTGGTCAAAGACAAACTTCTTGATAAGCTCAAATCCGGACCTTTGTTAGTTTCCACTTCTTCTCAATCTTCTTGCAGAAAACAAAAAAAAAAACATTGGAAAGATGAATGAAGCTTTTTGTTTGTGTATCCTTTTGAAGGTTTTGGATTGATACTGCCGATAAGCAGCCTTGTATTGGAACCGGCGGTATGATTCCGTGGAAGCTTCAGTTTACCGGGAAGCTTTTCCACAGCGGTTTAGCTCACAAGGCGATTAACGCGATGGAGTTGGGAATGGAAGGGCTTAAGGAAATCCAATCACGGTTTTACAGAGACTTTCCAGCTCACCCACAAGAGAAAGTTTATGGCTTTGCAACACCATCCACCATGAAGCCAACACAATGGAGCTGTAAGTTTTGGAATGTAAAGCATAGTGTATGTATGAGTAATGATTATTGACTCCAAATGTTGTCTACTTGTGGGTTTGTGCAGATCCTGGAGGAGGAATCAACCAAATCCCTGGAGAATGTACCGTTTCCGGTGATGTCAGGTTATGTTTCTAAAGTTGTGAATACTGTAAAACCTTAAGATGTCTCATTGTTGTTTTTGTTTACTTACTTCTTCTCTGTTGTTCTGGTTATAGGTTAACTCCTTTCTATGAGTAAGTCTCTTCACACTTCGTTGTCCATTGTTGTTTCTTCTATCTCATTTCGACACACTTTAATAAAGTTTCCGTTGTTCTTGCAGCGTGAAGGAAGTGATGAGGAAGCTTCAAGAGTATGTAGACGACATCAACACTAACATAGAGAAGCTCCCAACCTCCGGTCCTGTTTCGAAATACGTCTTACCTGATGAGAACTTAAGGGGAAGGTTTGGTTTTTTTCCTCTTTTACTTGTTTCCATTCTTTCTTTCTCTCATTTTTTATTGTCCCTTACAAGTCTCAATTGTCTCACTGCAGGCTCACGTTAAGCTTTGATGAAGCAGCAGCTGGAGTTGCGTGTAATCTTGATTCCCGCGGCTTTCACGTTCTATGCGAAGCAACCAAAGAAGTTGTCGGGCACGTGAAGCCTTACTCCATCACCGGTACTTTGCCTCTAATCCGAGACCTCCAGGTAAAGCCATTAGAGAGAAACCCTATGAGTCTTTGAGAAGTCTCTGCAACTTAACTCTTTCTAAACCCACAAATCTTGTTCTTGTGTTATGTAGGATGAAGGTTTCGATGTGCAAACTTCAGGATACGGTACGACAAACACAAAACCCTCCTCTGATTCTCTCTTCTTACTTCAGATATCTCAGTCTTTGATCCTTAAATCTCTTTTTTCTTGTTATACAGGTCTCATGGCTACATATCATGCAAAGAACGAGTACTGCCTTCTCACAGACATGTGCCAAGGCTATGATGTCTTCGTTAGGATCATTTCTAAACTTGAACAAGACTAGAACTCAGATTGAAGGAAGATGCTCAACTAAAAAGCTTCTCTCTTACTTATTAACTAAATGTTTCTATACACTTTTACTATCTATTTGTACAAGTCAATGTGTGGCTCAAGACAATTTACAAAAATTTAAAACAAAGTGGTAAATGTTTCTTATTATTTATCTATCTTGAGTTGTTGTTGTTGTCACCATCGGTTTCAAGCTTCTGCACCCGTAGACGCAACCTTTGCTGGTGATGGTGAAGCTTCCAGAGACCATTCCCCAATACCACAGCTGAGTATATACCATGTGTGATGATAGGAGCAAGAAGATTGTTTGTCTGCGACATTCCAAAACTCAGTTTCGTTTCCTCGAAAAAGTCAGAAAGAAAGAAACCGTGAAGAGAAGAAGAAGTAAGAAACCTGAATCCATTCAAAGCCGAGGTATAGACCCAAGAGCCCTTCAAGAAGAGGAGAGTAGATTTTCTTCATTTGCCTTCGCTCATACCACGCTGCAAACAACTTCTTGAGCTCGTCACGTGCAGATCGAGTTTTCAAGACCGGTGCCATTATATAAGTCGGATCTAAGTAAGAGAAACAAAAACTAGTTAAGAGGTTTGTAACAACAGAGATTTAAGGTGTTAAGAGTAGTGAGAAGAAACCTTTAGGAGAAGCAGCGATGTAATAGAGAGAGCCAGTGAGAGCTGCTGTGATCGCAGCTGCAAATGCTTGAGCAAACGGTACAAATGGAGGCAATATTCCAGTCTGCAAAGCTTCCTAAGTCAATTTCGAAGTTTATATATGAAACTTAGAAGAGACGAGTAGGAAGAGAAAGCATACCAAAGCGACCATTCCTCGAGAATCTGAGATGAGATGTGTGCCTCTTAGGAATATATCAGCTAATGCACCCTATAAACACAATATCCAAAAACCGATGAAACCTTCACAATACCATAAACAGAAACCAGAGATAAACAAAGAACAATTGGAGATTGTACAAAACCTGAAACGCAGCACGGTAAAAGAGCTCTTCTCCAACTGAACTTGCAGTAACCACTAAGATAAACTACAAGAAAGAACAAAAAAGCCTCTCAATCAATGGTTCTTCTTCAAAATGATTCAAGAAAAACAAAATCTTTGTAATTGAATCTTCACCTGCCAAGCTGACATTCCATGGAAGAAGCCTCGAAGCTCCTCATCTTCCACATCTCTAATCGCTCGAGCGTGTGGTGACAGTTTCACAACTTCATCCTAAACCATAAACAGAACAAGAACAACATTCAAAATCTAATTTCTTTATAGCTAATATATATAGAGAGAGAGATCCTTAATCTAATCTACAGTGCTTACATCAAGAATGAAGAGAAGAGCCATGATCGGTGGAGAAGCATAACCAAGCCCAGCAATAATCGCATCTAAAGAGGCATTAAAGCCTCCTGTGTAATCGATTCCTGCTACTTCACATATGAATCTTCCTGCTACCGCCATTCCACTGTATATTCCTGCTTAAACAAAAATTGAAATTTGAAATTTTGAAATTCATATCAAAATCCATAAACACAACTTCACACGAAATTTGAAATTTTGAAACTTTTATTTCAGAAATTGCTCAATCAATTCAACGAGTGACTCACCGATTCCATAACTCAGCCTAACAACGGCACCGATCTTATCCCAAGCACTAAAATCTCCGCCGCTTCCACCGACAAATTCGCCGACGGATGTTACCTCTCCCGAAGCTCCAGCTAAACCGCCGCCGCCGCCGACAAATTCGCCGCTGCTGAAACCTCCAACTCCCACCGACGTTACATCTCCCGAAGGCACAGCTAATCCTCGCGCCGCCGCGGCATCAACATCGTCGATCACCTCGCTGCTGCTCTGCCCGGCGGATGACGACGACGACGACGACGACGCTTTGATACGCCTCGATTTCTCTAACGAAAGTCCATTTAACCGCCCGCTCCGCTTAAGCAACTCGGATCTCGAACTCGCTGGAGAATCGAACAGCCGCCTAGAACTACGATTACTACTCCTAAATCCACCGCTTCCACTACACCGAGACGAAGATGATGATGAAGAAGATGAAGTAGAGAAAGCGACTCTTGCCGTACTGCAAGACAACAAAGGGAGACCCATTAATTACAGGCAACAGCTCTCAGGCGAAGTTAACGGAATACGCCGGTAATCTCGCCGGAGAGACTCTGTTCTTCATTTATTAGTGAGAGACAGAGAGATGGAAGATCGGTGATCGTTCAATTTTCTCAGTATTTATTTTTTATTCCCTAAATTGTTTATTTTTATTTTTGGTATTGTAATAAATTGAAGTGGAAAATAATTTGACCGTCAGATGATAGATACAGAGTTGATCTAACGGTTACGATGAGTGTATTAATTGAGACCACTTGAATTGGGAAAGAGAGTAATTGTTCCACTTGGACTTGACTACCTTCGTTCATTAGATTCATCTGTACTTTTGCCGCGTTCATTACACGTTACCATAAATTTTTGTGTGTAAATGGGCCTTATCTTTTGATAATGGGCTATACTCCAAATGAGCCTTAGTTGTCAATATATCTTAGAAAAATTACTATTTTTTTTTGTTACATTTTGTCCTAGTGTTAAAATTTTGTTTCCTATTATTCGTCATTTTTCATTTACAAATGCAAGTTCATTACAATATTTTCAGTTTTATTCTTGCTTTTTAGCTCATTAATTACTGATGTCAACCAAAACAAAATATTAATTACAGGAAAGCAATAAATGTGATTTTTTTTTTGTTTAATATGGCGAAAACATTTCAGAAAGATAATTACAAAGAACTGGAGGGAGTATAATTCTTGAGATATAATTTACACATTTTATATTTACCATTTATGTGAGGAAAAATATATTTTGAGTTTCTAAGAAGAAATGCATCTAGTAACGGATTTGTATTTGTAGAAAATGAAATCTTTTATGAAGCCTGATGGCATAAAAAAAATTCTTTTGGTTAATGAGAAAAATATCATTGTTTCATTCATATCGAGGGTGAATCAGGTAGTGATACAGTAGAAACTCTATAAATTAATACTCGATAAATTAATAAACACGATAAATTAATAAATTTCTCCGGTCCCGAGTTGGGCCGGTGTAAAATATGACACAATTCGATAAGATAATAAGATAATAACTTTTTTTAAATCCTATGTAAAATATGGTCCCAATAATATCATAAATTAATAATTATTTTTATTTATATATATATATATACACCTAAAATATCTAACTACTAAAATATGAATCTCTCACACACCAAACATATATGGAAATTAAAAGCAAAAAAAGAATTTTAAATAATATGGCAAGTATGAGAAAATGTGAACAATAAAGTAAATATAGAAACATTAGAAAAAAAGTTAAGAAAATATACGTATAAAGGAAACTTCTGATTTAATTTGAATTTTTTTTTTTTGAAAATATTTTTAGTCAAAATCTATATATTAATAACTCTATAAATTAATAAAATATCAAAGTCCCGACATTATTAATTTATAGAGTTTCTACTATATTTTGCTTTTAGTTTGTTTGTGAGATCTTCATATTTTTGTCCTTGGTATGTAATGGATAGATTTCTTCAAGAAGAATCGAGAATACCAGCCATTTCTCTGGTTTAGATACTATTTTCACCAAGTCGGAGTAATCCATCCCAAAAACCATCACTTTTTATTATTATACTAAAGCATGCACTGCATATCCCAAACAAGTGCATCCATCTCCATTCAAAGCAGTGAATGAAAGTACATTCACTGCTGCAAATAGTTTGACCCCAATACTTTTTCCCTTGTATACAGATAATGAAAGTACCAACCCGGGCCTGCACCCCGTTCCGACTGCTTCCACACTCCATTACTTCATCATTCTATCAGTACATTCCCTACTGAACTTGTTATTTATTGTCGTTGTTGCGCACTTGCCCATGCATTGGCCTAAGATCTTAACTTATGTTGTAAATATGTTGTCAAATCGAAGGATCTTTTCGCATATGAATATTTGGAATACATGTGCGTGATCTAAAACGTATGTGACTAACTTGAATGCTAACAACTTTTTTTTCTTTTTGCCATAATCCGTACATAAAGAAACTAGAAATGTTCTTTATCAAAAAAGAAAAGAAACTAGAAATGTTATTTGAGAAAATTTTAACTGGTGTTAATCAAAATAGTTTTGCAGATCCATATGATAATATATTTTTATTCCTTTTTCCGTTTCATATTAGTTGTCGTTTTAGAATTAAATTTTTGTTTCATATTACTTGCCGTTTTGTATTTTCAATGCAGATTGATTACAATTTAATTTTTCAGAATTATCCATACCCTCTAAACCAGCTAATTGTTCATATCAAATAAACCAAGTATTTACTAAAGGTAAAACAATAACTTTAATGATTTTCTTAAATTTGCTTGATGAGAAATTCCAGAACAACAACTAAAAAGAAAAAGAAGGATTAATGAATAATCTTTAAACATAATCACTTTAAGCTACAGTTTATCAAATCAAAATTGCTACTCAACTGTTGTGAATTGTTGTTGAATCTTTGATTGTCGTTAGCCCTTTGAAATCGTTTCTCTAAGGATTTTTTAATCCTTCTTCTTTCTATTTTATTATTCTGTTTATAGATTCGTGTTAATCCTAATTTTCTTTAAATTAAAATAACTTGTCTTTATTGAATTATATTTCCCCATAAGAATAAAAATTGATGTGGCAGTACCAATATAAAATACTCGGATAATGGATTTATTCTACTGTAAACGCAAATAGTAAACCATAAACCTAAAAAACTAACTCTTAGTACAAGCAAAATTTTAAACCCTATAAATAAACTGATAACACGAAATATTATATTTTTCGTCTCTAAAAAATTAAGATATTATATTTATGTAGTATAAATGTTCTCTATGCATTTTCACTTAATAACAAGTCTTCTCTCAAATAATTTAAGCTTGTTTTGAAAATTTAAATCATAACATATACAAAATCAGTTTCACAAGATTGAATCAAATTTTCTGAAGTGATATAAAATAAGATAAAAGGGTGGAGAAAAATAGTCTACAAGAAAACAGAAAGATAGAAAGAATAAGAGAAGGTGTGTGTGTGTGTGTGTAACACAGGAGTAATTTTGTTATATTTTACCGAAACCTTTAACAGAAAATTATTATCTAGGATAAATTGGGACTAGACCTTCTGTGATGCTTCATTATACTCAACTGCGAACCAAAACTAGTTTCGGGTCTTAGGCAGCATGGTCTTGTCGGACGTCAGGAACTAGCTCGCATGCTAAAATGCAAATATTGATATATTGGATATGGAGATTTACCTACAATATTAGAGTCGGAGTTACAAGATTTAGCTAAACTATATCACAAATAATTATTCATTGTTAATTTTCATTCATATGATGTCCTAACCAAAGTTTAATCTGTATCAATCTCATTAACGATAATAACATATTTATTTTTCTTCAAAAAAAAAAACAACAGTCAACTAGTAACATGATCTAGTCAACTATTAAAGAACTAGCCATAACAAAAATCAAAAATTTAACAAGTAAGCATCCTGTAAAATCTGTTAAATAAAAACTAAAGGTGAAATATTAAAAGATAAAAAGAAGAAGTAATTCACTAAATATACTTCCCAAAATTGACAAGTGAAAATAAGTAAGGCAGTTAATTAAATTTTAAACCTGCAGAATTAAGAAAACTAAGATCACAATAAGGTAAGGAGTTGAAGTTGGAGATCTTCTCCATGGCTATAAATTTAGTTCGTCTTCTTCCTCTTTGCTCCACACCTCTGAGTTTAATCTTCTTTTTATGTAAGTATTCTCTCAAGATAAATAAAATAAAATAAAAGATCTCCCATTTTGTCTATGCTTTTCAGAAATTATGGCTTCTGTTTTGATTGTTCTCGTTTGAGACCTTTAAAGACTCTTCTAAAATGTTTACTATTTACAGTTTATTACGAGAAATTTGGATATTATGCTTTTTCGAAGGTTTTTGCGTAGTTAACAATAATTTCAAGAGTCATTGCATAGTATAATATGATTTTAACCAATTTTTAATTGGATCTATGGATGGTTTTTTTCATTGGACTGTTAAAATAATCCGATTGAATTTCCAATGCTTTGATTCACTTTAGTTAGACGTTTTGATGAATTGGGTTTTGAATTGTGATTCATTGTTAATGGTGCTTGAGATTCATCATTTTCTTTTTTTTTTTGCTTATAGAGACATCCAGGGATTTGGGGATTGTGCAACATTTTGCTTGTAGAGACGAAATATAACATCGTCATCAACTATGGTTTCAAGCTCTGGTTCTTCGGTTTCTGTGGAAGCTATAGTCCCCGAAGCCGAGGAAGATGCATACGTAATAATTTTTATTTTATTTTTCAATTAGTTTCTCAGATCTTGAACTCCTGGCATAGATATGGTCATGTTATATGGAATGATGTTCTCTCAGGTGATCGTCTGTGATACATGTGGCGATCTAGGAGAGGACGAAGAACTTGCTATTTGCACGACATGCAACGTTGGCGCAGAACACACGTAATGTTTTAACTATAATTTTAGAATTTTTTTTATTGTTATACATTTTATTTTGTCATATTTCGTATTATTGCAGTTATTGCATGAAGCTAAAACGTGAAGAGGTTCCTGAGGAATGGGATTGCTATTTATGCACTGAAAAGAACAATGGAGTTCGAGAAGGAAAGGAAATTGAAGAAGCTGGCTCTAGAAAAAGGAAAACAGTACATTTCGTTGACTATTTTGCGGTAATCCATAAAACAAGAGTTAAGGAATTAATGTTTTTGACGATCCCCAAAAAACAAAGATCGCTTTATGTATTCATTTGTTTCTTCTTGCAGAAAGAGAGAGCAGAAAGCAGTAAAAGAACATCATCTCAAGGACAACCTCGCTCATTTAAAGCACCACGCCTCTATGATAACGTAGAGCTGGATTTGAACGTGGACCCTAATCCTGTTCAGAACCGCAATCCTAACATGGAGCTTGGTTTTGACCTGAACCGTGTTCCTAACATGGAGCTTGGCTTTGATCTGAACCGCGTTCCTAACATGGAGCGTGGCTTTGACCTGAACCGCGTTCCTAACTTAGATCTCAACATGGAGCCTGGCTTTGACCTGAACCACGTTCATAACTTAGATCTCAACATGGAGCCTCGCTTTGACCTGAACCTCCATCCTAACTTAGATCTCAACATGGAGCCTGTCCTTCACATGAACCAACATCCTAACTTAGATCTCAACATGGAACCTACCCTTGTTCTGGACCCTATGATAGACCTCAATGGTGATCCTACGTTCGATATGAATGTGGACACTAACATTGACGTGCATCTAGTTGCCTTAACGAATGAGGGTGTCCACATTCATATGCTTCTGGTAAATTTTAAGCTAGATAACGAATGAGGGTGTCTCAGGATCCTTTTTAAGGACCACGGTTTCTGACGAAGAAGAACAATGTGCAACGAGACCTCGCGTGGATACAAGGCCCTCTCTTTCAAATGTGTTTTCATTTTCTTTTCTTTTTATGCTTTTCAAATGAGTTTTCGTTTTCTTTTTATTTAAGCTTTTACTTTGTAATTCGTTGTCAGATGTAATTTTAATAAAAATCTAATGATAAAATGAGACAATTCTTCTTCAGTTTTATTTTTGTTGTTATTTCGCGTTCTTTTATTTGTTGATGATTAAAGTTCTAGTGTTTTACATTGTAGAAAAACAAGACGAGAAACTTTATCCATCGTATTATTAAACAAATATTTTCTGCAATTTCAAGGAAATTAATAATCATCTATTTTTTGGTAACTTTATATAAAAAACTGATTATCATCATCTAATTATATTCATGGTAGCCAATTATCATCTATTTTGTTTTGAAGTCTAAACACTTGAACCAATATTTGTTTCTTATATTCATTTATACTATGCTTATATATATGTTCTACTGTTTTGTTTATTTCTTTCTTATCATTTGCTTTGGCGAAAATTTTGAATCCAACTGAGAATATAAATATTTATATATTTGATGTCTTTTTGTGGTATATACATTAGTATGTTCCAGTAAGACTCATATGGCTCAAATAAATATGATCTTACAAAGTTCTATCAAAGTTTAGGTAAGATTAATCAAAATACATAAAAGGTAGATTATGGCCATGTTCTTTTTATAATCCCAGCGGCTGCGATGGCGATTAATATAATAAACGTAGATAGAAGTGTATTTGTGAAAAGGAGTCGCAGCTATGTTATAAAAGCGTCGATGTGCAATATTCCAGCGACAGCTTCCCTCCCTCATACGGCACTTTATCTCTCCTGCGACAGCTCCGTCGTCATCGTTTTGCCTCTGCTTGTTTTGCAATGTTGCTCACTGCCGTCCCTGTCGTTTTGATAAGTTGCAGTCGCAGCTGCAGCGACTTTGAAAAGAACAGGCAAATGTTGAGTTTAGCTCAAATGTGTACTTAGGCCGTGTTCTTTTTTAAATCACTGCAGAGGCAGATGAGAGCAGTCCGGTGTCGATCGCAGCGACGCAATGGCACACTTATCTATCGCTGAAAAACAGCAGATGAGAACATGTAACTAATGGTGGCTCTGCGATATCACCTGCATTCAGTTTCAGCAAGATTTGTTTTTGTTTTTTTTTTGTTTTTTTTTTTGTTTTTGTTTTAATGTTAAGATTTCATTACCAAAAGACTGAATACTACAATTTATATAAGGGAGAATAACACTTAACCTTACTTACCTACTTAGAACGACAAAAGGGAACATAGCTAAATCGGATGCGAAATACAACCAAAGTAAAATTCTAGGATAGATGGATTCGATTCCCTAGAAGGGAAAGATAATAGACAGTCCCACATAGTACGATCCACCGAGCTTTTCATCCCGTGGAGAAGAGCATTTCACTCTCGCCACAGAGCATAGACAATAACTTGGAGGAGGAGTTTCAAAATAGAGCTTGTGTTTCTTTGAAAAACTACTACAGGCGACTACATATAGCTCAAGAGGTCTTCAATATTTTCCGGGGTGTTTTTCCCGCAAATCCTTGATGCAAACGCTAGCTAGAGGGAGTTTGAGAAACCACAGTCGAAGAAGAGATGTGAGTGCGTCTCTGGCCCAGCCAGGCAAAGCGAGCAGAGAGCAGGAACCGTCATTCCCCAGCGGATAAGTCGATCTCAAGACAAACGAACCACATGATGAAAGAAGATCTCAGCACAGCCTCCTTGAACCAACCAGCTTTGTCCAGGGGAGTTGTGGCGATTGAGTCCTCAACTGTTCCCAAGTCCCTTCAGAGGAGAAGCTATTCAAATCCGTCCCTGCTGGAGTGCGCCAAAGGTAATTGTCGTTTCCACGATCAGGTTGTGGAGGGGGCAAACCTGTGAGCTTAATCTCCAGCTGCTGGACCTCTTCCGATCTCGCATTTGAGAGAAACCACTCTCCGTTCCTCACAGCCTCCACCACTTTCGCCTCCAAACTTAACGGTAACATTCTTGGGCCTCTCTGTCCCACAAAATCTCTTAGAGGCCCCAATTCTGTCCACGAGTCCCACCAGAAAGAAGCATCCATTCTGTTCCCAATCTCACACTTTAGAAACGTAGGGAGAAGATGCTTCAGCTGAAGCATACTTCTGATGACTCTCGAGAAACGGGGAGAGTCATTTGTGTTCCAGAAACTTTTCCTTAGGAAAACATTTCCTCTGATCCAAGCAACCCAAAGAGATCCTGCATTTGAAAACAAGTTCCGAATATGCTTAAGTCTAAAAACCACTTCGAAATCCTCCAAATAACGTATGCCCAAGCCTCCTTCTCTCTTTGGCTTGCATACCTCTTTCCACAGGACCCTGGCTCCCGCAGCCGATTGCGTGATGTTCTTCCACAAAAAAAGCAGTGCAAAGAGAGTCCACTTTTCTATAGAAATCTACAGGGTGAGTATAAACCTGACTCCAAAAGTTCACCATACCGTAGATAACCGAAGAGACCAATTTGATATTTCCGGCAAAGGAGAGTTATCTGACAGTCCAGGAGTGCGGCTTCTTCTTTATCTTATCCAGGAAAGGTTCCATAACGAAGAAAGTTAGCCTTTGAGAATTTAGTGGTAATCTTAGATATGACCTTATACACAAGATTACAGCAGCTTATCGGCCTGAAATCTCCCAAGGAGCAACTCTCTACTGTCTTTGGAATCAGGGATATGAAAGAGGTATTCATATCCTTGAGGAGACAACCATTCCTGAAAAAATCATTGATCACTGCAACCACCTCAGGCCGCACCTTGACCCAAGAAGCCTTGAAAACTCCAGCGGATAGCTATCCGGGCCCGGACACTTATCAGTTGGGAGACTGAGCAGAGTCTTGGTAATTTCCTCCTCAAACATTGGATGTAGAAGTGACGTTGCTGAAGCTTCTGAACATCTGTAAGGTAGTAGATTACTCAGGTCACTGGTAGATATAGCTGAGACTGGCATATCAGTGCTACCTAGAATTGCCTTGAAGTAGTTGGCCGCGTGAGGCTTCAACTCCGGTGGAGACACCATTCTCCTTCCTTGATCACTCTAAGGAAGTAGATGTGATTCTGTGACAGCCGTTGAATGAGTGATTTGTGGAAGAAACCCGAGTTTCTATCTCCCAAATGCATCCATTTCACTCTTGATCTCTGTCTGAAAAACTTCTCCTCAGCCTTGCGCAGGACATTCCACCTTTCTCTTGCTTGATGCTCCTCCTGAGCTCTAGCCTGGGTAGGGTTTGTCAGCAGCAATCGTTGCAGCTCTTTCGTTTTCATCTCATGATCCTTAACTCTCTGAGTAATGCCACTAAAGTGGTTTCTATTTATCAACTTCAATCCCGGTTTCAGCAGCTTCAAACTGCGGATGAGCTTGAATTGCAAAGATCCCTCTACGGCGTTTGGGCCCTAGTAAGAGCGATCGCAGCAGCAACAATTTACAAAAGAACAGGGCCATAGTCAATATCAAATATCATATATACAAGTGTTTCTTACCTAACGTAAACCAACTATTCTATAATTGGGCTAACCTAAAAACGAATATATTTTGTTTTTTTAAGTAAATGATGACACTCCATACATTCATCTATATAAGCTACAACTAAAGTGGCAAAAATGAGATCTTTGGGACAGATTAGAGAAACGCGGAAGTATACAAACAGAAATGATGAATTCACAAAATGATTTTCCATTCACGACCCCTTCACTCAGAAAGTAGCTCTTCGTCCAATCGAGCTCTAGGAGATGAATTTTTGCTGATGTTTACGTGTTTGAGCTTTGGACTTGCTCGTACATGGTCAATGAATGATAGAATGAGGATGCGAACATATCTCTAACCCTTGTCAGATAATCCTATAAAAACTCATTGATACAATTTAGAGATGTAAGATAGTTTGAACAAAGTGAAGAATTACAGAGTATGAATAGACTGTCCACAACCGGATCCAAACAATCAGAGAGACACAAAGTATGAAAAAGCACTCAGCTAGTCTAGTTTCAAATCATTTATTTCTTCTTTCAAAATTTAGCAAAAACACTAGTTACACTTGTTGTACAAAAGTTTGGTTTTTGAATAAATTTTACATAAAATTTAAAAAAAAAAAAAAGTGAAGAGTTACATATAGCATCAGTTTTTGTTGTTGTACTGCATATCCCAAACAAGTGCATCCACCTCCATTCAAAGCAGTGTAAGCCCTCGCTGCAAATAGTTTGACCCCAATAGTTTATCCCCTGTATATAGATGATGAAAGTACCAACCCAGGCCTGCACCGCATTCTGACTCCTTCGACACTCCATGATTTCATCATTCTATCAGTACATTCCCTAGTGAACTTGTTATTTACTGTGGTTGTTGCGCACTTGCCCATGCATTGGCCTAAGATCTTAACTTATGTTGTAAATATGTTGTCAAATCGAAGGATCTCTTCGCATATGAATATTTGGAATACATGTGCGTGATCTAAAACGTATGTGACTAACTTGAATGCTAACAACTTTTTTTCTTTTTGCCATAATCCGTACATAAAGAAACTAGAAATGTTATTTGAGCAAATTTTAACTGGTGTTAATCAAAATAGTTTTGCAGATCCATATGATAATATATTTTTATTCCTTTTTCCGTTTCATATTAGTTGTCGTTTTAGAGTTAATTTTTTGTTTGATATCACTTGTCGTTTTGCATTTTCACTGCAGATTTATTACAAATTTTCGAGAATTATCCATACCCTTTTAACTAACTAATTGTTCATATCAAAGAGACCAAAGTATTAACTAAAGGTAAAACAATAACTTAATGATTTTCGTAATCTGCGTGAAAAACTCCAGAACGACAACTAAAAAGAAAAAGGATGGATTAATGAATAATCTTTAAACAGAATCACTTTAAATTACAGTTTGTCAAATCAAAATTGCTTCTCAACTGTTGTGAATTGTTGTTGAATCCTGGATCGTCGCTAGCCATTTGGAATCGGTTCTCTAGGGTTTTTAGTCCTTCTTCTTTCTATTTTATTCTTCTGTTTACAGATTCATGTTAAACCCTGATTTCCTTTAAATTAAAATAACATTGTTGAATTATAGTTCCCTATAAGAATAATAATTGATGTGGCAGTACCAATATAAAATAATCGGGTAATGGATTTATTTGACTGAAAACACAAATAGTAAACCCTAAACCTAAAAAGTAACTCTTAGTACTAGCAAAATTTTAAACCCTATAAATAAACTGATAGCACGAAATATTAGATTTTTCGTCTCTAAGAAATTAAGATATTCTAGATTTTTTTTTTTTTTTTACTTTAAGTTTCCATTTTATTCATCTTCTAGACCTTTTAAAAGAGGTACCATTCGGATTACAGACAAGAGAAAGAAGATGAATAAACAAAACGAAATAAAACAAAAAGATAGATAGTTGAGAAAGACACAAGTGCAGCAGGATTGCAGAAGTAGAGGCTAAAACTGGAAGAAGCTAAACCATGTTTGTAGATAGGAGCCAGATTGATCCACTGGAAGAGATCTGACGGTGAGTGAGCGATCAATCCCAAACAATTTTGCTCTGAGCGTTAGATGAATTTCTTTAACCAACAAGTGGGAAGGTTTCGTAATTTGGGTGTGAAGACGAGAGTTTCTTTCTCTCCACAAGAAATAGATTGCTGCTTGGAAGGAGAGTAAGCAAATGGTTTTGAGCTTACCATTTAAGGTGGGTGAGTGGAGCCAAGATATAATATCTTCGAAGACAGTTGAAGAGATCAGATCCGGATGAGAATGTAAAGAGTTCCATACTTCAGCAGAGAATGGACAAGTGAAAAACAGGTGGCTTTTAGATTCCGGAGAGGTGTCGCAAAGTAGACAGCGGTTTGGTACATCAAGACCCCAAGAAATCAGTCTATCTCTGGTTGATAATCTGTCTCGCATCAAGATCCAGGAGATGAACGCATGTTTTGGGATCCTATCTTTTTGCCAAATTAACTTGTACCAAGGAACAGAAGGAGCTGGTGGATGAAGCGAGGTCCAAGTTTGAGAGGAGGAGAATTTTCCTGGAGTCCGAGAGGGGCCATTTCTCCAAAGGTAAATGTCAGGCAACGAGGAGAGTGACGGAGGAGTGTTTGCAGGGACACAAGCCCGCAGAAGTTGAAGAATAGGATGGCGACCTCTAGAAAGAAGCCAAGCCCCATTGTGACAAGCGCTTGAGACTGAGGCTAAGCTTGAGATTCCGGTGACACGAGGTCCATTAGGGCCTGCAATGTCGAGTAGAGGTCCCAAGCCTGTCCAATCGTCATGCCAAAATAGAGCCGACGTACCCAAGACCACGCGGCAAAGGAGAAAAGGACGAGCCAAAGAGCGAAGCTTAACGAGAGATTTCCAAATCCAGCTTCCAGAGTTTTGAAAATCCGTTGTCCAGAAAACTCTTCCTCTCAAGAATTCATGTAGTATGTATATGCCTTTTCACTTAATAGCAAGTCTTCTCTCAAGTAATTTAAGTTTGTTTACAAAATTTAAAATAATAACATATACAAAATCAGTTTCACAAGATTGAATCAGATGATGTGAAGTGTTAGCAAATAAGATAAAAGGGTGGAGAAAATTGGTCTCCAAGAAAACAGAACGATAGAAAGAATACGAGAAGGTGTGTGTGTGTGTGTAATAGTGGAGTATTTTGTTATATTTTACCGAAGCCATTAGAAAAGTATTATCTGGGATACATTATACTCAACTGCAAACCAAAACTAGTTTTGGCTATGCTGAACGGTTTTAGGCAGCATGATTTTGTCGGACGTGAGGAACTAATAGTCTTTGACGACTTCAAATCTGGTAGGATGGGTCAACGCTTCTTGGGGACTAGCAAATATTGATATATTGGATAGGGAGATTTACCTTCGATATTAGAGTAGGAGTTATAAGATTTGGCTAAACTATATCACAGATAATTATTGATTGTTATTTTCATTCATATGATGTCTTAACCAAAGTTTAATTTGTATCAGTCTCATTAACGATAATAACATATTTATTTTTCTTCATAAAAACAACAATCCATGTTATCGGCTGCACGAGTCATGATCTTAAAGAACTAGCCATAAAAAGAATCTTTAAAATTTAACAAGTAAGCATCCTGTAAAAGCTGTTAAATAAAATTAAAGGTGAAATATTAAAATATAAAAAGCAGAAGTAAATACAACTAAATATACTTCCCAAAATTGAGAAGTAACGGTTTGGAATTGCAACATAAGAATATTTGACCCCCAATTGCGAGGAGAAAATTGATCTTTGTTTCTTCCTTGCAAAATTTAATACGTAGAACCCAAATCACAAGTCAAATTGCGAACATAAGAAGGATCGATAAGTTGGCAATAGCTCTGCACAGAGAAATGGGATGCATGTAAATGGTTTACTGTTCGGTCAACAATTCATGATTCATAATTAGTCAAGCGTGGGCCGGTTCCTATTGAGTATTGAAGACATGCAGTGCTCCTTTCGTCAATAAGTGAAAGAGACTAAAACCAGCGAAAATTTCGCTATGTTAAGAGGGAAAAGAATTCACAAAAATGGTGACGTAAGGCTTTAAGGTGTAAAATTAATGACTAAAAAGAAGATGAAGTAAAGGGAGAAATGAAATATTTCCCAAAACTGAGAAATGAAATAACTCAATAAGTAAGGCAGTTAATTAAATTTTAGACTTGCAAAATTAACTAAACTAAGATCACAATAAGGTAAGGAATTGAAGTTAGATCCCCGACTCCATGGCTATAAATTTAGCTGGTCCTCTTCCTCTTTGCTCCACACCTCTGAGTTTAATCTTCTTTTATGTAAGTATTCTGTCAAGATAAATAAAATAAAATAAAAAGATCACCCATTTTGTCTATGCTTTTCAGAAGTTATGGCTTCTGGTTTGATTGTTCTCGTTATAAGACCTTTAAGGACTCTTCCAGAATGCTTACATTTTACAGTTTGTTACGAGAAATTTGGATATTATGGTTTTCAAAGGTTTTTGCGTAGTTAACAATAATTCTCAAGAGTCATTGCACGGGTCTAGTTATGATTTTAACCAATATTTTAATTGGATTTATGGTTATTTTTTCATTGGATCGTTAAAATAATCCGATTGGATTTTCCAATGCTTTGATTCAATTTAATTAGACGTTTTGATGCTGAATTGGGTTTTGAATTGTGATTCATTGTTAATGCTGCTTGAGATTCATCAGTTTCTTTTTATGCTTATAGAGACATCCAGGGATTTGGGATTGTGCAACATTTTGCTTGTAGAAACGAAATATAACATCAACTATGGTTTCAAGCACTCATAAGGAAACTGATTCTTGGGTTTCTGGAGAGGCTATAGTCCCTTTAAAAAAGAAAATTGGAGTTCTAGAAGAAAAAGAAATTAAATAAGCTGGCTCTAGAAAAAGGAAAACAGTAGCTTTCATTGACTATTTTGAGGTAATACATAAAACACATCATTCATTTTTGTATGAGACAAGAGTTAAGGAATTCATGTTTTTGACGATCCCCAAAAAACAAAGATCGCTTTATGTATTCATTTGTTTCTTCTTGCAGAGAGAGAGAGAGAGAGAGCAGAGAGCAGTCAAAGAACATCATCTGAAGGACAACCTCACTTATTTATGGCACCACGTCTCTATGATAATGTTGATCTAGATTTGAACGTGGATTCTAACATGGAGCTTGGCTTTGACGGTTTGACCTGAACCGCCATCCTAACTTACATCTCAACATGGAGCCTGGCCTTGATCTGAACCTTGATCCTAACTTAGATCTCCACATGGAACCTACCCTTGTTCTGGACCCTAGCATAGAACTCTTTGTGGATCCTATGTTCTCGAAGATGAAGAACAATGTGCAACGAGACCTCGCGTGGATACAAGGCCTTCTCTTTCAATGAGTTTTTTTTTTCTTTTTTTTTTAAGCTTTCATATGAGTTTTCATTTTTTTTTTAAGCATTTACTTTGTAATTCATCGTCAAATGTACTTTTAATAAGCAAAATCTAATGATAAAGTGAGACAATTCTTCTTCAGTTTTTCTTTTTGTGAATGATTAAAGTTAGTGTTTTACATTGTAGAAAGACAAGACGATAAACTTTTATCCATCGTATTATTAAACAAATATTTTCTGCAATTTCAAGGTATTTAATAATATCTATTTTTTGGTAACTTCATATAAAAAAAATTGATTATCATCATCTATTTGTATTCATGGTTACCAATTATCATCTATTTTGTTTTGAAGTCTAAAACTTGAACCAATAGCTAATCTTTTCTTATATTCATTTATAGTAATTTATTTATATATTGTAATCTTTATATTATTAATTGAGAAGTACATTCTAATGTTTGGATACAAGAATAAGAGAAATATCTATTTGGATAGAAGAATAAATGGAAAAAAAAAATTGTTTGGATATAAGAATAAGAGAAAAATCTATTTGGATAGAAGAATAAATGGAAAAAATTGTTTGGATACAAGAATAATAACTTAAAACAAACCGATGGTTTAGAAAACTTCCTGTTTTCCAGCTCTTAAAAAATCTGCAAAAAAAAAATATTAACACAATCTATCGATAATACCAAATCAATAGAATATGATCGAATAATATTTGCAAAATTTCCAATAGTGAAATAGAAATACGTCTAATTTAAATCAAATTGTGGATTTCTGTCGGTTTTTTTGAAAATTTCTGTTCGGTTTGGGTTCGAGTTTTTGGGTTTAGTTCAGGGTTTTCCGATTTTTTGGATTTCGGGTTTTAGGGTTTAGACATATTAATTTGGTATTTTAAAATTTTTATTAGGGTTTTTAGGTCGGGTTTGGGTTTCGGGTGAAAAAGTTTCGAGTTTTTTTTATTCGGTTCAGGGTTTTCGGGTTTAAACATATTAAAAAGGTTTGGGTTTTTAAAAATTTTGATTAGGGTTTTTGGGTCGGACTCGGGTTTAAGATTTAGATTTTCTTCACAAAACCGCAACGTCACACCGCGCGTTTGCGCGGGTCCTCTACTAGTATTTTGTTTATTTCTTTCTTATCATTTATTTGCTTAGGCGAAATAATGACTAACTGTCAAAACTAGACTGAAAATTATCCAACTGACTATATAGAGAAATATAAGTGATGTGTCTTGTGGTATAGAAAGAGTTACATTAGTATGTTCCAATAAGAACTCATATGGCTCAAATAAATATGATATTACAAAGCTTTATCAAACTTAAGTTAAAATTAATCAAAATATATTCACAAAAAAAAAAAAAAAAAAAAAAAATCAAAATACATAAAAGTATTACGGTAGATTATATATATCTTTAACTCATATATAAACCTAAGTCGTGTTCTTTTGTAAATCGCTGTGGCCGCAACTGTGATGGAAAAAAAAGTGACAAATACAAGGAACTAATGACTCAAGTATGTGGCGAGGTAGAGAAGAGCAGTTCCGGTGTTGATCGCAGCAACGCAAAGGCACAATCATTTATCGCTGAAAAACAGCCATGCGATATCACTTGCGAAGTTGCGATCAATTTCAGCAAGATTTATAGGTTAGGGGACTCAGGAGATTCATCTGGAAATGATTCGTAAATCCTTCGTATATGAAGCCTAGATTTTAACCATTTTTGGGACAGAAACAGAAACGCAAAAGTATACAATATCCAGAACCTGATAAATTCACAAAATGTTTTTCAATTCCAAAATCGGCGTATCTACTTTTGATCTATGTATAAATTGTTTTTTTTTCTTTAATGAACCCCACATAGTGGAAAGATGGAACTCCATATAAGATGGATACACAGATGATACACTACCACTGGCCCACTTGCTCCTCTTATGTATCATTGTTAATGTTTCAAATTTTTTAGATTTAGAGTACTATTTTTATTTTAAATTTATCTATATGTTAGGTTATGGTAAAAGGAAAAAAAAAATTAATTTCATTATAAGTCTACCTATAACAAAAGAGAGGTTCTAATTTTAAATTAATTATCCATATTTTAAATTAGTTGTGCTCGATTTTTTAAATTTAAACCATGGTAAATGCAAAAAACAAAATAAGTTTTCGGTTTGATACTATATTTCATTAATTCAAGTGTTTTTGGTCCAGTAACTTATATTTTTTTTATTTTTTATTTTAGACAAAGCAGAATAAGCTCAGGTTTGAGTTTTTCAGGTCAGGTTTGAGTCGGTTACTTTCCATTTCGTGTCTTTTTATATTTCGTGTTTTCGGGTACTCAAACTTAACTAAAAACAAAAAAACTTGAGTTAAATTTTGTAAATTATATCTAATAGTAACGAATGTACCTTAATATTTTTGAAAGTCTTAAAATATTTTGGTTATTTTTCTAGAGATAATTAAAATATTTGGTGTAATTGTAATTAGAGTATTTTTGTTATATTAAGTCTATTATATATTTTTTTGGATATTACGGGTATCGGTTAGGTTTTATCTAATTTGGTTTATTTCAGATCCTTTGATTACCTAAAATAGAACATAATAGTAAGAAAGAAAATATGATGTCTCTCACAAAATATATTTTCTACCATGTTGAAAATGAAATAGTTACTCTCTATATTATTTATGGAGCAATATTTTTAGTTTTCTATCCCATTTTAGTTATAAGATCGAAATTTAGTGTACTTACATTATTTTATAAACACTAGTGTAATGTTAGAATTTTAAAATAAGAAAAACAAGATTAATTTATATTTTAGGTAGTAAATTAAAATTTATATATTCAAAGTCAATATAACTAACATAAATAATGAATGCACCAAACTTTGAAATTGACTAACTAACATTAATTTATATTATCAGTTAGTCAAATTCAAATTTTGGCAAATTCATTACTTCTGTTAGTTAGTCAAATTCAAATTTTGGTAATTTTAAGTCTATTATATCTAATGTTTTTAGATATTAGGGGTATTGGTTAGGTTTCATCTAATTTGGTTTATTTCAGATCCTTTGATTCCATATATTTTACTGAGCCTAAAATAGAACATAATATTAAGAAAGACAATATGATGTCTCTAACAAAATAGTATTTTCGTCCATGTTGAAATTGAAATAGTTACTCATTATTTTTTTGTTAAATACTCACTATATTATTTATGGAGCAATATTATTAGTTTTATATCCCATTTTAGTTATTAGACATGTACTTACATTATTTTATCAACACTATAATGTTTAAAAAAAAAAAAAAAAAAAAACAAAAACAAAAACAGATTCATTTATATTTTAGATAATAATTTTTTTTTTGTATATTCAAAGTCAATATAACTAACATAAATAATGAATGCACCACAATTTGAAATTGACTAACTAACATTAATTTATAGTATTAGTTAGTCATATTCAAATTTTGGCGAGTTCATTACTTCTGTTAGTTAGTCAAATTCAAATGTTGGCGCGTTATTTATTTCCACATATATCTTTTAAAATTATATACCTTATTTGTTTTTGGTGGAAAAAATTATATACCTTATTATCTCTCTGCTCATCCCTCTTTAAATAGATTAGGGGTGCAATACCTTTTCCTCACACACCTAACAAAAGAAATAAAAACCTCAAAAAAGAGAGATAAAAAACCAGAGTGGTCATGGGAAGTAAAAAAATGAATCTTATGAAAATAATGTTGAGGAGAAAGAGGGGAAGGAAGCAGATGGTGGCTGTCAAGAGGAAACGTCAGTGTCCTACTCGTCGTGATCCACCGGTGAGTCCACCGGTCAGGACCACCACCAATGATGCGTTCCTCGTAGGAGGCGGAAGATTGAGCATCGGTGATACAATTTTGAGAAATACTCAAACTTGTTATCTGGTTGATAAGTGGATTCCATTTATCGAACCGCTTGTGCTAAGCCCTCAAATCCAGCAGCCAATTTGGAGGGAAATGGTACCTTACAACACAATTCCATACGTAGGAAGCAGTACCAATGGAAACCTCACACTAAAGCCGGTGCATCCACCTACCCTTGGTTTGGTTGGGCAAGTCTGTCAGCCATTTCAGAATCAGTATGGCATGAGCAATGATCCAATAACGAATGTGAGTCAACCAAGGGAAGATCCTTTTGATCCCATGAACCGCGAGCTTGGAGTGGGAGGGGAAGGAAGCAGCAGCAACAACACCATCACCATGACCACCAACGATGGTCTTCGGCAAGAGACACCACCACCACCACCAACAACACCATGACCACCAAACACCTGAAGAAGAAGGTAACGTTGCTACGGCAACCTAGCCATCTACAAGAATTGGTCGGGAGTTAACAGTCGTCATCATTTCTACAGTTTGTTTTTCTTTTTATTTTCTGTCTGTGTTTCTTTTTTGTTTTCTGATTATTTCAGCTATTGTGACATGACATATTCATGTAAATATGTTATGTTGCATTAGTTGTCAAATCAATTCTCTAATAATACATTTCTCTCAGTTTCATTTATACAATTCTCTAATAAAACATTTGGATTTTCATTCACATATATATCAAATATACAATTCTCCTAAGTTTCCAACCGAGAGAAGTTGATGTCAATAGCATAATTGGTTGACAGCGCAGATGTATATAAGTGGAGATTATCATGATTTCCTGCGTTGCCAATTGATAAAGTTTGTTCTTAGAACCTCAAGAACATGACACTTTTCTTCGACATATGCTCTTTTAGCTAGGTTCTGACATGTCCCTCTACAATTCTTCTCCCAAAAATCAATATACAATTAGTTCCTCATTCCACGCCCTCATACTATACCTCATGCTACACAGGTTAGTATCACTGCTGCTCATTTTGTGCTTCTAACGTTTTCAGTCAACACATCAATTGAGACCCTAATGACATAAGTTTAATTAGCATGTGTTTATTAAATGACCACTAATGAACCAAATTTAATTAGCAGCGTTGCAAATCAAATGATAATTAAGAGTCACACTTTAAGGCTCTACCAAAACAGATGGCAACTTGGTTAGGTCATGCACGTTTTCTTAAGCAAATCTTTCACAATTCTTTTACTCTTTGTCATTTCCTCTCTATTTTAAACTTTCCAGATACAAGCTTCTGGTGAACAACTTGGGAGTTGTTAAAAAAGTACGAAAAATGGAAAGCCAGATACAAGATTCTGGTGAACATAATCTTCATTAGTATAATATGAGTTGGCTCATTTTTTTTCTCTCCTATTTCCATGTGTTTATATGACGATGAAAGCTTGAAATGTTTGTAGCCTTGTGGGTATAGAAATGTATAGGGATGAAAACCATTCTACATTTTGTACACTAAGCTGTTATGCAACTGGGTTTGGGAGGTAACTGTGTGATTTTGTAGAAAAACAGGTTCCAATGTAAGATCACACAACACTTAATTAAAACTACTAGCTAAAACGATTCTTTGAATCTTGCTTATCTTCATATAACTGTGTCCTTAAACAAGAAGGAACATCGATCACTTCAGCTAGAATATCTTTTGTCTTCAACATCTCCTTGCTTCAAGGACGGAGACGTCAGTATAGCTTCGTTCCTTGAAGTCATTACCTACATAATTCCTATTTTCTTGATTCTATATGCTTTTTGACATTTCTTTCTTCTTTGTTGTAAGTGATGAGTTCTTATTCACATCTGAAAAATATTAATACAGGAAAAATAATAACTCATCTTTTTATCAAACGGGTTTCATGAATCCCATTTATAGGCATAGAAAAGGCACTGCTATGATAAGATAACTTCATTTCTAATGACATTTTACATTTCTAGCTACAAAAATTAGAAGGAACCAAGGTGGTTTGATAGTGAAATCATTTATGTCACCAAAACCCAAGTAATGAGTTCGAAACCTGACATATTGAGAAGAAATGTGGTGTAATACAGAAATACAAAATACTTCCCGCACATGCAGATAAAAATAATTTATTAATCAGATAAACGTAACTGAAATAAATATGATAACATGATAGAGTTTACAGAGGATTGTTTTCCATGAAGAGGAATCTGTTTTATGGATCGTCACACGACCCCTTCACTCAAAAAATAGCTCTTCATAATCATACAATCAAGCTCTCGGAGATGATTTTCTGCAGATGTTTACGTGTTTGAGCTTTTGGCTTGCTCGTACATGGTCATTGAATGAGGATGCGAACATATCTCTAACCCATGTCAGATAATCCTAGAAACTCCTTGGTACAGTGTAGAGATGTAAGAGAGTTTGAACTAAGTGAAGAGTTACATAACTTTTTTTTTTTTTTTTTTTTTTTTTTAAACTTAACTTTATTAAAACTTGAAACATCGATTACACAAGCCATGACCATACCAAACAAAGTAGTAGTCACACAGTTCTTAAAGTAGATATAAAGAGGTGAAAAGATATGGGAACATATAATGAACCATAAGCAGTTGAATCTTCCGCTTCAACTGACTTTAGTGCTTCGAACGGTATACGTCTAGCCTCGTCCACCTCGGCTTCCACGTCCTCGATTTCCCCGTCCACGAGCCGTGACCTGCATCTCTTTAGCTTTTGTTGATGGTTTAACTGGTCTTGCTCGAAGGATCCTTTTACCTGTAGGTGTCATGAGTTCCGACGAATCCGACTCATTGTCGGAATCCATCGAGTCTCCATCTCCTTCGGTAGAGATCAATGAGCCAAACCTATTAGAACCAAAATCAGGTTCAGTTATCTTACTGCGGTTATCATGGACGGTAGAGGGTTCTTGAGCAACTGTGACATCGCTGACTGTTGTAATCTGAGCAGACGCCACATTAGGAGTCTCAATAGAAGTGGTGGTTGTTGTTGTCTGAGCAGACTCCGTAATAGGAGTCTCAATAGTTTCATTAACTAGAACGATTGTAGGAGCTTTTTGAGCAGACATATTCTCAAGTATTGAGACTGTAGCAAGGGAACTAAGTTCATCGGAGCTTGGATCAATCGGGCTTGGTTCATTAACTGAATCTGGAATAACAAGTTCTGAAGGGGCAGTTGTCTCATAGGTTCCTGCTTGAACAGAAGGAGCCGTTTGTTGTGTAGAACACGGTACAGAAGTAGGAGCAACAAAACTAGCGACATTGTCTTCCTCTTGAGCAGATTTCAGACAACGTCTAATCTTATGTCCCAACTCCCCACATCTACTACATTTAGTAGGTAACCAAGCGTATTCTACATCCACCATAGATATAAACCCACTATCATCACTTGCAGCAATTCTAGGTGGGAAAGCTTTGCTCAACTCTACTTCTACCAAAATTTTGGCTTCACCTAGAAGAATGGGATCCAAACGAGGTTTGTAAGTTGCCATTGGTGCACCTAAACCAGAAGCAATGTGGCTAACTCCAGAGATTGAATACAAGATGTTGGGTATCTTTTTTAAGGTAACCCAAACAGGCATAGTCTTAATCTCAGGGATTTCTAAAGTCGCTTCTGGAGTCCATGAAGCAACAAACATCAAGCAGTCATCAACATGCCAAAGACCCCTTTGAAGAACCCAATTCCTAGTTTCTTTGTCAGGTATATGGAAAAGATAATTGCATTCACCCAACTTCCTAATAGTGATCTTGCAATTCCTCCCCCACAACTTATTGAAAACCGCAAAGATTAGACCACCTGGCGGAGGTAAACATCTATAGAACTGGCCTAAGATGTACTCCTTCTGGTTCTCTAAACCTTTTAACAGAACATGCTTAGGAATCATTACCTTAGGAGTGCCATCCTCTAAGTATTCTGGCTCTGTTGCTCTATACAGATTTCGAGATGATGGATTCATCTTTGCCGCCCAGGGAAAACGAAGATTGTCTTCCTTTCCAACTGAATTCTGAGGAGCCTGCGTGACATCCTTAAAGGATTTACGTGAAGCTGCTACATTTCCCTTTTTCTTCAAGCTATGAACTGTCAAGGCTGGCCAGGCTTCTGGTGAAGAGATAACAGAATCTACTTCTCCGCCAACACAGATAGTATCATCCATCAATGATGAGTTTGAGTTGATTTTAATAGGTTTAGCCCAAGCTCCTAAACGAGATTGATGATTGCCCAAGGGCTCTGGTTTGCGTACCAACGGTGCAGAGTTAGACACCTTTGATTTTCCATTCTTTCCACACTCTGAAGTAGAGTCTCTGTTACGCGGAGAGAGCACATCTATCTCTGTAGCATCAACCTCCACTTGACTAGTAGCAGCCTTAGTTGCCGGAGCAGTAGCCACCACTGACTTGTCTTCCTTGTTTGCTGAATGAGAAGGATTAGCCACAAAACCCTCAACCACAGAAGCAGAGACCGACGCAGAGGTAGATTTCTCTGTCCATCTGTTGAGATAAGGCCATCTAGGATCCGGAGAGGCATCAGACTTCACACCGGAGGTAGCTCCCTCGACGGTGTTGGATCCAAACAGATCAGCCGACAGTTACATAACTTATAATTTGAGCTTTTGATTCTTTTAATTTCATCAAACACTTATTCATTTTTAATTTCATCCCCTTTGTCATATTGTCATAGAACAAAGAAAAAAAACTATCATTCCCTAAATTTTTAACAGTTTTGGAATTGCAACACAAGAATATTTGACCCCACTGGCGAGTAGAAATATGGAACTATTGATCTTTATTCCGTCCTTGAAAAATTAATACTTATATCAAAAATCACAAGTCGAATTTTGAACACCAGAAGGATTGATATATTGATAATAGCTCAACACGAAAGAATTGAAACTCCAACTGCAATTCCGAGTATGGGAGAGTCCAGTCAATAATCAAGTTCTGGTTGCAGCATCGGGTAAATGGGATCAAGGTAAATAGTTTACTGTTCGGTCGGTTTCTATGTGGTGGAAAGGGATATGTTCCGTTCATTATTAAGCGAAAGACTCTAAAACCAGCGAAAATTCCACTATGTTAAGAGAGGGAGAATTAACAAAAATGGGAGACTAGCGGAAAATGTTCGGAACAGAAAACTGACAATAATACATACAAAAAGAAATCTATTAAGAAAAGAAAGATTCATTTAAAAAATATCTTACTAGTTACATACAATTACAAACTACACAAAATTGCCTTTTTCATAGGATTTACCCATCACATAGATGCACATAAGAACAAAACAATCTTCAACCTTTTTCCACTCAATCTAGAAACAAGATTTGACATTATTTCGCTTCAGTCTCCATTTTATTGAAACTATTCCTCAAGCAAGGCAGCCTATAAGCCATTAAAGGGTTTGTGTGAGTAAAGAAAATGGTAAGCATTACTCATTTGAACTTCTTCCCCACAATGATATAATCTCTTTTCAAGAAAATTAGGTGATAATACACGGTGAAGAAATAAGGAAATATTTCTATAGAGAAGTTTCAGTTTCAGCATTTTTTTTTCTTTTAGTTATTTATATAATTTTAATTATCTTGTTACAAATATGGCTTTGTGAAAACACTCGTTGATTTTATCACCAAATTTAAGACCCGGCCAAAATGAAATCTGAAAGCATTAAAGAAAATTGAGATAATAAGTATAAAATTTTATTTTTATAATTTCAAAATGATAAGAAGATATGATCACAATGTAACCCCCCAAAAAAAGTAGATAGGAACAAATTTCATTATTAGGATATCCGTTTTGTCACTTTTCGAGTAATCTTATTAACCAAATGTAGTTGTTACCAAACTGAGATATTAAACATTAAAAAACAAATCACAATATGTATATATATCACCCTAAGAAGCATGCATCAAATGAAACATTGACTCACCATACGATAAGATTATCATCAATTGGAAAGAAAAGTATATCAAGAAAATTTAAATGCCAGTTTGGTCTCATGATAAGTCCCGACTCTCATATCCCTTTTTTCCAATTCCGAGTAAGCAATTTATGTAATACTAACCAATAGTTTTGTTTCTCCACGTCAAATGAAGAAACAAAAAAAATAAAGATTCCATTTTTGCAGTGCACACTTCCACTCTCAGGTATATTTCCTTATAGGCCCTAATTATTTCACATATATCCACTTTTACCCTTCATCTTCGCTCAAATTAAATCAAACCACTCTCTTGAGTTTCAACGATAAATAAAGGAGAGAGAGAAAGTTCGAGATCGTCGTCGTCAATGGTGAATCAACAAAACCCAATTGGATAATAAAACAGCAAAAACCTCCACAAACTCCAAAAAATAAAAAAAAATCATCACCATGCCTTCCGAGTTAACTCAGGAAGAACGATCCGAGCTCGCGCAATCCATAGCCGAGTTCCACACTTACCAGCTAGGTCCAGGGACCTGCTCCTCCCTCCACGCGCAGCGAATCCACGCGCCGCCGGAGATCGTCTGGTCGGTCGTGCGGCGATTCGACAGGCCGCAGACCTACAAGCACTTCATCAAGAGCTGCTCGGTCGACGAAGGATTCGAAATGCGCGTCGGATGCACGCGCGACGTGATCGTGATCAGCGGATTGCCGGCGAACACGTCGACGGAGAGGCTCGACATCCTCGACGACGAGAGGCGAGTGACGGGGTTCAGCATCATCGGAGGCGAGCACAGGCTGGAGAACTACAAATCGGTGACGACGGTGCACAGGTTCGAGAAGGAGAAGCGGATCTGGACGGTGGTTCTCGAGTCGTACGTCGTGGATATGCCGGAAGGGAACTCGGAGGACGATACGCGCATGTTCGCCGATACAGTCGTGAAACTCAATCTGCAGAAACTCGCGACCGTCACCGAAGCCATGGCTCGTAACGCCGGCGACGGAAGCGGTTCTCAGGTGACATAAAAACGAGAAAGGAGAAAAAAAAAAGATTATATATATGCGAAAAAGAAAAAATTGAAAAATGACTTTTTTATTTGTTTTTTCTGTTTTACAAAAAAAATCCTTTTACGGAAATGTTTGTTATTTATGCTGCTTCATATAAAGATTCTCCTCTTTTGTCTGTTTTTAACCTCAAATAGTCATATTTACCTTTTGCCTATGTTTGAAAATGACGAAAACGTCCTTACGTACAAGGTTAGTTTGGGCATTTAATATTGTGGATAACCATGAAACCTTCCTTTTTGGTAGGTATATTCCGTGAGATTGGTCAACATTTTCGCCTACGCAACAAACTCTCATAAAAACCTTACTATAAAAGTAAAGATTTTTTCGTAAAAATAAATCGAGAAAAACATTTATTATATCGTGATGATATAGGTTTTACTTTTCTCTTTTTCGTTGAAAAGTATCGGGATGAGATTTTTTTCACGTGTTATTTGTTGTTATTCTAGAATAGTATGGTCATTTTTCCTAATTTGTAAGTAAATCGACTCTACAAGGTTGATTGATTTAAGTCGTGGAAGATTTTTGTTTAAAAAATTGTGACTGTAGACATTTTGGCAGTCAGAATAGTGACGGATTTTTTGTTTTTGTTAACAATTTATATTTAATTATATAACGTTTTAAAATAAATGGGTTGTTTTATAAAGATTTTTAAATCTCCACCAATCAGCTTCCCAATATTTCAGAGAAAAACAGACAGATATCTGTTGTTAGATTTTAGTGTGCGGTCCATCTGAAATTGTTGTCTTTTTCATAAATATTGCAATTTTAGTCAATTTCTTACAAGTCTTGAATAATTTTTACTGCAAAATCGGATTTCGACATCCACATAACTGTTTGCAATAAACACAAATTTTCCTATTTACAAGCATATCGTAGTAATACTACGGTAAAACTGTGACATTTTTCTATGGTTTTCTAAAATTATGAACAAATCTTTTTACCCAAGGTGTAAAAAAGATATAAAAGTGCGTGCCGTTTACATGCGTAGCAGAGCTCAGAATCGGCTCACCTTTACAGTAGAGTCAGGCTAGTGAGTGTCCCCACTTGAACAGAGATCTCATCAATTTTTTTCAAAACAAAACAATTTCTTATAGAAATTATCATAGAATTTGATGTGGGCGATCCATTACAGTTTTTATACCACATATATAATATAGTTTATAGTTTTCTTATAATATACATTCTCGAAGTTAACTGAATCGTGACAGAGTAAAGGGCCACTTTTGTTGTACTATTTTTTTTTCTTCTATTTGCATACTTAAAAAAACAAATATCTTCTAATTATGGCAAAGGTGATCCTGCTGTGCAACAAGTTGCCAAGTTGGCTGTTTTCGCAAGTTGCCAACTTGGTTATTAAACGCCGACAAAAGAAAATATTTATATTGCGCAGAAAGTGGAGATGAAAGAGAGAGAGAAGGAAGAAGAAGAATAAAGAAAAAATAAAACTGACTTGTACTTTGAAGTTGATAAACGGTGAGCCAATTAGAAGATCGATATTTTTGAGCACCTCACCTACTTTAATGATTAACATCGTTAACGTCAAATCTTTCTTTCGTTTTCATTTTTTTTTAAGTTTAAGACGAGATCTAAATCTGAAAATATTAGTATCAAATTACACCTTTGGAATAGTAATATGGTTGTTGGCAAACATTATTCCTCATGCCATAGTGAAGAAGACTATCTCTGGTTCATGGTGTCTCAACGGCAAACCACCTTGGTTCCTTCTTTTTTTGTAGATAGAAATGTCAATAAATAAAGCATATATAATTAAGAAAATAGGAATTCTGATGGTAATGACTTCGAGGATCGAAGCTAAACTTGACCTACCCGACGTCTCCTTCCTTAAAGAAAGTAGATGTGAAGATAAATTATATTCTAGCTGAAGTGAGATGGTCCTTCTTGTTTAAGGACACAGTTATATGAAAATAAGCAAGATTCATAGAATCATTCTAGTACTTTTAACTTAGTGTTGTGTGATCTTACAATGGAACCTGATTTTCTACAAAATCACACATGTACACTTAACTCCCAAAACCAGTTGCATAACGCTGTTGTGTAAATGTAGAATGATTTTTCATCCCTATATATACATACCTATACCCACAAGTTTACAAACATTTCAAGCTTTCATCGTCATATAAACACATGGAAATAGCTAGGAGAGAAAAAAATGAGCCAACTCATATTATACTAATGAAGATTATGTTCACCAGAATCTTGTATCTGGCTTTCCATTTTTCGTACTTTTTTAACAACTCCCAAGTTGTTCACCAGAAGCTTGTATCTGGAAAGTTTAACATAGAGAGGAAATGACAAAGAGTAAAAGAATTGTGAAAGATTTGCTTAAGAAAACATGCATGACCTAACCAAGTTGCCATCTGTTTTGGTAGAGCCTTAAAGTGTGACTCTTAATTATCATTTGATTTGCAACGCTGCTAATTAAATTTGGTTCATTAGTGGTCATTTAATAAACACATGCTAATTAAATTTATGTCGTTAGGGTCTCAATTGATGTGTTGACTGAAAACGTTAGAAGCACAAAAGGAGCAGCAGTGATACTAACCTGTGTAGCATGAGGTATAGTATGAGTCATGGAATGAGGAACTAATTGTATATTGATTTTTGGGAGAAGAAGTAGTAGAAGAAAAGTGTCATGTTCTTGAGGTTCTGAATATTATACTTTATCAATTGGCAACGCAGGAAATCATGATAATCTCCACTTATATACATCTGCGCTGTCAACCAATTATGCTATTGACATCAACTTCTCTCGGTTGGAAACTTAGGAGAATTGTATATTTGATATATATGTGAATGAAAATCCAAATGTTTTATTAGAGAATTGTATAAATGAAACTGAGAGAAATGTATTATTAGAGAATTGATTTGACAACTAATGCAACATAACATATTTACATGAATATGTCATGTCACAATAGCTGAAATAATCAGAAAACAAAAAAGAAACACAGACAGAAAATAAAAAGAAAAACAAACTGTAGAAATGATGACGACTGTTAACTCCCGACCAATTCTTGTAGATGGCTAGGTTGCCGTAGCAACGTTACCTTCTTCTTCAGGTGTTTGGTGGTCATGGTGTTGTTGGTGGTGGTGGTGGTGTCTCTTGCCGAAGACCATCGTTGGTGGTCATGGTGATGGTGTTGTTGCTGCTGCTTCCTTCCCCTCCCACTCCAAGCTCGCGGTTCATGGGATCAAAAGGATCTTCCCTTGGTTGACTCACATTCGTTATTGGATCATTGCTCATGCCATACTGATTCTGAAATGGCTGACAGACTTGCCCAACCAAACCAAGGGTAGGTGGATGCACCGGCTTTAGTGTGAGGTTTCCATTGGTACTGCTTCCTACGTATGGAATTGTGTTGTAAGGTACCATTTCCCTCCAAATTGGCTGCTGGATTTGAGGGCTTAGCACAAGCGGTTCGATAAATGGAATCCACTTATCAACCAGATAACAAGTTTGAGTATTTCTCAAAATTGTATCACCGATGCTCAATCTTCCGCCTCCTACGAGGAACGCATCATTGGTGGTGGTCCTGACCGGTGGACTCACCGGTGGATCACGACGAGTAGGACACTGACGTTTCCTCTTGACAGCCACCATCTGCTTCCTTCCCCTCTTTCTCCTCAACATTATTTTCATAAGATTCATTTTTTTACTTCCCATGACCACTCTGGTTTTTTATCTCTCTTTTTTGAGGTTTTTATTTCTTTTGTTAGGTGTGTGAGGAAAAGGTATTGCACCCCTAATCTATTTAAAGAGGGATGAGCAGAGAGATAATAAGGTATATAATTTTTTCCACCAAAAACAAATAAGGTATATAATTTTAAAAGATATATGTGGAAATAAATAACGCGCCAACATTTGAATTTGACTAACTAACAGAAGTAATGAACTCGCCAAAATTTGAATATGACTAACTAATACTATAAATTAATGTTAGTTAGTCAATTTCAAATTGTGGTGCATTCATTATTTATGTTAGTTATATTGACTTTGAATATACAAAAAAAAAATTATTATCTAAAATATAAATGAATCTGTTTTTGTTTTTGTTTTTTTTTTTTTTTTTTTTTAAACATTATAGTGTTGATAAAATAATGTAAGTACATGTCTAATAACTAAAATGGGATATAAAACTAATAATATTGCTCCATAAATAATATAGTGAGTATTTAACAAAAAAATAATGAGTAACTATTTCAATTTCAACATGGACGAAAATACTATTTTGTTAGAGACATCATATTGTCTTTCTTAATATTATGTTCTATTTTAGGCTTAGTAAAATATATGGAATCAAAGGATCTGAAATAAACCAAATTAGATGAAACCTAACCAATACCCCTAATATCTAAAAACATTAGATATTATAGACTTAAAATTACCAAAATTTGAATTTGACTAACTAACAGAAGTAATGAATTTGCCAAAATTTGAATTTGACTAACTGATAATATAAATTAATGTTAGTTAGTCAATTTCAAAGTTTGGTGCATTCATTATTTATGTTAGTTATATTGACTTTGAATATATAAATTTTAATTTACTACCTAAAATATAAATTAATCTTGTTTTTCTTATTTTAAAATTCTAACATTACACTAGTGTTTATAAAATAATGTAAGTACACTAAATGTCGATCTTATAACTAAAATGGGATATAAAACTGAAAATATTGCTCCATAAATAATATAGAGAGTAACTATTTCAAAGAATCGTTTAGCTAGTAGTTTTAATTAAGTGTTGTGTGATCTTACATTGGAACATGTTTGTCTACAAAATCACACAGTTACCTCCCAAACCCAGTTGCATAACAGCTTGGTGTAAAATGTAGAATGGTTTTCATCCCTATACATTTCTATACCCACAAGGCTACAAACATTTCAAGCTTTCATCGTCATATATAAACACATGGAAATAGGAGAGAAAAAAAATGAGCCAACTCATATTATACTAATGAAGATTATGTTCACCAGAATCTTGTATCTGGCTTTCCATTTTTCGTACTTTTTTAACAACTCCCAAGTTGTTCACCAGAAGCTTGTATCTGGAAAGTTAAACATAGAGAGGAAATGACAAACAGTAAAAGAATTGTGAAAGATTTGCTTAAGAAAACATGCATGACCTAACCAAGTTGCCATCTCTTTTGGTAGAACCTTAAAGTGTGGCTCATAATTATCATTTGATTTGCAACGCTGCTAACTAAATTTGGTTCATAAGTGGTCATTTAATAAATACATGCTAATTAAATTTGTCATTAGGGTCTCGATTGATGCTTTGACTGAAAACCTTGGAAGCACCAAAGGAGCAGCAATGATACTAACCTAGCATGAGGTCATGGAATGAGGAACAAATTTGTATTTTGAAATTTGGGAGAAGAAGTGTAGAGGGACATGTCAGAACCTAGCTAGAAGAGCATATGTCGAAGAAAAGTGTCATGGTCTTGAGGTTCTGACTATATATCACACAACTCCTAAGAACAAACATTATCAATTGGCAACGCAGGAAATCATGATAATCTCCACTTATATACATCTGCGCTGTCAACCAATTATGCTATTTTGCGAAAAGGTGTGTCTGAACCACAGGCTATTGACATCAACTTCTTTCGGTTGGAAAATTAGGAGAATTGTATATTTGATATATATGTGAATGAAAATCCAAATGTTTTATTAGAGAATTGTATAAATGCAACTGAGATAAATTTATTATTATAGAATTGATTTGACCACTAATGCACCGTAACATAATTACATGAATATGTCATGTCACAATAGCTGAAATAATAAAAAAAAAAACAAAAACAAAAACACAAACACAGGCATAAAACAAAAATAAAAACAAACTGTAGATATAATGATGACTGTTAATTCCTCGCCAATTAACGTTACCTTCTTCTTCAGGTGTTGGTGGTCATGGTGTTGTTGGTGGTGGTGGTGGTGTCTCTTGACGAAGACCATCACTGGTGGTCATGGTGTTGTTGCTGCTGCTTCCTTCCCCTCTCACTCCAAGCTCGCGGTTCATGAGATCAAAAGGGTCTTCCCTTGGTTGACTCACATCTGTTATTGGATCACTGCTCATGCCATGCTGATTCTGCAATGGCTGAGAGAGTGGCCCAACCAAACCACAGGTAGGTGGACGCACCGGCTCCAGAGTGAGGTTTCCATTGCTACTGCTTCCTACGTATGGAAAATAATTTCCTTTGTACGAAAGAAAACTTATAGTGCACGGAATTGTGTTGTTAGATACCATTTCCCTCCAAATTGGCTGCTGGATCTGAGGGCTTGGCTCTAGCGGTTCGACAAATGGAACCCATATATCAAACAGGTAATAAGTTCTTTCATCTTCACGGCCACCTCCTACGACGAACGCATCACTGGTGGTGGTCCTGACCTCCTTGGATTGCACGTGAACTGGACTCACCGGTGGATCACCAAGAGGAGGACATTCCATGATATCGAGTCTCCTCTTCAAAGCCACCATCTTTCTCATCAAAATTATTGTCCTTAGTTTTGAACTCGCCAAAAAGTTCATCTTTTTTCTTCCCATGACCACTCTCTAATTTTTTATCTCTCTCTTTTTTCTTTTTTTTTTTTTTTTGTTGTTGTTGTTGTTGTTGTGAAGTGTGTGAGGAAAATGTATTGCACCCCTAATCTATTTAAATATGGTTGAGAAGAGAGATAATAAGGTATATAACTTAAAAAGATATATGTAAAAATAAATAATGCACCAAAATTTGAATTTGACTAACTAACAAAAGTAATGAACTCACCAAAATTTGAATTTGACTAACTGATAATACAAATCAATATTATTTAGTCAATTATTTTTTTTGGTGCATTTATTTCTGTTAGTTGTATTGACTTTGAATAAAAAAAATCAATTTATTACCTAAAATAGAAATTACTCTTTTTTTTTCTTTTTTTTTTCAAATTCTAACAATACAGTATTGATAAAATAATGGAAGTATTTGTCTTATAACTAAAATGGGATATAAAACTAAGAATATTGCTCCATAAATAATATAGTGAGCAATCATTTCCTTTTTAACATGGACGAAAATACTCTTTTAGAGACATCATATTTTCTTTCTTACTATTACTCTCTGTTTTAGGCTTAGAAAAAATATATGGAATCAAAATATCTGAAGTGAACCAAATTAGATGAAACCTAACCGATACCCATAATATCCAAAAAAATTAGATATAATAGACTTAAAATAACCAAAATATCTCTAATTACAATTATAAATCAAATAATTTAGTTATCTTTATAAAACAACAACCAACATATTTGAAGACTTTCAAAAATATCTAGTTATAATATTTAATATATATAAAAAACTTAACTCGATTTCTTTAATTATTTTTTATTTTTAAATTTTATAGTTAAGTTTGAATACCCGAAACTCATTTAAAACAGGGTGGAACCAAACGGGATCTGACCCAAATATAAAAATACTGAATGGAAAGTAACCGACTCGAACCTGACCTGAAAACCTGACCTGAAAACCTAGTACCGAGCTTATTTTGCTTTGTCCAAAATAAATAAAAAGTTACTAGACCAAAAAAACATGAATTTATGAAATATAATACAGTTCCTGCCGCAGCAATTTAGAAAAGAACACGGCTTAGGTTTATATGAGTTACATATACAGTAGAAACTCTATAAATTAATAAAGTTGGGACTTTGATATTTTATTAATTTATAGAGTTATTAAATTATCAATATTGAATAAACTAATTTTTATTAAAAATAATAATTAAAATAAATATTAAATTAAATAAAAATAAGAAAAATTTAAAAGTTTTTATATTTTGTATAAGTTCATTCTAAAATAAGAGATGAATTCTAAATATACTTGAGTTTTAATAGAAAAGAAGTGAAAATTATACTTATATTTTAGTATACTATCATAGATATGTATTACCATAAAATTATTTATGATATTAATGGGACCATATATTTACATATGAGTTTCAAAAATATTATTATCTTATTATTTTATCGAATTTTGCTAATTTTTAATACTGGCCCAACTTGGGATGGGAGAAAATTATTATTTAATAGAGTTTATTAATTTATCAAGTATCAATTTATAGAGTTTCTACTGTATATATAATCTACCGTACTACTTTTATGTTCTTTGATTAATTTTAACTTAAGTTTGATAAAGCTATATGAGTTCTTATTGGAACATACTAATGTAACTCTTTCTATACCACAAGAGACATCAATTATATTTCTTTATATTGTCAGATGGATTCAAACTTTTCAGTATAGTTTTGAAAGTTAGACATTATTTCGCCAGAGCAATTAAATGATAAGAAATAAATAAACAAAACATTACAATATATAAGCATAATATAAATGAATATAAGAAACAAATTAACTATTGGTTCAAGTTTTAGACTTCAAAACAAAATAGATGATAATTGGTTACCATGAATAAAAATAGATGATGATAATCAATTTTTTATATGAAGTTACCAAAAGATAGATGATTATTAATTACCTTGAAATTGCAGAAAAGTTTTGTTTAATAATACGATGGATTAAGTTTCTACAATGTAAAACACTAGAACTTTAATCATCAACAAATAAAAGAACGCTAAATAACAACAATAAGAAAATCTGAAGAAGAATTGTCTCATTTTATCAATAGATTTTTCATATTAAAATTACATTTGACGACGAATTACAAAGTTAATGCTTTAAAAAGAAAAGAAAATGAAAACTCATTTGAAAGCTTAAAAAAAAAGAAAATGAAAACACATATGAAAGAGAGGGCTTTGTATCCACGCGAGGTCTCCTTGCACATTGTTCTTCTTCGTCGAGATACTGTTGTCCTTAAAAAGGATCCTGAGACACCCTCATTCATTATCTAGCTTAAAAGTTACTAGAAGAGGATGAACCACAATACGGCAACTAGATTCACCTCAATGTTAGGGTCCACATTCAAATCGAACGTAGGATCCAAATTGAGGTCTAAGCTAGGGTCCAGAACAAGGATAGGTTCCATGTTAAAGCCAAGCTCCATGTTGAGATCTAAGTTAGGATCAAGGTTCAGGTCAAGGCTAGGCTCCATGTTGAGATCTAAGTTAGGAACGCGGTTCAGGTCAAAGTCAAGCTCCATGTTAGGATCGCGGTTCAGGTCAAAGCCAAGTTCCATGTTAGGATCCACGTTCAAATCTAGATCAACGTTACCATAGAGACGTGGTGCTTTGAATGAGCGAGGCTGTCCTTGAGATGATGTTCTTTGACTGCTCTCTGCTTTCTCTCTCTGCAAGAAGAAACAAATGAATACATATAGCAATCTTTGTTTTTTGGGGATTGTCAAAACATTAATTCCTTAACTCTTGTCTCATAAACAATGAATGATGTGTTTTATGGATTACCTCAAAATAGTCGATGAAAGGTACTGTTTTCCTTTTTCTAGAGCCAGCTTCTTCAATTTCTTTTCCGTCTCCAACTCCATTTTTCTTCTCAGTGCAGTCATAGCAATCCCTTTCCTCGGGAACCTCTTCAAGTTTTACCTTCATGCAAGCAATATGTCGCACAATCCCAAATCCGTGGATGTCTCTATAAGCAAAAAAAAAACAAAAAAAAAAGTTGATGAATCTCAAGGACCATTAACAATGAATCACAATTCAAAACCCAATTCATCAAAACGTCTAACTAAACTGAATCAAAGCATTGGAATTTTTTCAATCGGATTATTTTAACAATCCAATAAAAAAACAACCATAGATTTAATTAAATTATTGGTTAAAATCATATTATACTGTGAAATGACTCTTGAAGATTATTGTTAACTACAGTACGCAAAAACCTTAGAAAAACAATAATATCCAAATTTCTCGTAATAAACTGTAAATACTAAACATTTTAGAAGAGTCTTTTAAGGTCTCAAACGAGAACAATAAAAACAGAAGCCATAATTTCTGAAAAGCATAGACAAAAAGGGAGATCTTTTATTTTATTTTATTTATCTTGAGAGAATACTTACAAAAAAAAGAAGATTAAACTCAGAGGTGTGGAGCAAAGAGGAAGAAGACGAACTAAATTTATAGCCATGGAGTCGGGCTCCAACTTCAACTCCTTACCTTATTTTGATCTTAGTTTTCTTAATTTTCCAGGTTTAAAATTTAATTAACTGCCTTACTTAGTTTCACTTCTCAATTTTGGGAAGTATATTTAGTTGTATTTACTTCTTCTTTTTATCTTTTAATATTTCACCTTTAAATTTATTTAACAGGTTTTACAGGATGCTTACTTGTTAAATATTAAAGATTTTTTTTTTATGGCTAGTTCTTTAATAGTTGACTATATATGGTTGTTTTTCGGAAGAAAAATAAATACTATGTTATTATCGTTAATGAGTTTGATACAGATTAAACTTTGAATAATTATTTTTTATATAATTTAGCCAAATCTTGTAGCTCCTACTCTAATATCGTAGGTAAATCCCCAAGAAGCCTTGACCCATCCTACAAGATTTGAAGCCGTCAAAGACTATAAGCTGCGTAAACTAGTTTTGGTTCGCAGTTGGTCTAGTCCAATTTATCCCAGATAATAATTTTCTGTTAAAGGCTTCGGTAAAATATAACAAAATTACTCCTCTGTTACACACACACCTTATTCTTTCTATCTTTCTGTTTTCTGTTTTCTTGGAGACTATTTTTCTCCACCCTTTTATCTTATTTCCTATCACTTCACAAAATTTGACTCAAACTTGTAAAACTGATTTTGTATATGTTATGATTTAAAATTTTCAAAACAAACTTAAATTATTTGAGAGAATACGTGTTATTAAGTGAAAATGCATATAGAACATTTATACTACATAAATTCTAGAATATCTTAATTTGTTAGAGACCAAAATATAATATTTCCTGCTATCAGTTTTAGGTTTAGCGTTTACTATTTGCGTTTGTAGTAAAATAAATCCGTTACCCAATTATTTTATATTGGTGATGCCACGTCAATTATTATTCTTATAGGGAAATATAATTCAATAAAGACATGATATTTTAATTTAAAGGAAATTAGGGTTTAACACGAATTGATAAGCATAAGAATAAAATAGAAAGAAGAAAGATTAAAAACCCTAGAGAACAGATCCTGTTCAAGTAAGGTCGCCTGCTTGTGTTGATCAAATCGAAATTTGACTCATGGACCAATCGCTTTCTGAGTTTGGCAGGACGTCTCTCATTGATTTCTTCTGTCATCTCGGGCATTCTTAGTTTCTGGAAAAATGCCTTTATTTTGCCAAAGAAGGTTATCAAAAAGATAGAGAGTCTTTCTAGCTCGTTCTTGTGACATGGCAAAACAGGAATATCTGCTGGTGCTAAAGTTGCTTGGAGATCTTTAGCTTACCCTAAGTCTGAAGGTGGATTAGGTCTCCGTGACATTGAATCATGGAACAACGCTTGTGCTCTGAAATTGTTTTGGATGTTGTTTTTCCGTGCTGGATCCATCTGGGTTGCTTGGATCAGAAACATGTACCTTTCTACATCTCCTCTTTGGGCTTTGAATGAAGAAAATGGCTCTTTGTCGTGGATGTTTAGAAAGGTTCTGAAGCTTAGGCGTAAAGCTCTTCAGTTTCTGAGCATAAAATTTGGAAATGGCGACTCAACTTTCTTTTGGTGGGATCCCTGGACTCCCTTTGGGCCGCTTTCACTGTATTTGGGTGAAGAAGGTCCTTCTTGCCTTGGTATCCCTATTTCTGCAACCGTTTCAGATGTATGGAGTGGAAATGGATGGCTCTTACCTCCGGCTAGATCTAATCGTCAGGTTCTACTTCATGCTTACTTAATGGGTATCAGCTGCAATTCTAGCATCGACATGCCTATTTGGTCAGTCAATGGTATCCCAAGGAAATCATTTTCTTTAAAGGATGTTTGGAATGGGATCCGTGACTGCAAATCTGAAGTGTTTTGGGCACCTCTGCTTTGGCACAGAGCTGGACTTGGTCGACATCAGATAACTACTTGGCTCTTTCTTCTCAACAGAAATCCAACTCTAGATCGCATCTCTTCTTGGGGCTATGAAACGGAAGGGGTCTGTTTGCTGTGTGGTTCTGCTTTGGAATCACGTGATCATTTGTTCTTCGAGTGTTCTTATTCTGCTTCAATTTGGCGTAAGCTTATGGGTCATTTGAGTTTCAGTAACATCCCAATCCATTGGAATCAAATTCTGCACTGGTTCCAAGTAGTAGCTTCAGATGAACCAACTAAGCTTGCTCTGCTCAGGGGTGGCAAGGAGCAGTGTATGAAATTTGGAAAGAGCGTAATAGACGCTTGCATGATGGGATTACTCTTCCCTTTGAAATGGTCTTCAGGATTATCCTTCGAGATGTGAAGGATAAGTGTCGTGCCCTTTCTCAGCTGGGGTCCTCTTTTGGGGACTTAGTTCTCCATCGTTGGTCTCACTTGATTGGTGTTGGTTGATGATCTGTGTTTGTTGATCTCTTAGTTTGATTAGTAAAGTCTTTTTGTATCTTTGGCTGTAAGGTTTATATTTGCTACTCTTGTAGCCTTTTCTAATATATGCAATGAAAACCCTTTAACAAAAAAACCCTAGAGAACCGATTCCATATATTAGAAAAACTATAAACAAAACCCTCATACATGACTTTTTGAATATACATGTGGTATTTCATTCTAATTAGAGTTAATCAGGTAACAGGTAAAATAATACATCGTAATTAGTAAATCGGTAAAGTTAAAAATTCCTACACATTGACCATACATACAATTGTATATATTTACCAAAAACTTCCTCTCTCACACACATGTTGGCTTTATTGGTTGTAACGGGGGAAAAAAAAAGTTATTAGTTTTTCATTCAAACATTGCTTCTGGTGACATAAGTTATAGGGTGTCCCTCTTTAGTTATCGAGAACCATGTGTTACATCCGTTCTATAACTGGCATTAAATGCTTGGATTGTTTCAAGATTTTTACAATGCTAACATTTGTAGTTGCATATCGTTGTATGTATTGGTTACATATTTTTGTAAGAGGTTTACAATTAATATTGCGAATATAAACACATAATTAAAATTATGTCTAAGCTTTTAGAGATCATAAGTAGCGCTTAAAATTGTATCTAATAGGTAATCTAACTATTAGATACAGTAGATAACTTTGAAGTTATTTAAAGAAGAAAAGATGGATCATAGATGATGGAGAAACGTAATGCTAAATGAGTAGATTAAATACAATTCTAATATTTTTCGATAATTATCTTTTCAGATATGACAAAAAAAGTCAACCACTAAAAGAAGAAGAAAGACATGTTGATAAAGCATGCATATATAATTAAGAAAATACGAATTCCGATGGCCTTCTGTCTCAACGTCTGCGTCCTTAAGCAAGGAGATGTGAAGAGAAATTACATATTATAGCTGAAGTGATATAGTGCTTCTTGTTTAAAGACTATATGAAGCTAAGGACAGTGATTCAAAGAATCATTTTTGTACTTTTTAAGTGTTGTGTGATATTACATTGAATCCTGTTTTTCTACAAGATCATACACTTTCCTCCTTCCCACAACAAGTTGCATAACGGTTTGGTGTGAATGTAGAATGATTTTCATTCATGTTCCCTCAAGTTTCAAAACATTTCAAGTTTCATCGGTAGAAGAAAAAAAAGAGCAAACTTGTTGTAAACTAATTAATTAATGAAATAAAAGAGAAGTGGGATCCACCTGGAGCAGGTGAGAGACGAGAGAGGGAGAGTTTAGAGAGAAAAGAGTTGTTTCTCTTACTATTGTTGTACTTCACTTAACAAGAGGTAACTCTCTTTATATATAGAGTGAAGTTGGTCACCATCAAGACGGTGAAACGTAGAAATGATATACCTCTATTTTACATGCTTTTTATACGATTTTACTATGATTTTCTAGTGGATTCTTGTCTTAAAAAGTAACTTTTATGGATTTATACTACAAATAATCATTTTAGGTCAAAAGGTGCATTATGGAGCAAAACAGAGGATTTGGACTTCAAACCAGTCCACTGTCACAACATCTACTTTGGGAGGAGCTAAAAACATATACTCAATGGATTTCATCAAGACCATTTCCCCGCGTACTCTGAGTGAGTTAACTTTCCAACGCAAGTGGATTGGCATCATTTGGATGAGTAGAAAAGGAATTATGATCAAAATAGCAAAGATTGGTCCAGGCGGCTCTATCAAGAAGCCGCGGCCGAACCGAGCAGAACGGCCGGCCGAGGAACATCCGTCCCGCGGTCGGCCAACATCCGAACGCTCATCCGTCCCGCCTGAACAACGGCCGAGCCCACGTACCGATCCGGGAAGCATCGTCCCGCGGTCGGCCAAACCAGAATCACGCAGCCGAAACCGCGCACGATCGTACCAAGCGAACCGGGAAGCAACGCCTCGCGGCCGTGCGGCACAACTCACGTACCGCGACCGATCACACCGTCTGACCAAGAAGACCTCGTCCCACGTCCGGCCGAATCCTTCGACCAATAGCATCCGTCCGGCCGAACCCGACGAATGAACGCAAAAACTATCGGCCACGATCGACCCGACCGTGCCGATAACCGACCACGACCCGATAGCTGGCCGAACGTCCCGACCGACCGTCCGAACGGTCCGGTCGACCCGAAATTTAGTTTACGGATTTTACATCTCTCTCTCTCTTTCATGTAAAGCTCTAATACCATGTTAATGTTTTGTGTTTGATAATGTTTACGAAATGAAAGAAAAACAGAGTATATGTTGTAATCAGGCCCGACCCTTGGCATGTGCCTAAGGTGCAAAATGCAAAGGGACCAAATTGTTTTGCGAAAAATTTAGGTTAGATTTTAAGGTATTTTTGAAAAATACAGGGTCCTCTTTGCAAAATTAAATTGTTATTTCTTGTAAAATCAAATTGTTGCATTGGGCCTTTAAAATTGTTGGGCCAGGGCTGGTTGTAATCGAAACTTATATTAATAACTTGAATGTATTACAATTTTTTGTGATGTAAGAAACATAAACTTGATCACATATTTATACAAATGAAAAGATGTGTGTAATAAATAAAAGACATGATTCTTAATCTAAAAGACACAACTCTTGAATAAGACAACTTGTGTATCTTGATTAAGTAACTAATTAATGTTAATGTGACCTTGGTTTATGTGAGTATGATTATACCTCAAAAATTAGAGGCCGTTTATTAAAAATATGTCTAAAGTTAATGTGTTGACTGAAATCCTTGGAAGCACCAAAGTAGTAACTTTAGCATGAAATATACTGTGACCGATGGACACAAAGTGAGGAACATATTGCATACTGATTTTTTGGGAGAAGCAGTGTAGAACCTATCAGATGATGTATGTTCGTCATAGGAGGCGGCCGTGAAGATGAAAGAACTCCGAGGAAAGTTCAGCATTAGTGATACAATTTTAAAGAATGCTCAACCTTATTAATTGTTATTGATTCTAACCCTTGCCAAGTGATAAAGATGAAATGTGTTGAAATGATGTTTGTTCTTTAGAGTTGTGATATACAGTCGGAACCTAGCTAGAAGAGCATATGTCGAAGAAAAGTGTCATGTTCTCGTAGGAAGGTTATTACTTCTGTTAGTTAATTAATTTCAAAATTTGACGCGTTATTTATTTTTATTAGTTAGTCAGATTTAAATTTTACATGTGTTATTTATTCCAACACTTTCCATTTATGCATGATATGTGGACACTTCTATGATTGACATGTAACATGACTTTTCACTTTCCTTTCAATTTATAATTTTAAATCTTATTTATTTGCTAAACATTTCCATTTATTATAATTAAAACCACTTTACTACTTTAAAACTATTATGGATGGATATTCACTAAAACGGGTCGGTATACGGTTAAATCGGGGTATAGTATGTTATACAAGAGTTAAAAGAAGATGAGACACTCCCAGTCTTTGGACCAGATACACGGAAATTGCAAGTGCAGTCATGGAAAGTAAAATGCACAACAAAACTATAGCATTTTCTCTGGCAAATCATTACTGGATGTTTGTCAGTTGGTGCACGTCTATCCAGTCGATGAATGCGAGTGGATCTACAATGTGTGAGATGTGGGATGGGCGACGAGACCATAAATCATATGCTCTTTGAATGTCAACCAGCCCGACAGGCCTGGGCGTTTTCCCCAATCCCTACACCTCCCTTAAGGTTTCCTACAGAATCTCTTTTTTCAAATATGGCACATTTATTCTGAAATCTCCCAGATAATAAGATCATGTTAATCTTTCCATGGTTACTCTCGTTTATTTGGAAAGCTCGAAATTATAAGGCGTTTTCAAATGATGATCAGGATCCGAGGGATGTTCTCGAATCGGCAATAACTGAGGCACGTGCATGAGCAACTACCCAAACGGTTGACACTAGAGAACATTGGTGTCCGGTCTCACATACGAAATCCGATTTGGTGGGTAAATGGTGCCAGTTAGATGGGGCGTGGAAGGAAACAGAATGTCGGGCGGGACTTGGTTGGTTCAATTGTGACCCAGATTCGGGTTCAGTTTTAGTCGGCGCTTGTAATCTAAGACGGGGGTTATCACCTTTACAGACAGAGCTGGAAGCTTTAGTTTGGGTTATGCAGGCATGTTAGTCCATAATAAACGGCGGATGAACTTTCAAAATGATTGCGCAGATTTGGTGAAGATGGTGTCCAGACCCAGAGAGAGGCCGTCATTCGAGATTATACTTGAAGAGGTTGAGAAGTGCAAAAAGAAGTTTCAAGCGTTCTCCTTAACCCATATCCCAAGGACGAAAAACAAAAAGGCGGACAAGCTAGCACGGAGTGCTGGAGCTCAGACTTATAATGTGTATTATATAAACTCAGTTCCACCGGTCTCGCTTCCCAAACCGTTTTAGGAACTTAGGCTGTTGTCAAAAAAAAAAAAAGAAAAAAAAAACTATTATGCTTCAGCTTCCATTTTAAATCACTATTAAACATAATCTTATATATAATGAGAGGATATCACTCTCCAGTTGAGTGACACCTGTCAAATATCCTCTTTCCAAAAAAAATGGCCACCTCTATATTAATTTTAAAAAAAACAAATTGTTTCTGAGTCCTTATACAATTACTATTTTGCAAAAAAACCCAGCATTTATTAACGCGACTCCTAGCCCTAAACCCGAAACGGCGAGACGCCGCCTTACTGAGTCAAACCTCCGTCACGTCGCAATCCCAGAGAACGCGCCAACGCCGACTTAGATCTCAGTAGCCTCGCGACCGCAGCTAACGATGAGGACGAACGAATCTGGTTCTCCGCCGTCCCAAAAGCTCTCCCCGACAAAACATCGGTGCTCCGTCGCCGCCAACCTCCACCGGCAGTAGATCGCTTACGGGTAGCACCTCACACCGTTTAATATCCTGAATCTCCAGTCTCCCGCGCCCTGCAGGCTCCCTTCGATGAGACAAACGAAGCTGGATTCCGGTTCGCCCCCTTTCCGAAACCTGTCTCCGACTAACCACCGGTGCTCCGTCACCACATCCTCCGCCGACAGTAGATTTCTTACGGGCATCAACTCAGATACCTGATTGAGATTAATAACTTTTACTGATTGTTTCTTCGTCTTCTTCGATTGTGTTTCTTTTCTTAACCAAACGGCAAACCTCTTCCACTTCCCATTCTCAATCACATTAACCAAACGAATTAAATTGTGACCTTTTCAACTCCTTTTCCATTTCTTCTCTCTTATTTATAAATCTTATTATAAGCTTCTGAGAAAGCATTTTTTTATCGAAGCTTGCCATGAATCCTGTTCCACCGTTGACGTTCCCGATCCTCCAGTACCATCCGGATTTTCATTTAGGATTCTGCAAATCAAATCTTTGTTTCCTCTCTTTGGTGGTTTTCTGCGACCTAAATTCTCTAATCTTAGAATCCCAATTATGTAATTACCGAAGCATCAACCCAAAATTTGGCTCTGTTTATGATGCAGAAAGCTAGGATCCAACATTTTAAACTGAATAATTTTACGGATATATTGATGAATATCTGTAAGTCTCATATTCCTATGAATTTGTATGCCAATGCGGATTTCATTTCAGTCACAGTTCAAAATTTACGCCACAGTTCATATTTTGGTTCTGAAAAGCCGGGGGTTTTGATTGATGCCCCTAGAAAATAGAGAAGATGTTAACCTGAAAACAAACGTGATAATTTAATTTGTATAGATTCTTTAGGTTGATGTATTTTGTAGCCAGATTATGACTACAAACATCTAATTTCATTCTTGAGGTGATAACAGAGAAATCCTTTCAGCAAATCTTTAGATTTCTCAATGTCCACTCACGCCTGGTTCTATTTGGCTTAAACATTGAAAGTTTCGGCGGGTACATGTATATGGGAATTGGATGAACGTCAGGAAATTAGCTCAAGACGAGCACCAGAAAACCTTTTAGTGAGTTTTTTTTGTGACTATGGAAATGGAAATGTCTCTGTAACGTTGCAGCTCTTCACAAGGAGGCTCAAGCATGATTGTTGATTCTCTTATGGTGAGTTTACGAGAGAATTTGGTAGAAAATCGCAGAGCTGTGTTTTCATTACTATATTTAGGAAATGTTTTCTTAAGCGTGTGGAGAACTGGGTTGACTAAAAGGTTTTAAGCAATGGACCTATGGTCCTTCAAGCCATTGAAGCGACTGATTTGATTTTATAATTCGACTTTCTCTTCCTCTGCACTTACCTATTTGATTTATGGAAGCAAGCCACTAACTCCGAGAGAAGCTACAGTTGTCTGGTTCCTCTATCTTTAGTATAGTTAATAGTATTAAAATGTTAAAGCTCAAAAGTTTGAAGGCTGAATAAAGTGTATCTACTCAATCGTTTTGGGGTTAATTCTATGTTGATCTTTCTTTGGTCAGGTAAAGGCTAAAACCCAGAAAGCAAACGTTGGCATTAAACTGAGGAAACTTGGCGTCACAGTCACTTATGCCAATGCCATATCGTTCAAGTATTGCAACAACGTATGCCGCATCATGCAGCAGCTATCCCTCATTAATAATGTTGGCCAGCCTAAAAAACCTTTTTTTGTTGAAGACTTCCTTCCATTCTGTGTGCTTATGTTTGATGATTTAAGCTTCAAATGCTTTTTTTGAATATTGGTTCCACGTGCTGCTTATGTTTTACTCATGTTACTAACATGACACATACTCGATACTTGTTATGACAATTAGTTATTTTTGTTTTAAAAGATCTACTGATCTTAAGACTCAAAAGGGAAAATTATAGTCCTCAATACTCAATAGTATCGAGCTAGGTTTTATTATTTGTCGTTGACTTAATAGTATCTTTCTACAGCAGCGAGCCTAAACCACAATCCCTATGCGATTTAACTTTGTGTTACTTTTTTCTAGAAACGTAGAGAAGTCACGGAGGCGGCACATATCCTAACACGGTCAAATATGCCGAGAAAAATGGTTTTACACCATACACAAACACACTATATGCCAAAAATAAATAAGCAAGTAGGTACAACCATGGTGAGTACAATTAACAAGGCCAGCGACCAAAACTTCCAGATAACATAGAGAACCAACTATGTATATGCATATAAGGAGCATGCGCGCGGTGAATGCATTGAGTGGTTAAAGCAGTTGTAGACGTTGGACAGAAAACAAAAGACAAGGCTAAAGTTTACCAACAGCCGTAACCTACACATTGGCACCAGGAACGACCAAAAGGGTATTCTCTGATTTGTTCGTATCAAAACTCAAACAACTACATTATCATCTGGTCCAAAGGTTTACTGATGAATGGTCTCGAATCTATGAGAACGTATTTAAAGAAGGAAAAAAAACATATCTAAATCTACAGTTACCAAGATTTATTTTCTTCGGTATGATACAGTTACCAATTTTTTCCTGAAGGTATAATCAAAATCAAATAACTGACATCAAATAGTTGGTTTAATATACGTAAAAGAATAGTGGATACATAATATAATTTAAACACATCTTATATATAATTAGGGAGTTGCTCTCTCCATCTAGAGTGTCCACATCAGCACAAAAACTTTAAATTGTATTTAAAATATTTATTAAATATATGACTATTCATTTTTCTTTGCATTTATTCATATAAACAAAAATACACAAATAAATTAATTAGTTAATAGAAAGTATGTGATAATTTGATGTCAAAAGTTATCAAAAAATTAAAATATAAAATAGAAATGGAGTAAAGAAATATTTAACTTCAAATAGTATATATTTACCTTTTATTCAAAGGATTATCCTATTTAAAGATGTTACAATTTGTTTACAAGTTAAAAAGTTTAATATAAATTAATCTTATATATAATTAGGGAGTTGCTCTCTCCATCTAGAGTGTCCACATCAGCACAAAAACTTTAAATTGTATTTAAAATATTTATTAAATATATGACTATTCATATTTCTTTACATTTATTCATATTTAATAAAAATATCACAAATAAATTAATTAATTAATAGAAAGTATGTGATAATTTGATGTCAAAAGTTATCAAAAAGTTAAAATATAAAATAGAAATGGAGTAAAGAAATATTTAACTTCAAATAGTATATATTTACCTTTTTATTCAAAGGATTATCCTATTTAAAGATGTTATAATTGTTTACAAGTTAAAAAGTTGAATATAAATTAATTAAGATAATAGAAAGCTCATGAAAAACTAGAGTTAGAGTTTGTTTTTCTAAACAAATAGAAATGAAGTTTTATATGTAAATTTAATTATAGTGATAAACAAGAATATGTTTACAAATTTTAACCTTCAGTTAAATGCATATACATATTTATAAATTTTAACCTTCAATCAAATACATATACATGTTTACAGTCTAATAGAAGTAAAAAAAGTAAACAAACATAATAATTATAACATGATAAATTTTAAAAATAGAAAACTCGAGATAAAGCAGGGTGTTAATATCCTAATAATTTTTTTAAAAAAATTTCATTTTTTTAGTGTTAGTGGTTGAGTTAACTCAAAACATAACAAAAACATGAAATTTAACACAAAACCATCATAATTCAAATCAAATAGTATAAATAAAATTAAACAGAAAAATATCACAAACAACTCCGCGCTTGCACGGGACTTCAAACCTAGTCTATAATGATAACTCTCTACAGATTTCTGACACATCAGCTTTTTCCCATTTTCTATCGAGCTACTACGTGGCTACTCTATTAAAAAAAAATTACAAACGCTTCCCCTCGTTTCGTCGACCCTTCCGCGGTTCCGCCTCCTTCACCAACCCTAATTGTAGACGCTTGGTGGTGAATGAATCAGATGCTGCGTATCCAATGGCCAACGGCGGCGCCGCCGGTGCACCCCTTCCGTCGCATAGCTGCGTATCTGTTAAGGACCTGGAGAGGCCAAAGTGAAGGTGTTTACCGCAAAGAGGATTCGAAGTGGTCAAATTATAGGGTTTGTGGTTCGGGATGGATCCGTGAAGGTGGATCTGAGCGAGGAATAATAGCCATGGGATTGGGAAATTGATAGGATCTTCAATTTGGTGGAAAGATCTAGGGTTTTGGAGGAGGATTCGAATCAGAATCTGAGCTTCAGAGAATATAAGGCATGGCTGGTTCTAGGGTTACGACACGGAGATTCGAAGGTCTAAGGAATAAACGAGAGAGCATGATGGTGCAGAACAGAGAGATTCAGAGATTGAGAGAGAGCAAAAGTTTGCAGAAGTTCGAAGAAGAACGGTTAGAGAGTTATACTAAGAACCAGTTAAAGTCAGACCATTAACAAACCGGTCCAGTTTTACCCGGTTTATTTCGGTAAGAGGAATATGTGATTTCATTTGTTTAATAAAAGAAAAAATACAACAGTCTCTTTCCACTATTCTGATTATTTTACTTTAATTACAGTCTTTAACCTTTTTTCTCAATACAGTAATCAGTTTTTGTGATTTAGTAGTAATCATTTTTAGGATTTTAATGGGAGATGAATTTATAAGAATGTTTTAAATTTCAAGAATTTTTTTGTAATTGGTAAATGAGTTTTGACAGTTTTCCTAAATTTTTTTGTTATTCATTTGATGATTTTTAATTTTCATTCAAAATTATATAAACTAGGTTTGAAGCCCCGCGCAAGCGCGGGGTTGTTTACGATAGTTTTTCTGTTTAATTTTATTTATACTCGTGGATTTGAAATATGATGGTTTTGTGTTAACTTTCATGTTTTTGTTATGTTTTGAGTTAACTAAACCACTAACACTAAAAAATATGAATAATTTGTTTTTATTTTAATTTATTAGGATATTAACACTCTGCTTTATCTTGAGTTTTCTATTTCTAAAATTTTATCATGTTATAAGTATTATGTTTACTTCTATTAGACGGTAAACATGTATATGTATTTGATTGAAGGTTAAAATTTATAAATATGTATATGCATTTGACTGAAGGTTAAAATTTGTAAACATATTCTTGTTTTTCACTACAATTAAATTTACATATAAAACTCTATTTCTATTTGTTTAGAAAAACAAACTCTAACTCTAATGTTTCATTAGCTTTCTATTGTCTTAATTAATTTATATTCAACTTTTTAACTTGTAAACACATTCTAACATTTTTAAGTAGGATAAACCCTTTGAATAATAAAGTAAATATATACTATTTGAAGTTGAATATTTCTTTACTCCATCTCTATTTTATATTCCAACTTTTTGATAACTTTGAACATCAAATTAATCAATTTATTTATTTGTATATTTTTATTAAATATGAATAAATGTAAAGAAATATGAATAGTCATATATTTATTAAATATTTTAAATACAATTTAATGTTTTTGTGCTGATGTGGACACTCTCAAATGGAGAGAGCAACTCCCTAATTATATATAAGATATTATTGTGTTTTCATGATTTAATAAATGTTAGATCTCTAACTTAAGGTTATTCACTCGGATTTGGGAAGGTTATATTCGGGTTCGGGTCTTTTAGGTTGGTAATCTCTATTCTTTGTACTCCTATAGGTAATCTTATGAATTTTGGTGTGGTAAAGGTTTGGATCCTTTTGGGTTCTGGTATAGCTTTAGAATACCAGAATATAGTTTATATTCGGGTATTTCGGTTATGTAAGAGTCTTGATATGAAACAAACAATATTTTTATTTTACATCTACAATATCATTCATATATGATATAAGAGAACTATACATTCTTATATTTATAACATTTATAACGATGTGTAATGTGAAACAACCAACATTTTTTTTTTAATTAAATTAAATAACAATTCAGCGGAAGTCTTTAAATAAATAAATAAATAATAAATCAGGTTCAACAAATAAATTCAAATAAATAATTAAAGGAAATACTAGCAACCTAAACACCAGGTACTAGCAAGTCAAATAAAGCAAAACAATAAAACATTAAACATCCTATCATCCCCTCTTCAGCCTTGATTCCGCGATCACACAAATCTTTTACCTGCAACACATTGGAATGGAGTTGCGTAAGTATTTAATAAATACTTAGTGAGGCAATCACTCTGCCTACAGGCCAATTACGCAATTTACTAGATATTTAATAATATTTATAAACTCCAATAATTATTAAATACCATTTTCCAATTATTAAATAATTATTAACAATTAAAACTTCATTTCTCAATTATTAAATAATCCTCATAATTAAATAATAATTTTCCATATTTTAAAATAATTAATATAATTATTTTAAGCCATTTAATTAATTAAAATACTCATTAATTAATTAAATACGAATTAAACCAAATAACCAGATAACCAGATTAACCAATTAAATTAAATCAATTTAAACCGGACCAAACCGGCTTGTGTCGACCGACACCAGCTTGGTGTTGATCGACACCACTTGGTGTCGGTCGACACCGGCTCGACAGCCCGATGCCAACATCAATAAAACTGCACGAAAATCACATAAAACACCAAATCCACACGAATACACCCAAACAACACTAGATATCACATAATCAACATGAACAACTCAAGAACAATTAATCAATCAAACCAAATCTAGCAATTGCGGACCTACAGTCATGCACTCACCTCAAATCGGATTGAAAACAGAGAAAGGAGGATGAAACAAGGAAGAACAGCAACAAGGAGCCTCAGATCGACGAAGAACTCCGGATTTCAGCTCGAAATCGCCTCTCTTCTCCTTCTCCAGTCCGCAAAACGACAAAAGAGAGAAGAGGAAGCGGCTGCAGCTTTTTATTTCGAGTTCTAGGGCTTCCTGGGCCCAAACCGGCCTAAACCGAACTTAAATTGAACCAGAAATTGATTTTAACCATTGGTGTCGACCGACACCACCGACACCAAAGAAAAATCTCAATTCTTTGGTTTACGGATGTTACATAATGAAACAACAAGCGTGACCAAATTTGGAAATACAAAGGAGACATTTCATTTTGATTATCTGATGGATGTGGATGTTGTAAAAGTTGATTGGAATCGTTAGTTTCTTATATGCATATTGTTCAAAAAAATAGCCTTAATAATTCATCAGTTTTTCTATCTTTAAAAAAAAAACAAATTTGATTTGGATTTCATTACTGTGTTCTTTAAATGATATTAGATTATACGCATAGTGTTTAAAAAGGATAAATATATAAACACAGAGTAAATATAATAATTATGATATAAATAACATATAGTTTTTGTAATACATACAACCCGCGCATCGCGCGGGCCAAGCTCTAGTTCTATTAATGTACAGAGAAACAGATCCAACAAAGAGCGATAGCGAGGAAACATAGTTCGTTCCATAGAGACATGTGATATAATGTAAAAATAGACATTTCAAAACAGTCACTAATCATACAAGATGGAATCAAAATGCTCGTGTTATTTGGGTAAAAGTTCATAACATTAATCACAATTGTTTCCCAATACTTTTTTAACGGAAATGAACAAACAGAACTGATGAAATGGAGACATGTGGTATAATGCAAAAATAAACATTTGAAAGCACTCACTAATCATACAAGGTGGAAGCAAAAGGCCCATTTTATTTGGGTAAGAGGTTTTTTTTTTTTTTTTGACAGCAGCCTCTTCACCTAAAACGGTTTGGAAATCCAAACCGGTAATGAAGAGTTTACATAGTAAAAGGCCATCTCGAGCACTCTGTGCTAGCTTGTCTGCCTTCTTGTTTTTCGACCTTAGAATGTGAGCAATGGAAAATAACATGAATAGGTTCCTGCACTTTGTGACTTCCTCCAGCAGGAATGAAAAAGCAGGTCACTCTTCAGGTGTAGACATCATATGCGTGTAAAAGTTTATAATATTAATCACAATTTTTTTCCAATAATTTTTGAAAAACTGTAACAACAGAAAAACCTGCGTGTATGCGCGAACATTAGTCTAGTATCTTTTTCAATTATATACCTTGTTATCTCTCTGCACAGCCCTCTTTAAATAGATGAGAGGTGCAATACCTTTTCATCACACACATAAAAAAATAAAAGATAAAAAACTCGAAAAGAGAGAAATCAAAGAGACTGATCTTGGGAAGAAAAAAGATAAACCATTTTTTAGTGAATATAAAACTAAGGGCAATAATGTTGAAGAGAAAGAGGTTGAATCTCGAGCGAGCAACTTTGGCCATGAGAACAACTTGCTGATGTCGCAAGGACATGATGTTCTCATGGTCCAAGTTTCTCGAGATTCAACATCTTTTTCTTCAATATTATTGCCCTTAGTTTTATATTCGCCAAAAAATTGGCTCATCTTTTTTTTCCCAAGATCAATTTCTTATTTTGATCTCTCTTTTCGAGTATCTTATTTTTTTTCCGTATGTGTGTGATGAAAAGGTATTGCACTCTTCATCTATTTAAAGAGAGCTGAGCAGAGAGATAATAAGGTATATAATCTAAAAAGATATATGTAGAAATAAATAACGCAAAAAAAATTAAATTTGACTAACAAACAGAGATAAATTACGTGTCAGATTTTAAAATTGACTGACTAACAGAAGTAAAGAACTCGCCGAAATTTGAATTTGACTAACTGATAATATTAATTAGTATTAGTTAGTCAATTTCATTTTTGGTATGTTCATTATTTATGTTAGTTATATTGACTTTGAATAAAAAAAAAATCAGTTTGTTACCTAAAATATAAATTACTATTTTTCTTATTTTTTAAATTCTAACATTAAATTTTTGATAAAATAATGGAAGTATTGTTCCTATAATTAAAATCGGATATAAAACTAAGAATATTGCCCATGAAAAATATAGTGAGTAACCATTTCATTTTCAACATGGACTAAACTACTCTTTTTATTAAATACATCATATATATATATATATATATATATATATATTTTTTTTGTCAACAGCTTCTCTTTCTACAACTTAGAAATCCAAGTTGGGGAAACAAAGTTTACATAATACACACTAGTAGGTAGAGCTCGAGCACTCCGTGTTAACTTGTCTATCTTCGTGTTGTTGGTCCTTGATATATGCGCAATGGAGAAAGATGTGAACCGCCTTTTACATCTGTCAAATTTCTTCTAGTAGGATTGCAAATGATTGCCACTTCTCTGAGAGCCATATGCCATATCCCTGCCACTGTCTCGAAGCATATGCTATCACTCTGCCCTCCTGCATCAGCACACAACCAAGACCAATGCCTGAAGCATCTGTATACACCATGTAAGGCTTCCCTGGCTCGGGTAACGCCAACACTGGTGTAGTAGTCAACATCTCCTTGAGCTGACTAAAGCTCTCCTCACACTCAGCTGACCAAACAAACGGGACATCCTTCCCGTCAACTTCGTCATCGGCTGCGCCATGGTAGCAAACCCCTTGACGAACCTCCTGTAGTATCCTGCCAAACCCAGAAAACTCCTGATCTCGGTGGCACTACTAGGTCTAGGCCAATCTCTGATAGCCTCAATCTTAGCCGGATCCACAGAAACTCCCTCTGCAGAAACAATGTGGCCAAGAAATCCCATCTCTCGCTGCCAGAAACTGCACTTGCTCAACTTAGCGAAAAGCTTCTGCTCCCGAAGCTTCTCCAGAACCAACCTCAAGTGAGTCGCATGCTCCTCCTGACTCCTCGAGTATACCAGAATATCATCAATGAAAATGATGACGAACACGTCCAAATACTCCCTGAACACGTCGTTCATCAATCTCATGAAGGCTGCCGGCGCGTTAGTCAAACCGAAAGGCATAACCACAAACTCAAAATGCCCATAACGCGTCCTGAAAGCAGTCTTCCTGACATCTGCCTCATCTATCGGGATCTGATGATACCCCGATGCCAAGTCAATCTTGGAGAACCAAGTAGCACCCCTCAACTGATCCAACAACTCATCAATCCTCGGGAGTGGGTACCTGTTCTTCACAGTGACTCGGTTAAGACCTCTGTAATCGATACAAAGTCTGAAACTGCCATCCTTCTTCTTCACAAACAACACCGGTGCTCCCCACGGTGAAACACTCGGTCGAATGAACCCCTTAGACAAAAGGTCCTCTATCTGCTTCTTCAGCTCTGCCAACTCAGCTGGCGCCATCCTGTAAGGCGTCTTCGATATCGGTGCTGTCCCCGGCTCTAACTCAATCGTGAAAGGATCAGACCGAGATGGTGGTAATCCCTTCAGTGACTGAAAGACATCCTCAAAATCCTGGACAACCTCAATATCTCCCATAACAACTCCAGCTCCTGACTCAGACATAGAAATCGTCGCCAGATACGCCTCACAGCCCCGCTCTAACAACTGCTCGGCCTGAATAGCAGATATCACAATACTCCCGGAAGTCGGTCTCACTCCCTGATAAACCAACCTCCCTGCATCTCGCTCGAAGACCACTCTACCTCTGTAGCAATCCAGATGAACTCTGTAGTGTGACAACCAGTCCATCCCGAGAATAACGTCATACAGCTCCACCGGACTGATGACTAAGTCTGCTGGCATTGACTGCCCCGCAATCTCGATCTCGACTCCTCTAGCACGGCCCAAAGTAGACAAGAATCCACCTCCCGCCACCTTGACCATGCCCGCGCTCTCGCCCGCGCTACTCCGGATGCCACTCTTCTCGGCACGCTCCGGTGTAATGAAGCAATTCGATGCTCCAGAGTCGAATAAAACGTGGGACTCAAAACCGCCCACTAACAAGGTCATTACGAAACACATGCGTTGAGAACCTCACAATTCTATCACAGACAAAAAGAACAACAACAACCACCACCACAAATGTGCATCTCCACTCAGATAGTGGACTGCCAACTCACCTGGTACTAAACCAGACAATCTGATAGACTGGAAATTCCGCTCCAATCTCTGACACACTCTGCCGCCTCCGGCTAACTCCGCCCTCAAAGTACGGCGTACCAATCCTCTGCATGTGCCCCATCATATCCAAGATAGGCGGCACCACCAAACCCCACAGCCTGCGGCTGAACAAACCCGCAGCCCTCTGCTGCACCTCTGCCACTGGAGGTACTCCCGGAGCCCCCTGTGGAACCACTGGCGGAAAACGAGCCAATAACTGCGTCAGCAAACCCACCACTAAGTCATCAAGACCCTGAGCCGGAGCACCACCCCAACCCGGAGCAGCCCCCGCTCCCAAACCAACACTCGCATCCACACTGGCCTCACTCGCCATGGATATCGACTGGGTCACCGACGCAATCGCCACACTAGGCGCACACTCTCTCCCGAATCCGCCGAAGTCCACAATCGGCCCCGGCCTCCACGGCCTCTAGCTCTGCCACCACGGCCTCGAGCACCGCGCCCTCTCGCGCCACAACCTCTAGCTACTCCGTCCATCTCACTCATGGAACCGAAATGAGCAACTAGACACAACCAAAACTCAAACAAACATAAAACTCACCGCGGAATCTCTTGTAGCTGAAGGGGATGATACTAAAGCCTAGCAATTCTAACAGTCCTAAAACCGTCTAGGCTCTGATACCAAAATGAAACAACCAACATTTTTTTTTTTTTAATAATTAAATAACAATTCAGCGGAAGTCTTTAAATAAATAAATAAATAATAAATCAGGTTCAACAAATAAATTCAAATAAATAATTAAAGAAATACTAGCAACCTAAACACCAGTACTAGCAAGTCAAATAATGCAAAACAATAAAACATAAACATCCTATCATCCCCCTCTTCAGCCTTGATTCCGCGATCACACAAATCTTTTACCTGCAACACATTGGAATGGAGTTGCGTAAGTATTTAATAAATACTTAGTGAGGCAATCACTCTGCCTACAGGCCATTTACGCAATTTACTAGATATTTAATAATATTTATAAACTCCAATAATTATTAAATACCATTTTCCAATTATTAAATAATTTTAATAATTAAAACTTCATTTCTCAATTATTAAATAATTCTCATAATTAAATAATAATTTTCCATATTTTAAAATAATTAATTATTTTAAGCCATTTAATTAATTAAAATACTCATTAATTAATTAAATACGAATTAACCAAATAACCAGATAACCAGATTAATCAATTAAATTAAATCAATTTAAACCGGACCAAACCGGTGTGTCGCGACACCAGCTTGGTGTCGTCGACACCGGCTCACAGCCCCATGCCAACATCAATAAAACTGCACGAAAATCACATAAAACACCAAATCCACACGAAATACACCCAAACAACACTAGATAACACATAATCAACATGAACAACTCAAGAACAATTAACAATCAAACTAAATCTAGCAATTGCGGACCTACAGTCATGCACTCACCTCAAATGGATTGAAAACGGAGAAAGGAGGATGAAACAAGGAAGAACAGCAACAAGGAGCCTCAGATCGACGAAGAACTCCGGATTTCAGCTCGAAATCGCCTCTCTTCTCCTTCTCCAGTCCGCAAAACGACAAAAGAGAGAAGAGGAAGCGGCTGCAGCTTTTTATTTCGAGTTCTAGGGCTTCTGGGCCCAAACCGGCCTAAACCGAACTTAAATTGAACCAGAAATTGATTTTAACCATTGGTGTCGACCGACACCAAAGAAAAATCTCAATTCTTTGGTTTACGGATGTTACATATTGAAACAACAAGCGTGACCAAATTTGGAAATACAAAGGAGACATTTCATTTTGATTATCTGATGGATGTTGATGTTGTAAAAGTTGATTGGAAACGTTAGTTTCTTATATGCATATGGTTCAAAAAAATAGCCTTAAATATTCATCAGTTTTTCTATCTTTAAAAACAAAATCAAATTTGATTTGGATTTCATTACTGTGTTCTTTAAATGATATTAGATTATACGCATAGTGTTTAAAAAGGATAAATATATAAACACAGAGTAAATATAATAATTATGATATAAATAACATATAGTTTTTGTAATACATACAACCCGCGCATCGCGCGGGCCAAGCTCTAGTTCTATTAATGTACAGAGAAACAGATCCAACAAAGAGCGATAGCGAGGAAACATAGTTCGTTCCATAGAGACATGTGATATAATGTAAAAATAGACATTTCAAAACAGTCACTAATCATACAAGATGGAATCAAAATACCCGTGTTATTTGGGTAAAAGTTCATAACATTAATCACAATTGTTTCCCAATACTTTTTTAACGGAAATGAACAAACAGAACTGATGACATGGAGACATGTGGTATAATGCAAAAATAAACATTTGAAAGCATTCACTAATCATACAAGGTGGAATCAAAAGGCCCATTTTATTTGGGTAAGAGTTTTTTTTTTTTTTTTGACAGCAGCCTCTTCACCTAAAACGGTTCGGAAATCCAAACCGGTAATGAAGAGTTTACATAGTAAAAGGTCATCTCGAGCACTCCGTGCTAGCTTGTCTGCCTTCTTGTTTTTCGACCTTAGAATGTGAGCAATGGAAAATAACGTGAACAGGTTCCTGCACTTTGTGACTTCCTCCAGCAGGAATGAAAAAGCAGGTCACTCTTCAGGTGTAGACACCATCTGCGTGTAAAAGTTTATAATATTAATCACAATTTTTTTCCAATAAATTTTGAAAAACTGTAACAACAGAAAAACCTGCGTGTATGCGCGAACATTAGTCTAGTATCTTTTTCAATTATATACCTTGTTATCTCTCTGCACAGCCCTCTTTAAATAGATGAGAGGTGCAATACCTTTTCATCACACACATAAAAAAATTAAAGGAAAAAAACTCGAAAAGAGAGAAATCAAAGAGACTGATCTTGGAAAGAAAAAAGATAAACCATTTTTTAGTGAATATAAAACTAAGGGCAATAATGTTGAAGAGAAAGAGGTTGAATCTCGAGCGAGCAACTTTGGCCATGAGAACAACTTGTTGATGTCGCAAGGACATGATGTTCTCATGGTCCAAGTTTCTCGAGATTCAACATCTTTTTCTTCAACATTATTGCCCTTAGTTTTATATTCGCCAAAAATTGGCTCATCTTTTTTTTCCCAAGATCAATTTCTTATTTTGATCTCTCTCTTTTCGAGTATCTTATTTTTTTTTCCGTATGTGTGTGATGAAAAGGTATTGCACTCTTCATCTATTTAAAGAGGGCTGCGCAGAGAGATAATAAGGTATATAATCTAAAAAGATATATGTAGAAATAAATAACGCAAAAAAAATAAATTAGACTAACGAACAGAGATAAATTACATGTCAGATTTTGAAATTGACTGACTAACAGAAGTAAAGAACTCGCCGAAATTTGAATTTGACTAACTGATAATATTAATTAATATTAGTTAGTCAATTTCATTTTTGGTATGTTCATTATTTATGTTAGTTATATTGACTTTGAATAAAAAAAAAATCAGTTTGTTACCTAAAATATAAATTACTATTTTTCTTATTTTTTAAATTCTAACATTAAATTTTTGATAAAATAATGGAAGTATTGTTCCTATAATTAAAATCGGATATAAAACTAAGAATATTGCCCCATGAAAAATATAGTGAGTAACCATTTCATTTTCAACATGGACTAAACTACTCTTTTTATTAAATACATCATATATCTATATATATATATATGTATATATATATATATATTTTTTGTCAACAGCCTCTCTTTCTACAACTTAGAAATCCAAGTTGGGGAAATAGTTTACATAATACACACTAGTAGGTATAGCTCGAGCACTCCGTGCTAACTTGTCTGCCTTCGTGTTGTTGGTCCTTGATATATGCTCAATTGAGAAGGAGGTAAAACGCCTTTTACATCTATCAATTTCTTCTAATAGGATTGTAAAAGCTGGCCACTCCTCTGGTTTAGACACCATCTTCCCTACGTCGGAACAGTCCGTCTCAAACACCATCACTAACTTGTTATGCCGTAGCATACATTGCATTGCCCATAACAGAGCTTCCACCTCTGTTTGAAGAGGGGATATTCCCGCCACATATTACATATTCCCAAAAGGGTTTCACCTGTCTCCATATTAAAATTATATCATCCTAACCCACCTCTTGGGTCTGTTTCTTTCCAAGATCCATCCACTTGACATCTGTCACCCGAACGAATCGTGTCCACCATGGCTGTTGAAATCGTCCTCACTGAGGTCTGTCGTGTCTGAGCCATTGTCCAGGCTGAAGCCTCCGCTGCTGCGTGACTTATAATCTCATTCGGGTCCCAATCCCCATTAGAGAAAACCTTGTCATTGCGAGCTTTCCAAATAAACCAAATCAACCAAGGATACATCCTCATTCTATCATCATTCGGTAAGTTCCAGAATAAATATGCCATATTCGTAAATAGACCTTCTGTTGGAAACCGGTTGATAGCCGTGGGAATCGGGGATAGTGCCCAAACCTGTAGTGCTGGCGGACATTCAAACACCATATGATTAATCGTTTCCGCAGCCATTCCACATCTCATACATTGTGGGTCTATCTGCATACCCCGACACGTAATCATGCCCCACTGAAATACACCCCATTAAAATTGCACATAAAATGTTGAAGTTTTTGGGTGCAAGGTATTTTCCATGCTTGTGCCTGAAGGCACGTATGTCTGGACCAAAAGGTATCATACCGTCATCATCAGGATTTTCTTGGGCGAACATATACCCCGATTTAACGTGTACCGCCCCGTCTTTGTGAAAAACCATCCCATAGAGTCCGGTATCCAAATGTGAGGTCGGAATCCCCATAATAAGGGATACGTCCAATGTATCAAAAAGTTGATTTAATAGTGGAAGATTCCACGTTGATTTTCGGGAGTCATTAAATCCCGCACCCGGAGATGTGGGTAGAAATTTATCCCGTTTCCCTTGGCTGGCCTCAGGGGAGAAGCTGGAATCCAAGGATCATCCCATACTGAGATAGATATCCCCGAACCAACTCTTTTAATAAGCCCTTTGTTAACCAGAGGTCGAGCCGACACTATACTCTGCCATCCGTAGGAGTAGCATTCCGATAATAGCGTCCTTTAAAGACCCGTGAGAATAATGATTTGGATTATCCAGAAATCGCCATAGTTGTTTTGCCAATAACGCCGTATTGAAATCCTCAAGAACCCGGAAACCCAAACCACCATCACTCTTGTGTCAGCAGAGTTTCTTCCAAGCCAACCAATGCATCCCTCGTGTTTGTCCATTATTGCTCCACCAGAAATTTGATACTGCACTGGAAAGTTTATTTGTAACTCCTTTAGGCAAACGAAAGCAGGACATCACATGCATAGGCATTGCTGAGACTACAGACTTTATAAGAACCTCTTTTCCCCCTTTTGACAGCCACTTTGAGTTCCATTCATTTATTCTCTTTTGTTGTCTGTCTATCAAAAAAACTAAATATCTTTGTCTTTGCTCCCCCCCCCAAACTCTCTGGTATGCCAAGATAGGTCCCCATCCCTCCAATATTCTCAATCCCCAGGATCTGGTGTATGTCAGCCCTGACCCCTGCATCCACTGTATGTCCGAATTGTATCGATGATTTTACAAAATTAATTTGTTGTCCAGATGCCATCTCATACTCCTTCAAAATTTGTAATAAAACCCGGCTCTCTTCACCATTTGCTTTATAAAAGAATAAATTGTCATCCGCAAAGAGTAGGTGAGAGACCGTTGGGCTTGCACGAGCAACTTTGAGCCCTGTAATTTGCTGCATTTCTTCTGCCTTTTTAAGGTTTGTTATCAAAATCTTTGTACAGAGGATAAACAAATAAGGAGAGAGCGGGTCTCCTTGTCTGAGGCCTTTGTGTGGTATTATTTGACCCCTTGCTTGTCCATTGATCAAAACTTTATACTTAACAGATATTATACACCGCATCATCCATGCAATCCATTCTTCTGTGAAACCCATCTTCCGCATCAATTCCTCGATAAAAGACCATTTGACTCGGTTATAAGCCTTGCTCATATCCGTCTTCACCGCCATATACTTTCCTTTACATGACTTATTTGTTCTCAAACCATGGAACATCTCCTGAGCTATATATTATCAGAAATCAGTCGGCCTGGCACAAACGCAGACTCGGTTTCTGAAATCAATCTTGGTAGTAGCACCTTAAGCCTCTGACAGAGAACCTTCGAAATAATCTTGTAGCCAACATTACACAGACTAATGGGCCTTAGCTCTGTCATCCTAGAAGGCCGCTCCGTCTTTGGGATAAGACAAATATTGGTCATATTTAGCCTTTCATCAAAGATACCCGAAAGAAGAAAATTATTCACCATGGTGATGATATCATCTTTAACTATATGCCATGATCGTTGAAAAAATAAAGCCGTCATTCCATCTGGCCCAGGTGCTTTTTCTGCATTCATCATAAAAAGTGTTTCACGAACTTCTGCTTCTGTCACCCGCTGAGTCAAAATCTCGTTTTCCCTTGATGTCCCTCGCTCTGACACATTACTTAGGATACCCGTGAAATCCGTTGGTGATATGGACGTGAAGAGATTGTCGAAATAGTTAACCGCAACCTTCGCAACCTCTTGTTCTCCAGATACCCATACATTGGCATCATTTTGGAGGCCCACTATTCGATTAATTGCCCTCCGCTGTTTTGTGGAGGCATGAAAAAATTTCGTATTTAAATCTCCATCGTTCAACCACATGTTTCGACTTTTCTGTTTCCAATAATTTTCCTCGTCCCGGTATGCTTCCATGAGCTTATTAGTAATAGCGTTAAGTTCATCTTGGGTACTATTATCATCGTTTTGTACTTCCTCCAACGCCGCCTGTAATTCTGTTATTTTTTTCTTTCCATATGGTTGGTTATTTTTCCTCCAAACTGAAATCTCGTGACGGCAATTCTGAATTCTATCAACTAGAGTCGGCACGGCCTCTCCTCGAGTATCGTTCCACCCTCTCTCAATAGAGTCTAAAAACCCATCAAGTCCAATCCACCTTTTATCAAACCGAAATTGTTTTCGCTTCTTAGTAATCTTTGAGTCTAACGTAGCCATAATGAACAAAGCCAATGAATTCCTCCAAAAAAAATGGTCCAATCTTGGATTCTCCTTCCTGATCTCTCCGTTGAGGCCAAAATCTTCCCAATAAAACCATAATCATAATCAAATGCTGTGAATTCAAACCTTTGAAACCAAACATGATGACATGTAATAAGCTGTAAGCGGCTTATCCAAGTCCAGCACGAGATCTCCAAATCTCTAGCAAATTCCGTAGCAGGATCCCATCCGCCAAGAGGATCCGTGATGAATTCCACCACAATCCGAGTTGTAGCCCACCCATAATCTTCAGCCATAGCTTTCCCCAATCCGGTGACCATATTGTTATCGTAAATCTTCACCAAAATAAGAACCCAGCCACCCAACAATTGATGATCTAACATCCATGTAAATCCCACCGAAATAAAACCAAAATCACCATCTCTTTCGCACATGGGAATCAACTTAAGACAGATTAAGACAGATCTGCCCAAACTCTGGACTATGTTACCGGCAATAGAAATCAAAATAATATCCTGCGAGTTGTAACTCACGCCGGATCGGCTCGATGCGTTTCCCAAACCACCTTCCCCATCTCATCTGAATACCAAATTAAAACCTTGAGATTCGACGGAAATCATCCCATCCCATCGAATCAGAATGCACACACCAAGACCAGGAATCCTAGATTTCACCAAATCCTTCAATAAGAAATCCTTTCCTTGCACCAACTGTTGAAACCAAACCAAAAACAGGGAGATTTGATGAGATCTCCCCCATTAATCCATAGTTAAACCATTGTGGAACCTTAATCACCACCGTATATCGAACCAAAAGCATGTTAAAATTTAGATCTTCGAGTCGCAGGAGAGAGAAAGGAGCGTTTTTTACTTATATTTTCTTCTGAGTTGAAGTTTTTGACATCATATTTTCTTTCTTACTAAAATCGTGCCAGAACGAATCAAGGAAAAACTTATGAGGAGACCCGTTACAGGAAATGATCACTCCCATATTCAAGTGCTGTTGAAAGTGTGATGTACGCAATGATTGGTACAAGACCAGCTTACCCTTATCCAGTTAGTACGTTCTGACAAAACCACTCCAAAACAAACAAAAAGGTGTGTGACAAATCCCCAAGTTTCATATCTTTGAGTCCGCTATCGCTGCCCCGAGCATTATTTTCCTACCCTCTCCTCCCTCCCCCGTTTCCGTTTTGTTCTGGAGCGATCCCTAGGACTTATGGTTTGGGGTATGGGAATTTTTTTTATGAACCAAGTAATTGAACATAAGAAAGTGGAGGCAGGCTTGGATACGGTCTAAAATGGAAAAATGAGATTATGATTGTGTTCATAATAACAAGAAAACAATGAGCAATGGAATCGGGTTTTAGCTACACAACACTTAAGAGTTTGTGTGCTTATATGAGATGATTAGCTCATTCTAAAGAAACAGTTTAAATGTATTTGAGTAAAGAGTTAGGTAGAGATTAACAAGAACTAGTCTCCTTAAGGAGACACAACCTGATTTAACTTAACTCTCTTCATTACTAACATTAGAGTTTAAACAAGTAAAGAAGATTAAGCTAAAGCAAGAATGTATTCAGACTTGTGTTTCTCTTTATTTATCGGTTTCTTATATAAATTACAATGCATATGCGCCTCTATTTATAGAGAGAGAGGAAAGTTCGCCCTAAGCTAAGAGACAAGAGAGTCTGATAATGACATGACATAAACGGCTCTTTTCTACTTAAAAGCCTCTAACGGTCACATGCGCTTCTTGAAGAGATATCATTTGTCTTAGGCGTGTATCTCAAGCCTCTTCTCTTCTTGGCACAATTTGTTGCCTTGCAAGCAACTTCCCTTGCTGCACAAGCTTCAGTTGCTTGCTACACAGTTCATGACTCTTTTTGCCTTTATAGCTTCTTCTCCACTTCATTGGTCATTCTCTTCTAGGCTGAGTTCATGCTTTGATACTTCTTCTTAAGGCGTTTTGTTGTGGAGATTATTGGCCTTTACTATATGTTCAGCCTTCTCATCTCTTCACTCTAACACCCTCCCTCAAGCTTGGTCGCCGACACGCCTTAAGGACCAAAGGCAAAGCTTGCAACACGCAAATGACTACCTCATTACAAATATCATCATGTAAAACCACTTGGGATAAAACCATGATGAGGGAAAAAGAGTATAGCTTCACCGTGCATTGTGATAGCATTGACTCCGGTTTTGAATTGATTTGAACACTGGCTCCTCTTCTCATTCCTTAGTCCTTCTTGACTTGATTTGAATTCGTCCAAATGAGGAATATCAAAGAGTTAAATGCAGCAATTATGAATTCATAGATGAGTTTAACTAGGAAATGAACATAAGGAACTGAGATAAATGAAATGGTAGTAGAGTTTAGATAAACCACCTTTTATGTTGCTTTGCGGTTTGAATGAGAGTGGTTTTGTTCTTTGATACTGCCTCCATTGCTCATGGTTTGAACCATGATTTGAACTGAAACTTGGGTGCCAGCTTGATTTCCAAGTACAGGAACACTCCACCAACTTTAACACCAATGAAGAAACGCTAGTTTCCATGTTGTTGAGCTGATTCATCACTTTCCATAAGTCTCTTCTCCTCAAGTACCAAACAATCCTTGGATTCTTCAAGCTTAGGCTATTGGCTCTAACCCCCAACATGTGATGCGCTTCCATGGACACCAGTCTCCATGTTGGTGAGCTGATTCAACATTTTCCTTAGTCTCTTCTCCACAAGTGCTACCGCCTTGGATTCTTGGAGCTAAGGCTATTGGTTCTAACCCATCAACCATGTGTTGCGCCTCTTGAAAACCTTTCCTTGCCTTCAAACAAAGACAATCAAGCAAAGATTATAAGTAATCAGAGAATAATTAACCAAAGATTGAAAGAACAAGAGATTAAAAAGATTGAAAAGATTGAGAGATCAAAAGAGTGAGAGTTTGCGGAAGCAATGGAGATTAAGGAGAATGTGGTTGAGATTGGACAGATTTTTGCTCTGTTTTGTTGAGCTTGTGCTCTGCTTGTGCGGAAGCTTTATTCAAGCCACTCATGGCTGAACACTTATGCTGGTAAGGCAACATCATCTCTACACCAGTCTTCATCCATGGCACAAGGAAAACTCCTTTCAAGAAGTTCCTGACATGTAAAAAACAAGCTCATCAAAGATTTAAATTCTATCAAGATGAGTTTGGATTTTAAACACTTTAATCAATGAAACAACAATTTCTTCATCAACAAAACAAAGCCTTTTAAGGCTAAAAGTGTAACATTCCGGTCTGTGATAAATGAGGACAGTCTTAATAAATTGATTTGGCTACCTATGTCAACAAAGTGCACTTACCTTTTTCGTCAAAGTTCCATAAGTAACTCTAGAGTTAAGCGTGTCTCCGCTAAAGTAGTGGAAGGATGGGTGACCTTCCGAAAAGAGATTTCTGAAACTATGGGAGTGAGGCCAAAACACGGGGAAAGGTCGGGTGATGATTTCAAGGATAGTAAAAAAAATCATTAGAGCCTCTCAAAAATAGTGCATCGGCCGTTGGAAAGGGGTGTGGCCCACGGGACGAGAGAGGACGTGGGTGACTCACCGGGATGGATGGTCGGAGAGTTATAAAAAGAGATTTTAAAACTCTTTGAAATTGATTTCAAAACCTTTTTCGTACATGGAGATTTTATAAAACATTTAAAACCAATGTAAATGTAATTTATTTTTATTTTATTTTACTACAAGTGTAATTTATTTGAAATAGCTTTTCAAAGCCAAATGCTCATCAAGAACAATTTAGAATGCTTCCTGAATTTTAAAATAATTCTTCTCAATGGGAATAACTTCGAAATTTTATTTTTGAAATATTCTGGAACAATTTTAAAACATTTTCAAGGTGCAAATCATTTTTAAATACTTTGTAAATTCAAAAAAAAAATTTAATAAAGGAGGATTAATCCCAAAAAAAGTTTCAAGAGTTTATGAACTCTAAAATCATCTTGAATCTCTTTCTCTCCCTTAAGCATAATAAGATTATGCAATATTTTAGGTCTTTCAACCAAGATTATAAGGGAATAGATAGAACAAGATTTGAAATACCAACAAAATCGATTTTGACAAGTTCTTGCAAGAAACCCAATTGGAAATTCGAATATGAGAGCTTAAAGCTTTGAAAGAGAATCATATCTCATCGATTCCCTCCCTTAAGCTTTGGTTAAGTGATTTACCAAGTTTGAACAAGATGAGAGAGATTGAGAATCATTGGATTAAGCTTTGCTCTTCAAGAACAAGAACAGCAAGAAAGAATTTCGAAAATCTGGGTTTAAAGATTTGTACTAGGATTTCAAAATATAATCTCTTAAAGAATAGATTTTGAAATGAAACTCAAAGAGTTAAAAGGGAGAATAAGAAACACGACATGGTTCTTCTCCACTGATGAGTTGCAGAGGTTCTTTATCCAATGGGTAAAACTTTTGTCCAATGGACAATCTAATGACTGCTGCTGCTGCTCAGAGGTGATTTGTTGCTGTTCTTCACTGCTTCTTCTCCCCTTTCGAAACCCAGAATCCTCAAATCACGAAAATAGCTAAAAAATGGACTAAACCAAACTCAAATCGAACCGGAAATTGGGAAATTGGACATGTGTGGACCATCACAGCCCTTGTATCCCTCAAGGCAACCCAAAATCTCCGGCCAAATTTTGAATTTGATTAACTAACATAAAAAAATAACGCGCCATTGAAATTGACTAACGAACAAAAGTAACGAACTTGCCAAAATTTGAGTTTTGACTAACTGATAACATAAATAACAGATAGTTAGTCAATTTCAATTTTTGGTATGTTCATTAATTTTGGTAGATATATTGACTTTTGATTATATTAAAAATCAGTTTATTACCTAAAATAAAAATATTTTTTTCTTTTTTTTTATTCTAATGACTTTAGGCTTACGAAAAATATATGAAATCAATGGATCTGAACTGAACCGAACTACTGTAGATGTAACCTAACCGATACACGAAAATATCCAAAAATATTAAATAAAATAGACTTAAAATAACCAAAATATATCTTTCTACAATTATAAACCAAATAATTTAGTTATATTTAGAAAAAAATAACACATATTTTTTGACTTTCAAAAATATTTAATTTATTTTACAAAATTTAACTTATTTTCTTTAAAATAAACATTTTTATTTTTTTAGTTAAGTTTGAATACCGAAAACCAATTCAAAATAGGGTGTAACGAAACCGGATCCTACCCGGTACGTATCATGGTGCGATATGTCACTACAAGAAATATAGATATTGATAGCAGAAGACAATAGCGTGGTTTATGTAATTGCTATGTTTTATGGTTTCTAATTTTTTTTAACATATAACAGCGTTTTACAAACGCTAATAAAAAAAATCAATGAGCGGGAATTAGAAATCAATGAGTCCGCTAATACGTTGTGGAAAAATTTGCCTTAGACGAAAACGCCAAAACATTTTCCCACTTTCCCTTGAAAATAATAAAGGCAAAGAAAAAAAAAAAAAAATCGAGAATTAGATCTAGATCCCCAATCTCACCTGAATCTCGCCGACGCGATTTTTCGAACCAATCGACTCCATACTCTCCGTTCTGGCCGCCGATTACGTCTTCTTTCCTCTCCGTTTGTAGTCACCTCAATTTCATTCAACTGTCGGGTTTACAAGGTAATTCGATTGGACTTCATTTCGTTTGATTTCGGAACTGCATGTGCCTCTGTTGATTTCAGTGTTTTAGTAAGAAGATGTAAGTTATGGGTACACTAATCGCAAGTACTCTCTGCAGGATTCGTCACAGATACAAGCTTCGATTTTCCTATCCACAGAAATAAGGTTTGTATTCAATATTCGCTCCTCTTAATTTTATCCTCATGAAGCTTAATTTCCGAATATATGGTCTGATGTGAAAGTAGCTCCTCTGAATTGGTTGCGTTTTTTGTTTTGCATGCTGAATTTTGCATATTTGTTTCAATTGTCGTGCCAAGTGTTCATAACAAGGTGAAAACTTAGGATGTTGGAGAAGGCATGGGTTCGTCTATGCAGGTTTTTGTTCTAACTTAACTTACATAGCTAGCTATTAGAAATCCATAAACTTACAGTAATCTTCTATCATTCGCATATCCTGTAGAGCTGATCCTGCATATGAAATTGGTGCTTGGAATTTTGTTCATGCGGTTGGGGCTACATTAGGAGACACTGAAATGATAGTATGTCCATGCACTGATTGTCGCAGCGTAGACCGTCATTTAGGCAGTGAAGTTGTAGACCATCTAGTGAGAAGAGGCATGAATGAAGCATACAAGTGTTTGAGTGAATGGTATCATCATGGGGAAGGAATCTCACTGTCTGCAGGGGAAAGGTCTTTCTCTGAATGGAATGAAGAGATTGTTGGTCTTTATAGAGCTGCTAGTTATTCAGATGACGAGTTGGCTGCTCAAGGTGATGTAGGTGAGATCGCTGAAGGTTTGGATACAAAAGAAGACGAGTTTCTTGCTAAGCTAGCAGATGCTGAGACACCATTATATCCGAGCTGTTTGAACCATAGTAAGCTATCAGCCATTGTTTCCCTCTTCAGGATTAAGACACAAAATGGTTGGTCGGACAAGAGTTTCAACGATCTACTGGAAGAACTACCGAACCTGTTACCAGAGAATAATGTTCTTCATACCTCGATGTATGACGTGAAGAAGTTTCTCAAGTCTTTTGACATGGGTTATGAGAAGATTCATGCATGTGTGAATGATTGCTGCCTGTTTAAAAAGGGATTAGAGAAGTTAGACAACTGCCCGAAATGCAAGGCTTCTAGATGGAAGGTCAATTTGCAGACGGGTGTGGTTAAGAAGGGTGTGCCGCGGAAAGTGCTAAGGTACTTTCCAATAATCCCGCGCCTTAAAAGGATGTACAGGTCTGAGAGAATTGCTCAAGATTTACGTTGGCATTTCAGTAACAAATGTTCTGACGGGAAGCTGCGCCATCCCGTAGATTTTGTTACATAGGAGCAGATGAATGCAAAATACCCAGAATTTGCAGCTGAAGAAAGGAATATACGGCTTGGTCTCTCAACCGATGGGTTCAATCCGTTTAGCATGAAAAACAGTAGTTATAGTTGTTGGCCTGTGCTGCTTGTCAATTACAATATGGCGCCTGACTTATGCATGAAGAAAGAGAACATTATGTTGAGTTTGTTGATTCCAGGACCACGTCAGCCAGGAAACAGTACAGATATCTATTTAGCACCTTTGATTGAGGATTTACACCACTTATGGACTCAGGGAGAGCCAACTTAAGATGCTGTGACCAAGAGTACTTTCATGCTAAAGGCGATGCTCTTATGGACGATTAGCGACTTTCCTGCTTACGGGAATCTAGCTGGATGTAAAGTGAAGGGAAAGATGGGGTGTCCTGTCTGTGAAAAGGATACAGACTCTATGTGGTTGAGTAACAGCAGAAAGCACGTTTACATGTGCCACAGAAAGGGTTTGTCACCTGGTCATAGGTTCCGGTTTAAGAAGACTTGGTTTGACGGTAAAGCTGAACATGGGATAAAGGGTCAGATCTTATCTGGTAAAAACCTTTCAGCACTTCTGAAGAATTTCAAGAACAACTTTGGAAATTTAAAGGTGACAGGACGGAAAAGAAGCAGAACTGTTTGCGAAGAAGCTGGATCTGACAGTGATGAAGCAGCTAGTGAATCAGATGACGAGGAAGATGTAGAGGTAGATGCAGAAGAGTTGTCAAGATGGAAGAAAAGGTCAATCTTCTTCAAGCTGCCTTACTGGGAGGTATATTTTCAAACTTTCTCATATAAGTAGTCGACGTTGAAACATAACCTATTCTCCATGGTTAATACTTGCTTACAGATTACTTCAATGTGTTTTGATTAAATAGGAACTCCCTGTGAGGCACAACTTAGATGTTATGCATGTAGAGCGAAATGTGGCTGCGAGTATTATAGCTACATTATTGCATTGTGGTAAATCTAAGGACGGTCTGAAAGCTCGTAAGGATTTACAAGTTCTTGGAATAAGGAAGGATCTACACCCTAAACCGAAAGGAAAAAGAACTTACCTACCCGCAGCACCTTGGTCATTGTCGAAATTGGAGAAAAAAACATGTTGCCATCGTCTTTCCAAGTTCAAAGGTCCAGATGGTTATTGTTCGAACTTATCTAGTTGCATATCACTCGAAGATTGCAAGGTAATGGGTCTAAAGTCTCATGATTATCACGTACTGATGCAATAACTCCTTCCGGTGGCTATCAGGGGTTTACTACCTAAAGGTTCTCGGATAGCAATAATGCGGTTATGTTCATTCTTCAACCATCTCTGCCAACGAGTTATCGATAGAGAGAAAATCCCTTCGCTGGAGAATGAAGTTGTGGAAACTCTATGTATGTTTGAGAGATTTTTCCCACCAAGCTTCTTCGACATCATGGTTCATCTATGCGTTCATCTAGGCAGGGAAGCAAGACTATGTGGACCTGTACATTTTCGATGGATGTATCCATTTGAAAGGTATGATAATGTTTTACTATAGTTACTTAGTTTGTACATAGTCCACAACATCTATTTTACATGAATTGAGGTTACTATGTACTATGTTCACTTACACTTGTATTGACTGTGCATAGGTACATGAAGGTGCTGAAAGACTTCGTAAGAAACCCTGCGAGACCTGAGGGATGTATAGTGGAGTGTTATCTTGCGGAAGAGTGCATGCAATTCTGTAGTGCGTTCCTTAAAACCACTACAAATGTACAAGAAACAGCTGAGCGAAATTCTGAGTATGAGCCGAGTTCTATATTGGAGGGCTGTCCACTATCTGCATCTACGCCATTTAACCTCACTGAAATGGAGTTAAAGATAGCCCACCTAGCTGTTATTCAGAACATGGCCCTAGTCGATCCTTATGTCGAGTGAGTTTCGTTAACCTCACTCATTTTAAAGTCTCTTCAAAGTGTTCTAATATTAAACGTTTCTTTTTGGTTATGATAAAAGCAAGCATCTACAACATCTGCAAGACTCTAATGCAAGATGCAGACGTGATGCGAGTACACTTTGGTCTATGCATATTCAGAATTTTGATTCATGGTTAAAACAGCAGGTAAGTTATAAACAATATATGAACACAGCATTTGTTTGGGTCAAATAAAGTTAACTCACTAGTCTTTTACACTTGTTAGATACCTCTGCTTTCTGAAGAACATGATCACACGCTAAAATGGTTGGCATATGGTCCAAGAAACACTGCTAGATCTTACACAGGCTATATAGTAAATGGTCTACGATTTCATACGAACGCAGTATGTAGGCTAAGTCAGAATAGTGGTGTTTTCTATGAGGTGACATCTATGTGTAGAGCGAGTGCGAAAGACATTTCACAAGTAGTTGATCTGGTTTCGTACTACGGAAGAGTCATTGACATTATACTAATAGACTACAACGTCTTCTACATTCCTCTGTTCAAGTGTCAGTGGGCAGTCAGGGGAAACGGAGTGAAGGTGGAAGATGGATTCACTCTAGTTAATCTGAATCAGAATCAAATATCTTTTTCGAAAGATCCATACATACTAGCCTCTCAAGCTAAGCAAATTTTCTACTCAAGAGATGATGAGGCATCGAGTTGGTATGTTGTAATGCGAGGACCATCGAGGAGATACACTGATGAGGATGCATCTTGTGTAGACTCAGATGTTGGGCCTTTACCATCTACACAAGACATGGGAACAGATGACTTACAAGATGAGGGTCATAATGCGCAGAGTGACTGTGAAGGAATTTATGTTGAATGACCACATTTTACGTTTGAAATTGTTGCTTTGATTTTTCAAAAACTCTTTGTGTTCCGTGATTTGATTTATGCATGGCTTGAGATTTTAAAAAATTAGTAGGTCTTACGTGTTATGTGCCTTCAATGTTTGCGTATTTGATTCGGTACTAACGTTTGTCTTGAGTTTTATAGGATGCCTAAAGGTGGTCGATCGAAGAAGGACTTGAAGAAAAGAAAGAACCAGCTAGACGAGGACGTGGAGCCCGAGTACATGGGTCCTGATAGCCAACAACAAACGCAAGAGCATGAGGCTGATGAGCAAGCTGGAGAAGAAGTGCCGACAACTCATACTGAAGAAGATCCAGTACCAAATGCAGCAGCCATAGACGATGCTTCAATCCCAATACATCCCAAACCTAAGAGGCATAGAGGGCCTACCAAGATGAAGGACACTGCCAAGGACCCAAACACTAAGGTCAGAGTTGAGTTCAACGATTTGGGAGAACCTTATGGAGGAGGTTCAGTTACGTTGTCCTCATACTTAGGGCCCCTGGTGAGAGAACATGTGCCTATTATAATAGATGGCTGGAGAAAAATCTGTGAGGAGCGAAGAACAATACTGTGGAAATCTGTTCAGGTGATGTCCTTGAACCTTTCATTATCATTTTTTGCAGTTACTCAACGTCTTCTAGTCTCTTATTGTTTGAGTTACTGCAGGCAAGGTTTGAATTGGAAGGTGATTACGAGAAGGAGTTTGTCTTGAAGCAGATGGGATGCCTGTGGAGGTCCTCCAAATCTCGGGTTGTTGGTAAAATTATGAAAGCAAAGAACAATGCCGAGAGGATGCAGCTCAGACCTAAGAATGTGCCTATCGCAGACTGGCGTAAATTTATCAAAGCAAAGACTAGCGCCGAATTTAAGGTATAAGCGCTCAGTATGTTTCATATCATTCAGCGGTTACGGACATTTTTTTTTTCAGGCAATAAGTGATACATATAAGGAACGAAGACAGAAGCAGATTCCTCACACCTATAGCCGTAAGGGAATGGTGAGACTAGCTGAAGATATGGTACGAATTACACTAATGCAGCAATAGATTTGCATACGTAATCAATCATGTTTCGTTTTTATGTAGTTACTCTGATTTTACTTTATTGCGCAGAAAAAAGAGAGTTCTGAACCATCTGATGTTACAAGGCTCAATGTTTGGGTGAAGTCTAGGACCAGAAAGGACGGCACAGCAGTCAATACTAATGCTGCTGATAAGATTGTGAGTGCAAATTGTACTCGTCTAGTTTACGTACTTGTTGATCTTTTTACTCTTATAAAAGCATTAATTATTTTGAGTAATATGTTTTGATATCAGAAGAAGGCAACTGAGCTTGTTCAAACACAGTCTCCCTCTACAAACCCCAGAGAAGACATGCTAGCGCAGGTATTAGGTCCTGATAATCCTGGACGGCTGAGGGCAATGGGTAGAAGCATGAATATGAGCAAACTAGCATTGTTCCAAATGAGGAACAAATATATGGCTGAACTGCAGAAGAACCAGGCATGCTTGCAGCAACAAGTGCAGGAATTGCAAAATGCAATACTGACAATGAAAACCCAGGTTCAGATTAGTTAATGATTCACTTTTGAGTTTATGATCTATCTTAACTTTACTTATGATCTATTTCTATTGTTATTCTGTAGAGACCTGATCCTGAAGTTGGTGAAAATTCCGCTCCAAGAGTAAGTAGTCTGAATTGTTTATGCCAGCTTTTCTATGCATTATGAACAACAAAAAACTAATATTCTATGGTTTTGTTTTGTAGAGTGTGAACAGAAGACTACAACCTAAGTGTCTGTTGTTTGATTGGTCTGGGTGTGATGAGAATGGCTGAGGGACGTCTTGTGTCTTCTGAAGCTGAGGAAAAAGTGAACGGCATACCTCTAGGACCTAACTCTGTTAAAGTCTTGGTCGAAACAGCAGTAAAGGCAGATGCCTTTCTTTGGAGGCCAGCCCAGAGTATGTGTACCATTGGAGAAGCTGTAGGAGAGATGGTCGCATGGCCCCAAAATTTTGCTGTGGTTTTTGATCAAGGGACTGAAACGGAAGACACTGCGCTTAAGGTTAGAGATTCATATTGTAGACTATCGGAGGATATAACGAATAGGAATGCTGATTTTAAATGTTTTTCCTGCTTGACAGAGTCCGACTGCAACTTCTCCAAATATGTGCAAACTTCTGGACTGGGCTTCAAACAGTGAAGAAGTAGTTGCGGTTGGACGTTGGCAATGTAATGACCGGAAAGCATTAGTCAATGGACTTCCTCTTGGACCAAACGCAGTTAAAGTGATTGTAGATGAAGTTATGGAGCCTGACACGTTCTTGTGGAGGCCCACGGCAGAACTCTTAACACTTGAAGACTGTTTGAAGTCTTTTGTAGCATGGCCTGTGAGTAGAGTTGTTACATCTGGAGTCGCCTTCGAGACGCCATACACTTTCCCACAGCATGAGGAATCTGTACCAACTCCTCCGGCGCCTACTAAGAAAGCTCAGTCGGTTTCAGAATCCCCTTCTCAACATTCTGCTGAACATCAAATATCCCAGGTATATGAAAACGAACTCCTCTGTGCTTTACTTACTTGTTTGGCTTACATATGTTTGGTTGTTGAGGTCTTAGTATTGAAAAATGTTTCTGATAAAAATGCAGCCTGTGAATGAAGTCGTTGATAAGACAAACAAGAAATGCTTGTTGATGGATATATCTGGGAGAGGAGGGTCGTTGCTGAAGGTCGTTGGTCGACAGACAACCCAGAACACACGGTCCACTTTGTTCCATTGGGTCCAAAAGCAGTTTGTGTTTGGGTGGATGTTGTGAGAGTCGATGATGCAGCTGTGTGGAGGTCTTCCTCTGCCATTGAGTGTATGGAAGATGCACTTGGTACGACTTTAGCATGGCCAGAAGATAAAGTGGTCATTGAATAAAATGATGTATGGAACCCTTCACTTTGGACTAATGTGTGTTTTCAATAAGACATGGAAAACTTAAGCAAGTTTGTGTTGCGGAAAACGTTTCCCTTCGATGTGGTGAAAACTTAAGTGTTGTACCTTTCGACTTTGTTTTAGTAATCTATGGATTTTCTTATGATTTGGTAAAAGATTGTCACTTCCTATAAAGAAAACATGAAAAAGATACACGATCCATTATATGGCTGGATAGACAGCTATATCTTATAGCACATCATTTGTGCTTCGAATTTAAACAAAATAGCGACCACGTAAGGCTGCAGAAAAACAATACATAGCGAGGACCATGAGCCATAATAACTGATAGAATAGCACACAAATAAAGCTGCAATACATACATTAATAGCAATAACAGATTGCTATATCAAATGATTTTGTAGCGAGAAAATCTGCTATTGTAAAGGTAATAATAACAACAAATAAACGCTACAATATAGTAATATATGATAGCACCTTAGAATAAACGCTATGCTACATCCTTCATATATTCTAGCTCCAGCAATAATAATACTTGAAGAAACGCTATAAAATCCATTTGATAGCGCTAATATTTGGCTATCAATATCTATATTTCTTGTAGTGTGTATCGCCTTAAAGCAAGTTAAGAGCACGTATATCGCAGAAACCCACTTCATTTTCTTTAAACTTTTTTTTTTCTAAAAAAAATGAAAAAAAAAATAACATCCAATTGGAGTCTGACACGTGTAGAACATGTTAGAGAAATGTTACTACAGTCTCTTCCGGAAGAGACGACTCTCAGCTGGAAACTCACCATATAGGTATATATTTTATTTTTCTTTTTCTTTTTTGTTAAAAAAAAATCCATTTGGTTTCTGCCATGTACGTGCTCTAAGGAATATAGTGAAGAGAAATTACATATTCTAGCTGAAGTGATATAGTGCTTATTGTTTAAAGACTATATGAAGCTAGCTAGGCAGGACAGTGATGCAAAGAATCACTTTAGAACTTTGTAAGTGTTGTGAGATCTTACATTGGAACCTGTTTTTCTACAAGATCACACACTTTCCTCCCTCCCAAATCCAGTGCATAACGGTGTGGTGTGAATGTATAATGATTTTCATCTCTATACCCACAACTTTACAAAATTTCAAGCTTCCATGGGAGAGAAAAAAAAAAAAAAAAAAGAAGAGCGACTCATATTTTTATACTAATGTAGTTTTTGTTCACCAGAAGCTTGTACATGGCTTTCCATTTTTCGTACATTTTTAACAACTCTCACGCCTCCCTCACATTGGCATAGCCACCTTGAGGACCGTAGCCTCCTTATAAAATCTAAAGTTCAATACAGAAAGATTAAAATAGAGAGGAAATGACAGGAAGTAAAATAATTGTGAAAGACTTGCTGAAGAAAACATGAGCTAATTAACCAAGTTGCTATATGTTTTAGTAGATCCTTAGAGTGTGGCTCTTAATTATCATTTGATTTGCAACGCTGCTAATTAAATTAGGTTCATTAGAGGCCATTTATTAAAAATATGTCTGAAGTTAATGCGTTGACTGAAATCCTTGGAAGCACCAAAGTAGCAGAATACTAACCTGTTTAGCATGAGGTATAGTGTGATCGTGGGTCATAAAATGAGGAACAAATTGTATATTGATTTTTGGGAGAAGGAGTGTAGAGGGACATGTCAGAAAATAACTACAAGAGCATATGTCGAAGAAAAGTGTCATGTTCTTGTAAGGTTCTATATCACAACTCTAAAGAACAAACTTCATTTCAACACATTTCATCCTTATCAGTTGGCAAGAGTTCGAGCCAATAACAACGCCGGGGATAATTGATAATCTCCACGTATATACATATGTGTTGTCAACCATTATGGCGAAAATATTATAATGTTTGAACCACAGGCTATTGACATCGGCTTCTCTCAGTTGGAATATTAAGAGAATGATATATATGTGAATGAAAATCCATATGTTTGATTAGAGAATTGTATTGAAAGAAATGCATTATTAGAAAATTGATTTAAATTTAAAAACTAATGCACCATAACATGATTACATGAATCATGTCATGTCACAATAAAACAAACAGACACACAAACAGAAAACAAAGACACAACCAGAAATCAAAATGAAAAACAAACTGTTAATTCCCGGCCAATTCATGTAGATAGCTAGGTCGCCGTAGAAACGTTACCTTCTTCTTCAGCGCTTGTTCCATTAGGTGGTGGTGGGTCTTGACGAAGACCATCGTCGGTGGTCATGGTGTTGTTGCTGCTTCCTTCCCCACTCACTCCAAGCTCGCGGTTCATGAGATCAAAAGGGTCTTCCCTTGGTTGACTCACATCCGTTATTGGATCATTGCTCATGTCATGCTGATTCTGCAATGGAGGGACTGTCCAGAGTGGCTCCATCTCCATAGTGGAGTTTCCATTGCTACTGCTTCCTACGTATGGAAAACAACCTCCTCTGTACGAAAGAAAACTTAAAGCGCACGGATTTGTGTTGTTAGATACCATTTCCCTCCGGATTTGCTGCTGGATCTGAGGGCTTAGCTCTAGTGGTTCGTCAAGTGGAACCCACTTATCAAACAAGTGATAAGTTTGAGTATTCCTTAAAATATCACCAAAGCTAAACCCTCTCCCTGCTCCATAAGTGGTGGTCCTGACCTCCTTGGATTGCACGTCAACTGGACTCACCGGTGGATCGAGTCTCCTCTTCAAAGCCACCATCTTTTCCTTTGTGAACGACATCAATCGATGGATCTCATCCATGTTAAGATCTTCAAGTCTACCATGTACTTGCGACATCAGAAAGTTGTTCTCATGCTCCAGGGTTATCCTCAATTTCTCTTCCATTTTGTTTATCTTGTTCCTCAAGTACGACTCGAGATTCATCTCCTTACTCTTCTGTTGGATCTCCGGCAACGCAAAGAAATCGGCTAAGAGGCCACGAGCCACCTCAGGAGATGGCCACACTGTTGGCTCAGCCTCATTAGGGCTGAAGATAATCAGACAAGCCTTTAAACCACATAGTACGGTTAGCTCGTTAGCCTTCTTCATGAGATTCAACCTCTTTCTCTTGAGCATTATTGCCCTTAGTTTGGAATCCACCAAATTGAGGTTCATCAATTTTCTTCCCATGATCACTCTCTCTTTTTGAGTTTTTATATTTTTATTCTTTATCTTCGTTGGGTTTGTGAGGAAAAAGTGTTGGGTTTGTGAGGAAAAAGTATTGCACCTCTAAGCTATTTAAATAGGGTTGAGCAGAGAGATAACAAGGTATATAATTTATAAAGATATATGTTATTTATTGCTCCAATATGACTAACTAACAGAAGTAAAGAAAAGAACCCCCCAAAAATTGAAATTGACTAACGAACATAAGTAAATAAGGTGCCAACTTTTGAAATTGACTAATTAACCGAAATAATGAACTCGCCAAAGTTTTAATTTGACTAACTGATAATATATCTTAATATTAGTTAGTCAATTTCAAATTTGGCATGTTATTTATTTATGTTAGTTATATTGACTTTGAATGATAAAAACCAGTTTATTACCTAAATTATAAATAAATTTTGATTTCCTTATTTTACCATTACATTGTTGATAAAATAATGAAAGTATTTGTCCTATAACTAAATGGGACATAAAATAAGAATAGTGCTCCATTACTAATATTTTGAGTAAACATGTCATGCTCTAACATGGAAAAAAATACTCTTTTGGAGACATCATGTTCTGCATTAAGGTTGGGGAAAATATCTGGATTTGAACCATAATTTTTTTTCAAAATTAACATCATTTGAAAACGTGATCTTATAAACGAAATCATGGTCTCCCAACTAATATATTCCCTCTGTTTCAAAATATGTGATGTTCGAGTTTTTTTTTTCATTGTTCTATAGTATATATGATGTTTTAGACTTTTTAGAGTAGTTTTTGTCAATTAATGATACCAAACTACAAATTTCAAGAACTTTTAACTAAAAGTAATTGAGTTTTTGAATTTTTATTGGCAAATTTTTATTAAAAATTAATTTGTGTAACAAAATGATGAATTAAATGTTAAACAATACATATTTTTTAATTTGTATGAATACTCCAAAACATCATATATTCACGAGCATAGTGAGTACTAGGGACGTGCCCACAACCAAAAATATGCTATTTGTGTTTTTTGAAAGTGCATGATTTCTTCTTCTCAGAACCGGTCCGGAGCTAAAGCCCGTAAAGCATGGAATTTATTTGCTAAGTTGTTTAGGACGCCAAAATATAAAAAAATTTTAGTGGCAACATAACCAATTAGGTCTCTTAAGCGTATTTGTTGTGTTAGTAGATTATGCAGCCGCCCCTTTCGGGTTCGAATCCTCCCACATGAATTCCATTTTTTTTGTTTTTAGCAAATAAATCTAATATCGATTACTATTATATATTTCATATTAATAAATTAAGTAAGATAAATTAGATAAGTAATAAAGAAACCTAATTAAGTTTCTAATTGTTTCTTCGTGTCTCTCGGGTGACTTCATATTTTTCTCTTCTTCTTTTTCCATAGTCAAATTTAATAGAGCTTCAGTAATTTCTGCAAATTTCCAATAGTTTCTGTCAATCTCCAAGGATTTCTGTCACTATTCATGTATGTTGTCTTCTCATCTTTTTCTATTAGCAAATTTTGTGTATTTTATGAACTTTCTGAATTCTGCAACATAAATTTTTGATATTTGAATGAGTTATATTGTTTAATCATCCTCTCTTATGCTTGGGGAAGTGAAGGATTCAGTGAAATTTATAAACTACACTTGATTCTAAAAATCATTGGCCACGTTTATTTGTTTTTGTATTGCTTTGCTATTTCTATGAGTTTGAACAGTTTTTTTTATCAAATGTCGTAAAAAACCAAAAAAAAAAAATTGTGATCAAAGGGCATCATATTTTAAATTCGCTTTAAGCGCCACAAGTCATCCGGCACTGCTTCTTCTCGATCCCATGTTCTCTCTCGCCCTGTCACTCTGTTACTCACCCCCACACACGTTTTCGAGGAATATTGATAAAAATGAAAGAAACACAATAAACGAAAATCTCTTTAATAATCGACCACACATGTCTCCACCATTTTTTGTATGATTTAACTTTTTCTACAAGATCCTTAGATAACCTCGCTTTCCCTCCCCAAAGCCACCTTGTATATCTTTTTCTTCTATCGATTATTTCATAACACCAGTTTAAGAAGTAGATAAATAATCCATATATATAAACTATTTTTTTTGTATGATTTAACTTTTTCTTTAGCATCCAACTTAAGATAACCTCGCTTTCCCTCCCAAAATCCTTTTCCAGACCTCTTATTTTTATTTTATTTTAGTGGTTTAACTTTTTGTCGAGATCAAGAAACCCATGCAATGTAACATTTGCATAATGAATCATCACCCATGCAGCAACGTTACTCTGAAGTTCATGACTAACGCGCCTTTATGCCTTGGTCATCCATTTTGGACATTATCTTACAACTTGAACTTGGAAAATATGTTTTGTTGGTAACAAAATGGTTCTACATGTGTTGTAGGGATGTTCAATCACAGATAAAACCCAAGTAGATTAGATTTACATATCAATGATACATACACGAATCAAAATCTATTGAAAACATAAATGATCGTGTCCATTATACATCCACATTAATAATATAGGTCCCAGTGAGAGGCCCTAGATTTGATGTAAGATGTAAATAATCCCTGTTGGAGAAGAAAGCAAAAAAGGTATCTTCGTTCCTAACAAATCAGATGCCTCTTTTGATAACCAACTTCCACAAAACACTTGTCCTTATGTGTCTGTCTGATCTATTCGAATACACACAAAGCCTCAATTCAGAGAACATAACCACACAAAAAAACTCACTTGAAAAATGAACAAAACTCAAAGATTTGATCCCATTTTGTTTTGGGTTTCTAACAAACCCTTATTTCAATTCATAATATATACATCATCACACACCTTATTCTCACGTAAACCATAAACTCAAAACTAGTTTTACCATCAAACTACAAAACTAAGAAACTACTCAATAAAACAACAAGTGGTTGCTTCAAAAGTGACACTTTAACACTAAAATCACAAAAGCTTTAGGCTTTATGTTCATCATTCTCCAACTTTCTCCATCAGAGCAACCTTGAGCTGATCCTGAGTGAAGAACTGATTCCCCATTTTCACAGTCGCTTGTTGGATCATAAACTCATTCACAACAGACAAACTCGCGTGATTCACTTCCAACTCCAACTCCTTGAGAGCTTCCATGAACTTAGCACCAGGATGGTCTCTCTTACTGCACTGTATCCTTATCATCGCATCCCAACCTATGATCTTCACATCAATCTCCATCTCTATCGTCACACCCGAATCTTGATCCAATGCCTTTCGATCTTTAACCTTTCGCTCTTTTACCAAACTCTTCCCATTTCCAACCTCTTTCCTCATCAATTCAATCTTCTTCTGCAACTCTTCTTTATCAGACTCAGCCTTTAAGAGCTTAGACTTAAGCTCGTTGATATACGAAATGGCGTCTCCCAAAAGAGAAGCTTTGTCCATCTTTGACACGTTAGGAACAACAGCTCTCAGAGAGTAGAATCTCTGGTTTAACTTCTCTCTTCTCTGTCTCTCTGCCTCCACATGATTCAACGGCTCTTCTCTTCCGTTGGCCGGTTTACGTCCTCGCTTTCTCGGTTTCTTCTCCGGTTCGACGACGACGGCTTTTCTGTTACTCTCCGCTTCTTTAGCAACGGAAGCCTCGAGATCGGAGTGGTTCGAGTCGCCGGATTTCGCTGGCCGTGGAAGAACAGAGGTGAATGAAACAGGAGATCTCTTCTCTTCTTCAATTAACCGGCTTTGACCGGAAAATCCGTTCTTCATCGGATGATTGTTAAACCCAGAGCTCGAGAAATTCAAATCTCGCTCCTCCGCCGGCGAGATTTTAGGGTTTTCCACGGAGCTAAGCTTCGAAATCGGGTGAGAATCGGAATTACAAGTCGAGTCATTTCCGGTGTTAATCGCCGGAGCTACAGTACCCGATTCGATTCCGGGTTCGTTAATCCACATCGCCGGATCGTTTTCTCCTTGATCCGGATTCAAATTAAACGCCCAAGTACCCGATTCGCCTCCTCCGCCATTGCTGGGGTTGAAAAAGCTGTTGACTTTATCCATCAGATCTGAGTTTTGGTGTATAATCTCCGACGAGCCGAGCTCAACGACGCCGTTTTCCGTCGGTATACACACCATCGTCTCTAACCCGTAAACCTGACCTTGACGAGCTCTCTCGCAGCTCGATCCAGCTAACGCATTTGACCCGGAGAGCCAAATCGTTTGCGAGTTGGAGAAAGCTTGACCAGGCAAACCGGAGCCGTTGATGAAGCTCTGCGTCATCGAAACTAAGAAGAACCATTCGGTATCTGTGACTTCTTCATCTCCTGCTTCGTCGCCGCCGTTAACTGTTCCTCCTCCTCCGCCGGAAATCAGAGAGTTGAGTTCTCGAACGACTCTCTTCCGATGCTCTTGCTCAGCCGCACTAATTGGAGTCGGTTTCTTCTTCATTGGTTTCTCTTCTTCTCCTTTGTAGTAACCATCACCCCAGGCTAACAACGGCGTGTTGCTGCTATTTCCTCCTCCGTCGTCTTCTCCGGCGGCGAAATCGTATGATAATTGCCAGAACACGGCGTAGGTCCAGCTTTCTCTTGCGCATTCGATTAGAGCTTGGAGTCGTTGCTGGAGAGTATCCTCGTTAGCCTGTGAATGCGCCGGAGGAGGAGGAGGAGGTGGAGTAGGAGGTGGAGGCCAGAGGGTAGAGTGGTCGGTGCTGATGAAAGCTTCCATCACCGTCGCATCGTCGTCGGTTGACCAGAGATTTGTACCGTTTGTTGACTGGTTGAGAGGGTAATCGGTTAGTTGAACATCCGTCGGACACATAATCTTCTCCGATGGACTTAATAGAGAAGACTTTAGAGAGACTGAGAGTGGTGGCGACGGTGTCAGAGAGATAGAGTTGAGTTCACACTAGAATGATTGATTGTTGAGGAAAATGGAATCTGTATATATTTATAACTTCAAGAAAAAAAAAAGGACTGTAAATATGTGTGATAAAAGAAAGTAAAAATACTTTTTGTTTTCAACCAAACATATTTACAGTCAAGCTGGATTGATGAAATAAGTCGATAGAAGAACAAGATTTAGGTGGATTGGATATGAAAACTGAAAATAAAAAATTTAAGTTATTCAATTTTTGTGTAATTTGTAAGAGAATATTTATTTCCCTTTGTTTCTTATTTATTTAAATACCTTCTGTTATCACCAAATTAGTAGAGTTTATAACTTTATATAGACTATTTATCTACTTCTTACCGTTTTTTTGTGTGGTCGACAAAAAGTTTTTAATGTCTTGTGAAATAATTGATAGAAGAAAAAGAGAACTGAATTTTTAAGTTTGCTGATACTGTATATGAAAGAGACTCGGATCAAAATTGTAATAAGGTGAAGAGGGAGCATTAATCAAAATTCAATTCTTTTTTACCATCCAAATTTTTGATTAAGTTTTTAATGTCTTTCTGAAGTTTATTTATACATTAGTTTGTTCTTGGAGAAAGAAAGATTAAAGGGAATGCTGAATCACAACATTCACAAATCACAACTAACTCAGAGATTTTAATACAAAGTTAAAAACTTTCTCAAGTTTATTTATACATTTAAGCAATGTCCATTCTGAAGTTAAAAGAATTAGTATATCTTTCTGAAACAGCATTTTAGCATCGTTTTCTATAGAACTTTTTGCACATGATAAACAAAAAGGACATGGACAATTTCGAAATTAAAGGTGAAATAGACAAGAGAGCATAAAGGCAAATAAAAGGAGTAAATTTGTATGGCATCGTAAAATATCACCCACACGTTGTATTGTGTGTGTCGGATCTCTTGTTTTTTGTTTGGACAAATAAAATTATTATGATTACTTTCTTGGCGAGAGCAAATGCCAAAAATGTTGGTCTCTCTGTGCATATCCGACGAAACCATAATGTCTCTGTTGTACAATGACATTTTTAAGAATCGCAGTAAAGCAAAGAAAACAAATTCTGATGGGCTTAAACATATTGGGCCTCCCAAATTCGGGCAGCAATATTTTTCTATTTTTCCTTTTTCTCAAACTAGTGGGAGAGTTGTCTCTAGCTTTCGCAATGGAGTAATGATGGATGTACAATGGTAAACGAAAATGATCTGAATCTACATTACATTGCATCTGGTGAAACCGAGATTGAAGAAACTGTTGAAACTGATTTTGATGAGGTTGTGATTGAGATGGAGAGAGGCTATTGTAACTGAGTTTGTAAATTGGTTGTTGTGTGAAACAATGTATCTCCCAAAAGCGAAGAAAATATAGATATGTTTAAAGAACAAGCATTAGAGGGACATTATAACAAACTCTTTAACATTTTCATTATGTTAAGTTTTGGACCTTTTTCTTACAAAAAATCTCTAAATTTTTAGGGTATGCTCAATGGGACAGAACAAGAATAGCTAAACATTTGAGCATATAATATGTGTGACTAGAGCCGGCCATGAGAGTAAGCAAGTCGGTGCTTGGAGCCTTTACTTGGTTTTACTTGTCTTTTTTTTCTCTAGTTTGTGGCCGCTAAAATCTCAGATCGGCTCCGTATGAGACAATAAATTGAAAGTAAAATATGTAAGAAACAAACATAAAACATAGATGAAATCATTATTTTGGAATCAAAATTTAGAGGTACAAAGCCAAATTTCTCTTCCGTTTTAGTTTACTCTATATGTTAACTTCAAATGATTAAAGAAAAAAAAAGGGTTAGGAAGTTAGGAACTAATCTTTGAATTGAGGTTGAAGAAAAGGGAAACAACAAAAAAAATTGATAAAGCGTTCGTCAGTTACCAACTTACCATCCATGTTGCTTCGGAAACGGAATAACGCACTACGTGTCGTTTCTAAGTAACAAGCTTTATGCCATTTTCGTAATTTCTAGAGATTTTTCAGGGTATTATCGTCAGTGTACAGTCAGATTAAATGTTTCCATCAATGTTACAGGTTTTTTAAGATTTGAGTACTTTAATTTTTCACAGATTTGAAGAAGAAAGAGGAAAGAAACCTGAGATTTCAAACACTTTTCTCCATCTCTTCCAAATTTTTTCTCCGAGGAGGTGATCTCGTTTGTCACCTCTTCAGATTTTGCTTTTTTTTCTCGTCGATATTTTGTTCTCAATCTGTAAAATCCCTAAGTTTCGTCGACGATGGCGGCTTCTGATAATCTCACCGACAAAACTATCGTTTTCAGAAAACTGAAATCGAAATCTGAGAACAAGGTTCGAATTTCTCTATCGATTTCTCTGCATTCTCATTTGCATGATTTTCTGGGAATTTTCGTTTTGTTTCTTCGAGAATCGTCGATTAGATCGTGTATTTCTCCAGATCTGAGAGTTGTTTAACCAGATCTTCTATTCGGAATATTGATAATCTTCGTTTTCTTCGTCTATTAGGTCTGCTTCGATTGTAGTGCGAAGAATCCGACTTGGGCATCGGTTACATACGGGATCTTCCTCTGCATCGATTGTTCAGCTACTCATCGGAATCTCGGTGTTCATATCAGCTTCGTCAGGTATATGATTCGATTCTCGCTCAGAGTTTTTAGGAATTTGTTGATTTGAGCTAGGATTTGAGCTTTTGATGGCAATGGTTTAGGTATATCTCTGAAAAATGTAGCATTACGTTGACTTTCCTCTTCATCATCATTCACTCGAATGTTGCTGAACAAATCCTATCTGATTAGACTGATCAACGAATTTTCGACTTGTTGGATTGTGTAAAGACACATTTCGTTCTGAAGATGCGACATTTTTTCGTTTTTTTTTTTGTAATTAGGTCGACGAATCTAGACTCATGGAGCCCTGAGCAGCTGAGGACGATGATGTTCGGTGGAAACAACCGAGCTCAGGTGTTCTTCAAGCAGCATGGATGGACAGATGGTGGCAAAATCGAGGCCAAGTACACTTCAAGAGCTGCTGATTTGTATAGGCAGATTCTTGCTAAAGAAGTTGCCAAAGCCATTGCAGAAGAAGCTTCTACTGGTTTACCTGTATCTCCTGTTGCACTAGAAGCATCCAATGGGGTTTCTTCTTATCCTGTCAAGGAAGAGTTATCTTCTGTGAAACATGAAGCGACCGCTACTTCTTCGCCTAAAGCTTCTAATATAGTTGTGCCTAGTACGTTTAAGAAACCTCTCGGTGCTAGAAAGACTGGAAAAACCGGCGGTGGTCTCGGTGCACGGAAGCTTACTTCTAAGGTAAAGTCTTGTTCAGGTTGTTTCTCTTCTCTTGTTCAAGATTGAAAGAAATATCTGATTTGTTTTGGTAAAATGCAGCCAACGGAGAATCTGTATGAGCAGAAACCAGAAGAAGTTGCGCCGGTGATTCCAGCTGCGTCTTCAGTTACCAACGGAGGAAGCAAATCATCAGGTGGTTCTTCTTCCTTTTCGTCTCGGTTTGAGTACAATGACGACTCGCAATCCGAAGGACAGAGCATTGGTGGTACACAAGTGCTTAACCATGTCGCTCCACCAAAGTCCTCAAGCTTCTTCTCGGATTTCGGAATGGACAGCTCTTTCCCCAAGAAACCAAGCTCCAACTCGTCGAAAGCTAGAGTAAAGCCCGCCGTTTGTTCTCACTTCTCAGAAAGAGTTAATAGTAATATCGATTTATTTTTCAACTCTCTGATAAACTCTTACTGATAGGTTGAAGAATCGGATGAAGCAAGGAAGAAGTTCACAAACGCAAAGTCCATTTCTTCAGCTCAGTACTTTGGTGATCAGAACAAAAACGCTGATCTTGAATCAAAAGCTACTCTTCAGAAGTTTGCAGTAAGTAAAAACATTCAACACAAATCTTAATCAGAAGAAAACATTCTCGTCCTTGGATTCTAATGGCCACTGTGGCGGAAATTTACAGGGATCTGCATCTATCTCAAGCGCTGATTTTTTCGGTCACGACCAAGATGATTCCAATGTTGATATAACTGCTAGTGATCTCATTAACCGACTTTCTTTCCAGGTAAAAGTCTCTGCTTCTTCTTCTTCTTCTAAATCAGATTTTAAACATTTTAAACATAAATCAGATTGATGAATGTCTCAATTGTTACTGATCAGGCACAACAAGATCTCTCGTCGATAGTGAACATAGCAGGGGAGACGAAGAAGAAGCTTGGAACTTTAGCTTCTGGTATCTTCAGTGATATTCAAGACAGAATGCTGTAAAGAGAAGAACACGAGCTCTCATGTTTTTTTATTTTACAGAGAAAGAGAAAGAAGAAAAGCTTTGTCGAAAACTTCCAATGAAGTTAACGTAATTTTCTGTTTTAAAGAGAGCTTTTTTTTTGGGAATTGTTGAGATGTGGCAATTGTTGTTATCATGAAGTTATATGGATATGTGATATGTCTAGACCTTTTTATTATTAAGCTTTGTTTGTTTTCAGCAAAAGAAAAAAATAAAGTGGATTCAATCGAGTTATTAACTGTGATGATATGGTAGTTATTAATTGTGATGATATCGTTCTACTGCATATGTTCACGCTCTTAAACATTTTAATAACTAAAATAAAAATAATAATACTTGCTTTGTAATTTATATCAGTTTTTTTTTCCCCTTTTGATTTGATTCTATTCATAAATCAAGTGTACTGTTCCACAATATATGATGTTGTACAGTTTTCTTACAATTTAAGAAACATTTATTAACAATTAGTGTATCTTTTTATTACACAAACCACTTTTTAATAAATAGTAACCAATAGAAATTCAAGAATTTAATTAGTTTTAGTTAATATTTCTTGAAATTTGTAGTTTGTTAGCATTAATTGATAAAAAAAATATATTTTAAAAAAGCTAAAACATCATATATGTGAAACAATAAAAAAAGCTAAAACATTAGAGGGAATAGTAATTACATATCTCACCAATTAGTTTCAGTGCTGGTTGACTGAGTGAGCTAGTGTTATTAAAATCCGTAAATTTGTTTCTCCTTTTTAATACATGAAACTAGAATTTGATCCGCGCTTTGTATGGAGTGATAGTTTTTGAATTTATATTTTTATTAAAATAAATGTCTATTTAACTATTTCAAAATTTTGTGCAACATTTTATTTTAATAAGGTTATTATCTTCGTTTATAGTGTAAAAATTAAAGCATTGATCGTAGGTTTGTAGCCATAGATTAAATATGCTAGACTTAGGTAAGATATATAAAACTCAAATAACTATATTATAATAAGATAGTTGTTCAAAGAACAAAAAGCTGAAAATAAAATATCATTCTTTTTAAAAATTATATGTTATATATTTTATAAGATAAGAAGATAAGAATTTTTAGGTGTGTTAACACATATTAGAATTAACTTTTTATTTCTTTTAAAACTAAAACATGTTTTTATTATAGTTCCAAAACAATCCGACCAATAAAAAAAATAATCTGCAAAATCCAAATTGTCAAACCAATAAAAATATAATTAAATTTTTATTGAAAATTGAAACAGATGGAACAATATTCAAAAATTTGATTAAATTAATTATGTTTATATAAAAATTGTTATATTTGATTTAGTTATACAGTTTAATTAAGCAATCATATTAAATCGAATAAAAAATAATTTACATTTGGATACTTACTCTATTACTTATATTGTTGTATATCATCTATTTTTTATAATATATTTTCACATCTACATACAACAACATATCATATATATGAAAAATTTAACAGTTTTGGTGATTATATTGTTTTTAAAAATTCAAATCATAACAGATATAGAAAAAGTTTTGGATTTTTTTTATTTGATTTTTGTATTGTGATAATTTTTATTTTATAAAATAAAGTTAAACAAAGATGAAAGAAGATATATAATGATTTTTAAAAATATCATGATAGAATTAAATTGAATCTCATATTTTCCTTATTTACTTATTTTCATAATTGCTAATTAAGGAAAGATAATGATAATGTTTTTATTAATAGTTACATATATGACTAATTTAATAATACATATTTGATTCTCTAACCACAAACTAGGTCTTCACCCGTGCTTGGGAAACACGGGATGTTGTGATTTTATTAGATCATTTTAACTATTGACACAATTATGTAAATAATAGTATATATGTTTGTGATATATAATGACGAATTAGAGTTATTTTGATTATCCAAGGATGAGATGAAATAAATATGTGATCATTAATGTTAAATTTGGGTGAGTTAAAAATTGTTACTATTTGAAGCTAAATTCTGACCCCGAGAGAACGAAATCAAACTGAAATCGAAGTCTGAATAATATAACATAAATATGAATGGCAACGTTTTTAATTACTCTAGTAGAATAATCTTTATTTTATAAATGACATGAGAAGCTCTAATGATGACACATGGCATTTTTGTTAATAATACATCGACTAAAGGTTATTTATAAAGTGTTTTCTCTTTTAATATATTAGGGATTTGCGTGATTTCACTATTATAAAATAACTTATTTTTTTGTGGGGGAATTGCCAAAGTACCTCACAAAAATGCTACTGTTGTTCCTTTACCCCTTTTTGATTTTGGCCATTTTTTGTCTTAATTGCCCTTCAATATTGTTAAAACCTTATAATGAATATTTTTTTTAAGTGAACAAAATTTATAAAATTCCTAAAAATGATGTCAAGAATGAGTAAAATAGTTGAACATTTTTTAAAATGTTTTGGATGGTTAGAAAATTATTTGAAGTTTTTGTTCTACAAAGTAAATTATCAAAGCATACCTAATTTTTTTAGATATACAAAGATACAGAAATTGTTCGGGTTTTTTTTGAAAATTTATGTTCGGTTTGAGTTCGAGTGTTTTGGGTTCAATTCAGGGTTTTCCGAATTTTTTGGATTTCGGGTTTTCGGATATAAATTTTAAAATTTTGATTAGGGTTTTTAGGTCGGATTAGGGTTTCGGGTAAAAAAAAATTAGTTTTTTTTTATTTGGTTCAAAGTTTCGGAATTTTTTGGATTTCAGATTTTCGGGTTTAGACGTTTTTAGGGATTTTGAGTCGGGCTTGGGATTTAGATTTTCTTCACAAAACCGCAACGTCACATCGCGCGTTTGTGCGTGTCCTCTATTAGTATTTTAAATTTTAGGAGTACACAACCAGTTTGGTTCCGGTCACTTTTGAGTTTTGACCTATTGCTTAACCAAACAATTCAATTGAAATGATTTTACTTATCATATGAAAATTCAGTAAGTACAGTACAAAAACTAAAAAAGCCCGAAGATAAATGGGCTATTCGATGTTTGAATTTGTCAGAGTCTACTCTCAACTCTCAATTTCGTCTGTACGGTTAATAACTTTAAAAAAATACAAATATTCTAGAATTTTAATAAAGTAATGGGAATTAGACGATAAGAAGCAGGTCCACCAAGAGGTCATATATGGCGTGCCGTGTCCAAGTGCTTCAACTTTGACTCAAACCTTTCAATTTTTGTACTCTCTCTTTTTCTTTTTTTTTTTTTTTTTTTTTTTTTTCCGTGTATATATGTTTTAAAACGATATTTCCTCACAATTTTATCATGATTTAAATCAAAGTTAACATGAATAATAGCTTATATGCGTAACAGTGTAGCCATAAAATCACTACAGTCGTCTACATTGTGAATTATAACAATGTAGTATTGTATTAACCTTTTAGTTGCATCAATTGTAGATTGGGAGTTTAGGACTATCAAAAATTTGAAAGTCAAGTGGCGTCCTTTTTCAAAGTCAATGGGGACAATAAAACGCAAATAAGACTTGTGAGTTCCTTTTATAAATGACTGCACATATTTTTCAAAATTGTCACAAAGATCCAATAGATGATTTAACACTATTAAGTATTTTCAGTTTTATATAGAAATTGTATCAAATACTTATGTTTCAACTTTTCTATTGAAAAAACAATTTGGCATCTTCCTTCATCTACCATCATGCATGACAAATGAATAAAAGCTGTTATTATCATATGACGTCTATACAATGCATATTATATGTCTCCTTTAATTGATTAGTTTTCTTGTCGTCATACTTTTACTATTTTTATTCACATTATAGCCATTTTAAAAACTAAGGACACACTTATATAGGATTAAATGATTTATCATCGGGCCAACAAATTGTATATCCGCATGAAACATGGAGGTCTAATTAACAACGCAATAATACATGAATATACATATAAATAATTCCATACTTTAGGCCTTTACCAATCGCATTTAGAACCACAAAATAAAATAAAAATGTGGTTAGTTCAGTAAGTAAAAAAAAGAGAGAGAATATTAGCTGTTCATCGAATTTTAATTCAAATATGATATTACGTATAGTGAGCAAACTAACTGCACTTTCATATCAGCTGAGACACGACACAGATTCAAACAAAGTTTTCGTATATAAAACAAATTAAGCTATGTGTATAAATGATTATTTATAATCAAAGGACATGAGTTTGCAATGGAATTTCCTTTTCTAGTGATGCATATTGGAATAGTTAGTACTGACTTTGCAATGTTTATTTACCTAATTAAATGGGAACAACAACCAAACTCAAGCACTAATAAACAAAAGGGTGTGTTATTATATAATCACCCATCTTTTGACCTAAATTTCTGCATTAATTTTCCACTTTATTAATTATATTTAAAAAGTTATAAACAAGTACACATGGATTAGGTTATATTATGTCCAATTCATGAGCTTGTCTCCGCTTATTGCTCGCTTTAAAAGCTATAACAATGGAATCTAATTATTGATATCATTCATCTTCTTATTATATACACATATACACCAATAATAACAACAAAGTAAAGTGCCATTCACATTTGTTCCAACTCATTCTTATGCACATATATTAGACGTATACGCGCGTGCACATACTTACATAGCACATGTATCTACATATTATATATCTATCCATTATAGTTCTTGAATAGTTTTGTTATTTTGTAGGTTCTTACCGTATAAACGCAAGTTTTTGTCCATAGTTATGTTCTTCTTTTCTACGGTTAGATTTGGCTGTATACTATGGTTCAGACTACATATATCATCAATTTTATTTTAAATTTTCAGACACAATAAGGTAACTAATGTTTTAGGTTAGTTCAACTTAGTTGGTTGTGTGTTGAGATGGGTTAAACTAATTTAATTAAAAAATTACATGACACAGCCATTTTTTCTTTTGCATACATGTATGAGCTATTTTAGTATCACTAGAGTTATTATCAAGAAGCATTATAATTATAAATAAATAAAGAGGGAAAAATAGAGAGACCACCTGATGGAAGAAACAAAGAACATATAATGGGATTGTAAAGGATAGAGATGAGATGTCAAGCTACAATAATGGAGAGCAATAGTTTTCTCCACTTGGCTAATATAATATCTAACACGAAAAAAACTTACTTTTCCCCAAATAAAAATAAAGATTAGAAAACTCCATACTATTTCATAGCGAACATACGGAAAAAAAAATTTCAACCAGTATTTAAGATAAGTCCAAATAATGACAGAAAACATATTTAAGAAAATAAAAATTACATTCTCAATAAAAACGGCCAGTATATATATGGTGAGAGATATGTTTTTTTTGGGAAGGTCAAATTGTAAGATACCGAATAGTTAAATTATATTGTGATTAGATATGTCTAAGAGAATATCCCGAAAAGATATGAAAAATAGATTTTCTCATATTGGAATAGAATAAAAACAATAATATAAGGAAATAAAAATTGGAAAAATAGAAGGAAAGGCGAAGGAGGTTCGGTTGGTCGACTTTGCTAAGATAAGAGAGACTGACTCTCTTTTCTCCTTCCCCATTCTTCTCTCTAAACCTTCTCTGCAAGAAAACTTCACTTTCTCTCTCTAAAACCCCTCTCTCTCTCTCTCGGAAAAAGTCCTAAGCTTTACTCGAAAAAGACTCTTTTTCTCCTCTCCTGCTAATTGGGTTCTTCACGAAAATGGCTATCGAGGATCAAGAGAACACAATCCGTGAAATCAAGCCTAAGAGCAGAAGAATCATGGTATTTTAATAAACAAAACCCCCTTTTTTTTACTAATTATCATTTACTTCATTTTCTTTCTCCTCTGTTCTCCAAATGTGCAATGGTTTGTGTTCTTAGAGGTGATTTATCATTTCTTTGAATGGTTTTCGATTGAATTTGAAATTCAAATAATTGGAAATGGCGTAAAGTAGTCGCCTTTTAAAACAAAAGTAAATTTTTAAAAATGGTTCGAATTCGGGTTCTTCATTTTAAGGTGCTCTGTTTCTTGTACCTAACAAAAGGATTTGAGGAATCCGAACAATGCTCTTTTTGGAAGAGTTTTTCATCTTCTTTTCAAGTTTGATTCCGTTAGTTATTTGCTTTATTTGGTGTCACGAATTGGTACAATATGCTTTTTTTTCTCATTATATACCAAATTTATACTTTTTAAACCCTTCAGAAATCCACTGAAACAGTTTCCTTTTTACAATTGAAAAAAGAATCAAATTTCAAACTTATACCACAAGATGAAATAAAAAAGGAATATGAAGTTCAATAGTGGTTTAAGAGATATGTCTAGATATTCTCTTGAGGTATAATCATATACCAAAATGGTTATGTTGATTTTGTGAAACAGAGCAATTGAATAATTCTTGGTTATGGTTTACAGGGAGCTGGTGGACCGGAGGAGGAAGATAACCGGATGCCGCCGTGGCTGAAACCTCTGCTCAAAGAGAAGTTCTTTGCTCACTGCAAGTTTCATGGAGACTCTCATAAGAGTGAATGCAATATGTATTGCTTAGACTGCACCAACGGTCCTCTTTGCTCTCTCTGTCTCGCCCATCACAAGGATCATCGCACCATTCAGGTACGTGTTTCTTGCAATCATTCAAAATAGATCCATCCAAACATCTCAATTCTTGATTGGTTTCTTTGGCAGATAAGGAGATCTTCTTATCATGATGTGATAAGAGTGAATGAGATACAAAAGTATCTTGACATAACCGGAGTCCAAACATATGTGATCAATAGTGCTAAAGTGGTCTTCTTGAATGAGAGACCTCAGCCTAGGCCAGGGAAAGGCGTAACCAATACCTGCAAGGTTTGCTATCGTAGCCTCGTCGATGATAGCTTCCGCTTCTGCTCTCTCGGCTGCAAGGTACATTTTTTCAAATCTGTATCTTTCAATCAAAAAGGAAGAAACTTTGGTATTGGGTCTAACACTTGTTTTCCCTCTTTACACGTTAGCAAAGCTATGAGTAAAAACCTCACTTCTTTTAAAGGATCTCTTACAGTTTCACCTAACCTATGACATATTCTTGCATTTTGGGTAAATTCAATTCCCTTTTAACCGCAAAAAGATGGAAACTTTTTGAAATGGGTCATCTTCATATTTGAGTTAGATTTTACATTTTCACCTAACTTTTTACATTTTCACTTCTTGTCAAGTCTTGTCGAAGTAAAAGATCGAAACTTTTGATATTGGTCATCTTCTTCTTGGCCATTCGTTTAGATACTTCTTTCTCGGAACCATTATCTGATAAATTTTGTACTTTGAAATCAAGATTGCTGGATCATCAAGAGGTATTGAAAAGGGAAGGAAGAGCCTTGTGATGGAATCAGAGGATTCAAGTAGCAGCATTGGAATTGGGAAGAGCATTTCAAGTCTCCAGAGTTTCAGCCCATCAACGCCTCCACTTACTACATCTAGCAACTGCAGAATCGCAAAGCGGAGAAAGGGAATTCCTCACCGATCTCCGATGGGATAAAGAAGAAGAAGAAGAAGCAAAAGTGTTAAACCAGTTTCTTGATCTATAAGACTACACAGAAAAGGTTTATAGCTAATACAGAAGCTTTTGTCTCGCTTATCTTTTTTCATATACAGAAGAAAAATGGTCTTTTGCTTGTGTTAGCAAAAAAAGAAGGCCTCAAGTTAGGTTTTGTACTACTAATGGCAAAGTATGTGAATATAATGTAATGTGATTGTATATTTATGTGATGCAAAAAGGGTAGAAAGTGGAATTTAGAGGTTTTAAGGAGGTAAAAGTGAGAATAAAACAAAACTAGTTTTGGTTTTCATTTATGTACACATGTAAATTTATATAAATGTATGAGATTTTCTCCCTTACATTCCCTTATATAAATCTAATAGCTTATATAAATCTACCATTTCAGAATCACATGTGTAAATTTATATAAATGTATGAATAGTTTATATAAATCTCATACATTTATCTCATTATTTATTTATGTATCCTTGGGACAAAATAAATAAATAAATGATTTGTGACAAAAAAACGAATTCATTAATATATCCATTATATAAATGTATGTTTGTATGTATACATTTATATAAATTTACACATGTGATTCTGAAATGGTAGATTTATATAAGCTATTAGATTTATATAAGGGAATGTAAGGGAGAAAATCTCATACATTTATATAAATTTACATGTGTACATAAATGAAAACCAAAACTAGTTTTGTTTTATTCTCACTTTTACCCCCTTAAAACCCCTAAATTCCACTTTCTACCCTTTTTGCATCACATAAATATACAATCACTTTCTACCAAAAAAACGAATTCATTAATATATCCATTATATAAATGTATGTTTGTATGTATAAATTTCTTGAAGTGTTAATACAATAATATATATATATATATATATATATATATGTTTACATTCCCTAAAAATTAAAAAAACTTATATTGTGAAGGAATTAGGTTTAGAGATCCCCTAGTCATTCCTTAAGTCCTAAGCTTCACTCTGTTTCCATTTTCAAGATAATAAGTTTCCTCTTCCTCTTCTTCGTCTCTGCTGATCCGTAGAATAATCTGCCGCAGAGCATGAGAACTAACCGACACACTAACCTCTTCACGAGGATCAACAAAGATTACATTTCCTTCTACTGATCCAACATTACTCGTAAACCGATCAAGAATCATCACCACAAAGGGAAGATCAGGTTCTTGAGTGGTAGGGACGATGATCTTAGCCCGACAAAGCGGACAGTTTGAGTGAGACTTGAGCCACCGATCAATACAAACGACGTGGAAAGTGTGGTTGCATTTTGGCAACAACCATTTAATTTGCCATTTTCTTGATCTATAAGACAACACAGAAAGGTTTATCGCTAATACAGAAGCTTTTTTCTCTCTTATCTCTTTTAATATACAGAAGAAAATGGTCTTTAGGTGTCAGCAAAACCAAGGCCTCAAGTTAGGTTTTGTCCTACTAATGGCAAGTATGTGAATGGTCTTTAGGTGTAATGTGATTGTCTATTTAATTATTTATGTGATGCAAAAAGGGCAGAAAGTGGAATTTATGGGTTTTAAGGAAACTAGTGGGACGTGTGATTGTTTCTTCAGCATTAGACTTAGACAGGCAAAATAGAAAAAAGATCATAACAATATAGTTTTTTTAATCCATCCCAAATGATCATAGCAATATACTATATAACCTTTTAATTGTTTGCCAAATACTAAACTTCATGCTTCATGAGATATACTATATAAACTTTTAATTTCTTTGCCAAATACTAAACTTAAATGCTTCATGAGATATACTATGGGAGTGGATCCTTGAATAGCAGTCTTCTCATTCTCATATCTCCTCAAATTTCATGTTCCATATGATCTTGGGGATCATCCATACCCCTGCTGATGTAACTATTCCAAGAGAAACGACCACCACTAGGAAGTAATTTACATAGCAGAGAAGAAGACACATGAATACCACTGCAGCGAGTAATGAGATAAAGTCGTTAACGCGTCCCAATACCGTACTTTGACGGGCACGAGCGGTGATGAATGCTCCTGGAATTGATAAAAGAAAATTAGATATCAAACGGTTAAGACTAAACTAATTAAAAAGTAAATTAAACCAATTCAATTAAATAATAATGGAATCTCACCACACAGAAAAAGAATTAGGAAGAAAGTAAAAGACAGAGGATCTTTTACTCGACCAAGCACAAAGAAATATTGACCAAAAAGGGCTTACAATTAAAGTTATAATTCAATGATTCAACACAGTATTTGTTCTTACTTCTTAGTTCTTACTAATCATCTGATTTCCGTTCTTACTAAACCAGTCAATTAAAGGGTTAAGTTCGATAACACTAAACGAAATCAATCAATCAACCTGTCCAATTAAGTCGCTAGCACTAAATCAGTCCAATTATACCAATTCGATAACACTAAACCATTAACCCAATCAATAAACTGAGTAAAATCAAAATCAAAATTTTACCTGCCCAAATCACCAACGTAGACATCGCGATGAGATTGAAGAGCTCATCTCCTGTGGTATTGTCCGGCTTAAAAACGAACGGAATCGTCGTTGTCTTGTTGGAGGAGGTTGATGTTGTGGATGTTGTGACAGCAGATGGTTTCGGAATGAAGCTTAAGACACCGCCAACAAATGCTCCAAAGACTGTATGGAGGCTAAGAGCGGTTTGGTCTCACGAGGACAAATTTAACGGCGTGAACCTTTCCAATGGTTTACTTGCACTTGCTTCTGGATCTGAGCGAATGCCACTCATGTATAGAACAACGGTACAGGTGAATTTGCAGAATGATTGGAATGAAATCACCGTACCCAACCCAAGTGCAGCTCTAGATCTCCACTTAAAGTCTGATGCCACCGGTGACGAACGACAGTCCGGTATGACATTCCAAATGCTTCAATCTGGGTGACCTCCACTCCCAATGAAGTCAAAGCTTGGTGTAAACCTCCAGGTGTCAGCAGCTGATTCTCTAGAGGAATCTGGATGGTGGGAAGTTCTTCGGTTGTGGGAAGTGCTTCGAATTTGGAAATCTGACGAAAAGCCTGAAAAGATTTGTAGAGGTAACTTGATTGGTGAATTGGGGTGAAGATATCTATGAATTGAGAAGAAGTGATTGTTCCATCTCGGGCTTGGTCATATTTCTGCAGGAGCCTCGCTATCTCTTCACTCGTGAACTTCAGTTTGAGCTTCTCCATGGCCGTCTTGATCTCGAAGAAATTGAGCTTTGCGCTTGGATTAACCCTTTCTTCCTTCGTGACCTTAAGTATAGCAGCGTTGATTTCTACGCCAATTTGAATAATTATATTTTCAGCGTCTATTGAATGTGATTCACTCATGTTTTCAGTAGTGGTTTTTGAAAGTGAAGAGAAATTACTTATGATTTATGCTTACAAGTTTATATAGCCTGAATTGTGAATTGCAGAGAACGAAGGCTGGTGAAGGTGAGCTGGCCGTATGTCAACAAATGTTTACCGTTCGGTCAACGTAAAATTATCGTTGCCAATAGGTTGCATTTTTACCTGTGTTCTAAAACTCGTTAGGCGGTACTAGGGCGCTCCGTCTCCTTCTAGCGATTTTCTTAAAAGTCGGAAATAAATCGGAGAGTACTCGGAAATTAATTTTAAGTACATTTTTATATATTTCCAACATTTTTAATTTTTTATATATAATACATCAACATGAAAATCATATACTACATTATTACCAAATAACATTCTTTTTTTATATATAATACATCAATATAAAAGTCATATACTACATTTTTAAGGTTTTATGTTGAATGAAAAGTGCTTTACACACTTTGGGCGAATTGGGGCTAATTGTGAACAAAAATCAAACTTTAGCCCACTAGATTTTAACATTTACTTACTGGATTTTTATAAAAATGTGAATGTCAAAGTACGGTCAACGGTTGACCATATCTTTACTCGGTTTTTAAAAAGTCGGAACGGCAACCTCCTTCTGACGGTTTTAGGACCGAGTACTCGGCAACTCGGCCGACTTTTAGAACACAGATTTTTACCCTGTCCGAAGGTCAATTTATTTATTTGGGTATTTGCTTTCTAAAATTTATTTATAAATGAATAATTTAGATTTGTTTACAATTTAGGTTTGTGTTAGATTTAAATATTATAGGTTTAGATATATTGAAAAATGTATAATTTGAATTTCTGTTTTGAATTTACATAATAATATAAATAAAGTGTGGAATAAAAAAGTTAGAGTAAGCCAACTCATTTATAAGCCAAGAATTAATAAACCCTTGTATTCGTTTATAAGTTGTGGAAGGCCTAAGTGAGAGTAATAGCTCTATTATGCAATTATTATCATAGTGCAAAAGAAAAAAAGGATCAACCAAAGAGTCAAAACTATAAAATTGAGAACCAAACTAAGCACTCCTTTCCCAAAACAAACTCAGAAATGAACGACCAGAATCCTAAGCTAATCAAACCCATGCGATAGAGTAATCCGATAAAAAAACAACATATTTAAAGAGAATTGAGAGAAGAATTATTAAAAATTCTAGCGAACCAATGATTAATTTTCTGTGTGCGTAATTATGTAGTTCCAGAAACCAAATTCTACAATTTATATGCTGAAGAATATGTTGATATGTATTAAGGTTTCATTGATACTGTTTCAATTATTATTATTATTATTTTTTTTTTTGTCAACAGCCTAAGTTCCTAATTGGAAGCGTAACTGATGGAACTGAGTTTACATAGTACACATCATAAGGCTGATCTGTTTCAATTATTTAACATAGAATTAGAAAGGCAAAGAAAATAATTACTCCATCTATTTCATAATAAGCGTCATTTTGAGAAAATTGCATTGTAATGTATCTGGATGTATTAAATTCAAAACACATCCAGTATATCCAATTACATTCCAAATATATTTTCTCCAAATGACACTTACAATAGAAACTCTATAAATTAATAATATTGGGACTTTGATATTTTATTAATTTATAGACTTATTAATATATAGATTTAGACAAAAAAAAGATTTCAAAAAAAGAAAATTCATTATTAATATTTTTCTAACATTTTCCGTCAAATTAAATAAGAACTTTCATTAATACATATATTTTCTTAATCATTTTTATGTTTTTATATTTAAATTATTATTTACATTTTCTCATACTTGCCATATTGTTTAAATTTCTTTTTTCTTTTAATTTGCATAATTATGTTTGGTGTGTGAAAGATTCATATTTTAGTAGTTAGATATCTTATATATATTTTTATATGATAATTATTAATTTATGATATTATTGGGACCATCTTATTATATAAAGTTAGATGCGCGCGATGTAGTTGCGACATGTAGGATTTTTATAAATTATAGGATTATGTCATGTGTCACTTTTAATATTAAGTTCATTCGGATCGTGACACGTGTTTTCAATTTTTTTTTTATTTAAATATTTGGAGAACTAAAATTAAGAAAAAAGAGGAAATTTTAATCGAATTGTGAATTGCAGAGAGAACGAAGGCTGGTGAAGGTGAGCTGGCCGTATGTCAACAAATGTTTACCGTTCGGTCAACGTAAAATTATCGTTGCTAATAGGTTGCATTTTTACCCTGTCCGAAGGTCAATTTATTCATTTGGGTATTTGCTTTCTAAAATTTATTTATAAATGAATAATTTAGATTTGTTTACAATTTAGGTTTGTGTTAGATTTAAATATTATAGGTTTAGATATATTGAAAAAATGTATCATTTGAATTTCTGTTTTGAATTTACAAAATAATAGAAATAAAGTGTGGAATAAAAAAGTTAGAGTAAGCCAACTCATTTATACGCCAAGAATTAATCATCCCTTGTGTTTATTTATAAGTTGTAGAAGGAGCCTAAGTGAGAGTAATAGCTCTCAGGGGCGGATGTAGGTATAGATGGGGTTTTGACGATCAGGAGAGACTTATACTTTAGTCAATGTTGCTTTAAACCACTCGTATTCAAGCTTATCTCTTGGATTTGAACTTCTTAAAGCTAGTTAACCCTTTCTCAAGGTGAAAACTATCAATCAAGGCTCAATCTCAGAAACATGTTCCCACCAGTGAGATCAAGTCTTGAAGGCTTTAAAAACTGTGATCAAACTCGCCCCTGACATCTATGAACTGTCACTTTCGTGAGACAGGCATGCTAGAGCTTTTGTTAGGCTTGTTCAAGCGATTATCAAGCCATTTCCATGGTGATAATCGCCTAAAACCAAACTCACTAGAGATAGTAGTGAGATGCACTAAGCACAGCCTAAAAGAGAGAGAGAGATAGATTAAGACACTAAGCAACAAGGTTTAAGCATAAGAAACTCCTAATCTAACCCATCTCTAAACCTAATAATCTAACTACTCACAATCCATGAAGGAAACTAAAGCAAAACAAGATAAATCAAGCATCGTAAGATAGAGTAAGATGAGATGAACAAATTTTATTGAAATAAGCTAGTGCAAATACTTAAAGATAAAGCCAGGATCTAACATTCAAAGTACCAAACTCTCAAGAACACAAGAGAGAGCTTTTTGGGTGGCTAAACATAAAAGTAGAAAAGATTACAACGCTAAAGATAAAGTTATGAGCAAAAACGTGCTCATTTGCCTTTTATAGGTGAGTCATTTTGTAACGGTCAAAGGAGGTCAAAGGGAAGGCATAATTTTCGGATCCTTGACGTTTGGAAAAGCAGTTCGATCGAGTCGTCATTTGGCCGGTCGAGCTAGTGCAAATTGGGAAAATATTGGCCTAGCTCGACCGGTTGGTCGAGTGGTTGGGTCGAGGGGTTGGATCGAGCTGGTACAAAAAGGCGCCACCTTTGAACATCTTCAGCTGCGCGACCGAGTGGTGGTCCATGCATGATCCTTCCTTGCTCCTGATACTAGGATTTTACTATCAATTATCCTAAAGCAGTGTATCTATCGCAGTAGTACTTTAGGTATCAATCCAATCAGGTGAGATGCTAGCAATCAAGATATGACAGAATACTCAATTCAAGCCAAATCTATCAGTGTGGTGACAGTGAACAAAAGAGATCGAGTGCAATAAGAATGCAATCAGAGCTGAGCAATAATGCAATGAGCTGAAGAAATGACATGTGAATATCAGAGAAAGATCAAGCTCCTAAGGATGGGGTAATCGACCTGTAACTACTCCTAACGTGATCTCGTCGCTTAACAAACCTCAAACACGGGCTAATCCCTCAACAACGAACTCGACAGACAAGATCAATTCGCTTTCACGAAAGAGATCAACAAACTAGTGAATTCTCAAGACCTAATCATCATTAGCGAAGAAAACACAAGCAAGCATTAAGTTCGGATTCGATAGAGTCGAAATACTCTCTAGACATCTAATCCCTTAGGCTAGAACAGTAAATCTCTGGATCAGCTGGTTCAGACATCTCATCGAACGCCTCATGAGCGTGGAAATGTCTAAGATCCAGATCCAGGTGATCAGAAAGAAGCTCACTAATCCAGAAGGGATCGATTTGACAAACAATACTTAAGCAACTCGATCACGCTAGGGTTCGCTACAGATCTATCCCATCCTCAGAAACTTAAACGAAACTACTCGCTAGAACTCATCATACACATTTCAGAATCAAAAGAGATAGAGTGCATAATCAAAGCGACAAAGAGATAGAATCGAAAACGCAAAGTACTTAGAACTCAAAAACAAATCTGAAAATACAACTCTGTTCGAATGTAAAAATGAAAGATGAAAATAAGATAATGGAGGCTGCACCTCTCTCCTTGGTTTTGATACTCGAAAACCTAGTGTTTTAGAAAAATCGGGAAATAAAATAAAAAGGGAAAAGTTGGCCGAAACAAGCACTGGGTCGGATCCCTTAATGGGCTGGATCGATCCCGTCAGAACGTGGGCCCTCTCGCTTGACTTTGACTCCGTCTCTCAGGTTTGACGTCGGCGCTACGGCGTTCATACTTCAGTCCAGCGTGACCTCATCGAGCTCGATCACAGCACTCGACCTCGTCCAATTCGATCACTTGATGTTTGATAGCGTCAACGCGACCACGTGTGCTCTGTCACTCCAGCTCCGCTCCATCACTCCAGGAAACACCTAAAACTGACACAAATGTACAAGATGCAACAATGCTAGTCCTAAATGCACTAAATGCGGAATATGAGTGAGATGAGTGAAAACGAATGCAAATGAACGGTTATGGATGCAAAAACATATACAATCGAGTGCCAAAAACATGCAAAGTATGAACACATCAACACCCCCAAACTTAGTCTTTGCTTACCCTCAAGCAAATAAGCGCGACCAAGTCATAGAGGTGAGGTTTGAAGGTGGGGGCTCAGAACCAAAACATGCCAATAAAGAAGATAAAATCAATGTCCTAGTTGCTAGTTCTGAGGCGCAAGGTGATAGAGTCAATCATAAAAATCTCAGTCAATCTCCTTAACATTCAATTATAAGTAACAGTGAATCGAGCTATGCAACTAAATCGAACTCAATCGGCTAAGGGTAAGGCTTTTTAGAGACAGAGCACGAGTCTTACAGGTGGTTCAGTTCTTTTTAAAGTGATGGGGTTCTCTCAAAGAAAGGCTCGAGCTTTAGAAGAATGCTAAAGGTAAAGACCAACTGATGTATACAAGAGATCGATCCCATCTACCCAGAAACAAATGTAACATCCACTGAAACATGAAACCCAAAACTGTTCTTAGTTCTACCCTTTTTTTTTCTCTTGAGACAGATCAGAACGAATTCGTTCTCTTCATTTTAAGGGTCTAAGGGAATAGCTTTATTTTTTTTTACTCGATAGCTGCAGCTCTATCTAGACTCGATTCCTAAGTATATACAAACATTTTTTTTTTTTTTTCGAATCTGTCTAGACATACAGAGAGCTAGAGCTGACATACACTACAATGTTTCTCGATTCCCTTAGACTCTAACTCTTTATTTTCCCTTATGACTCTATCTCAATTTCCCTCGACATCAAAGATAGCTCGATCGAGCTCAACAAATAGCACCCCCAAACCTAGGTCTAAGTGACTCAGAAAAGCGTGAGCCAGATCTATATGGGATTTCTCTCTTGTCGGTCATAATCCTAACACTTTCTTCCAAGCTCAAACCTGAAAAAAGCCTACCACTCAGTAAATAATCAAGGATGAAAAGAAAGGTTGGCTAGAGGGTGTGAATATTGTTCCAAAAGTGGGAATCAGCTACCTGGATTAACAAGAATGACAAACAGATAGAAGCAAATCCAGATATGTATACAGTGACCATGAGCTCGATCTCGTTGCACAACAAGATAATTATCAATCAATTAAGTTCAGATAGATGGAGAATGACTTCAATTCACAATATGCGCTCAGACTCAATCGGTTATGCACTCAAAGAACTAACAACAAGGGCACTGAAATTTTTCACTTCATTAGCATGCTTACAAGGTTTTAATCATCACAGACCCCTATGCAAGTGCAACAGTTCTACATGAATGCCTAGACTCGATCTAATGATGCAATGCAATCTAAATGTTTTTTTTTTTTTTTTTTTTTTTTTTTTTTTTTTTTTAAATGCATGCAAAGTTATAATACATAAACAAAGAAAAAGAAGTCAAATACATCCTGAACCTCCCCCCCAAACTTGAATTACACAGTCCCTTGTGTAATAAAAGTCTAGAAAAGAAGATTCAAGAAAGAAAAAGATAAACTAAAAATGGATTGTACAATGAGATATAGTGCGAATGGACCTTCAGTAATGGAACTGGAAGAGCGAATCAGTCGCTTCCTGCATGGACTCCTACGTGTATGGTGGAATGGTGGAGGAGCCGGCTTGTTCGGTCGAGTGTGGGACGTGGTGCTCAGTGGGGCTCGAGTGCATCTCTGTGAAGTTGGGCGCGGTGGTGTGTGGCGCGTAGTCGTCAGCTGCAGTGCTCGATGGCATCGCCAGATAATCGTCGTTGGTGGTCGGGCGTGGTACAGAGGATGATCGCCGGAACAGAAGGTCAGCGTCTGCTTGTGTCTCCGACTGTCCTGCTGTCTGGTGCTCGTGCGTGCATCTCTTCCTCTCGCACGGCTCGTAGGAAGAGTAGCGCGGCTGGTCGGTAGTGTGTCTGCGAGAGCCTGTGGGGACGGGATCGAGCTCTTCGTCGGATAGATCGATCGGTTGCGGGTCGACCGGTGCCGTGCTTCTCTTGACAAACAATTCTTAAGCAACTCGATCACGCTAGGGTTCGCTACAGATCTATCCCATCCTCAGAAACTTAAACGAAACTACTCGCTAGAACTCATCATACACATTTCAGAATCAAAAGAGATAGAGTGCATAATCAAGCGATAAAGGGATAGATTCGAGAGTGCAAAGTACTTCGAACTCCAAAAACAAATCTGAATAATACAACTCTGTTCGAATGTAAAATGAAAGATGAAAAATAAGATAATGGAGGCTGCACCTCTCTCCTTGGTTTTGATACTCGAAAACCTAGTGTTTTAGAAAAATCGGGAAATAAGATAAAAAGGGAAAAGTTGGCCGAAACAAGCACTGGGTCAGATCCCTTAATAGGCTGGATCGATCCCGTCAGAACGTGGGCCCTCTCGCTTGACTTTGACTCCGTCTCTCAGGTTTGACGTCGGCGCTACGGCGTTCATACTTCAGTCCAGCGTGACCTCATCGAGCTCAATCACGGCACTCGACCTCGTCCAATTCGATCACTTGATGTTTGATTGTGTCAACGCGACCACGTGTACTCTGTCACTCCAGCTCCGTCACTCAAGCTCCATCACCCCAGCTCCATCACTCCAGGAAACACCTAAAACTGACACAAATGTACAAGATGCGACAATGCTGATCCTAAATGCACTAAATGCGGAATGTGAGTGAAGATGAGTGAAAGGCTATGCAAATGAACGGTTATGAATGCAAAAACATATACAATCGAGTGTTAAAGACATGCAAAATATGAACACATTAGCTCCTCACGTCTTAAGTGGTTCAAAGTGCTCCAAATGACCTGTTTAAGGGCTCAAACATGCATATGTATGCAAATGCAAGCCTAATGTAACTAAGTATGCAAAAGAAGAAGAAAACTTCAAGATATGATGCTAAGGATGAGTGAAACTATGCAAAAGTGATATAAAAGATGTAAAAAAGCATGCAAAATACAAGTACATCAACACCCCCAAACTTATCATTTGCTTGCCCTCAAGCAAATAAATAGAACAAGAGAGAGATGGGATCTGAAAATCGAATTGACTTACCAGAAACAAGCATTCAAAAGCGATCTAATCAATGTCCAATTTCAGAATTCTAGAATGCAATAAGGTGAGAACTACTTTTTAAAATCTTAGCCATGCTTAACAAGATTAATCCTACTTCTCAGTTATTCAAACATTGCATTATCAGAAAATCTCTTTAACATTCATTAAGCAGAATAGTGATTTTTACTATTGATCTAAATCCCTTTTCGGGGTTAGAGTTGATTTTTCTAGTCCATACTATTTTACTGTGTCTGTTAAAAAATTAGATTTGTCATATCCTAATAGAAAAATGTTTCTCATTTATCAAAATTATATTATTTTTAAAACATATTCAATTCAAAATAATATAATAAATAAAATCCTACTAATACATGGAAAAGATCATGTAAACTTAATTTCCTATAAATGCATGGAATAGGTTACGTGAACCCCTATAAAAAGAGAGTTAGGGACCTATTCTATTTTTTTTCTCATTCACAAACTCATCAAAGCAAATTCATCAAATCTCTTTGATTATCTATCTCTAATTTAAATATCATGTCTTTGAAAGTTTAAGAAAAGAGTGGAGATTATATGACTTTAAGTCAATTGGATCAAAATCGAACTTATCGCCGTATAGTACGTGTTGTCCGAAAGTGGGAAGCTAGAAATCCTTAAAAAAATATCCTTATGGAAATTGAGCTTATATTCTTGATGAAAAGGTTAGTAAGAAAATATATAATTTAAAATAAATTGTTATATCCATTAAAAAACGGAAAAAATATATTCTCAATACAAGAAGGAAGCAAAAAAAAATATTTAATAAATTATACCCTTCATGATTTATATATTATTATATTATTGTGAATGGGGAATATGTTTTTAAAATTTCTATATTTTGTTTAAATTTTGTTTCTATATTTTGTTTGAACTTTCTCTCTCATTAAGAAATCAAAAATCATGTTTTTAAAAGTTCAAGATATCAATGAAGAATACTTAATTTTATATCAGTTTGATCAAAAACTGAACTATTTCCCCATGTAATATTTGATAAGGTTATAACATGTATTAACACAAGAAAATTAGAAAAAAATAATAACAGAAATAAAAATTGTAAAACAACTAACTTATAATGAAAAGAAAAATTCATAATGGTCTGATGCAAAATAAAAATTATAAAAGAAGGAATATAAATAGAAAACTTAAAAATAATTATCAACAACTAATTATAAAAAAGAAATTTTATATTAGACCAATATTCTAATTAGAAATAGTTTATTTTCAATTTTTTTTTTAATATTAAAAAAAAGATTACATTAACAGAAATCTCTTTGATCGAATAATCAAAGTTTCATGTATTATTTAGTCCATTATATTTAAACACGTAAATGTAATTCTATAGTAGATAAAAAAAATATTTTTCATATCAAGAATTCAAAACAAATGTCAATTATAATTAAAATGTAAAAAGACTACCAATCTTATTTTATTTACTGATTTGTTATTGGGTTTCAAATATTATTCAACTTACTTTTAAAAGTGATCAAATTTGTGTTTAAAATTTTTACAGGATTTATTTCAAAAATCTTAAAACAAACCCGCATATACGCTGGACCTTATCTAGTTATTTTTAAAAAGCTTTATATAAATTAGAAGAATTGTGTAAGGGCAAATTCGTTCAGTTCAAAGAAACAGTGTTTACCTATTTTTTAAATTTATGATTTTATATGACTATATTGTTAATTTGATTTCTCATTATGATTATTCACGTAATTCACTTTACAATATTACTGTAGCAAAAAATTCAGATAAATACACTATCATATTTTGCAGCGAAATTTGAAATAAATGAAGACTCATTGCCCGCGCTGTAAGCTGCGAGCCCGTAAGTGGTGTAATTTTTTTTAACTCAATTTAAGATTGTGATCGTAAAATTCTTGTCCAGTAAGAAAAGAAAACTCTCTTATTCGGCACGTCGAGTATATGAGCTTGTCTTTCTTATATAGCACGTCTGAGTAGAGAGAGACCAGGACTTGAGCTTTGTTTATCTCATGTTTCTGCTTACAACTATTTGATACTTAAAAATCCCATATGTGAGGTGAAAAATGGTAACCGCTGAATATTGCTGAATGCGGAATCTGACGGAATTAAATAAAGTTTTTTTGCAGAATCTGGCTGAATAGTTAGTATTATGAATGGTAACAACTGAATTTGCTGAATGCGGAATAAGTAATTTATAATAAATAAATAAAATACTAGTGAAATATATAAATAATTGTTAAATAACATTAATTACTAAAATATATCAAAATTTAAAATTTTGATTCATAATAATTTATTAAACATCAAAATTATATATCTATATGTATATATATTATTTTTTAAACATTTCCCCATTCAATAATGAAAACCGTCTCAAATTTGTTACTTAATTCTTATATAAATTTTATGTGCTATAATAATTTAAACTAAAAGATGTATTATTTAATATATCATATCATATATGGATATAGTCTTCTAAATTTTTAAAAAAATTATGAATCTGAATTCATAATTTGATTTTTTGAGATCCTTAATCTTATTATTAAGATTAGGTGTAAACCAGCGCAATGCGCGGGTGGATGCTACGTGCGGGTTATTGTCTTCTACCATTTTATATATTAATATATTCATTTATGTTCATTTTGCATGTTTTACATAGTTAATAGATTATTAGTTTACTTGCATGTTGTGTTTCTTTAGAATTGCTAATTTTTCCAGTTCCATTGCTTTTTTAACCACTCACATTTCCAACGTATTTCTCTCATATTTTTTTACTTCTTCATTGTATAAACATAGCACATAAGCTTTGTATACAATTCTTTGATACAACATAATTCGTACAACGTTTATAATTTAGAAAACACTTAAAATACTGTCTAGAAAGTTTACCAGGAAAAATAGGTATGTATATACGATGAGATACAAATACAACTTTAGTAAAGCTATAACTTATCTAACTTTGTTTTATAAATTATATCACAGCAGTCCACATTGTCCTCCATGCCTTTGATAACACAGAAGTCCTAACAGCTTCCACGTTGATAAGGCTCCCAGGCAAATCGTTAAAGTTATCATCAAGGCTCTCATACATTGATTATATTTCCCTGATACAGCCGAAAACAGAAAAATCAAAGAAAAGTGCAAAAAGAAAAACGTTAATCCATAGTGAAAAGAAATAGAAATATAGGTGAAACCAATGTAAAAGCATGCACAGAAAATATTCAACAATCAGGAAAAGATAAGAGAACAATGTAAGCAGTCTTTAAACCGGCATGAACTTTTCTCAATCTTTCCACAGCTCTGTCTGAAGATTCCATCTGTTTCGACTGATCTTGGTGTTTCCTCTTCCGTTTCTCTTCCTTCCTCTTCCCAGGTTTCTTCATGTGGAATCCGTGACACAGTAACCGAAACACTTCTCTCTGTATCCAGAAGTGTATCCGAACCAGGATTAAGCTACATTTGCATGGTTAAAGGTAAATAAATTTATATTGCGATAAGAAGTTATGGACAGTATACAGACTAACCTGTCTGGCTGTGTTTCAGTTTGGTACCAAAGGTACAAAATCTTTAGAGCATGATTAACGGTAGTTCTTAGCTTAACTGGGTTCTTAAGCTAAAACATTTTTAAAATAAATAAAAAAATGGTAATAATACCCAAATCAGAAAAGATTCAAAAAACTCATCACATCTTACGGTTATTGAAATATTGAATGCATTCCGTATTATTATATCAAATCAGAAAAGATTCAAAAAAACTCATCACATCTATCTCAGAGACACAAACATAACCACAAAAAGTTCACTATTCACCCATACACAAACAAAAGCCTTTAGAAACAGTTTATCTATGTTTTAAACTTTTAATCCATCACATAGTCAAGGCAAGACATTTCTTGTTGCTCACTCGTTTCCTCCTGAACAACATTTCTTGTTCTAAGCAAAAGAGATATTAGATGTGATTGTTGTGGTGGACTACCTCTCTAGCTGAAGCTAAAGCTCATCAAGTTCCTTGGATACAAATGCAACACAAATCTCCGTTTTTTTTGGACAAAAACTTTGAATGCTCCATAAAACCAGTCTTTACAACCTTAACTATCCTTTCATCAAGCAAAGTAACTGTCACAAGGAAAAGAAAAGTCATCACTCATCCGGTATATGAGAAAAATGTAAGAAAATGTTAACACAATCTTTCCAACTAAAGATAGCGAAACGAAAAGGTGATTTTTGGTTGGTCTATCACCCACCATCTCCTCAAGATCTTTCAAACAATAGCATCGAGTATAAAAGCACCTGGAGTTGCTAATTACTCCATTCCAGTAGATTTTACATCTCTAACTGGAGGTAAAAAAGCCCAAGAACTTACTGAAACCTGCGACATTAACAAAGATCATAAATGTTAAGTGGTCAAGTATATAAAAGAAGTTACAAGTACACAAGAAACTAATTAAACTTGAAACCAACCCAATTTAAGAGAAAACGAAAGCTCATCATCATCTGTAGACTATATCTCTAAACTCTAAATTGAACGTCAAACACTTTGGTCGAGGTTTATAAGATGTTGATAGGGAACGGGAAGAGTTAGTTACCGGCAGCTCGGTATCTGTAGGGATAGGTTCGCAGAGGGTCGAGTGTTGTGGCCATGTCAAGATCCTCTTTGGCTTTTTCACGCTCACAGTACTCAGACCGTTTCTCGTAGGCTGCTGCTTTGATAGATTATCGATCAGCTTTGTCATCTCCTCACACGCTACTTTACGTTGATTCTTCAGGAAATAAACCCGTGCAAGCCCTTGATGTGCACGAGTGTGTTTGATCTCTAGAGTGTTTTTATACGCAGCTTCAGCTTCATCTAGCATCCCGCAATCGATGTAGATGCTCCCAAGATTGTTTAGAGCCTACAAAACATAACAAAAGATTGATGAGAAAGAAAACAGTTCGACTAAGAGAAAAGAAAGAAGAAATATTAATATTGACATGTGAACCTGTCCTTTGGACACTTGAGGGCTTCCTCTAGAACCTGAACAACGCAAGAGGTCTCGTCCGGATCGAGATTCTTGTCAGCTATAACATAAGCTTTGAGGAAAAAAGCTTTAAAGGAGCGTTGAATGGAGATTGCCTTCTCGGATTTGGTAAGAGCCTCGTCCACATGACCCATGTCATATAAAAGCCACCCTTCGTAGACCAACCTCTCCGCCTCAGATGAAGCCAAGTTCCACGCCATCCGCAAACACCTCATCGCTGCTCCTTGACAATTCAATCTGTTGTCCCTGCTCCTTGTGCTTTTTAATACAAACATAAAGAAATGAACCTGAAATTAAATCAGAGCAGTAATTCCCAATTCATAAACAGAGTCCTAAATCGATCCAGCCGAATTGAAATGAAGCTTTTGTTCTTGTTACCTTTGTATTTAGGAGTAGGTTTGACACATGGATGCAAAACAAAGCTGAAAGGAGGAGTCCAATTGTCGAAAATTGAGTTTTTCATTCGGTTTCTGCAAATTTTGATGCTCAAATAGGTTCGTCAATAGTTTCTCTTTACTAATCTGTCCAGATGAAAATCAATCTGACAGCAAATCGAGAAAGTGGAAGAGAGAGGTACTTAAGTAAAAAGGGTAGCGTCTTACCTTATGATGTAGCAAGAGAAATCGAATCGCTTTCTGTGAAGAAGCACCGTCTCCCCACATCCACAGGAGGCGTACCGTGATGGTCTCCGCCGTGGGGCCTAAGAGGAAATCTTCAAACGTGCGGCATGGTGGTGGTGGAGAGCGAGGGTTGCCGGAAACCATTACAGCCGCCTGTGAAAAAAGCCTAGAGTCGTTGAAACGGAGGACTGTCGAAGTGTGCCGATTCGAGATTGTAAAGGTATTGTGAGCAGATGCGTCGCGGTTTTTTATAAAGGATTTCGAATTCGCAGTGGTGATCCCGTAACCGGCGCTTTCAATGGACACCATTTATACCATTTAAAGCAGAAACGTCGACGGAATTCAAACAGTCTCGTCGGAGGTGGGTGTAGATCAGGGAGGAGGAGGAATTGAGCGGATCGTCGAGGGAAAATCGGGGCTGAGTTTTGAAGAGAACAAAATTAAACAGGGAAAAAAAGAATAAATTGCTGTTATGCCATAAACTACGAGAAACGATGCTGTCGTGCCATCCTTCTAATAATGAATTTCTTTTCGATTTATTTTAATAAGGAAAACGAGTAAATGCCTATTTTGCCAACGAAAATCATCGTAATTACCGACCCAACCAGGGTTTTATCCATCCGTATAGAAAGAACCCGACCCGAACCGTCCATAACCCTAATTTTGAGAAAGTTACTATCGAAAAGCAGAAGTAAAAATTTAAATCTGTTTTTCGATCTTTACTCTTCGAAATCGCAACGGGATTTCAACGGGATTGGAGAAATTGAAGCGAGTTCGTCGAATCTTCAATCTCGGCAAAATCGAAAATCGAATCGCGTTCGTTCTTCTCTCTCTCTTCCGGTAAGCGAAAACCCGGATGATTTTCGAATAGAGTATGGTTCCATCTTCTCTCCATCTTTCTAACGCCGGCGGTTTTTCGTTTTCGTTTGTGGTTAGATAATGGCGAAGGTAAAGAACGCGAGCGGTCGACAATATGAGTCATATCGAGGTCCTCGGAACAAGCACAAGTTCAACCGGAACAACCCACAGAAGATTCGACAATGGTTAGTTGATGTTATGTTTGAATTCCTGAAGTAAGTAAGTAATTATAGAATTGGTGAACTTTAATTGAATTATTGAATCTGCAGAATGAGGCGGAGGATCCCCGTTCGGAAGACCACGAAGTTCAAGAACAGGAGAAGTCACACGATGGGAATGAAGAAGAAACCGGGAATGAGGTTGGTATTGTACAGAGTTTTCTATTAGTTTGGAATGCTAATTAGAATGGTTGGGTTGGAATTTCTATTAGTTTGGAATGCTAATTAGTTTGGGAATGAGGCTGAGAATGTAGAATGCTTGAAATTTAGAGAAATGATGGAACTTTTATGTAGTTGAAGAGAGATTGGTGAAGTTTAAATAGGTCCCCATTGTTTTACTTAGGTCAACTTTGAATAATTGGTTGATATTATTGTTTGTTTTGGCAGCATGATGAGGACGAATCTCAACCACTTCCACCAGAAAGCTTTTTCTTCAGTCCAAAGCAATATGGGAATAGTTGCAAGATAGCATCGAGATGTTATGTGAAGGAGACAGTGAATGAGATAAAGAAGTATCCTAATGAGTTGGAGTTTTTCAGAAAGCATCCTCAGTTCAAGCATATATTTCACATCAGAGAGGAGCCAAACCGCAAGTCGCAAGGACTATGGATGCTGCTACTTCATCATGCTAGGACGGAGAAGGAGAATGAGCCGTGGTTTGTGGTCACTGGAGTACCGATCAGGTATTCTATCAAAGAGCATGCCTTGTTAACTGGTCTAGATTGCCACGACTACCCAAGAAACTACAAGGATCTCAAGAGTAAGAAGAAAGGCGATTATAAGTTTGTGAAAAAGTGGTTTGGAAGGTCAACGGGGATAACAATAGCAGATGTTGTAGCCATGCTAGGTTCAATGAATAGCTCGGTTAACAAGAAGAAGATGGCGCTTCTGTACTTCCTGAGCAATGTGTTAAAGGCAAAGTCTAAGGTGGAGGGGAATATAGAGCCTTTTCTGCTGAAAGTTGTTGATGATTTGAAGCTGTGCGAAACATTTCCATGGGGCCGCTATACATTTGATGATTGTATTGCCGAGGTGAAGAAGATAATGAATAAGTTCAAGAGAGGCATCGTGAAGAAGGGAGATACATGGTGCTTCTCAGGTTTCAATCTACCTCTGGAGGCTTTTGCATTTGAGTGTATCCCTGAGCTGGGACGTACATTTCGTGAGAGGGTAGAGGCAGAGGAAGAATGTCCCAGGTTGTGCAAGAACATGTTCAAGGAGACGCATATGAAGGGATATCCTTTATCTTCTATTAATGACGCGATCGGAACCAGCAAGGTCAGTGATTGTTGCTCTAATATGTGGTTTAGTTGACTTTGTTAGTTAAGGTAGCTCTAGATTTTGGAAAACATATTTGCTCTCATATGTTTTGCTCTCATATGTTTTGCTCGCAGAATATCATTAGCATTTTGGAACCCACCCCAGATGAGGAAACTCTGATGGAGCGTATCATAGAGGCTGGTTGTGATGATGGCATAGGCTATGTGGATCCTATTGTTGAGGGTTGGAGAAGCCATCTAATCGATAAGAAGAAGAAGATATTTTGGGAATCCTTGTACGAGGCTGATGTGGCAGGGAGAGAGTTTACCGAGAATGAAGATGAAGAACCCGAGATGAGGTCTGACGTTGTGGAGCTTAAGGAAGTAATAAAGGCATTCATGGAGAGAATGGACGTGATTGAAGCAGTGGCAAAGGAAATAAAGGACACGGTTGGGGCTATGAATACGAGACTCATAGGTTTGGAGAGCTTTGTGAAGGAGCAAAGAGGCAAAGCTGTAGAAAGTGGAAGAAGAGGCTGAGGAGAAGTCAGAATCGGAAGAGGAGGAAGTGGAGGATGAAGAGAAGGAAGAGGCGGAAGTGGAGGATGAAGAGAAGGAAGAACATGAGGTGGAGGTGGAGGATGAAGAGAAAGAAGAAGAGGAAGAACGTGAGGTGGAGGTGGAGGATGAAGAGAAAGAAGAAGAGGAAGAACCACCAAGAAAAAGGCAGAAACCGTTAGCAGTAGAGAGGATTGAACGTCCACAGAGGCATGCTAAGCCTGCAGCTGCGAAGCGTAGTCCTTACGTGCCTGGCCGGGCAAAGGCGACTGGCAATGTGAAGGCAAAGAAAACCGTGCCAAAGGGAAAGAAGGGAGCTGTAGCCAAGAAGAAAGGAAAAGGGAAAACCAAGTAGTTTCATTTCTTTTTTTTATGGGATGTTGTAATATTAGTAACTATGCTATTCTCATACTTGTGTTTTTTGAGTTATGACTAAGCATCTTTGAAACTTTGTGTGTTATGACTAAGCAGGTTTTGGTTTTTGTTGTTTGGATAGGTTAACTGATCAAGTCTGAAATGAGTACAAATAGGTTTTCCTCTGTTCAACTGAGCACAAGTAGGTTTTGGATTTTGTTTGAAATGAGCACAAGTATGTTTTGGTTTTGGTTTTTGTTTTGGTTTGTGTTATTTGGATAGGTTTTGACATAATTAAACAATCCAAAAGGCTCCAAAGCTTCTAATTAAGCATAATTATACAAAAGGCATAAGTTAATAATTATACAAAAGGGCCTCTACCAAAGTTTGAAAAAGAGAGGCCAAACCCGTGAAAACATAGTTTCTCAACACTTAAACGAAACATAGTTGGGAAACTGAGCACAAACCATAGTTACTTAAACCAAATTGTAAAGAGACCAAGGAAGAGAACAAGGACAGAAACCACAAACGTAAGCTCCACAGTCCCGTGCTTCTTGTTGAGCAGACGAACCAACGCCTTGAGCTGAACAACATGATCCTTCAGCTCCACATTTGCCTTCTTCAGCTCCACAATTTCTGACTCCGCGACCCACAGATCAGTGCAGAGAGTAATCAGAGAACCATCCTTAAGCTCCTCTAGTGCTTCCTCCGTCTTCTCACCAAGACGTTTAAGGTCTTCCTCCGTCTTCTCACCAAGACGTTTAATTTCAGTGTGCAAGATCTGGACCTCCTCATAAATCACAGTATCCCACAATTTGCGAATATGATACCCCTCACACTACAACGAGTAAAAAAAACATAACGAGTAAACATCAACACCGTTCAAGAAAGCTCCAACAAGTTCCATATCTAACAGAAATAAAATTGAAAACAAATATCTAACTCACATCACGTTTGGTGCAAACGAAGAATCTCCTTCCATAGTCCCCTTCAATCGTAGAAGTCTCAAGGTAAACGTCTCCACCACAGTAGCAATTTTCGGACAAACCATATTCACCGTCGGAAATGAGACGGTGATCCAAAGAGTATGACGAGGAGGAAGACGTCGGAAGTGAGACCATTTTCCTTGCATCAAGAAACGGAAAACACAGAGAGAAATGAACAATCAACGGAAACGAACTCAGATCAGAGAATTTGGAGACTAAACCCTAATTGAACCTAGATCTACGAATTGAATTGAATTGAACCTAATTGAACCGAAAGCGTAGTGAAATCGGAAGCAAATGGAGAAAGCTGAATCGAAATCAGTCGAAATCGAGTCGAAACTGAAATCGGAACCGAAATCGGAACCCTATCTCTCTCTCTTTCCTCTCTCTCTCGAGAGATTTTTTTTTTCTTTCTTGAGTTTTCCGAAAATGCAGAAGAAAAAAAACCATTTTATAGAATAATTAAAAATCCAATTATTTTAAAATTATAGTTCCCTCCGAAATCTCCCGCCGGCGGCAATTGGAAAATAATCAATATTTCACTATAGTTGTACACAAGACAATAGTTGAGCCAAATTAAGCAATCGTTGAACATTGACCATTTTCCTATAATTCTAGTTGAACCTTGACTCCAATATTTCCTTTGCAGTTGTACCACCTACTAAACTCCAGTTGTACCAACTATTTAAATTTGAACTCCTTAGAACCCATTTGAACCTTTATCAAATGTCACAACCATAATAGGCGTCATCATAGGTCATAGACAAACAAAAACCTATAAATACACTACCAAAAACAATAACAATAACAAATATAACATAAACACAAACCACATAGTTTTGAATACTTTCACACAAAACAAACCACACAAACCACATATGACAATTATTGTTCATACTTCAACAAAAACACAAACGCAAACAACAAACACATAGTTTTGAGTACTTTCACATATGACATTGTTCATGTATCACTGCGCACAGGCTGGAACCACTTACCCAAGTTTTTGTCAAGTTGGGGCTTGTTACTCGTCTTCTTCTTCTTCTTGCGACTTTCTCCGGTCCCAGGAAACCGTTCTTCTTGATTTCTTCCTTTGGTTTTGTCGTAATCAAAAGGTAAGGCGAACAATTTTTGAATCTCCTCAGGAACATCCCAAGTAGACACATGTGGAACTGGATAAATTGTCCTGTGATACGCCAATGCCCACAGCTCAATCAAGTAATATTTTGAGCACATCTCGTATACAGTTGCCTCTGATCTCCTCCCACCAAGCCTTATATTTTCCATCAGTGCCGCTATCCCATGCACACACGGATACTTGTCTATGTCAAAACGTCTGCATGAGCAACTTTTCTTCCCTAAATCCACAAACTAAGTAACCTTATCATTCCCAATAACGCTGTACTCAAACTCGTAGTTGTTTAGCTCACTCACAGTCAAACAAGTAGCAATGGGACATCTTTCGTGCAACACGTTCTCCACAAATGGCACAATTACCTTTGCCTCCGGCAAAGACGCAGCCTCTTTCCTATGCTTGTTAAACCAAAATGCCATTTTATTAACAATTGCATCAATCATTGGTAAGAGATGCAACTTCCTCTCCTTCCTAAACACGCTGTTCAGAGACTCGCAAGTATTGCTGGTGTCTAAATTATACTTCTCCCCTTTAAAGTGGCACCTAGCCCACTTATCCACAGCCACACTCTCAACCAAATACTTATCCGCAGAAGGAAACATCTTCTTGAACTCGGCATACTCTTTCTCGAACTCATTCAAAGTATAAAGATGAGCGCAATGGATGAATTTTTGAGCAACAAGATCTTTGTTTACCTTGTCTACTACTCGACCTCTCACGTTTTGAGAGAGATGCCATATGCAATGCCCATGCTGTGACTTGGGATATACAGTCGCTACTGCATGAATTATGCTTTTATGCCTTGTCACTCATAAAAACCAATTCGTGATCATCCGGTATAACCGTTTTCAGCTTTCCAAGAAACCAGCTCCAACTAGCATGATTCTCACCATCAATCACACCAAACACAATAGGGTAATGATGATGATTAGGGTCCTGTGCTGAGGCAAACACAAGCTGTCCACCATAAACAGTCTTCAGAAAGGTTGAGTCCACAACTATCACTTTCCTCATCGATCTAAACCCTTCTATGCTAGCTCCCAAGGCAATGAACAAGTACTGGAACTGTCCCAAGATATCCAATTTAACACTTGTCACTGACCCAGGATTTACCTTCTCCAGCATGTACAAATAAGAGTACAACATCATATACCCTTCCTCAGGATTGCCTCGCACATCATTAACAGCCAGGCGTTTTCCTCTCAAGGCCGTGGAGTAAGACACACTCAAACCAACTCTGCGTTGAACGAGACCAACAATATTTTTCGGAGCTGGGGTGTCGAATTGACCAGGATAGTCTTCATGAAGAACAGATGCTACTAATCGTGGGGTACCTCTCCTTCTATTAGTGCTGCTACTCTGCGCAGCCCGAGAGCATGTATGCATCTTCCTGTACACTCTAATAGCGAATAAACTTGATCCCTTAATGTTTGTAGCTCGTAAATACCACTTACACCCAATACTCTTTTGACGACATTCAAGAATAAGTCGGCCTAGATCCGACTTATAAGTAAGGAATCCAAAACAGTTTTTATTTGAAGCTCGGTCGACCAAATCTTGCAATGCCTCCCTAGAACAAAACTCTTGACCTATTTCAAGACCCGTACCATCATCCCATTCAGTTACGTACTGTCTTTCTTCTGCAGAGCGTGGCAGGTCATAATATCTAGCATGGTTATCCAAACCATTAGATTCACAACACACGCCATTTTCGCCATTTTCGTTACCATCAGAGACCACCTCTTCAATGATTGGCGCCCTATGTTCTTCTTCTCCTTCTCCACGCGCTCTATAAATTGTAAGCATACCAGAATTCCGCAAATCACCATCATTTTCAACCGGGTCTTCATAATTCAAACCATATGAACTTACTGCCTCTGTTCTGGAAGTATGCTCCCTCCTCTTGTTTGTTTCCAAACCTTTCATTACCTCCACATGCATCACAGACCTAAATCCCTCTTTATCCAATGTCGTCAGATAAGCATATAAGTCATCATCATCGAATATATATGACTCTATCACAGGTTTATTAACCAATGGAATGTAACTCAGTTTCAGCTCCGGATTAGCTCCAACAACCGCAATCTTCTTCAATATCTTATCCACTAAATCCGAGTATGTTATCTCGGCCACAGATGATGTCTTAAACGATATGGCGTGTGATGGATTTCTTGTTACCCATTGCAGCCCCTCCTCGCCTCGTGAATAGGAACCTCCATACTGAAAATGTACGTTTGGGTTGAAGCACATTTTCTCCCTGCAAGTATAAAGATGTCAATTTATCATTATACTCTATCAGCGGACATAGTTGTATTATGTGTACCAGTTGTCCTATATTTATCAGTTGTACCAAGTGTACTAGTTGTCCTACTTCTTCTTCACATTACGGGAATTTGTGCTCGGTTTTAAGCTATCAATCATCTCAAGGCCTCGTCTATAGCCACCAAATTAGTGAAATTATTACTAATCTATTCAATATTGTACCAATTTGCATACTATTTGAAGCAATAACGCAACAGCGGCGGATCTACAACAACGGCGGATCTAAGAAGAAAGAGAAGAACAATTATCTCAATTAATGGCGGATCTACAACAACGGCGCAAGAAGAATTCGAATTCTGGCCGGAGCTCCAGATCTCGACTCACTCACGAGAGCAGCTCGAGCTTGAATTACTGGCTGATATACAACAATGGTGGAGGCCTTAGTCGATGCGTAAGAAGAACTCAAATTCCAGTCCGCTCGTCCGACGTCGACTCACGGTAAGATCTGCTCGCCGGAATCGCGAAATTTCTCTGGAATCGCTCGAAATCGGAATAAAGCGAGCTAAAAGAATCGAGAAATGAGCTGAAAGAAAAAAGAAATTAAAAATCGAATTTGTTTTAATTTGATTTTCTTTTTTGATTTTCTTTTTCCCTCCAAATTTTTTTTCACCCACTCCTTTCAATAGTTACCTAGCTCAAATTCACGAAAGTATTCACTGCGTTCACTTTCATTAAGGGTCAAAGGGTAATTTCACCATCTCCTTTTGTCCGTACATGGCATTAGACTATGCCATGGCACGCCAGATTTTTTTTTCCCTGAAAATGGCATAACAGTCGCGGACTCTCTAGGGTAATTATTTTATGTATCAGTAGCAAAACGACGTCGTTTTGGAGCGCTGAGAAATGGAATAAAAACGATGCTGGTTTGCAGTTAGTCGTGGTGAGTTTAAAAAAAAAAGGTTAAATGTGACGTGGCACTCTTTGAAAGTGCTGATGTGTCATCAGCTGGAGAGTGTCACAAGCACTTTAAATTATATAGATTTGATTCAAAATACTCAAAATATCAGAATATTCTAAGATGTCAGATCGAATTCTGTATAAGGTATAATTGTCCCACTCCTAAGAATTCTTTTATGTAACATTCCAAAATTCCTCAATTTATAAGAGAAAAACAAAGTACATAACTACTAGTTTATTTGAATTTGTAAATAATTTAAATGATTTTAATAGTTATAATCAAAAAAATTTAATGATATTTTGATTTTTTTTCATATTGATTTAATACATTTCACTATTTCAGTGAAATCTCATCATATAAAATTGGATGCGCGCGATGTGGTTGCGATACGTAGGATTTTTATAAATTATAGGATCGTGACATGTGTCACTTTTAATATTAAGTCCGTTAAGATCGTGACACATGTTTTGTAAAAAAATGGAATTTATTTTATTTTATTTAAATATTTGAAAAACGAAAATTAAGAAAAAAAAAAGAGGACATTTAATCTATTATATTTGTGAAATCCTAATAGAAAAAAGTTTATAATTCATCAAAATCATATTATCTTAATAAATATTAAAATTCTATTAGTACATGAAATAGGTTATGTAAACTAAATTTCTTATAACTGCATGAAATATGTTAAGTGAACCCCTATAAAAAAAAATTATGGTAGTCTCTTTTTTTTTTATCCACAAACTCATCAATTTTTTTTTGATTATCTTTCTCTAATTGAAAAATGAGAAAATTAAAAGGATATTACATAAATTAATCATATTTTGAAAACTAACATCTTTTTTAAATTGTTGGAAAATTAATCTTTCTAATATTCAAAATTACTAAAATATCCTCAGTTTTTAGATCTTAAAATTGTTTTCAAATTCTTTTATTTTATTTAAAAATATTTCAATTGAAAAAAATAATCTGTTATTTTAAAATAATTATAAAAAAATAATTTTCTTTTTAATTATATAACAAAAAAAAGAAGAAGAAAAAAAAAATCAGGGATATTTTCATAAAATATGAATAAAATTTATAAAAAGAAAGCAAAAAGATATTTAGAAGATCTTATTTGAAATTTAACATCTCATAAATATAGAACATGAATTAATTTAACACATTCCATCATATTTTTTAAGAATGAAGTGTGAGTTTTTCTTTGTTCTAAAATGATATTTATGTGTATCTATTTATAGAGTTTGATTCATATTTATGATAAATATGAATATATTTTCAAAATAACATGTGTATTTAAATATTTATTAAAAAATATCTAAACGAATTTTCAAAAATATCTTATATATATATATATATATCTAAATTCAATATATATCTAAATTAAATAAATTTTTTTTCTCATTATTAATAGAAAAATGATAATAGTTTTATTGTCTTTTCACTTATTAAAAAAGTTAGTTTTCAAAATTTTTAAAATCAGGGTTAGTTTTCAAATTATGAAATTTTTTAGTAATATTAACCAACTCATCATGTCTTAGAAAGTTCAATAAAAGGTGGAGAATATTTGAGTGTAAGTCGATTAGATGGAAATAGAAACTATTGTCGTACTATACGTGTTATTACGTGTTATTCGAAAGTGGAAAGCTATAAATCTTTAAAAAAATAATACATTTATGGGAGTTGAGTTTATTATTTGATGAAAATGTTATTAACATATTATACTAATATTTTATTATATAGATACGTATATAATTATAACATAATTTACCATTAAACTTTTACATTTGTTTGAATCAGGAAAACACAATTCAAGGTAAAATAGAAAACAAATAGCAATTTAAAAAAAAATGTTACATCCATTAGGAAAAGTAAAAAAAAACATATTCCAATACGAAAAGGAAAAAAATTGAAAATCAGAAAAACATGAAACATATAATCAATAAAGAAAATTGTTACATCCATTAAGAAAATGAGAAAAATTATATTCCCATTAAGAAAAGGAAAAAAAACAATATATAATAAGTTATAGCCTTCATGATTTATATGTGTGATTCTATCTTTTGTTTAAACTTTCTCTTTTATTACAAAATAGAAAAATATGTATTTTAAAAGTTCAAAATGTCAATGAAGAATATTTAACTTTAGATCAGTTGGGTGAAATTGAAATTTTTGTCACAACATTTTTCTAATATATGATCATGTCATAATAGGTGTTAACAAAATGAAATTAGAAAAATGTAATAACATAAATAGAAAACTAACAAAATAATTGTAAAACAACTAACTTATTATGAATAAGAAAATTTATAGGCAAAAAAAATGATAAATTGAAAATTAACAAAAAAATTATAACATTAAATATATATATTTATTTATATATATATATATTATAACTGACCGATATTCTATTTTTAAATAGATTAATTTTCAATTTTTTGGTAGGTAGAACAATATTAAGAAAAAAGACTTCATCAATTGAAATCTCTTAAATAGAATAATCAAATTTTCAAGAATTATTTAGCCAATCAGATTTTGATTAGATACGTGTAAGTCTTTCTATATTAGATATATCATTAATTTAAACAAAATGTCATTATAATTAAAATGTAAAAATATTATCAATTTTTATTTTATTTAAAAATTTGTTATCGGATTTGAATATTATTCTACTTACTTTTAAAAGTGACCAGATTTGGTTTAATATTTTCTTATAATTTATTTCAATAATATTAAAATAAATTAAACCCGCGTATACGCATAGCCTAATCTAATAATAATATAAAAAAGAAAGAAAAGAAAAACAATTCCTCAAGATTCCTCACCATTCTTCAATGTACATAAACTAAAAGAAAAATTCCTCTACATTCCACACAATTCCTCATATTGCATGTTACAAGTTAGGCCCTTAATCTTCTCGACCCATTTCAGAATCTAAGGCATTCAATATCTGCATTATCTCTGTTACTTACCTACGGATCCATAAACATCAGCTCCGAGAGCTAACCCAACAATCTTAACTTCCTCCGCCGTAAACCTTTCTTTACCTGCCAACATATCAAATCAAAGAGACATCATATATATAGGGATATCACTAAAAGTGTTTTTGACAATATAAAATTAATATGGTGGCATATATATGATACTCAACGTACCTCAAGATCAGTAGATTTATTCTCATCTCCAAGGTCATAGAGGTTTTCGTTTGACTGCAATTTACCCCAACAAAAAAAAAGGAATTCTCATCTTTAATCTCCACAACAGAAAAGAAACGTTAATAGGTTTTTATTACAGCAAGTGTTAATAGTATGGTGGCATATCTATTTACCTCATGGCTGGTTCTGGTTTCTGAATCAAGATCAGCAGATTTATTCTCATCTCCAGGAAACTTGGACTCTGCTTTTGACATCTTCTTTCTTGCTTCTTCAACCTAGTAATTAAATTAGTTAGAAGATGATTGCAACTGGATCCATTATGTCACTAAAAACACACAGCTTACTCGAACTTGCCAAGAGCTGGGGTCCATTGATGATGTAATAGATGAATCACCGTTGTTCTCTACAAATATTTTGTAATAGATGAACTCCTTCTCAGTGGCAAATGACTCAATTCCCCTGTTAGATGCAGCAGGAATAACCGGCGCAGATTCTTCCGGTTTCTGGTCATAGAGGTTTTCGTTTGCCTGCAATTTACCAAAAATTAAAAAGAAGTCTCTTCTTTTACTCTCAACAAGAGAAAAGAAACGTTAATGGGATTTTATTACAACACAAGTGTTATTGACATGATAGTATGGTGCCATGGTGGCATATCTACTTACCACATCGCTTGTTCTGGTTTCTGAATCAAGATCAGCAGATTTATTCTCATCTCCAGGAAACTTGGACTCTGCTTTTGACATCTTCTTTCTTGCTTCTTGAAACTAGTAATTAAATTAGTTAGAAGACGATTGCAACTGGATCCATTATGTCACTAAAAACACACAGCTTACTTGAAGTTGCCAAGCGCTGGGGTCCATTGATGATGGCGGATCACCGTTGTTCTCTACGAATATTTTGTAATAGATGAACTCCTTCTCAGTGGCAAATGGCACAATTTCCCTCTTAGATGCAGCCGGAATAACCGGCGCAGGTTCTTCAGGTTTCTGGTCATAGAGGTTTTCGTTTGCCTGCAATTTACCCAAAAATGAAAATGGAACTCTCATATTTTAATCTCAACAAGAATTACCTGAGAATCAAGCTTAATCTCAATTAAGATCTTTTAATCTCAACAACAAGAAGAAATCATTCATCTTTTAATCTCGTTAATGCTTCAAGAAACAACCGAGAATTACCTGAGAAGTAAGCTTATGTGCACCAAGACCACCAGTTTTTCCCGTCCTTGTAGAAGCTTTATGTTTCACAGAAGAAACCCCATTGGATGCTTCTTGTAGCTGAGAGCTAGCAGCAACAGGAGATGAAGGTAGTAGAGCAGTAGTAGCTGCTTCTTCTGCAATGGCTTTGGCAACTTCCTCAGCAAGAATCTGCCTATACAATTCAGCAGCTCCTGAAGTGTACTTAGCCTCGATTCCGCCATCATCGGTCCATCCATGTTGCTTGAAGAACACGTGAGCCCGGTCACCAAACATCATTGCGGTGAGCTCCTCAGGGCTCCATGAGTCCAAATCCGTTGACCTAAGGAAAAATTCAAAAATATTATCTACTCAACGGATCGATCATCTGAATCAGTCGTAACTGTTGAAATTCAACAACAATAGTAAGGGCAAAGTCTAAATTTTTCAAAAGCGCCAGAGCAACAACAGATTGGCAGAACAAGCTTAAGATCTGTTCAACCGGTTCACCTGACAAAGCTGATATGAGCACCGAGGCTCCGATGAGTGGCAGAACAATCGATGCAGAGGAAGATCGCGTACGTAACCGAAGCCCATCTCGGATTCTTGGCACCACAATCAAAGCATAACTAGAAATCGCAAAACCAAAAGAATTATGAATCTAGTTGAGCAACTCCAAGATGTCTCAAATAACACAAACTGAGAAAACCAATACAACACATGTAAATTCGATAGAGAAAGCCGACCTTGTTCTCAGATTTTGCTTTGAGTTTTTTGAAAGCAAGTCTTTTGTCGACAAGATTTTCAGGAGCCATCATCGTAGACGAAATTTAGGGGTTTGCTGATCGGTAACAATCTGTGTATAATATGTATCTTGTCCAAATATATGCGTATCTATATATACTTACTAAGTAAGGATTTTGTATTTGAAATGAAGTGAAATACAATCATAATCTAGTGTTATTCAAGTAATGATTATTAATTATGTTTTTAAATTCAATGTTATTGGATATCTTATTTGTAATATTTTCAAATCTATTGTTATTTAACTAAAATTTCAAATCCTGTTTTAAACTCCAAGTAAATGACTTTTAAAATATTTGTTTATTGAGTCATTTGAAGTGATTTTTTATAGAATTTCCTGAGTAAATTATTAAAAACAGAATCCAAGCTATATTTTGGAGATTTTAGGATCAATTTACATGAACTTTTAAAAATAATATTAAAACATTAAATCTGAAACATTAAAATATTTATAGAATTAATTTTAAATACATGATTGAATAACACCCCTAAGTGATTCTCGCAGATATGCATAATATAGCCATATAGAGAATTTTGAGCGGCTAAAGGAAAGCGCAACAGAGTCAAAATCTGGTTGATTGGTTGGTGTGGAGAAACATTGGAATTCTAGGTGATTCTTTGACTTTGTGTTCTTCCATGTGATTTATAGCTTCGTTTAAATCCAAACACATTTTCGTCTTCTAGGATTTTATCATGTTTTATTCAGAAAACAATGGAATGAGACGAAGTGGAGTCTTGCAAGAAGAATTCTTCTTGTGGCATTTGGATGAGAAGCTAAAAAAGCAAACTAAATTAATTACGTTTCGTTTGTTTGTCTTCATGTTGGTGTCTTGTACAAGATATCTCATAGTGACTTTGGCTTAGGAATTATATATAATTCTTATATAATTTTTCTTAGGTAACCGTATCCCAACTTCGATTTTTTGAAAGAAAAGAATTCAATATCCCCGGCAAGTAATTACCACAACACTAAAGGATATACTGACGAATGAAAAGAGTTCATATCCCTGGAGAGGAAAACTAATGAAAGATAAAAATATATCTCAGGAAAAAACCAAAAGAGGGAAGCATAACACAAACATGATACAACGATACAACAAAACTTATAAACTGATAACTTCAGTATAAAAGTGAACATAATATTCAAATGGTTTTTATTTTTCACCTTTTATAACTTCACCTACAAAATTTGAAACCGACAAATTCAAAACATCAACAAATTGTAAACCCAATTATTGATATCTAGAGATAAATTAATCCTAATAAGTTTTTAAAAACAAATTTAACCCCGCACGGGAGAATCACCTAGTGTATAATATGTATTTAGTCCATATATGTATTTATGTTACATGTAATTTTGTTTTATAAAATTGCGTGATTAACTTGCCTCATAACCCCTTTAAGTATTACTTACATAGTTTACATGTGTCAATGTCTTCTATGTATCATCCCACCAAACGGTTACACGTCACAAGATTCAATTCAATCCCCATCTAATTTTCTCCCATACTTACCAAATGCTTTATCTGCTCTTCTCGGCGGTCCTGTCCTCAACTTACAGAATACGATGTATACAATAATTTCACCTCACCAACTACATTCAGTTGTAAACCTTTTTTGGGAGGTTTTTTTTAAGCATCTAATTAGAAAAGAAAAGTAAAAAACTACATTTTAACAGTAAAAGGTTTAAGTAAAAGCTTAAAAAAAACCCAGAGTGAGGTGAAAAACCTAATGTTATCGACCCATTTCGGACATGGACATCTAAGGCATTCAATATCTGCATGATCTCTGGCACTCACCTACGCATCCTATAAACATCAGCTCCGAGAGCTTACCCAACAAGGTTCATTTTCATTTCCTCCGCCGTAAACCGTTCTTTACCTGCCAGCATATCAACATCATATGTATATAGGGATATCACAAGAAGTGTTTTTGACAATATAAAACTAATATGGTGGCATATATACACTAGTCAGCCTAACGGGGCCAATGCTGTCACTATAAACACACAGCTTACTTGAAGTTCGCTTGATTTCTTGGAGTCCATTGATAAGGGCGGATCTATTGTACCACCAGCCTTCTTCTCTAAAAATACCTTGTAATAAGTGTACTCCTGCCAAGTGGCAAAGGACTCGATTCCCCTCCCCCTCTCAATCGTTGAAGATTCAGCAGGAATAACCGGCGCAGATTCTTGGTTTTCCTTTGCCTGCAATTTATACCAAAGATGAAAAAGAAGTCTCATCTTTTACTGTCAACAAGAGAAAAGAAACGTTAATGGAATTTTATTACAACAGGTGTTATTGACATGACTCTAACTGGACCAATGCTGTCATTATTTACACACAGCTTACTTGAACTTCGCTTGATTTCTTGGAATCCGTTGGTGATGGCGGATCTATTGTACCACCAGCCTTCTTCTCTAAAAATACCTTGTAATAAGTGTACTCCTGCCAAGAGGCAAATGACTCGATTCCCCTCTCCTTCGTTGAAGATTCAGCAGGAATAACCGGCGCAGATTCTTCCGGTTTCTGGTCATAGAGGTTTTCATTTGCCTGCAATTTCCCAAAAATGAAAAAATAATTCTCATCTTTTAATCCCAAGAAACGTTCATGCTCCAAGAAACAACCCGAGACTTGCCTTAGAAGTAAGCTTCTTTGCACCAAGACCACCTGTTTTTCCCCTCCTTAAAGCACCAAGAGGTTTCTTAAACGAAGAAGTAGCGGTCGCTTCATGTTTCACAGAAGAAGCCCCATTGGATGCTTCTTGTAGCTGAGAGCTAGAATTTACAGGAGACGAATGTAGTAGACGGGTCGTAGCTGCTTCTTCGGCAATGGCTTTGGTAACTTCCTTAGCAAGAATCTGCCTATACAAATCAGCAGCTCTTGAAGTGTACTTAGCCTCGATTCCGCCATCATCGGTCCATCCATGTTGCTTGAAGAACACGTGAGCCCGGTTATTGCCACCAAACATCATTGCCGTGAGCTCCTCAGGGCTCCATGAGTCTACATCCGTTGACCTAAAAATACAAGAAGGAATAAATTCAAAACGTCGATCGTTGAATCAGTTTGAAAATATTATCTAGCCAAAAAGCTTAAACCCTAGCCATAGAATCAAATCAGTTTACCTGACAAAGCTGATATGAACACCGAGGCTCCGATGAGTGGCTGAACAATCCATGCAGAGAAAGATCGCGTACGTAACCGAAGCCCATCTCGGATTCTTCGCACCACAATCAAAGCATAACTAGAAATCGCAAAACCAAAAGAATTGTGATCCCAATCGACCATCCACACGAGTCTCAGATTACACAAATTGAGAAAACCAATACAACACACGAAAGTTCGATAGAGAAAGCTAACCTTGTTCTCAAATTTTGCTTTGAGATTTTTGAAAGCAATTTTTTTGTCGATTGTATTTTCAGGAGCCATCATCTCGTAGGCGAAATTTAGGGATTTACGGATCGGAAACAATTTATGTATATAGACTGTCCATAAATATATGTGTGTATATATATATGGACATGTAATTTTGTTTTTGTTTTTAAATTGCGTGATTAACTTGCCCATAAACCCTTTAACCGGTCCGGTTTGTAAGGTTTTAAATAGAAGGTTCTGTTTGTAAGGATTCCATCCGGTTCACATGATATAAAACCTCTTGAAATGTACAAATGAAATACAAACTTTAATTATTGGGCTCTATTTCAATTCAATGATACACATAAGTTACATTACACATTTCACTTCAAAACTTTTGTGGTGTAAAAGATCTCGTCACATCAATCCCGAACCTGAGTCAGTTTCATTTTGGCTTTAGCCAACTTCGCTTCACCATAACACCCGGACATCCGCAAACCGGACAAAACCGCTCGTCTCGCCGACGCCGGAATCTTAATCCCTTTACTGTAACACGACAAGAGAAGCTTCGAGGCACAAACAAACCTCATCTCTTTACAGAGGCTATGCACAACAGAAGTGTACGTATACTCATCTCTCACTTCCATCGACTCAAACAACCTCATCGCACGATCCACATGACCAGCTTTACACAACCCATCCACCAGACAGTTACACGTCACAATCCCCATCTCACTCTCTCCCATACTCACAAAATGCTTCTCCGCTCTTCTCCTCTGCCCATTCCTCAACAAACCATTAACAATAATCGTGTGCGTGTACTCGTCAGCTCTCATCCCTCTCCGCTCAATCTCTCCCAACAAATCATCCACCGCTCTCAAATCCCCTTCTCTAAAATACAGATTCAACAAAGTGTTGTACGAGACAATGTCATGCCTCCTACCTTTCTTGACAAGTTCTTGCATATACTCGAACGCCTCTCTCGTCCTCCCCGTCTTGATCAGCGCGCTAACCACCGCGAAATACGCGTAACCGTCGTATGTGTACCCTTCTCTCTGCATCTCCAAGAACAATTCAAGCCCTCTCCGAATCCTTCTGGTCTTGAAGTAAAGCTTGAGTATCGTCGTGTACGTGACCGCGTTCGGAGTGTAACCGGACTTCTTGAGCTCCGTTAGCATCCATTTCGCAGCACCGACCCTCCTGGCTCTACAAAGCCCGTTGATGAGAATGTTGTAAGTCATGAGCTCCGGTTTAAACCTGCTCTGCATCTCCTTGAAAAGCTCGAGCGCTTCGTCTACGTAACCGCATTTGCAGAGAGCGTCGAGGAGGACATTGTAGGTATCGGGTCCGGGGCTTAGTCCGGCGAGGTTGAGATCTTTGTAGAGAACGCGAAAGGCTTCTTCTTGCTTCCCTAGCTTGAAGTAACAACACATAAGAGTGTTGTAGCTCCACAAATCAGGGTATATGCCCCACTCGAGCATTTCGTCGAACAGGTAGAGGACACGATCCAGCATCAGCCGTCTCGCGGCTCCGGCGATTAAGGAGTTGTACGTGGCGACGTCCGGTCTGATTCCGGCGTCTCTCATACGGCGAGTCACGGCGTAAGCTTCTTCGACGCCGACGAATCGGCAGTAGCCGCTGATCAGCGTGTTGTACGTGACGACGTCTGGGGAAACGCCTAATTTGATTCCGTCTGTGATCAATGTCTCGGCTTTCTCCAGTTTCCGGAATCTGCAGAGCGAATCAACGCATATGTTTAGTAGCCGCGTCGATAGTCCGGTGAGTTTCACCAACCCAGGAACCATGTTCTCTCGGATTAATCCGAATTAACATAGGGGAGTGGTGGGAGAAGCGGGATTTGGAGGTAAATTCGTGACGCTGGATGATGGAAGCTAAGGTTTCACGAAGGTAGCTCGTAAATGGAGGAGATTTTGGAAATTCAGATGCAGATCTCGGCGGAGGAATTTGATTGGCATCGGAGAAATATGTGAAATTTCAAAACAAAAATCTCACATCTGAGATTGATTTACAAGAACGGGCTTCAACTTCCATGTTTATACTGCAATAACCTCTAAGTTTATTTTATTTATTTGTCAAATAACCCATCATCTAAATATAATAACAATCTGAATAACATTTTCATTGTTATATCCAGAACAGTTGTAAATAAATTATTTAATATGGTTTTTGGAGACTTTTAGCAATAATAAGCTTGAAATGCTGACGATTAAATTTGGTTCTAGTTAAAAAATGTTAAAGCATCTTCAATTGAAAAGTCTGAGAGAGAGTCATCTTTTTTGTTCCGATTTCAATCGGATTTCTTATCCGACTTTGATCGGTTGTAGAAAAATAAATTTCGGTTAAGACCGAATCTTTTGGCTGCCTTAGTATTCCGTTTAACGGATTTAGCCTTTAAGTTTCTTTTGCATGTTCTTCATTTCTCCGTTGGCCGGAGTCAAAAAATCCGGAGGAGTTCGTATGGATCTCGTTATCATCGATATATGCTTGGTTTTTCTATCAAGAGAGAGTAATATCTTCACAATACCGATGTAAATCTCGGAGAAATGAGTGTGAAGTTTCTCTTAATGATGGAAGAATCAAGTTTCGGGGGATCAAATCGCTGGTTTAGGATAGAATAAGTAGAGTCGGCGTATCTATGGCAGCGAGAATACGGTCCGGCGAATATTCTGTCTCTGATCCAGTTGAAGGTTCTCGGAATTTCTTTTTCGAGATTACAAGAAGATCTGACTAGCTTTCTCCGGCGACTAGTGCAAAAGGAAATCAGTAGTACACAAGAGCTGATTTGCTATATTCTGCAAATGCATAATTCGTCGAACTTCTAGTTCATTGTTTTGTAGGAGGATCAAGGTGTAGTAAGGATGGTACACACCACTTGATATCCTTCATTTCTTGCTTATTTTCTCCCCCTAGAACCGGGAATACTTTCTCATCAAAATGGCAGTCAGCAAAGCGTGCCGTAAAGACATCTCCCGTTTGTGGTTCGAGATATCGTATAATAGACGGGGAATCGCAACCAACATATATTCCTAATCTTCGTTGCGGTCCCATCTTTGTACGTTGTGGTGGTGCTATAGGTACGTATACCGCACAACCAAAAATTCTTAGATGAGAAATATTTGGTTCTCGACCAAAAGCCAACTGTAATGGGGAATACTTATGGTATGCACTTGGTCTTATTCGAATAAGAGCTTCTGCGTGTGCAAAACAGCATGTCCCCATACAGAGGGTGGGAGTTTTGATCTCATGATCAATGGTCTAGCAATTAATTGCAAACGCTTAATTAATGATTCGGCCAAACCATTTTGCGTATGAACATGGGCCACAGGATGTTCAACATTAATCCCAGTTACCATACAATAATCATTGAATGCTTGAGATGTGAACTCACCAGCATTATCTAGTCTAACTCCTTTTATTGGATAATCAGGAAACTGAGCTCTTAGTTTGATTATCTGAGTTAGAAATCTCGCAAATGCCACATTTCGAGATGATAATAGACAAACATGTGACCATCTACTTGACGCGTCAATCATTACCATGAAGTAGTAAAATGGTCCACACGGTGGATGTATAGGTCCACATATATCACCTTGGATTCGTTCAAGGAATTTTGGCAATTCTTTATCAATTTTGGATGGTGATGGCCTTATTATCAATTTTCCAAGAGAACACGCGGCACACGTCATTTTCTTTCCTTGGTATATTTCTTGCATTTTCAAGGAATGCCGTGTGAGTTCTCAATAATTTTTCGCATCATAGTAGTACCAGGATGGCCAAGGCGATCATGCCATATTGTGAAATCATCAAGATTTCTTTTGATCACTAGATGTGACTCTATCTCATTTATATATGTATGATGCAAACCAGAAGGGAGTTTTGGTAACTTTTCCAATACTTTCACTTTTCCTGATTTTTCAGAAGTAATATACATATACTTCTTTCCATCCTCAGTCGCTGACTGAGTATCAAACCCTTGAAGGTATATATCTTTAAAACTCAACAAATTCCTTTTTGAATTTGGAGAAAATAATGCATTATCTATTGAGAATCTCGTCCCATTAGGTAATGCAAAATTAGCGTTACCAGTCCCTTCAATCAAGTCTGCAGGACCTGAGATTGTATTGACAATAATCTTTGTCGGTTTTAAATTAGAAAAATATTTTCTATGTTTCAGAATAGTGTGCGTTGTTCCACTGTCTGGTATACATATATCTCCATTATTCATCTTGGATGTTGTTCCATTCGTTTTGTAATCCATTTCTGAGATCAACAAAACAAGTTATATAAATAAGGTAATTTTATTAATCAAGCAAATAGCACACAATAATTATACATTAATAGTTAAAAATTACACAATAATTATACATAAGTAGTTTAGCATCACACAATAATTATACATAAATAGATAGTGCAAGCATTATTAATTTTAAACATTTCACACAAGTGGCAATTATTTATAACACAATCCTTGGGATTTCATGAGTCACATGGCGGATATTTCAGACTTCAGATGGGACGGTGTCATCGAAATCATCTGCAAAGTCAGAAGCATCGAGGTGGGTTGTTCCCTCTGAGTGCTCTGCAAGGTTTACTTCTTTTCCTTTGCCTTTGGCGGAATCTTTGTACAATGTACAAAGGTGCCTAGGAGTACGGCAATTCCGGGACCAATGTCCTTTTGTACCGCATCTGTAACAAACAGTCTCTCGCTTCTGGGAGGTGTTTCCTTGGTGCTCTTTTTCTGAAGATTGTTCAGAGCGATTCCATTGGAATGACCTTTTGTTATTTGGGTTGTATCCCACGTCCGCCACGTCCGCGATTGTTTCGACCTCCACGACCTCGGAAAGAATTGTTTTCTTTCACCGGTTTCTTTACATCCAATGCGTTTGCTTCAGGAAACGCTTTGGATCCAGCAGGTCGAGTCATGTGATTCTTTATGAGGAGCTCACTGTTTTTCTCCGCAATTAGGAGTGCCACAATCAAATCAGAAAATTTGGTGTATCCCCGCAACTGTATTGTTGTTGCAGGGTGATGTGATCCTTGTGGAATGTGGTGTACGTTTTCTCAAGCATTTGAGCTTCCGTTATGGTTTCACCACAGTATCTCAGTTTGGCCACAGTTCCTAACACGGCGGAATTGTAGTTAATCACTTTGTCAAAGTCTTGGAACCTCAGACTTTGCCACTCATCCCGAGCAAGTGGAAGTGTTATGTCTTTCTGATGATCAAACCGATCTTTCAGAGACTTCCAGAGCTCTTTGGGATCCCTCGTGTGTGCATAATCATATATGATGCTCTCATCTAGGTGTCTTCTAAGGAAGATCACCGATTTCGCCTTTTCTTGGGCCGTCGACTTATTGTTCTCTTTTATGGTTTCTGATAACGCAAGAGATTCCAAATGAAGTTCGACATTCGTGGTCCAAGAAATGTAATTAGCACCAGTGATGTCCAAGGCCGGGAATTGGAGCTTCTCGATATTTGCCATTATGTCTAAAATAAAATAACACAGAGTATTATTAGCAAAATAATTTTATTTAATTTAAAATATGCGTGGAGCTGGAATAAATAACGAGATTACAAGAAATACAATTGCATAAAACATTAACATAAAAATCATCACATATTCTTCTGGAGAAAATTCTCCAATATATAAACTATAAATTGCAACAAAAATATAACCTATTACAAAAATTAAAAATAGATTAAGCATTTTTTTTTCTTTGAGGGATTCGATGAAAGATAAATTGTTTGAGTGAAATGAGTGAATGAAAAATAAGTGTATTTATAGATTAGAAAATACTGTTTATTAGCCGTTTAAGTAGCCGTTAGAAAGTAAAAAAAAAAACTTTTGGAGAATTAACTTTATGACCGTTGGAAGTAAAAAAATAATTCTATAAATATATAATAATTTAAAAATGTTAGAAAATAATTGTTTACTAGTTCAGATATAAAATATAAATTTTAACAGTAATTATGATTTAAACAGAAATTTAAAGATAAATATATGGTGATTAATTCATCCATATAATAACAGTAAATAAATAAATATGGTGAATGAATCAACCATAAAACAAATAAAATAAAACATGTTAAATATGGTGACTAAACTCATCCATAAAAATAGATTGAATAAAAATTGCAGAACAAATAAATAAATAAGTATGGTGACCAAAATCAACTATAAGTTAAAAATAAAGCATGATAAATAAATAAATGAATATGGTGATTAAAATCAACCATAAAGATAGAGTAAATAAAAGAATAACAGCAAGTAAAAATATTAGGAGGTTAAACCGTCCATTATGGTGTATAAAACAACCACTGTAAAAATAAAGACAAATTGTTGCCGGGGCGGCGAGCCGCACTCCGAGAATGGTAAATTTAATTTAGAATTTAGAATTATAATGGCAGAGTGATCGTGCTGATAACGTGTTATAATTATATCATATATTTTATTTTGTCTGAGAACTATATTTGTGTTGAGAAATATTTGTAAAAGAAACTCTCGGAAAGATTTTGTGAATGAATCTATACTAAAGAAAGAAGTGTACCAAATAGGAGGAAGAAGGACAATTTTGTATTGCCTTAGATGTGTCTTACAAATGAAATGAATGACTCAATTTATAGAGCCATATTCGACAAGAGTCTTAATTTATAGAGCCATATTCGACAAGAGTTACTGTGAATGAATTAATGACATGGGCTCCATATTTACTCACACACGTAAACTGTTGACTTTTGTAACACACGGACCCGTTTATTTGTATTTTTCCCTGTCCTTTTCACTTTCAATAACTAACAAAAATGAAAAAGTGAGATATAAATTCCATCAAAGTTTGACTTGAAAAAGAGAGATACTTTTGGTCATTTGGGATAAAATGAAGAAAAGGTAAAAGCGCGTCTTCAATTCCGTTCCTTAGTTTTTCTTCTTTCTTCTTCTCCTTCCGACAATATCATTTCATCGTCTTCAATGGTTATGACTAGATTTTTACAAGACTAAAAAGATTTGCGACCTTGTTTAAAAAATGATCAACTTCCAAACTTTACTTTTCAGATTTTCTCAAACTTTCTTTTTCAGATATACATTAAACAAACATCAAATGTGGTTGATCTTCTTTATGCAAAAGCATTCATACAAGAAGAAATAAAAACAAGCTATGATGATGCGTAATCGCTCCTCTAGCAGACAAGGTGAAAACTAACCTGATCTTGTTATATATTTTAAGACTTAACTCTTTGCTCATATGCGTTTTCATCTACTCGAACACCTGGACCATACACTAGTCTGCATCGGTCACTAAATGCCCCCACAAGCCTTGTTGCTACTTCCTTTAAGAACATCGAAGCCACCTGCAGGTAACAGGATGATATAAAGAAACACACTTTCAAGCTTTTGAATTCACCAATATTCAACTTCTGAGGAACAAAGAAATCATAAGCTTTTGCATTCTTACTAACAATTTTTCAAATTTCAATCTTTAGAGAAAGAAAAGAACAGTAACATTCTTGTAAATTTCTTCGATTATCAACAGTTTTCAAGGAACAAGAAATCATCATTTTCTTGTAGATTCTTCTGTTGCTAACAATTTAACAAACTCCAAGTTTCAATCTTTACAATAAGAAAGGAATCATAACTTTGTTGTAGATTTCTTGGACTACTAACAGTTTCCAAAGAACAAATAAATCAGTTTTTTTTTTGTTCCTTCGTTTACTAACAACAGAGGTTTAATGAAGTAGTTTTTACCTGACGATAGAGAGGTGAGTTGAATTTGAAATCGACATGGAAATGAAGGTCGCATGTTCCTGGAATCGGCCCTGGCTCAAATTGCCAGAGGTTTATCAAATGGTCAAACAGACCAGTGTCCCTCGACGTTGTCTGCAAAAGTAAGTACCAAGTTTCCAAATTAGAATTCATCAATCACACCACTCAAATCCAACAACAAAACAGAAAGATGAATAAACAAAACCAAAAACAAGTCCTTATTACCTTGATCCATTTGGGCCTTTCGAATTCAACATGGGAAATGTAGCTTTCAACAAGAAACTTGAAACCAATCTCGAGCTCTGCATCGAATGAGCCATCTGGATACTCTTTAAGAACCTCGGAGCGTTGACACCAAGGAACAAACCCGTGGTACAAGTCCACAGCTGCAACTACGTTAAACAATTGCTCCGGTGAGTACCTGCCAATCATAACACACATAACTCCTCAATCTTTCTCCTCTGAAGAAATGAACCTCAAATGATTGTTATCAAACATGAACAAACAAGTATAAGGGATACGATCATGTTGACACAGCAAAATCATCAAAAAAGTTCTCACACAATCTCTGCCTAAAACCAAACAATTTTACACAAAATGAAATTCTTCAGATTATCATCTCAGCAAATCATCTTTCCAGAAAATTACTTCATAAACACAAAAGCACAATTAAAAGTCTATTAGATCACTGAACCATTCCTTCCCTGTTTGATCTACAAAACCATTTCTCAAATTGGAAGAAGCCAAGGCAGACGCAGAGAGCTATCAATAAATCGGCAAAATCCGAAATCGGAATCGGAACAAAGTTGAATGTAAATTACCCCAAGACGCGTCGTTCTTCGTAGATCTTAGATAACTCACCACCACTACCTTCTTCCCCATCTCCACAACCCAGAAAATGGCGTCTCTGAATTACGCTCCCAGCGCTTGGCAATCTCACGATTCTTCTCGCCACATCATCATCATTTGATATCAAGCCGTAAGAAGAACATCTGTCGACGCCGGAAAGAGAACCAAATCGACGGAATTGATAAGATACCAAACTCCCCTGCGCGATCCCCGAACGGCTAACGATCGAGCTCCTGATTGCGTTTCGACATGAAATTAACGAAACCACGGCCCTGTAGCCTGACATAAACGGCGGCATTATCAACAAATTCGCTCGCCTGATTCAACAACGCCCCAAATTCCCAAAGAGATACAAAAAAACAAACGGAGAAATTGTGCCGGAGCTTTTAGGGTTGCGAAAACTGAACCAATGGAAATACGATTGTGGAGGAAGAAATCAATCAAAAGGCCTTCTTCTTCTTCACCAAGCAAGAAAGAGAGAGAGAGAGAAAGAGAGAGACGTAATCTAGAGAGCGCTATATGCTCGCAGGAACACACACCTATACGAAATTATAAAAAAAGGAGAAAGCTTTCTTCGTCACTGGTCAGAGAAAGCGACAGCTCGAATTATTAAAAGGCTTTTTCGATTTGGGCCCATTGGGCTTTTCTTTTATTGTTTTCAATGTCTTCAATCGCATTTTCCCTCCCAAGGATCTCTATAAATACTCAAATCTTCGCGAAACAAAAACTCTGCGCTCCAGAAATTCTTGACGAAGAAGTTAGTTACAAAGACGAAAACCAAATCCCTGAAACTGAATCAATCAATCTTCGATCGGAGATCCTTGGAGCTGCAATGGCGGACGTGAACCCAGCAGATTTAGTCGACGGAAATGTGGTGAACTTTCGTGAGAAGGACACTCGTCACCGCTACGAAGGAAAAGTCTGCTATTTCGAGCTAGAGGCTTCCAGATTCGGAATCCAGGACGGTTAGTTGTTTTCTCTCCACGATTTCTACTGATTCTTTTTACTTCTTGTGAGAAATTGAAACCGTAATGATGATGATGCGAGTAGGAAAAAAAAAAGAATCTGGAAAATTGCGTAATGAGTTTGATGATTTCAATTCGTTTTTCTTCACAGATTCTTGCTGCGTATGAACAGATTATTATATGACGATAATGTTTGACGATTGATTGGTTGATTGATTAACAGTTTCTTGAACGAGAAACTACAGTAACAGTTTCTTTCTTGGTTATGAGTAAAAACGAGTTTCCTATGAATGATTTCACAGTAACGATGATCGTAGAAGGCGAGAGTTTGTACCTCGGTGGAGCTTACATCAACACTCTCCCATTCATTGAGGTTTGTTGTGTTGTTACTAACATGTTCGGATCGTATTCTTGCTCTCTTTATATAACTGCTTTTGATTACTTAATCAGGACTTGGTGGTGTTACAAGTTGCTGAGCCACACTCTGACTCTGAGGTAAAAAAAACTGAAACTTTAAAAGAGTCAGGTGTTGTCATCTTTGAGCTTTGATCAGAGAGATGTAAATGGAGGGTCTTTACAATGCTTTTTCACAGGATGAACAACAGATTGGTGATAATCCAGGTGGTGTGAATGAAGCTGCAGGCAACAATGAGGTAAAATGAGAGATATTGAGAATGAATGTGCGTATAAAGAGCTTTAGTTGAAGTAATACGTTAATGGAGTTTCTGTGGTTGAATCATTTTCTCAGGCTGGTCAGAATGGTGCTAATGGCACATCGGGTCATGCTAGTGTGAACCAAGCTGCAGGAGCAAGCTCTAACAACACTCAGGCAAGCTTGACATAACGAGAATGAATGTGAATTTAGAGGAGCTTAATCAAACTTAAACATGTTAATGGAGTTCTCTGTCCTTCAGGCTTGTCAAAACGGTCATGGCGCTTCGGGAAATGGCACATCAGGAGGATCAAGCTCTAGCCACAACACTCAGGTTAAATGAGAATTAAGAATGAAAATTTGCATTTATGAGCTTAAATTACGAGATATTAATGGATTTCTTTGTTTGAATTCCTTTTCTCCAGGCTGGTCAGAATGGTACTAATGGCGCATAAACATCTTCCAGGTCATCTTAGGGCCAGATGGAATCTTCAGGGTCATACATATTAGACATTACCTTACCACACTCTTATACTGAATCATATTACTTCGTATACATAATACCATCACATGTATAGATATATATCTTCTTTACTTCTTCTTCTGCTCGGTACAGAGCAATAGTTCTTTGACCAGACCTTTTTAGCTTCTCCCTTGTTGGTGTCGCTTTAGTTTGTATATAGCTTTGGGATTTCTGACATCTTTGGATGTTCACTGAGTAACAATGTCCTTGAAAGATTCTGATTGATACATTTTTCTTGAATGAAGGCACTTCTCTCATTTATGGTTTTGTGTATATATGTGTGTGTGTGGTTGTTCGTCACAGATTTTATCATGAATGTCAAATGTCATAATCTGTTTTCGAGTCTCTCTGTTTTATCTGGGATCAATTTGAAACCTATCTAAAGAAACGAAAGATATACATGTATTTCAAGAAGTCGTTAATGTTTGATTATGTAGCCAAATCGTACTTCAATTAAAAGATTTGAATTCAAATTCAATTCAGTTTTAAGAGCTAAAACTACTTAAACCATACGCAGATTTCATTAGCTGACAACAAAATCCTAAGAGACAAACATGAATAGCTCATAAATCTGACATTGCTACAAGCAATTTGGAGAATTGTGTTACCTAATTTGAGTACTGGGAAAAAGATAGATAAAGAGAACAATAAGGTAAAGTATTACAATTTTTAATATGGGATTTTTACTTCACCAATCCGTGCAGCTAATGCATCTAAACCTAAAGGACACAAACAACACAAAAAGAAGAGACAGAGAGGGAGAGAGAGAGAGAACTAGTTTCACCTTCGTGATACATATGACATTTTTGGTTTTGTTTACGCACATCTCTTGTTTCAACCACCGCCTTTCTCAAAACACCATGATGCTTCTTAGTATCTGCGTTCAGGGGTGTACATCATTTCTTCCTTTTTTCCTTCACGGCTTGTGTAGCTTGAACCCAAACACTCTTGGGACGTAGCTTTGTGCTGCCTTCTGTGGCTTCAGATGTCCGTATGTCATCAGGAACAGATGTGGAAACGTTGTCCCAAAGTAAGCTCCATCGATATCTGTTTATTTCGTGTATTTAAAGAACAACAATCCAAAACAATGCAGCAAATAATATAGGAGGAGCATCAAATGAGGGAATCAAAGCAAAACCAGCCTAGACTAGACTCGTTATTAGGCATGCATGGTGCAGTATATCTATATATATAAAAAAGGATACTTCCTTGGTATTTGGATCGTGGGTAATAGACATCTTCACATTTGGGGCAATATATCTTCACGGTGCTTGCTCGAGGGATATCGGATTGACCAACCGGTAAACAAGGCTGGCCACAGCAATAAACTCTTGGGCATCTTCCAAAGTCATAGTTTTTGTATTTGTCTAGCTGCAAAAATCAATTGGAAATGACACCAACAGTTGCTCTCTGTTCTAGAGGACTTGTTAAATAAAGTATGCAACTTGAGGCAAAGAAAAAAAAGGTTCTTTTACCATAGAAGCGAGCCCTTTGCTTGTCAATATGTAACGAGCATGAACCATTCCATATAGCATCTCTGCTGCCGACTCGATCAATTCGTTCTGTTCCTCTGTAAACATCTCACCTGTTACCCGTCAATCCAAATCAAACAATAAAGACACAGAAACCGAAAGGCCAACCAACTTTTCAGCTTAAACTATTATCATGAGGACTTACCGTGAGAAGATTCGACATCCAGAATCAAATCAAGGGCATAATCGTAGTAGGGAACTTGATGGCTGAGTCCACACAAGTTAAAGTCGTCCTGGATGTAATCATCATCAACTTCACAGAAGAACTCGTTCCCACGTAGGTTGCAGAACCAGGAGATCCATGACGTGTCCTCTCCATCGGAACCACTGACCTCAGATTCCTCGCTGTCTGTGTCTGATATATCTACAGCTACGAAATGCCCACAAGAAACATTTTCATCAGCATCATTCTTATAAAAAAGCTTTCCTCGAATCAGGAACAATAGCTGTGTCAAGTTTCTAGTTCGAGTGATTGAAAATGAACAATTGCTTGTGCTCATCAAATAACACACAATTTAAGTCTATGACAACTTGTCCAGGAAATCTACAATCGTTCAGGAGGTAAACTTTATCAACGAAGACTGATTTATATTTATTCGATTTCGGATTAAGTTTCTAGCTTTTAAACATTCCATTACATGAAAATGAACAATTGCTTGAGCTCATCAAATAACACAGATATATACACAATTTAAGTTTATGAATCCAAAAGAGAGGTTCAGGCTAAGAGATTTCTACGAAAATCCCAAATTTCGAAATGGGGGCAAACCCTAGGTACGGAATCGAATCGAATTGAATCTAACAATCCGCAATTGAATCACGATAACATAGAGAAATTAACAATAAGAGGCAAAAAGAAAGACGAATCTCACCGTCGGAAATGGTGGTCTTCGAGAGAGAAGCAGAGCGTGAATCCTTGTCATGCAACTGCTTCCCAATCAAGACGGAGTTCGACGCTACCTTGCCCTTTCCATTGACGGGCTGAGACATCGAATGCGACGCCCGATTATCGCGAACCTCGTTTATTCGTTTTCGATCTACCACCTCCGACTTCGATCCAACCGTTCCCCTCTCTCTACTATACATGATCTCTATCTCTCACAACTCCCGAATCTCGTGAATATAATACAATTTCCGGTACCGTTCACCGGCGAATTAAAAAAAAAAAAAGGCCAAGGAGGCGGTTGAGCGAGCTTCCGAATCTCTAGGGTTTCGAATCGGAGCTTCTCGTCTCGCGTTTATCTATCTGACATGTAGTCCCTCTTGTTGGTACATACACAGTTTTTTTTTTTTTGTTCTCGCTTGAATTTTTTTTTTGTTTGGAGATAAGAAAAGAATAAAAGAAGAGGGAAGGGCAAAACGGGAAAGAATGAAACAGAATTATGTTCTCCAGTAAAGCGGTGATTCGTCCGCCACCAAGAGAGAGACACGTGACGGTCACGTGGTAACAGTAAGACTATAACAAGGCTTGGGCCGAGATAAACAGGCCCGGCCCAAGTTAGATTCGTTTCTCGTGGTGGAAGAACAGTTTCAAAACCAAAAATGAAAAAAATCTTGAAGTGGCATTTTTCGTTGGTTGGTTATTGTATAAGTTACAAGGGAGATCCAAAATCAAAACCCTGTTATTTAAAAAGAAAATTTGATTTTGAACCACTAAAGACTCGAAGCACGGAGTTACAGAGGTGGTGGTGGTGATGAAGGATGTTGAAGAAGGTGAACATGATTAGTGATGGCGTCAGGACAAGACTGAGCTTGAAGAAGCTCTAGCCTCATGAAAGGGTGCACAAACTGAAGCGTGTAATCTTCATCTGCAAAAACACATTTGTATCAGACAAGAACTTTTTCTTCCATTGTTTTATGTAAAGAGACACAAGTAAAAGAATATATATGAGCTTACTGTCTTTAACAGTGCCATATAGCCAGCAAAGAACCTCATCAGCAAATGCCAAGCACACATTTCCCTAATTTACCAAAAACTCGGTTGTGTTTAGTTTCAACAAGATTTTGGATTGTAGAGATTCTAAATACAGTGATAACACTGACCTGCCAATAGTTTTTCAATCTAGCTCTGTGCGCGATATCTTTCGTTCTTAGTCTCTCTGTTCGTACTAATCTCCCTCCATCATCTCTACACCAAGTTCAAAAACATGGAAATAGAAAAGTTCACTTGAATTGCTTTGCTTGAATTTCGAAAGGATTTAACTTTCTGAGTTTATTGAGTTTACCTATATCCGACGAGAATATAGGGGACTCCTGCTAAGAATGATTGTATCTGCAGAGCAATAAATCTCTCACTCAGTTTTATTTCTAAGAATCCACAAGAAGGAAAATGTATGAGACATCATTCATACTTACCCAGAATTTAAGCAGTTTCTCTCTCTCAAATCTCTCTACGGTACGATCATCCAGCTAGAGAGCAAACAGTAGACAAGTTATAGAGGCAATGAATAAAAGAGAAGCTAACTGAAATAAACAATGGAGCTTTAAGGAAAACTATGGCATGGAGAGAGAGAGAGAGAGAGAGAGAGAGACGCATACCTCGCGAGAAGTTTTCAACTCTATATAAAACCTCCTTCCTTCTTCAGTTTCGTCGCAGCAATCCATTTCAGCACCCATCAGAACACGGTGAGCTCCGAGTTTAGTCTTGACAACTGAACAAAACTCGACATTGGAATCCACATGATGTATTTCTTCACCATAAGCTCTTCCTGGATCTTCGGTTGCAAGGCTTTCGAAACAATAACCCCAGTAACATCTGATGGTGAAATATAGCATCGCGTGGTAGATTAGTAGCAAAAACGAAGAGTTACACCTTCTTCTGACCCTATTTTCCGAAACATTCCTAGCCACTGATTAAATTATTAGGAATGAAGATTACCTGCGGCGATCTAAGTCATTCTGCGGCCTTTCAGGCAGTTTATGCACATCCAGATATATGGTTCCATTCCTCTTATGCACACCCATTTCCCACGGTTCATGCCGGTTGTAAGCAGCACCAAGTATCTGAAACGAAACACAGCGAGTGGTTTAGAAAACTGAGCCATGCATTGTCATTTCTTATTCAGTAAGAAAAACAGCAAATTGAGTTAACTGGCTCGATAAAAAGCAAAATGAAATGTTGAGGATCTTACATACCTTGTTTAGATTATTACGGAATGTCTGTCCAAAACAAAGCACAAAAAAGAAATGATTGAGATCATCTTGTTCAAAGTAATGAATTGGTAGTGAAATGGACTGATACACACAAGCACTTTCATACCACAAAATGAATGTTATCCAACGAAATGTTTTTTGCTCTAACACATCCAAGAAGGTCACCGAAGCCCTCAGAGCCTAGATCTGCCTCAAAAGAAGAAAACAAATCAGTAGGATACCTCAAACTTATACATCTTGCAGAGCCTAGTTCTAATAGTTCCTAGTAAAAAAATACTGTGCCAAAACTCACTACCTATTTTCTCAACAAAAGTATCATAGCCTTGATTTAAATCCGCTCCAATGTCTTCAGAAACATGACGCTTGAAAAGCCTCTGCAAAACAAGGTTAACATAGATTTCATTAACTGGAAAGCTGAGTATATAGTATGGTATCATGAGGATGGCGATGACTCGTCCTTGTTCTTGTTCTTCTCCGTAGATCTTGTTGGAGCATTGCTTGTGATGCTACTCCTTATGTTCTGCACAAACGAAACATACATTTTTGTGAGAAGTTAGCTTTGCAAGTTACATACAACTAAGTAGGCTTCAGTAAATAAAGGGATCAAAGAACCGTACCATGTGCCTTAAGGCCATATCAAGAGACGACCTAGAAAGATTTCTCCCGAAGCCTGAGCTCAGGTTATCTTTTTATTCGTAAATAGTCTTCTCGTTTGACTCTATATTGCTGTTGGAACCTAAAATTAATAAGCTTATGGACTGAGTTAATTTAAAACAAGTGTGAAAAGAAATGAGCTTTGGGCTCATAAGAAAAATGAGAAAGTAGAGAATAATTGATAAATCTAAATTAATTTAGATTGAGTCAAAATTAAATATGGAATATCTCCATATCTCTTTCAGTTTCAAAACAGGAAAATATCCCTGTGATATTCCTTTTTTTCTATGACGGTTTAAGGCTTTAAGCGATATTTTTTTTTCTATGACGGTTAAAGTTTCTTAGCTTGGAGACCAAATCTCTTCTCTATTATAAATAAAGGCCTAGCCTTCTCACATTATTCATTCAATCATTTATTCAAAAATTAAACACTCCAACAAATCTCTCACATCTATTTCTTTCTTCTCTAATTGCTTTGATATTCATATTGCAACAGTAGTCACCATTCTTGCTTTAAGATTTTTTTTTTGTTTGTCTCTTTTTTGTTTTGATGAGACCAACCCACATGCTTTAGATGAAAATAGAAAAGGGAACGTGTCAGAGATAGTTCATTTAACTTTTTTCATCAGATTAGTTTCTCTTTCTTGGTCTTGTTGTTTACTTCTACTTCACGGTAAACAAGCATCTACATCTTGATTTAAACTCCCTCTGAATTGTTACTTATGTAAAAAACAGGTTTTTTTTTTTTTTTTTTTTGTTCAAACAACAGGTTTTGTTATGATGATCTTTTTATGTTGGTTGATTACTTATTAACATTGATCCATCTCTGCTCTATCCTTACACCAGATTTGATGGTGTAAGAGATCTAGAGAAGATGCTCACATTAAAATGGAGTTTAATAGTCTCTCTGAACTATCTATGTCCAAGTTCTTGGGAGTTCGGAAGCACCATACATCGGTCACATATATTGTTTTCCTTTAGCATGTTCTAAATGGTTGATTTTTTGTCTATACATATAAACTTTTAAGTTTTCCCAAGAGACTTGTTTTCCAAAAAATATTACATTCTGTTCAATTGCAAGCTTCGTTTGAATGAATCACATTGATGGTAACTTGGTTGTTGTGGAATTTGATTTTCACTATTCCTCATCCAAACACATTTTATGCTAAGGATTTGGAGTCTCTTTTGAGCTTGTAAATTTCTTGACATCTTAATGATCTGCTATACACTTGCCTGTTTGATGATGGGTTTGTGTTTAGCAAGTTTCCACTGTTTCAGTGGCGCAGCGTAAGAACGTGATACGTAGCTCAATCAAGGGATTGATAATCTCTTGAGACCTACCTTGCTCAATCAAGGGATTCAAGTGAATCTCTTGAGACCAACTTCCTGTTTTGATGACGTTAATCAAATCAAAGACAAGGGATAAGAGAAATCTCTTCTTTAATAAACTCCAAAACTGCCCGACAATTACATAGAAGCAAAGCTTATATAGAATACATAAACCCTAATCCTAATCTTAGGGAAAAGGAAAAGCCTAAGCTTTAAAACCCAAAACAAGTAAATAAACTTAAATCAAAATAGAAAAGCCCAAAACCCAAACACTTAAGCAATAAACGAAACTTGTCTTATAAGTTATGATGCTGCTGCATCATTCAGCCTTTCAGGAGAAGATGGTCTACTCATGTATGCCACTTCCTTTCATGCAGCAAAAGGACCATTGTTACAGGAGAAAAAACTTGTCCCCATTGAGGTCTCAAGGACTATATTTAGCAACAAACGTGTGTAAAAATTATCTTTTTAAAGAAACTATGTATTCTTCTTTTAGTTTGTAAAAGACCAAACTTCTCTATTAATCATGTACTATAAATTTATCTATAAGTGAAAGTAATTGTTTAATCTGGACCTCGACTAACCGAAATACCTACCTACTCCAACGGAAGTTCATTTCGTCTTTGTATTTGTAAACGGCACGTAGTCTTAGTTTAAATTTACCAGATGACATGGTGTTTCTGTACACGTGAGCTTAAACGGAACGTAGTTCATTTTGTTTTGGAATTATTCAGCTAATTGACTGACGTGGCAATGTTTCAATGTCGGACCAAGCTTAACTTAACTCAACTATATACGGATTCCAAATCTCCAATTCACAGAATAAAAAGATTTCGAGTTAATAAAAGGCTTTCAAGTCCGGACTCGTTATTAGCTCTACGCACTGGAAAAAAGCCGAAAGCGAGCCAACAAAAAGCAAAGCAGGACCAAAATTTTCCAAATTTCTTTGCCTTTTTCGCTTATCCAAGAAAGCTTTCTCCTCTGAAATCGTCTTCGATGAATCCAATGTTAGACATGAATTCATCTCCGACGCTCTGAGTTTAACGGAAATTGTAATCGCTTTTTGCTGTAATTGTCACTCGCCGGCGACTAACTCAATTTCCCTGTGGTAAGCATTAGAAATTCCTCTGTTTTATTCGTTTCTGTATTTTGAAGCTTTTGATTTTCGTTCTTTATGGATAAGATTTTAACTGTATCTGAATTGCATTCGAAAATTCGATTGAATATGCCTAATTTTTTGCAATTGACTGTGAAATCTGCAAGCTCTTCGTTTGTCAGTTGTGAGACTTGCGAATTCTTTGGAATTTCAAGATGTGGAATTCAAAGTTTTAGTCTTTTAGATTAGTGTTTTCTTTCCTCTTCAAAGGCCTTACATTTGTTGTAAAAATAGATACTTTCTCGCTCAACTTGAGGAAGAGAGTCCTATAGTACTAATTTCATTTATGAATCAATGATAATCCATTTTTGGTTTAGATTGGTGATGTAAAATTGCGCAGAGATGCTGTGAATTGGACCAAATGGTAAATCTAATGGAGGAAAGTATATGCAAATTTGCAAACTTTCTAAACCTCTGTGAGAGATTTTCTCTGTTTCTTTCTTTGGTCAAATTTATGTATATATGTATATGTCTGCGGCATATTTTCTCTTTCTTCTTGAAGAGTATAGTGACCTTTTTCTTGTTTTGGATTTCAGGCTGTGTGTTTGAGTTGAGTTCGTGATGGGAACTGTAGTTGGAAGTGTTGATGACTGCAGAGAGATGTTTGAGGGCAGTGCTCAAACAAGGATCTCACCGTTTTCTTCTACAAATCAGATTGGAAGTCCTGTTGCCTACAAACTCGTCCGGGTATGGTTACATATTCTGTCCTTTTCAATGTCTCTCGTCACAGGGATAACAGAGTTCTCATAGGGTTTTGCTTCTCCTGGAATTGAGAAATCTATCTGTGTATGTATGTATTAGCCTTTTCTTCAAAATATTAATTTTAGGTGGTTTATGTGAATGGTTAGGTTGCAGGAGATGGGAGCCTAGTGCCCGCAACCGATGAAGAAATTCTGGAGGTCAACGAGACAGATATGCATATTGCAACAGATGCTACTAGTCAGGCTGAAGAGTTACCTTCTCGGTCGTCTCAGCTAGAAAGTTCTGAAGGTTTGGTTCCCATCATTCTTTACTTGTTGAAACCTCTCTTGCTTTTAAAACTTGTGCATCTGTAGATGGAATTTAGGTGGAGAACCAAAGTTATTGGTTTCCGTAACCAATCTGTAGATGTGTATCAGTCAATCGCACATTCATAGGAAAGGAATATTACCTATTACCTGTTGAGAAGAAGATCTTAGGCCTTATATATGCTCAAATATGCTTTTCTCTGTGGTTTTCTCTGTCTCATCCATGATTCAGTTATTGATTAATGACATATTGGGGATAAAGTTTCTTATTCAACTCAGCTATCATTTTCAGGTTTGTTGCAGTCTGACAATGTGGAACCATATATGGACCAGGTGAATTCTCGACTTGAGGTTAGTCCTACTTCACAAATGTCGAAAACAGAATTTTAATGCATACAATTGCATATTTTCTACTATTTCTCCTTACAGTTTGTTCCAACTTTGAGATTCTTGCAGTATAACGAGGAGATGTTGCAAGAGGTCGAACAAGAAGATCGGATTGGCATGATTCATGGATCTCAGCTGCTTTCAACTCCTCCGGATGCGAACATCCAGTTTTCTTCTAATGAAAACAACTTGTTTAATGATGAAGCTTTGCTGCAGGAACCCACTCCTATCTCATCAGATGTTCAGAATGAATGCAATAAGGCTGAAGCATACTCAAACGCAGCAGATAGTCCGAGAGAAACTGAATCTCCTGCTGCTGCTTCTCAAAAGCCTGATTTCTCCTTAGTTAGAGGCGAGATATGTTTGGATAATCTACCGATCAAAGCACTGCAAGAAACCTTCAGGGCAACGTTTGGCCGTGACACGACTGTTAAGGACAAGACCTGGCTCAAAAGGAGGATCACAATGGGACTTACCAACTCCTGTGATGTACCAACAACGAACCTGACAATTAAAGATAAGAAGCTAGTTGCAAATCAAGAGAAGTCCACTGATATGAGTGATGAGGTAAGAGCCACAAATCCTTCTGGCCATAGTCTCAGAGGCAACCACTATTGTGCTGGTGAGGAATTTTCCTCTGAAGAGAGGGCTGCAAAGAGAGTTAGGAAACCTACAAAAAGATACATTGAGGAACTCTCAGAAACTGATGAAAAACAGCAAAATGACAACAAGTCAGTAGTGCTTCCTTCTTCAAAAGATCAGAGGCTATCTGAAAAATCTGAGGTCAGGTCTATTAGTGTCTCCTCAGGGAAGAGAGTTACTGTCACCAGGATGGTGTCCCTTGCTGGATCTGAAATTGAGGTTCCTTTTGTTTCTCATGTCCGGAGAAGCCGCCCAAGAGAGAACATTATGGCTCTTATGGTATTTCTCTTTCATACTTATTCTTCCCATTGAGCTGACATAACTTGCAATCATCTGGCTTATTTTACATATATGTGCCTTAGTACTACATTCCAAATTATATCTCAAGAAACACAAGATCATCTCTTAGACTTGTGTATGAAGGATTAATTCAACATTGTGTAGGAATCTCATTCCAGTTGCTTGGAAGCCAAGGCTAGTGCAGGAGACAGTAACCTGAATCTAAACCCATCTCAGTTAAACAGTGATGTTGTGAACCGAGGCTCAGTGGTAAAGTCTACTTATTTCTTTTGTTCTTTACGTCAAAAAGATTTTATTCACTGTATACCTAATATTTTAGAAGAATTTGGTGTTCCAAAATATGATACATTTGCATTATTGGTTTGCAAATGCAGTTTGCTACAAGTCACAATAACAATGAGGAGCATATTCTGAGTGAAGTTGATCAAGACATGGAGCCAGAGTACATGGACTCATCTGGAAACAGCTCAGATGACAACAGTAACGTCAATGTGCCAATCATGCAAGGTGCTGGGCTTAGAAGGAAGCATCATCGAGCTTGGACTCTCTCTGAGGTTACAAAACTGGTCGAAGGTGTATCCAAGTATGGAGCTGGGAAGTGGTCTGAAATCAAAAAGCTTTCCTTTTCATCTCATTCATACCGTACCTCTGTAGATCTCAAGGTAACTCAACTCTTTAACCCCTCTTTGTCATAATCCTATCACTCCAATGCTTTGGTTTAACCTTGTTGTTGTCTTCAGGACAAATGGCGAAATCTTCTAAGAGCAAGCTTTGCTCAAAGCCCATCAAACAATATGGTAACTCTCTCTCTCTCTCTCTCTCTTAACCCTTTGACAAGAACCTGAATGAGGTTATGAATATATGTTGCTGTGTTTCCAGGGAAGTCTCAAGAAACATGGGTCCATGCACATTCCTATGTCGATTCTGTTGCAAGTAAGGGAGCTCGCAGAGAAGCAATCACTGGTTCCTACCCGGTGAAAAAAAGGGAAACAAGATCCAATTTCTGAGTTTTGTAAAATAGAAACTTAAGTAAGGGAGACGAGAAATGTGAGATAGAGAACTGTTTCTGTAGTAGACTCGTAACTACTTTTTTCTAAGGAAGTTTGTGAGTTATATATGACAGAAACTATAAAGCAGTGTCTCTGTATCTTGAATTTGGTATGAAGTGTTTCTTTATAATATCCATAATCGAAGTTATAAACCTGAATTGGGCCTTCTGTAATTTGGATCCATAACTCCTCTGGCTACGGTTTCTCTTCTTGACCCAGACTTACATGTGTATCTTTCTCGCTTTCTCTAGAACCATCTTTCCATCGCCATCACTCATCAAATTTCCCATCTTTTCATGCAAAAGCTTCTATTTTTGTGTTGTTTCTTGCTAAATTTGTTAACACATCGCTCTGTTTTAGTACGAATAATTAGAGGTGAGTCATGATTTATGCTGTTTCTTGCTAAATTTATGAATTGCCTTTTTATATGTTTGATTATTCTTTTTTTTTATATGCTGAAACAAGTGAAGATATCTCAATTCATAGAAGCAAAGTCTGAAAGAAGATGGGGATCGTTGAAAGGATTAAAGAAATTGAAGCCGAGATGGCTCGGACGCAGAAGAACAAAGCTACAGGTTTCTCTTTACATTATATAACATGTATATAGATATAGAGAGACATGAGACTCATCATTTGATTTTCACTATGACAAGTTTTCAACTCTGTTCCATTTCTTGAATGATATTTTCTGGAAAAGAAGCAGAAGAAATGGTCAGCTAATGAAAGTAATGTTCCAACTTGATGGACAGAGTATCATCTTGGTCAGCTCAAAGCAAAGATTGCAAAGCTCAGAACACAACTCTTAGAGCCTCCAAAAGTAATGCAACTTCTTATGATCAAATTGCAGAGTATCAGATTCTATATCATTTCTTCAAATTTTCTGAGCGTTTTTCTTATATCGTCTTAATAGGGTTCTAGTGGAGGTGGAGATGGTTTTGAAGTTACAAAGTATGGTCATGGACGTGTTGCACTTATAGGCTTTCCAAGGTTACTCACACGCATCCATTTATTTGTTACAACTTTAGAGTCTACTCTTCGGTTGCCTAATTTTGTGTGTGTTTGTGACTGTAAATTTGCAGTGTTGGAAAGTCGACGCTTTTGACGATGTTAACTGGCACACATTCTGAAGCAGCCTCTTATGAATTTACAACGCTTACATGCATCCCTGGAATCATTCGCTACAATGACACCAAGATCCAGTTGCTTGATCTTCCTGGGATTATTGAAGGTGCTTCAGAAGGAAAGGGGAGAGGGAGGCAGGTTTAAATATACTTTATTCTTAATCATTTTCTTCTCGAACGGAAATATTAAGGAATGCTATGAAATGAACTTATGTTGAAACTGTTTGTTTCTCAAGGTTATTGCTGTTGCAAAGTCTTCAGACCTTGTGTTGATGGTTCTTGATGCCTCAAAGGTAAGAGTTTTGGTTTTAGCGGTTTTGTCTTTCCTTTTTGCTGTTTCTGTGTTCTGTTCCTTAATCTCTATTTCTTATTTCAAAAACTTTTTAGAGTGAAGGTCATAGGCAGATACTGACTAAGGAACTTGAAGCAGTGGGTCTACGTTTAAACAAAAGACCTCCTCAGGTAAAGCTAAACTCTAACTCTTGAAAACCCAAAACCCTTCTTCTGTGATTTGGCAAAGGCTTTGGCCTTTTGAGAGAATGCTTCACCAGCTTAATGTGCTTACCACTTGTGTTGTAACAGATATACTTTAAGAAGAAGAAGAGCGGTGGGATTTCTTTCAACACTACAGCACCATTGACTCGCATTGATGAGAAGCTCTGTTATCAAATTCTTCATGAATACAAGATCCACAATGCTGAGGTATATTATAATCACTCCAACTTCAATCTTGTCACTCCATCCTCAGCGATAATCATTCCTTACTGCTAGGAGTATAATGAGAAATTTTGTTGTGAGATCTCTAATAAGTTCGTTAATGAATCTTGCAGGTTCTGTTTCGTGAAGATGCTACAGTGGATGACTTTATAGACGTCATTGAAGGAAACCGCAGATATATAAAGTGTGTATATGTCTACAACAAGATAGATGTTGTTGGAATCGATGACGTTGATAGGCTTGCACGCCAGCCAAATTCCATCGTTATAAGCTGCAATCTTAAGGCAAGTTCATGTTTCTCTTGGTCTTCAAGAATGGCAGAAGCTGGAAATCCGATCCAGCACAGTGTTAGCTTCGTCATAATGAATCTGTATACTGGAACACACTGGTCTGATGGTGAATGATTGTGTGTTGCTTGAAACAGCTAAACTTAGACAGACTACTTGCAAGAATGTGGGACGAAATGGGACTTGTGAGAGTTTACTCAAAGCCTCAAGGCCAGCAACCAGATTTTGATGAACCCTTTGTCCTCTCTGCTGTAAGTAAATGACACTTGTCTTGCAGATTTAAATATATGATTTTTTTCTGTCTTACTTCACAATAACCTCTGTTGTTGTTTATATTTGATCATTTGCTTGTGTCATGCCTCAGGACAGAGGTGGCTGCACAGTGGAAGACTTCTGTAACCACGTACATAGGACTCTGGTGAAAGATATGAAGTACGCACTGGTTTGGGGAACAAGCGCCAGGCACTACCCTCAACATTGTGGTCTTGCTCATCGTCTTGAGGATGAAGATGTTGTTCAAATCGTCAAGAAAAAGGTACATAAGCACACACATTTTTCTGATCCCTGTCTCATGATGAGAGTACTAACATCAAATGTTGAATATTCAGGAGACAGAGGAAGGAGGAAGGGGACGGTTCAAGGCACATTCAAACGCTCCTGCCAGAATTGCAGATCGTGAGAAGAAAGCTCCACTTAAGCAATAACACAGTTGATTATCATGTATTGTTATTTCTGTATCAGAACAAATTTGTAAACTATGTTATTAGTGCTGGTGAAGCTTTTGATCTTTGGTTTCATATTGACTAGAGATAAGAACAGATTGTCTCAGAAACATTAGAAGTTAACATTAAATGATCAAAGTGGCCAAACAACAACATTGCAGACTTCAAACTAATTCCTTAACATTCATATGTAAAAGATACACAGAAATTGCTCGTCTATCTATTAATCCGTGTATGTGTTCTTGGAACCAACAGGCTGTCGAAACACCTAAAGATTTAATTAGCCTCGCTGGCTCTTTGCCCACATATGCCTCCCTGTTACTTGAGCCGGTGGATATAGATCAGTCCACTGGTTGCTTGATGGATCCGAACCACCACTACGCCTTAAATTTACATCTCCGTTGAAAGACATGGACTGTTTCTTCTCAAACGGTGTTTTGGAACAAGAGGATGAAGAAGGAGATCGTCTCTGCTTAGCTTTGATAGATTGTGTCAGGCTCATGTAGCTCGGCTTTCTGTAGTACCCTCCTTCCTCAAGGAAACTTCCAGAGTAAGGAACTGGGGACTGAGATGTCGACGAAGACTCAGAACTCGTGGCAGATGACGACACCGGAGGAGGAGGTCTAGCCATCACTCTGGTTGAGAGATTGTTCTTCCTGACTTGAACTGCGTCATGTTCAGACACACTGCTCTCACTTTTCCTTGCATTGTCTGATGAGTCCATCAACCGACCTTCCCATGGCCTGTCTGCAACCCATCTGTCAAGCCAGTTCCATCCTGGACTGCTCTTACACGACCCTTGATTCTTCTTAACACTCCCTTGTTTGTTCACCTTCACGTTTGGACTTGGACACGTCCTTGGCTGTGTAAAATTTTGAGAAACTCAATCAACACAAACGTCTCTGAGAGATTACATTCTCAAAAATATGTGAATATGTTACCTGGTGTGTGAGTGCATACACCATAGCTCTCTCCCTCTTAAGAGCTCCTTCTTGTCTCATCTGTAACTTAGTTCTCACTTCATTTATACTTCCCGGGCTATCACACCAACCCTTCTAAACAAACATCATTACAAAAAAGTATTTGCATTTAGTCTCCAACAAGTCTCATTTGATCTTATAAATTCATGTCTGATAAATCAGTCATTACCTCAGCTTGCTTTGCAGGATCATCTTTTTGCTCAGATGGTTTCTGCAACTCTTGTTCATCTGAAGGTGCCCTGTTGCAGTGAGCTCGTACACGAGCTTGGACTCGAACAAGAGCTTGCATACACCTTAGTGTCACATCTGCTTGTTTCCGGACTTGCCTCCCACGGAATATCGCCTGAATCCTCACCACCGCCTTCAGAGCTCTCAGCGCTTGTCTTGCCTATAAACACATTTGACCACAAACAGCTTCAGAGAAGAAACAAACTATGAATTGGCTTTAGCTTAAGGATCCATTAACTATTGATGGCTGATTAAAGTTTCAAACTTTGTCAAAGAAAAACAACCACAGAGACATAAATCATTGCCATGAAATGAATTAACTTAGTTTATGGATCCATTAACTATTGATGGCTGATTAAAGTTTCTAACTTTGTCAAAGAAAAACAACCACAGAGACATAAATCATTGCCATGAAATGAATTAACTTAGTTTATGGATCCATTAACTATTGATGGCTGATTAAAGTTTCAAACTTTGTCAAAGAAAAACAACCACAGAGACATAAATCATTGCCATGAAATGAATTAACTTAGTTTATGGATCCATTAACTATTGATGGCTGATTAAAGTTTCTAACTTTGTCAAAGAAAAACAACCACAGAGACATAAATCATTGCATGAAATGAATTTACTTAGTTTATGGATCCATTAACTATTGATGGCTAGTTAAAGTTTCTAACTTTGTCAAAGAAAATCAACCACAAAGACATAAATCATTGTAATTAGAGGTTGCTCAGTGCTGAATCAGAATGTTAAACCAATTCACAAATCACTAAATCGAAGGAGACTAGCATTTGATTAAGCAAAATTTGAGCAGTGAAGCATAGAGTGACGTACCAGGAAAGCTCGGAAAGCAGCCTGGATTCGTGTTGCAGCCCATTCTCGTTTGAAAAGAACGAAATCTTTCGGCGGAGCTCTGATGACAGCAGCAACAGCCGCGGTGAAGGAATCGTCGGCGGAGAAAGACGGCGGATCTGAGCCAAGAGAAGGAGTCCCGTAACTACCAGCACGGCTCTTGAAACCCTTTGAGGAAGATATGAGGCTCTCTGATGAAGTTCTCCAGAGTTTCCATTTCTTCTTGCTGTTCTTATCACTTAACTGAAAGAGGAATGAGAAATGTTTCAGATCGATTCAACAAGTTGAGAGAAAGAGAGAGCTTTTCGGAATTACCTGTTCATCAGTGATGGATTTTTTGTTGGTTATCAGAGATTTAATCCAGTTTCCAGAGCCACCCATTTGCTCAAAATGTAACCTTTGTTCTTCAGATCTGTGATAAAGTTGGAGACTTTCACAGGTTTTGGAATCAGATCCGGCGAAGAAAGTTCGATTCCAGAATATAATAGTAATTATGGGGAAGAGAGGGAGAAGAAGAAGAAGAAGAGAGAAAGTTTCTGCAAATTCTGGTGGCCTGAGAATGATGTAGACAAAAGTTTACAATGTTAAAAGAAGAGAAGCATTTGAAATTTGAAATTTTTGGGGAAGTAAGAAGAAACATTTATTTTTTATATATAACGGTTACAATTGACATTTCGCTTTCGTCTGCCATAAATAAATGAGTCATTTTGTCGGTAAATTAAAATAATTTATTTCTCATGCCTCGCGTGATAACTAAATTTCCTTTTGGTACATACATATAACGATAATTATGAAATTGACCACCTAACTTCTTGCTTTTGTAGATTTTCACCCAGTAACTATTTGAGAAAGTGTGTCTTCTTGTTTAAGTGGGATCCATTAATGTTCTTTGTGAGAATCTCTCAATAATGTACATTTATCTTCTTTTACTAATGAAAAAAAAACAAAGAACAAATGAGAATTGTATCACTGAGAGTATCTATTACAGAGAAAGTCACACAAACTTGTGCTTCTTCTTCTACTGCCAAAGATAAAAGCTTTTTTATTAGGCACATGAAGCGACATCTACTTCAGAGAATTCTTGATATCAATCACGAAACGGTACTTGATGTCCTTCTTCACCACCCTTTCAAGAGCTTCATTAATCTTCTGAATCGGAATCACCTCTATATTCGGATAAATCTTATGAGCTGCACAGAAATCTAACATTTCCTGAGTCACTTTGGTCCCACCGGTTACACTTCCCGCCAGCATTCTCATACCTGTCCCCAAAAACCTCAGGTCTCAGCATCTTCAAGAGTATGTATAAAACGAATTTACAAAGAGTTTTGCATACCAAGATTGAGATTGGCAGGACTGATTTTAATCTCACTTGGGAAACCAACAAGCACATAAGTCCCAGCAATCTTCAAAAGCGACATGTAAGGATCAAACGCATGATCTCCAGATGCTGTGTCAATCACAAAGTCTAGAGACTTCTCTAGTCCCTGCAAGTAAAAATCATAAATATGTCCCAAGTCAAGTAAAAGTTGCATTCTTAATGATCACAAGAATATGACAACACCTTTCTCTACCTTCATCTGATCATGGTCAGAAGAGATAACGAAATTGTTAGCTCCCAGGAGAGTCAAAGCTTCTTCTTTCTTGGAAACGCTGGTGCTGAAAACCGTCACTTTAAGTCCAAAAGCCTTACCAAACTTAACCGCCATGTGACCAAGACCACCAAGCCCAATCACCCCTAGAGATTTACCAGGTTGGTTCATATTGTGACGCATCATAGGCGCATATACAGTGATCCCAGCACATAGCAACGGTGCAGCTGACTCCAGAGGATAGTCCACAGGTATCTTGTAGCAATACCTATTTGTATAATCCAACATTTTCGACAATCAAAGAAACGTAGAAATTGCAATTATATGCAACTCACAAGTTCCAAAAGTTTGATTACTAACCTCTCATGAACAACGATGTGGCTTGAGTAGCCTCCTTTTGTGACAGAGCCATCATGATCAATGGCATTGAAAGTAAAGACTTGACCTTTCACACAACTAACTTCTTGTCCTTCGTTACAGTAATCACACTCCCTGCAGGAGTTAACATACGTTCCAACACCAACATGGTCTCCAACTTTGAAACGATGAACATTTGACCCAACCTTATTCACTATCCCAGAAATCTCATGCCTTTGGAGGAGAGACAAGCAAAAGAGAACAAACAGTAAATACACTAGTAAAGTAAAAAAATTGATGATTTTTAAAGTTTGGGTTTTTGTTAATTAAGCATACCCAGGAATCAAAGGGTATTTAGAGTCTCCATGTTTGTTCTTTGTCCAGATCACATCAGCGTAACACACTCCACAGTGAGTGATTTTCACTGAAACGTCGTCGCTTGTAACAGACCTTGATCAAAAACACTCGAGTGTCAAAAAAATTGCTTGAAATAAGTGAGATTGTGAGAATGATCACTATAAATCATAAATTTCACCTGCGAGTGAATGTATGAGGAGAAAGAAGACCAGATGGATCTCTTGCAGCCCAGCTCAAGCACTCTTCTTCTCCACTCTCCGTAGAACTCATCGTCGATTTTTCGATTCTTCTACCACCTAATCAAGGATCGCCGTCAAACCAAAGCTACACAGACGTAATTTTACGGAGTAAAAGCAATCTCACGGCTCACGAATGGCTTTCGTCGTCGTCTTCCTCGCTGCCTTCACAAAAATGATATCAAAGTTCTGTTTTTGATCTGATCCAAAACAGAGCAATTTGTATTTGTTTTCTCTTCTTCAGTGATTGATTCAGTCTCTCTCAATTGCAAACAAAAAGGCCCATGATAAGGCCCATTACGTATGGGTCATGTGGGTCCAACTAATCTTCTCTACATCTGACGGTCCACGTTTAACGCATCTCGTTTCCAGTGAAATTCCCCAACCGAACAAACGGCGCAAAATCAGGAATCAGCAAAATAAGGAAGACGATTAAGCACGAAGATCATCATCTTGCGGAGATCCAGAAGAAACCCATCTATGGCGGATCATAACCGAAACTCTTTATCAGGTAACCACAACAAACGATCAAAGTTATGAATTTCAGTAAATTCCTCGAGATTCTCGTGTAAAAAAGGAGACTTTTATCAAAATTATGTTCATTTCCACGCGATTTCACAATCAAATTACGGCGTCTATGATTGGATGCTTTTGATCAGAAATTTCTACATGGAAAACGATCGAAGAAGACCGATTGATAAGTCTTTTTTTTATTTCTTGTGGGAATTTGAATCTTTTTTCTAAAGGGGTTTCAGAGGAAAAAACTGTGAAATCGCCTAATGTGTTTGAACGGGTCAAAGAAGAAATACAAGCATTGGGTCATCGTCATGATGAAAAGTCGAAGAGTCACCATCATCACCATCACAAAGAGACTCATGGAATGAGTGACGACATTGACGAGAACACAGATGTTGATGATGTGAAAGGGCCTAATTTCTTTGAAAGAGTCAAAGAAGAGTTTGAAGCCATCGTTGATGCTGTTACTCCAAGGCATTCTTCAAAGAAGTGAACCTTTTTTCTCATGTTGATATATGTTAATGCAATAAGTGATTAACAAGTTAACTCAAATGTCATGTTATGGATCGTTATAAGAAATGGTGGATCTTCGCAATGTAATAGTTTCTGAGTAATAATATTCCTTAACACATATATGGAATTTGTGTGTTGATTCCTTTTGAATGCCAGCAAAAGGGACTTAACCACAAGATTTTGTCTGAAGTTGTTGCATATTATATCTTCACTACTCTTGCAAATGTCACAACAAAATATGTTAATCTATGATTTTGAATTGAGCTTGGTTAAGTATTGGTTCAACAGGTGGTTCATGAAGGTGAAGTCTGGTTTAGGAGCAGCTCTGTTTTTTGAATCGGAAGATTATTCTACAAAATATCATAGTGATTTTCTTTTGAACTCATAAATCTTCTTTTTCCTTTCGATTTTTTCCCCATTTTCTTGAGTTCTCTGTTTGATCAGATAGATTTGATGGCTTGTGGGTTTCTATGTGAAACCAATGACTTCATAACCATTATCTAAAGAAGAAGACCATATAGCTTTGCAAAAACGTTACAAAAAATATCTAAGGACACTACTACTAAGATTGTTTCTTGATAACATGTTGTTGTTGGAGTCGGTAGCCAAATAAATCGTCTCGTTTTTCATTTTTTTGTTTTAACTTTTGTTGTTTGTTGCAAAGAGGAAAAAAAAAAATACTAGAAGGAAAGAGACATGTGGATTAATGGTGAAATAACACACCAAACGAAAACAACTCTTTTGTCTTTGTGAGAGTTGTCTTAATACTCTTATGAATGCGATGTGCCTAACTTTTTCCCCATCATTCTGGATATTGAAATACTCCAACCAGAAAATTACAATTGTCACCACTATTACATTTCTGGATTTTTCGTTCTTCTTTTGATATTATGTCTCCCAACACTATTATATCGTCATGGTACTATAAAAAACTCTTTAATAGAATAATTTTAGCTTCAAGATAAATATCGACTTGTTAGAAATCAGTTTTGATTAATGAAATGGTACAATCCAGCTGTATAACTAATTCCACGGTTTAACATACTTCATAGAATCATAGTTCATACTCGAGAACGTGTCAGAATATTCTTTGGTTAAACTTGATTAGTCACATAAATACGGCGGGACCAAAAATAATTACATGATTACTAGATTTTCTTATGTCCTATTGGGACAGGAATATTGTACGTAACAGCATACGACACCTGTGAGTTCATGCGGTGGATATTAAATTTTAAACGTTTCGTTAACAAGAAATATTTCAACTATATCAATCAAAAACATTTTATTTTCCAAACCTAAAGTCTTTGAAATTTCATTACACTGTTTCTCCCTTTAACTTTTGTCGCATTAAAACCCGACAGACCCATATGAATGATTTATAAAACTCCAAACGTAATACAATAAGACAACTAAATTGTATGATAATTTAAAGAACAATTTATAAACTTGGAGTATATTATATGCCAAAATTGCATTTAATAAATTTGGACGAAATTGGCGCATTGATATTTGCTTTCTCTCTTAAGTAAGCCGTGTTGGGTTGCACGTTAAAAGGACCACCACGTTGATTAGTGTTAAATGGACCGGTTAAAACCGTTGTGGGACTCCTCTATGTGGGTCCTTTCCACGTTTCGATTTTTGGCCGTTCGATTATGGATGAACAGAAACGATTCGTGTTGAACAGTCAAACAAACCAACGGATGCGATGAGCTGTTTGTTGAATTAATCAATAGTATTAAGGATGAACGGACCACGACATCACACCTGCTAGTCCAAGTCATGTGGCATTTTTTTCCACATTTGTAGAGTAAAATTTCGGTTCCAATCTAATATCACCGCTTTATTAAAGCTTTAATGGTGATGATTTGAGTTTTAACGATCTTCGTTTTTAGTTGAGGATTTTTTCTGTGGATTTGCTCAGAATAATTTAAAATTTGAAATGGGAAATATTTATCAGATGGGACCCAACAGTAGTAAAAAACTAAAAATAAACAAATGCGATAGAGTTAGGGACCATAAGAGTCAGTGAAAATAGTAAAAGTGGTCAATATCGTGTGCAGATGAAAAGAAAGTACAAAATTCGAAAAAGGTCGATAGAATCATGGACGTGGACCGATCCCATGTGACTATCCTTCGAACCAAAGTAAACTTGAAAGCTTTTTTGACTGAAAACTAAAATAAAACCTTAAATATTCCACGTTGACATTATATAAATGAGAATTATATAGCATACATTACACAAACGAAGATTCAAAAAGTAAAATAGAAAATGGAAAATGGATCGATAAAACTGTAATCTTTTTTTTAGTCCAGAGGTTTGTAGAAATACTGTAATCATCAATCATCATATCCAAATTTGAATTGGTGTTTTCGCTTTATAAAATAGGAATACTCATAAGCATATGGTAACGAGGGTTTATTCAGTTAAACTTTGATTTAGCTAGTTACAGTCTTTTTACTGTTTAGTCACTGATTTTGTCCACCCCTATGCTTTCTTGAAAGTCAACATCAAACAAGTTAACGTCTATATGACAATCTACAATCCACCTATATGTTTGATATAATCGAAGTAAACTACACGTAGGGGCCAAATATGTATAATCTATGAACATGAAACGTGTCATTGCACAAATTCTATCTCAATGTGTATACTATATAGATACAAGTATCCAAAATATATATATATATATAAGGCTGGGTTGGATTAGAAGAATGTCATTTTGCGATATTATTTTATCTATGTAAAATCGAGTACACTACAATTTTTTTATCACGTCTTTTTCCTTAAGCTGTGCATCATTAGAGTGTTTGATATTATAATACAATCTTAGACTATACTGTTTTGTCATGCATGATGTATCCAGTTCTTAACCCCGATTGTTAACATGTTAATTGTCAATATTCACTCCACTCAGTATTTTATGTCGACAAATATATTTCTTCCATTTTTGTCTTGGTCTTCAACTACTTTTACTTGTGTACGGTTTCCTTCTGTATTCTCATGCGTCTAACCAAACCAACCCACCTGTGTCACAACCATATGTTTCTAGAAGCGCACAACCATTTTTATTCTGAAATATTAAAATTATACAAGTTGTGAAAAATCCTATTAGCGGCATAAAGAGCAATTAATTAAACAAAAGTATTCATCATGACATTTTTTTCTAAATGTAAAATATGTATAGAAGCTTTATTTGATGATAATCTAGTTTTTCTTCTTCTAAATAGACAATTTATATGTGAAATATTTCTATAAACTAACTAACCAATAAATAAAAAACAATTCGCTAAATGTTAATCCACTTTTAACAAAAAATAAGTATATGTTACTCCACTCTTTTATCAAAAAAAATGTGTCACTCCACTCTGCTCAAGAAGGTATTGTGGCTTAACCAGAAAAGAAAAAAGGAAAACGGTGCGGATTGGTTCAACGACTCCCTGAAAGTTTGCTTTCGTCGCAGAAGAGGAAAAGGTTGTGGCAAGGCAACGTCACTACCATCTCTCCTAATTTTCTGAACCAGAAGATGCTTTTTTCTTTTCATCAAATCATAGACCTACAAATATACTACGTTTTTTTCCCTTTTTTTTGTCGGGACAAAAGAAGAAATGTTGTATCGTATTTTTGTTCCCCGTAGGAAAGTGGTATGTAGAAAACCATCTTTCTAATTATGGACTTTTACCACATCCTCCAAGATTTTATACAGTTTGCTTTCTTTTATATTTTACCCTTATATTCCTTCACACATAAATAGAAATAAGCTATTAAAAGACTTGACACCTACTTAATCAGGAATATTCTTTTACATAATAATTTAATTAGTTTATGTTATATCGTATATACATTAGTTGATAATTCATTTGGTTGAGGAGAGTTTGAATTCGTTGTTAAATTGTTTTAATTTGAATATGAATCATTGTTTAGAACGGATGAATTATACGTTAATATGTATCATCAACGTTTTGGTCTCAATCCAAAAGAGATTATAGGGAGGTATATTATCAGAACTTAGCTTAATTTTTATTTTTGAGTACTGTGATATTCATATACTCCTTAAAACAGCATTATTCACGACAAAAGGAAATTATAAGGAGAATATTTATTAAAATGGAAGGAATGTAATTCATTTACATTAAAATACGAAGATATTCAAAAAAGTAGAGAGACACCACCACCTCTTGTTGTTTGTGGGAAATTAACACCTTCACAAGTTCACGCCTCCTCGACAGTAAATAAAAATGGTAAATTCAAAATCTTTGAATACATTTTATATTTTCCAAGATTTGTAATTTATTTTGCTATAATGTATTTTCCAGATTTTTGTTTTGATTCATTTCCTTTCTTGCAAAGCTCTCTAACAAGTTAAAACTTATCTTTGTTTGTAATGGCATACGTATATTTGACAATAACGTATCTACCAATTAGACCATTTTTATAATTTTTAAATAATTAAAATAGTTGTAAATTGAGGTTTAATTACATTATAGTTGAAGAGAGAGAAGACGTAGAAGAAGAAGAAGCAGACCCGAAAGTACCTGCACTGATTCCAGATTTGCAGTCCTTGATAGAAAAAGAAAAGGAAAACGAGTGAAATTCGAACATAAAAACAAATCTCTGTCTTTTCTCTTAAACCCTTTCTCTAATTTTTTGTTTTCCTCCATTTTTTGGGCTCTCCTGAGAAAACAAGAGAAGAAAAAGACAGCAGATAGAGAAAGAGAGAAGAGAGAGAGAGAGAAAGAGAAAGCTGCATTTTTTTTTTTTTTGGTGTTTGCTTTGTGCTCCTTCCTTGATCTACCATTGCCGACAAATTCTAGGCAAATCAATCATCTCAGCTTCTTACTGAAATGGGTTTATGCTAGTTCGTCATTTTAATTCAAAAGAAGAATCTATCTCCCTGGTTGATTCCTGGTTTGTCTCCTGATTCTCTACTTCTCCGACAAATCTCCACTTAACCTGTCTGAAAAATTTCGTCCTTCTGGTTTCTCCAATGTGCTTGACTTGTCACCGAGTTCAGGGATCTTATCCCAAGCTTTTATTTTTTTCACAGCTGTCAAATTGCTTTTGCGTGTTCTTCATCACCTCCTCCTTGCTCAATCGCTATCTTAATTTAAGAATCAATTGAGAGATTTCAAATAATCATAGCAGCCACCATTGGCAAATGTGCTCTGAAATCATTGGTGTTTGGTTGGTAAACTTTTTTTTTTCATTTTTTTCATTTCCGGGTTTCGTAAATTCATCATCTTTTTTCATAGATTTGAAATATACAAATTTTATCGATTCAAGTATGGCTTCAAAATAAATTGTTTTCCTTTCGATTTGAGCATGTTGACCAATTTTGAGTTTTAATAAAAATTTCGTTTTTAAAATATGTGACGAGCTTCCGAAATTCCAGCTCCTTCCGTCTATAGCTCTCTCTTTGGTGCTTGTTTCGTTTCAGTCTTTCTCTGCCATTTTCTCTCTGAATTCTCCAAAACTCTTAATTACGTCTCAGAAAGATCAAAACTTTGGAAAATTCTTATAATGGGTCTGCTTCATCTTTGCACAGGCCAATCGCTAGGAATATGAGACACGAAGCACCAAACTGATTCTTGAGGAAAACAGAGTGCTGGATTCTGTTGAAAGATCAAAACTTTCTTCTTCTCTTGAGTAAAGATTGAGGAATGGCTCGAGGTAGGATAAGATCGAAGCTAAAGCTAAGCCTTCTCTACACATTTGGATGTCTAAGGCCAACCACAATCGAAGGTCAAGACTCTCAACCAATCCAAGGTCCAGGATTTAGCCGGACGGTGTTCTGCAACCAGCCTCACATGCACAAGAAGAAGCCTTTACGATACCGTTCTAATTATGTCTCTACAACGAGATACAATCTGATAACTTTCTTCCCTAAATCCTTATACGAACAGTTCCACAGAGCTGCGAATCTCTACTTCTTGGTAGCTGCGATCCTCTCTGTTTTCCCTCTCTCGCCGTTCAACAAATGGAGCATGATCGCTCCTCTGGTGTTCGTCGTTGGCCTGAGTATGATGAAAGAGGCGTTAGAGGATTGGCGTAGGTTTATGCAGGACGTGAAGATCAACGCTCGGAAGACGTGTGTGCTCAAAAGCGACGGCGTGTTTCGTCAGAGGAAGTGGAAGAAGATTAGCGTTGGGGATATAGTGAAAGTGGAGAAAGATGAGTTTTTTCCGGCGGATTTGCTTCTGTTGTCGTCTAGTTACGAGGATGGGATCTGCTACGTTGAGACTATGAATCTTGACGGCGAGACAAACTTGAAAGTGAAGAGATCTCTGGAGGTTTCTTTGCCGTTGGATGAAGATGAGTCTTTCAAGAACTTCATGGCGACGATAAGATGCGAAGATCCAAACCCAAATCTCTACACTTTCGTTGGGAATTTAGAGTATGAGAGGCAGAAGTTCCCTCTTGATCCAAGTCAGATCCTTTTGAGAGACTCAAAGCTCAGGAACACAACGTACGTCTATGGAGTTGTTGTCTTCACAGGCCATGATACTAAAGTGATGCAAAACTCAACGAAGTCTCCTTCCAAGAGAAGTAGAATCGAGAGGACGATGGATTACATCATCTACACTCTTCTTGTTCTGCTGATCTTGATTTCTTGCATCAGCTCTTCAGGGTTTGCTTGGGAGACAGAGTTCCACATGCCTAAGATGTGGTACTTGAGACCTGAGGCGCCTGAAGATATGATGAATCCGGCCAATCCAATTTATGCAGGAGTTGTGCATTTGATCACTGCTCTGCTGCTTTACGGTTACTTGATTCCAATCTCTCTTTATGTCTCCATTGAGGTTGTTAAAGTCTGGCAAGCAAGTTTCATCAACCAGGACTTGCACATGTATGATGATGAGAGTGGAGTCCCTGCAAATGCGCGGACTTCGAATCTTAACGAAGAGCTTGGTCAGGTCCATACAATCCTCTCTGATAAGACAGGAACTTTGACATGTAACCAGATGGATTTCTTGAAATGCTCTATCGCTGGTACTTCTTATGGTGTGCGGTCTAGTGAAGTGGAGCTCGCTGCTGCTAAGCAGATGGCTGTGGATCTTGAAGAGCATGGAGAGATCTCAAGCACTCCTCAGTCTCAGACTAAAGTGTATGGGACGTGGGACAGTAGCCGGACGCACGAAATTGAGGTTGAAAGTGGAGGAGATAATGGTTGTTATAATTACAATCCTAGAGTTCCTATAAAGGGATTTGGTTTTGAGGATAACAGACTCATGAATGGGAACTGGTTGAGAGAGTCACAACCGAATGATATATTGCAGTTCTTCAGGATATTAGCTATTTGTCACACGGCGATTCCTGAGCTGAATGAAGAGACTGGGAAGTATACTTATGAAGCAGAGTCACCTGATGAGGCTTCTTTTCTTGCTGCTGCTAGAGAGTTTGGCTTTGAGTTCTTTAAGAGAACACAGTCTAGTGTTTTTATACGTGAGAGGTTCTCTGGTTCAGGGGAAATAGTCGAAAGGTGAGAATAGTTCCCTTTTGAATATCAGTTTAGGTTATTTTGTTTTCACATATTCTTGACTAAGTGTCAGAAACATTCATTGCAGGGAGTATAAAGTTTTGAATTTGTTGGAGTTCACGAGCAAGAGAAAGCGAATGTCAGTGATTGTAAGGGATGAGGAAGGGCAGATTCTTCTGCTATGCAAAGGAGCTGACAGGTTAGCATTCAAATGTGTCACATTCTCTATATGAAGAAGTTTTTTGTTCTTTCAACTGTAATCAAGTTTTTGTTTTTATTTTATTTTACAGCATCATTTTTGAGCGGTTGGCAAAGAATGGGAAGACATATTTGGGACCTACCACAAGACATTTGACTGAATATGGAGAAGCCGGGCTTCGTACACTCGCACTTGGTTACAGAAAGGTTGATGAGGAAGAATATACAGCTTGGAACACTGAGTTTCTTAAGGCCAAAACTTCAATAGGGTCTGATAGAGATGAGCTGCTTGAGACCGGAGCGGATATGATTGAAAAAGATCTGATCCTTATAGGTGCTACCGCTGTGGAGGACAAACTTCAGAAAGGGGTATGTATTGTTGCACAGACACATTAAGGCCATATTTTCTTATCTTGCTTATGTATATTGAGTTTCTTTTGTTTTGTTTTCATTTGAATTTAGGTGCCTCAATGCATAGATAAACTTGCTCAAGCTGGCCTCAAGTTATGGGTTTTAACTGGGGACAAAATGGAAACAGCTATCAACATTGGGTTAGAATCTCTGTCTTGCCTTGAATGTAAACTAGAAATGAGACTTGAAATGTGATTTTGACGAACAAATTATCTTTTATGGACTGCAGATTCGCTTGTAGTTTACTTCGGCAAGGCATGAGACAGATTTGCATAACATCAATCAATCCAGATGGAGGATCCCAAGATTCAAAAAGGGTATGTTTTTATGATGCAAATGGCTAAAGTATCATTGAGAGTCTCTTCAACTAAAATTTCAAAGCTAACTTTGTATCTATGTTGATGTGTCAGGCTGTGAAAGAGAATATTTTGAATCAACTCACTAAAGCTGTACAAATGGTGAAGCTAGAGAAGGATCCGCATGCCGCGTTTGCTTTGATCATCGACGGGAAAACTCTGACTTACACACTGGAAGATGATATGAAGTATCAGTTCTTGGCTTTGGCTGTTGATTGCGCGTCAGTCATTTGCTGTCGTGTGTCTCCCAAGCAGAAGGCTTTGGTAACAAGGTTGGTTAAAGAAGGAACCGGAAAAACAACATTGGCTATTGGTGATGGTGCAAATGATGTTGGCATGATTCAGGAAGCTGACATTGGTGTAGGAATTAGTGGAGTTGAAGGCATGCAGGTTATTTTCAAGCCATGTTTCTTGACAAGAAAATCAATCAGTCTCGGCGTTATTGCTAAACTTTCTGTACTTTTTGCAGGCTGTTATGGCGAGTGACTTTTCGATTGCTCAGTTCCGGTTTTTGGAACGATTACTTGTCGTCCATGGACACTGGTGCTACAAACGGATAGCTCAAATGGTAAATAAGTAGCTCTTGTGGCCATTTTGATTACTTTCTTACCTGTTACTTACTTGATGTTGTTTCTACATTACAGATCTGCTACTTCTTCTACAAGAACATAGCATTTGGTCTCACTCTCTTCTACTTTGAGGCATTCACTGGGTTCTCTGGCCAATCAGTGTACAACGACTACTACTTATTGCTCTTCAACGTCGTCCTTACCTCATTGCCAGTGATTGCTCTTGGAGTCTTTGAGCAAGATGTTTCCTCCGAGATCTGCTTACAAGTAAGCTTTACAAGATATCTCAAATCTCTTTTTATCACCAACAACAAAAATCTTGAGCTTTTACTTGCTTGTGCTTATGTAGTTCCCAGCTTTATACCAGCAAGGGACAAAGAACCTCTTCTTTGACTGGTCAAGAATACTCGGATGGATGTGCAATGGCGTCTACTCATCGCTTGTCATATTCTTCCTCAACATAGGAATCATTTACTCTCAAGCTTTTAGAGCCGGTGGACAAACAGCTGACATGGATGCTGTCGGCACAACCATGTTCACTTGCATCATCTGGGCGGTCAATGTCCAGATCGCGTTAACCATGTCGCATTTCACTTGGATCCAACACGTTCTGATATGGGGAAGCATCGGTTTGTGGTATCTCTTCGTCGCTCTCTACGGGATGATGCCTGCGAGCCTCTCTGGAAACATTTACAGGATTCTTGATGAGATTCTTGCTCCTGCACCGATCTACTGGATGGCTACATTGCTGGTCACGGTAGCTACTGTTCTTCCTTACGTTGCTCACATCTCTTTCCAGAGGTTCTTGAATCCGTTGGATCACCATATCATCCAAGAGATCAAGTACTACAAGAGAGACGTCGAGGACGCGAGGTTGTGGACCAGAGAGCGTACAAAGGCGAGAGAGAAGACGAAGGTAGGGTTCACAGCTAGAGTTGATGCGAAAATTAGGCATCTTCGGTCGAAACTGAACAAGAAACAGTCGAATCTTTCACATTTTTCAGCTCAAGATGCCGTGTCCCCTAGATCGTTGTAGCCTTGTATAGGTTTGATTCTCTGATGCATTAGAGACTTGGAGTTGGAGACAAGTCTTGATGCTGTTTTTGTTGAGAGTTTTATAGAGTGAGATCAATGTAAAGAGTAGTAGCCTGATGTTTCTCTACTTGTTGGGTTCTCTTTTTTTTTTTGAACTTGCATGCTTTCATTTATTTTGTACACTATACGTAGGTTTTGTGTATACTTAGGAGGACAGAAAATGCAAAAACATAACAAAGAATCTTCCTTTGTGCCTCTCTAATCATTTAATTGTTCATAATAATCATTTTATACATACATAATTGTATATAATATGATTGTTGCTTTAGTGATTGGTTCTCTTCTTGTAGCCCACTAAATGACTTTTAGGTCATGAAATTCCCAAGTTGTTGCGTGTTTGTTACTTTCTCACTAGTGTGTGTTTATCAAATTTGATTGAGAAGTGGTTGGCGAATAAAATAGTTATATCTGATTTAAATAATTTATTTTGGGCCGATACTTACGCAATATGGATAAGTAAGGCCCATGAAAAGTATCCAACAACTCCGCAATTATTAATTTACTTGGAAAAAAAGAAAAAAGAAATGAATAATAATTAGCGTTTTGCTTTTTATGTTCTCTACCCTTTCCGTGTCTATCCCTTCCCTTTTGGGATATTTTCGCCGCGTGGAGAGATGTCGACGCTCTGTCGCCGGAAGTCAATCGGAATCCACCGCAGCTTTTTGCTTCAATCCGTTTGATTTTCTCGGCTTTACTATCTAATACTCCTCAAATATTCTTCTCCAATCTCTTTTTTTTTTTTTGTATTCTTCTGTTTGGATTTCCAATTTTCGGTGAGAGTTGAAGCTTCCGGTGGTAGCTAGTAATCGGATTCCGGTAGTTTAGAAGGCAGTTCTAGTGTAATCAGCTTCTGATTTGATGGAACCTCGAGTCGGAAACAAGTTTCGGCTCGGAAGGAAGATCGGTAGTGGATCATTTGGGGAGATCTATCTTGGTACGCCTCTTAATCGTTCAATTTCTTCTCACACTCACTTCTCGTTGAGTGTTTAATTCATGGATTTGAATGGATGTGGTTGTTTATTTAGGTACCAATATCCAGACGAATGAAGAAGTTGCAATTAAACTTGTAAGTATTCGAGTATTCGTATACAAATGATTTTTTTTACCAATTTCAGTGTCTATTGAAGTAGATCGATAATTGAAGTACTAGTTTTTGGGAATGTGAGGTCTATTATTGCGTTTGGTACGTCTGGACATATGTTCTATCATTAAAAAAAAGAATGAATTTTCTAGGAATGTGGAATGAAAGCTGTGATTTGTGGTGGTATATGTGTTCAAGTCTTATTTTATTTGCCTGGTCTTTCTTAGCTTGTAGCTTCTTCTTTCACCTGTACAAGAGACTGCAAAAATGGATTAGAATAAAAACCATTAGTTTACTTTGTTTGGACGGAAAAGGAAGAAAAGAAATTTAGTAGGGCTACTACACAGCAGTTACTGCTTTTTGTATTCTGCTTTTTAGTAGTTTAGCTGAATTCTTCATTTTGACTTTTTATGAATGCTTGTTTTCATTCAGTACTCAAATCGATTGAATCAATTCTTTTGTGGATTCAAATTGAGCTTTTGTATGAACTGAGAGGTAGTATTATTGATTCTTGGGGAGGATAGTGTAATTAATGCTGAATAAACTCTTAAGAGTCCACGACAACATTACCTGCAATTGGTGGGCCCACCGTGTTGAAAAGTTTGAGAAATTTGTTGTGGCCTCAATATGAAGCATTATGAGGCTTTGACAGCTACACATATTATTGTATTGAGCGTTGGCTGTTTCTTACGAATATGCTTCTTCTGTTACATTTCTGTACTGATTCCTGGCTGTCAATTATGTTAAATCAAATCTTAATATTTGTTTTCATCTTTCTTTGCTGTTCTGCAATGTGACATATTTGTCTTAGTTTTGCTGCTGATGTTTGCTATATGTTTTGACGGCATTGTTTTTTTTTGGTCTTCCAGGAAAATGTGAAAACTAAGCATCCTCAGTTGTTGTATGAATCGAAATTGTATAAAGTATTACAAGGAGGAAGTAAGGACCTAGTTCTGCACTTGTTTACATTTGCAGTTTTTCATTTCTTATTTCTTATTCAAGAGAGGTTGCTTTCCTTTTCTTTGATTTTAGCTGGCGTTCCAAACGTTAAATGGTATGGTGTTGAAGGGGACTATAATGTCCTTGTGATAGACTTGTTGGGGCCTAGCCTTGAAGATCTATTCAATTTCTGTAGTAGGAAACTGTCACTAAAGACTGTACTAATGCTTGCAGATCAAATGGTAGGATCCATCTACTGTCTGAAAATAGTTTTCTCACGTTAAATAAGGAAATTGCCAAAATATTAAGGATCTTTTTGTTCATGTTGTCAGATCAATCGCATTGAATTTGTTCATCAGAAGTCATTTCTACATCGGGACATCAAGCCTGACAACTTTCTCATGGGTCTTGGGAGGCGCGCAAATCAGGTAGCTGTTGTAATGCGTTGTTTGTAGGATTTGTTTATTCTCCTCAGTTATCTGCTTACCAAAGTGTTGGCTGAATACAGGTATATGTCATTGACTTTGGTCTGGCAAAGAAGTATAGGGACTCAAATCATCAGCATATTCCTTATAGGTTGGCCACAGTCTTGTGATTTTCTTTGTTTAGCTATGCTTCTGTTACTATGTGCTCACAGTATTGGACTAGAGATGCTAGATTAAAGAATAATGCGTTTGAGCCTGTGCTATGTAGAGTTTGCTTGAGTCTTCTATTAGCCAGTGTCATTACCTTGTGGTTCTTCTATGTTACACATTACTATGAAAGGGTGGACTCATCCTTTTTGCTTACAGTAGGCTCTGCAGTTTGGTTATTTGAGTATTTTGTACTGTCTGGATGTCTCATACCTGTTTTTGTTAACATTTGTCCTTTCTAGAAAAGAATGAGCTTAGTTTCCGTGGTTTTCAGTATATTGGTTGCTTCACCTATGTTTTTGTGCGTATAAATGTTTATAGGCAAAATAATGAGTTTTTGAAGGTTCTCTTTCATATTGAATAAGGTCGTGACTGGATTACTGTCGTTTTAGTGTTTGGATAGCCTCTTACTCGGGATAATTTAGTTTCTTTCTACAGTTTTTGTGATACTGCATTAGTATTTGTGAAAATCATTTTGATGTTTTGCTAGGAAGTAGCAACATTTTCGATGATTGAGGTGTTTGCTGTATCAGTTAAGCAATTATAACTCTAGTATCTTGTGTGTCACAGGGAAAACAAAAACTTGACTGGAACTGCTAGATACGCTAGCATGAACACTCACCTTGGCATTGGTACACCAGTTCATTTAGTTTCCAACTTTCTAATTTCTTAAAGAACGCAGTTATGAACAGCAGTGATAAATTGTATTACAGAACAAAGTCGTAGGGATGATTTGGAGTCGCTTGGATTTGTTCTCATGTACTTCTTAAAAGGAAGGTATGTACCTCTTTTGCCTTCCATGTTGGCATCTTACTACTGGTTCTTTCTAGGGCGGGCTTTGACTTACTCACCCAATTAAATGTAGTCTTCCTTGGCAAGGACTGAAAGCTGGCAATAAGAAGCAAAAGTATGAGAAAATCAGTGAAAAGAAAGTATCCACATCTATTGAGGTAAAATAATCACCTGAGGCCTGTGTTGGTGATACATCTAGTCTAATACTGATTAATATTCTTCTTTTCTTTTAGTCTTTATGCCGAGGCTATCCATCTGAATTCGCATCTTATTTCCATTATTGCCGTTCCCTGAGATTCGACGACAAGCCAGACTATGCCTACCTGAAACGGCTTTTCCGCGACCTGTTTATCCGCGAAGGTCTGTTGCCCTCATCACTTTTGTTAATTCTAGTCTGGTGAAAGCAAATATAACTTGAACCGGTCAAGCAACATGATAATTTAAGATTTGCGTCCTTCTCTGGTTATATTGTAGGCTTCCAGTTTGATTATGTATTTGACTGGACGATCTTGAAGTATCAACAATCACAGATTGCTACTCCCCCTCCTCGTCACCATGTAAGAGTCATGGTTTCTCTCTTCCAAACTTTATCATTCTACTTAAAAATTCTGCTGATGTACATAGCTTCCTTCCAGGTTCCTGGAGCTGGGCCAAGCTCTGGCCTTCCCCCTGCCATTGCTAGTGCTGAGAGGCCATTAGGTTGTTGTTCAGTTTAATGCTCTGTTTCCGTATTTGATTAGCCATTTAGCTATGATCATTTGTTCAACATGGACATGATATTTCTACCCATCTGATGTGTTTCTTTGGTTCCACTCCAGGTGGTGACGAAGCTAGACCTTCTGGCTGGTCATCAGGAAACCTAAACCCTAGACGAAGCTCTGGTCCTTCCGGACCAATTTTTAACTCAGGAAGCTTAGGTAAACAAAAAGCACCAGTTTCAAGTGATCCCGCAATATCAAAAGATGTAATGGTGAGTACATAAATTTGCCCCCATGTTCCATGTATCCATTTTTTTAGCTCTTTGGCTTGTGAATAAATGAACATAATGTTCTTAATAGAAATGGTAACTGAGTTGTTTTGCTTTGTGACAGTTGTCTAGCTCTAGCTTTCTCCGTGCAACTGGATCATCAAGACGCGCTGCTGTATCAAGTAGTCGCGAGGCTGCAATTCTGGGAACTGATTCCGAGCCATCAAACCCTCAAATCACTGAAGCTGGATCAGGCTCCAACCCGAAGATCCTTGGTGGTCGAAGCTCACCTATCGTCTCATCTGAGATCAACAAGCTGTCATCTCCTTCAAGGGGAACAAGTTCAGTGATGAAGAACTACGAGGCCAATCTCAAAGGTATCGAGAGTCTGCATTTTTAGTCGCTGGAAGGCTAATGATTGGTCTTAAAACCCCCGGGACGAAGTGTATATTAAAAGACGAAGAAAACCTCTCCCCATGTTAAACAGGGAGGGAGCCTTTACTTGTGCGTGTAAGCAGTTGTGTATGAAGAAAAGACTCTGAAGAAGTTGATTCCAGAGAAAACACAAACTCAAAAGAGAGTGAGACCAAAGAGTCAAAAGACTTGCATTTTAGTCCTCATTTGGTTTTTTACTGTCTCTGTTGTGTTTGTCTCGTTTGGTACAGCAAAGTTAAGATAGTTCGCTTCAAAGGGATTTAAAGTGTAAGAGTGTTCCTCGGGTTTGCAAAAGAATAAACAGTACAAAGAAAGAAGGGCTTTTCTTATATTTGCATCTTCTCATGTTCTTCTTCACCATATTGTGAGGGTAAAATGTCACTTTTGTTGGTAAATGGATAGTGAAAGAAGAAGAATTTCAAAATTTTGTGGACATTGACTGACATTTACATAGTCGAAATGGCTAGTGTTCTTCATTGCTGTTTCCTTCCTATAATTGGAGTGCCAAAGTCAATTTCTGAGTTATTACGTCTTCTAGAAGTGAGACTTGAAAGACAAGGTAGGGTATGAGAAGTTACCGAGTAAATTGCAGAGAAGATTCAAAGAATGGTGGAGCCTACATGATGGCTAGGGATGTGGCTCACATTTTTTCCATGAAAAGACCAACTTTATTTCCAGTAAGCTTAACTTCTCCCTTGCCAGTGTGAACCTTCTCATTCTCAGTCAATGGAGTCAATGCTCTATGTCACTAAATATACAAAGCCTCTTTGTTAAACTTTTTCCCCCACATAGTTCTCTCTTTACATCTGTGATCTTTCTGTGAGTCTGTGATCTTAAATCTTCTCCCAATGGCTTCTTCTTCTTCATCTTCTTTATCTATTTCAGTTGCTTCATCTTCTTTGTCTCGAAGCTGGGAACACGATGTCTTTCCGAGCTTCCACGGGCCAGATGTACGCAAAGCCTTTCTCAGTCATATTCTAAAGGAGTTCAGAAGCAAAGGAATCTATCCATTCATTGATAAGGAGATCAAGAGAGGAGAATCCATCGGTCTTGAGCTCAAACGGGCGATCCAAGGATCCAAGATCGCCATCGTTTTGCTCTCCAAGAACTACGCTTCTTCGTCCTGGTGTCTTGACGAATTGGTGGAGATCATGAGCAAAGTGTTTGGTCAAACGGTGATCACCATTTTCTATGAAGTAGATCCAACTGATGTAAAGAAGCAGACCGGAGATTTTGGTAAGGTCTTCAAAGAAACTTGTCAAGAAAAATCCAAAGAGAAGACTGAGTCTTGGAGAAAAGCTTTGGAGGAGGTGGCCACAATCGCCGGTTACCATTCAAAAAGCTGGTTCGTCCTCTTGATTCTTACTTGCCTTGCATTTGAACTATATGCAGCCTAAGGGAAAGTCATTATTTATTATTTATTATTTACTTCCTCTCTTTATTAGGGTTGATGAAGCAGTGATGATCGAAAACATAGCTGCTGATATTTCGAAAATGCTGAATCATTTGGCACCATCACCTGATCTCAGCTATTTAATTGGGATGGAAGCTCATATGGAAAGGATGCAACCCTTGTTACGCCTAGATTTGGATGAAGTGAGGATGATTGGGATTTGGGATCCTCCTGGGATTGGTAAGAGCACCATTGCAAGATTTCTGTTTGACCAACTCTCCAACAGTTTCCAACTGAGCACAATCATGGTGAACATCAAAGGAAGTTATCCAAGACCTTGTCTCGATGAGGGCAGTGCACAACGGCAACTACAGAACCAAATGCTGTCTCAGATGATCAATCACAAAGATAGCATGATCACTCATCTAGGAGTCGCACAAGAAAGGTTGAAAGACAAGAACGTGTTTCTCGTTCTTGATCATGTGGATCGGTTAGCACAGCTAGATGCCTTGGCCAAGAAGCTTCACTGGTTTGGTCCTTGAAGTCGGATTATCGTCACAACAGAAGATTTAAAGCTTTTGAGAGCACATGGGATCAACCATATATACAAGGTGGATTTTCCATCAACTGATGAGGCTCTTCAAATGTTCTGCATGTATGCTTTTGATCAAAAGTTCCCTAAAGATGGTTTCACGAAACTTTCTCATCAAGTTACACACCTTGCCGGTAAACTTCCTCTAGGGCTTAAAGTTATGGGCTCCTACTTCCGGGGAATGGCCAAGCACGAGTGGGAAAGAGTACTACCAAGGTTATGGAGTCGGCTTGACGGAGATATCGAGAGCATTTTGAAGTTCAGTTATGATGATTTAACTGATGAGGATAAAGATTTGTTCGTTCATATAGCTTGCTTCTTCAACAATCAAAAGGTTGAGAAAGTGGAAGAGCATCTAGCGGAGAGTTTCATGGATGTGAGGCAAGGTCTTCACGTTTTAGCTGAGAAATCTCTCATATCCTTTGATTGGGGAATGATAAAGATGCATAATTTACTAGTCCAGCTGGGTATAGATATTGTCCGTAAGCAATCTGATCGTGAGCCCGGGAAACGGCAGTTTTTGGTTGATGATAAAGATATTGGTGAAGTTCTCAGTGATCCTACCACGGTAAGTTTTTTCACTAGTCTTTCGTCGCATTAATTTTTATTTATTTTATCATCTCTAATTAATACTTGGGTCTTTTCTTTCAGATTAGTAGAAGTGTTATAGGCATATATTCAACACAAAATTTGAACTTGCACAAGTTAAGTGAGAGAGCCTTCAAAGGAATTTCTAATCTCCAATTCTTAAGATTGGCTACTTATCCACAGATTCCACACATAGCGTCTTTGCCGGGATTTGTGAAGCATATGTCTCCAAAACTTCAATTACTACAGTGGGAGAATTGGCCGAATACATGTTTGCCTATTAATGTCAACCTGGAGTTCCTGGTCGAATTAAACATGCCTAATAGCATGCTTGAGAAGCTGTGGGAAGATATTAAAGTAAGTAGTTTTATCTTCTTTAAACTTTCACTTCGGATCTATATATGTTTTTCTCTCTCATTATGTTTAGGTGTTGTAATAACGCTTTCATGTATTATGTTATGTCTTTATTTTTGTCTGTACAGCTGCTTCGAAATCTCAAGTGGGTGAATTTGAGTCGTTCATATAAACTGAAGAAGCTTCCTAATCTCTCAACTGCCACTAGTCTTGCAGAATTAGATCTCCGTTTATGCTCAAGTCTGGTGAAGCTCCCTTCCTCTATTGGGTATCTAACTAATCTCCAAAAGTTAAATTTGGGTGGATGCATAAAACTGTTGGAGCTCCCTTCCTCTATCGGGAATCTAACTAATCTGCAAGAATTAGATCTTAGTTATTGCTTAAGTTTGGTGGAGCTCCCTTCTTCTATTGGAAATGCAACAAGTCTCCAAAAGTTAGATCTCAGTGAATGCACAAAACTGGTGGAGCTCCCTTCCTCTATTGGGAATCTAACTAATCTGCAAGAATTAGATTTTAGTTATTGCTCAAGTTTGGTGGAGCTCCCTTCTTCTATTGGGAATGCAACAAGTCTCCAAAAGTTAGATTTCAGTAAATGCACAAAACTGGTGGAGCTCCCTTCCTCTATTGGGAATCTAACTAATCTGCAAGAATTAGATCTTAGTTATTGCTCAAGTTTGGTGGAGCTCCCTTCTTCTATTGGGAATGCAACAAGTCTCCAAAAGTTAGATCTCACTAAATGCACAAAACTGATGGAGCTCCCTTCTTCTATTGGGAATGCAACAAGTCTCCAAAAGTTAGATCTCAGTAAATGCACAAAACTGGTGGCGCTCCCTTCCTCTTTTGGGAATCTAACTAATCTGCAAGAATTAGATCTTAGTTATTGTTCAAGTTTGGTGGAGCTCCCTTTTTCTGTTGGGAATGCAACAAGTCTCCAAAAGTTAGATCTTAGTGAATGCACAAAACTGGTGGAGCTCCCTTCCTCTATTGGGAATCTAACTAATCTGCAAGAATTAGATCTTACTTATTGCTCAAGTTTGGTGGAGCTCCCTTCTTCTATTGGGAATGCAACAAGTCTCCAAAAGTTAGATCTCAATGAATGCACAAAACTGGTGGAGCTCCCTTCCTCTATTGGGAATCTAACTAATCTGCAAGAATTAGATTTTAGTTATTGCTCAAGTTTGGTGGAGCTCCCTTCTTCTATTGGGAATGCAACAAGTCTCCAAAAGTTAGATCTCAGTAAATGCACAAAACTGGTGGCGCTCCCTTCCTCTTTTGGGAATCTGACTAACCTAAAAAAATTAGATCTTAGTTATTGCTCAAGTTTGGTGGAGCTCCCTTTCTTCATTGGCAATGCAACCGATCTCCAAAAACTGAATCTAAGTTATTGTTCAAGTCTACTTGAACTTCCCTCCTCTGTTGGAAACCTTCATAGATTGACAGTGCTTGATCTGGAGGGATGCTCAAAGTTAGAGGTTCTTCCGACCATCATCAACTTGGAATCTCTCGTCGAACTCAATCTCAGATATTGCTCCTTGTTAAAAAGTATCCCTGAGTTTCCCATAAACATTGAAGTCCTCAAAGAAAGTGGAACTGCAATAGAAATTCTTTCATCCACCACCAAGTCGGGGTATAGTCTTCATGAATTGGAGATGTCATACTTTGAAAACTTGGAACACAGAGAATCTGAAGGCATAGAGATAAAGACAAAGAAAGACAAGAGAAGATGGAGCAAATTATTTATTAAATTTTTGGCTTTCAACTTCAGTAATCCCTTCTGTCATATCAAGAAAAGAAAAAATATGGTCTGATACTATACACGCTATGGCTTGTGTAGTCCTTGTCAGGTTTGCTGGTAAATTTTGAAAGAAGAAGAAATAATAATTGATGTACATAAGCAATAATTGTACTGATTCGACTCAAAAATGACATGAAAGTTGCTTATGTCATATGTCAAGTTAAGCCCTTAGACAGAGAGGACCTTAATGAAGTTTACTGTAAATGCAGTTAAGGCCTTTAACCGTGGAACCTATCAATTTATCATAGCTGAATATCTTGTTGTTACAACAATCATAAATATCGAGTTTATAACAGAGAAGTCTTGGCAGATGAACGAGGAGAAAGAAACATGAAACAAGAGAAGAAAGATTGGCAAGATTTGTTGTTTGATCACCACAAACCATAGACAGCACTTGAACAAGTCTCCTTGAACCATTTGAAGCTCTTCTTCATCGATCCCTTGACTCTCCCTTCAACACCATACACATTATAAGCAGCCACTCTCTTCTTCCTCTGAATCTCTGCTTCACACAAACCCTTTAACTCTTTCTTCACCTTACTATTATTACCTCTCTTTGATTTACTGTTGGAATCGTCTCTCACCATTGTTGATGGATTCTTGTGTGGACTATAAGTTGATGTGCTGTAAGATCTCATCATCATCACTGGAGGCTGCTGGTTTGTTTGGCTTGGTGCTGCTTCAGACTTTCCTCCATTACTGAAACAATGGTACTTGTTGGTGATCCTGCTGCTTCTGGTCTCTTCTCTGCATGACTTAGATCTGAACATCTTCACTTCCAAACAACCTCAAGAAAAATTAGCTTTTGCTTTTAGGATGAGAAAAAGGAGAGAAGTTGCTTTTGGTTTTTATCTCCAACCTCTTTCTCTTCTGCTTTTTGTCACTATGTTTCTTTTGGTACATCGTATGTTTGTATGCTTGTTACATGAATTAAAAAAAACATTATTAGAGATTGATTACCACAGTTTTGTATGTTTATTCTTCCTAAGAAAATTTTGTAAGATCTCATGTCCTTTGGATTTACACATGGCCGCTGCTCATTTCATGAATTCAAGAGAAGTTCTTGGGGCTCGTCCACAAGTCAGATACACTGATTGTAAAATTGAGGGAATCACAATTATCAAACAATTTTCTTTTAGTTAGACCAAAACTGTGCTTATAAACCAGACTCAAAGACTATCCTTCCTTCTAAGTCACGTTAGCAAAAAAAAAAGGTTATAGATAATGCCGAAATTCTTGAGTGCAAAACAAAAAGTCATGAGATGAGTTCTCTTCTCATTCTTGCCAAGAAAACTAATCTAAAAGTAGCCTGGAAACAAAAGCAAAAAACATGGGAAAACTGCAGAAATAGACTGCTAAAACCAGCAGTTTCTCAGTAAAAAAACAAACAGAAAATTACTCAGCCGCCGGAAAAAGACTCAGAGAAGATCAGCAACATTGCTTGGCAACTCCTGAACGACCACATTGTAAAACTTCTGAATATCAGACAACATCCTCTCATCATCAGTCGTCAAGAAGTTGATCGCCACTCCCTTCCTCCCAAACCTTCCACTTCTTCCGATACGGTGAAGGTAGTTCTCCGGTTGAGTCGGGAGGTCAAAGTTGATGACCAGAGAGACTTGCTGAACATCGATACCACGAGCAAGGAGGTCAGTGGTGATGAGGACACGAGAAGATCCAGACCTGAACTCTCTCATGATGATGTCTCTAGTGTTCTGGTCCATGTCTCCGTGTGTAGCTGAGACAGTGTGGTCACGGCTTCTCATCCTGTCGGTTAGCCAATCAACCTTACGCCTAGTGTTGACAAAGATGACGCTCTGAGTGATGGCGAGAGTCTCGTAGAGATCGCAGAGCGTCTCTAGCTTCCACTCTTCCTTGTCAACGTTGACGTAAAACTGCTTGATACCTTCAAGAGTCAGCTCGTCACGCTTCACAAGGATCCTCACCGGTTTGTTCATGAACTTCCTTGTGATCTCAAGAGCTTCAGGTGGCATGGTCGCAGAGAAAACACCGACCTGGACCTTGGAAGGAAGAAGCTGGAAGATGTCGTAAATCTGAAACACAAAACCAAATCGTAAGAAAACAAAAAAAACAAGATTTGATTTCATCACAGAGGAAACAAAATGAAAACAAGATCAAAACCTGATCCTTGAAACCACGAGAGAGCATCTCATCAGCTTCATCAAGAACAAACATCTTGATGGCATCAGCGCGGAGAGACTGCCTACGCAACATGTCAAAGACACGTCCAGGGGTTCCAACAACAACATGAACACCAGTCTGGAGAATACGCTGGTCCTCACGGACGCTAGTCCCACCAACACATGCGTGAACCTTGACGCCGAGGTAGTCACCGAGCGCCCTCATAACCTTCTCGATCTGCTGAGCGAGCTCTCTGGTAGGAGCCAAGACAAGAGCTTGGCACTGAACAAGAGTGTAGTCAAGCTGCTGCAACACGCCAGAGCAAAAGGTAGCGGTTTTGCCAGTTCCAGATTGAGCTTGCTGGATCACATCAAGACCCTTGATGAATGGAACAATCCCTCTCTGCTGAATAGCAGAAGGCTTCTCAAAACCTGTAACAAAGATCAAAACATACATATCACTCACAGCTGAAAAATGTAAACTTTGTGACAAAAAAGTTGAATTAAGAATGTGTTCTTTACAAAGGAAGAAACTTTTTAACTTACCGTAAGCATAAATACCCCTGAGAAGATCAGACTTCAATTCCATTGCATCAAAGCTGTCGCAAACCTCGTCAGAGATGGTGTAGAATGTTTCCTCTCCTTCCTCACCGAGGCTGCAAACGTATCACAAAGCTCAGTTCTTGTGCGGCGAGTTTGTTAAAGAGAGCAATACAGAGATTTATCCCAAAAGCTAATTTAACTTACATTGCATTCATCTTAGAGTCAAACTGACGAGGATCGTATTGGGTTCCTTCAGCTGCCATTCCTGCCATGACTGGAGACAAGCATAAAAACAAGAAAACAATTCATTGTCTCAGATCCCATAAGAAAAAAAACTCGCACAGAGAGAGCAGAGCCAAAAAGATTCAATTTTTATCTTTCTAATGTCAACTGCTCAATCCAAGGAATCAATGGAACCAAAAACAGAACGAGTCGCAATGAAAATCCATTTTAAATTAAAAAATACAGCTAAATCTGCAATGTACGAATCGTCATTGCGGTAGAACAGAACAAACACGAATCAAAACAGCACCAAAAACTTATAGATCCTATTGAGTACCAACGAGAGAGAATATACAAACACAAATCATAAGCAAAAGAGAAGATAGATTCAAACAAACCTGATGTTGTTAGCAAATTGACGAGCGAGAAAGAGAATGAGAGATTCAACAAGAGACAAAGCGCAAAACTCCTCGGATCTGAGCCGTGGAGTTGAAGAAGAAGAGGAATAAAAAAAACTGCTGCTTTATATATATAGCTCCACCGATTTTTCTTAGTCGTTTAGGTTTTCGGAGTGTTGGTAGGAAAAAACTTCTTTCCCGATTTGCCCTCTGAAATTTTTATATATTTACGACTTTTTCACTCTCTGTTCCGGTCCTAAACAGGAAAGTGAAAAGGAAAAATAAACCTTTTTATTTTGGAGTACTATATAATATTCGAATAATTATATTTTTGGTCCCAAAATAACATTCATTCACTAAATATAATATGTCGATGTAAAAATTCAGTTTTGAGTTCAGAAATTAAAAAGATTACTCACAAAACAGAGAGCCACGCCTAATAAATTGAATCTCTTTTATATATTATCAACAACTAAACAGAGACACCTTCGTGTGTCACACTACTAGCTTGCCATCCAAAAAAAAAGTCTTTATCACAAGTGAGCTCAAAGATATGTTCCATAGACTCAATCCAAAACCATAACTTCACCACGAGAACCTGCAAAACAACACAAATATAAAAACCAAATGAGTTACATTGTTCCTAATGTGAAGAAAGAATGAGAAGAAAATGGCGGTAAGTAGCAGTTTTTTACAGTGTTCATGCATCTCTTTAGCTAACTTCAGGAGATGTTCTGATAGGTCTGCAAGTTTGTTCATCTTCACCAACTCCTCTACTGCTGCTTTAGAAACGCCTATTTTGTTCTCTGCTTCTACGAGTTTATAGGCAGCGGTTATTGCAGCTTCCTCTATCATCACGTTTGAGATTGCGGAAGCCTGGTTGTTTGATTGCCTTGGTTTTGTATTCGTCTCCTTTGCTGGTTTTGGGGGAATTATAGGTGGTATTCTCGTCTCTGCTCCTTCTGGTATCTTGTAAAAGTTCTGCAACTGCTGTGCGTTGCATCAAAACAACACAGCGGTCAAAAAAAAAGCATTAAAGTAACAAAATGTATGAAGCAGGAATCTTTAACTTGTGACTCTAAGCGAGAAAATGAAGAAAAGAAGAGTGAGGTTTGATACTTACAGGTTTTAAGATGCTAATCTTCACAAGCTTTTCCTGAGATGCAAGCCTCCTCAGTCTTGAGGTAAGGATTCTTCTAAAATTTTGCGGCACATGATGCCTTGACTGCTCTTTCCACAGTAAACCCATTATCATGCATTCATAAATCAGAACTTAACCATAACGTTCATAAGGATAGGTTATAGCCACTAAGGGATAAAAAGAATAACAACGAGTGACCGCAGCTTAACTATAATCAAGAGAACTCTAACATTTCTTCAGATAAGCATAATGCATAAGCATCAGGACAACTCTAATCAGACCGTAAACGTCAAAGTAGATATGATTAACAGTATAAAACTTGCATTTAGGTTCACAAACTGAGGATGTAGTGTATCCTGACCATTTGGTGAGCAAGTAATGTTATATGCATGCATGAAACTTACATGTAGACCTCAAGTACAATAAGCCATTTGCAAAAGTCATGTAGATTACAGTTTTACATGTTTAAATAACATAACTACCCCTCCCCCAAATGTAGATGGTGAGTCTCTAGTCTCTACCGAACTGTTTACAGTTTAACAAATCAGGCATCAAAAGAGGTTCTGACCTGCATACTGAAGAGCAAAGAGAAAATGTTCTAACCTCGATGAAAGTGTAAATGGAACTGATATCAGATCCATCAGCATCTGCCAAAGCAAAAAGAGCTTCAAATATCATCCCGTCATATCTGTAAACAGCCGCTCTAATCATCAGAAGTTTAACAACATATGAGTTGAAAAGGTTAGGGTTTGTGGTACTGAGTGATCAATCAGCATAAGTTAATGAAAAGACAAACCTTGGAGCGTTCTTCGAATCCGCCACTGTGTTATAACCGTCATCACTGGTCAAGTCGGAAGGTGCAGTGCGTGGAAGAGAGGGAGGTGGTTTTGAAGAAGGGTTAGGATTAGAAGGTGGAGTGGTGATAGCAGTATCTTGAGTAACGCCTTCACCTTTCACTTTAACCGGCCTTGGCTTATCCTTTGAGACTTGAATACCGGGAGCAACACTCAAGTTACGCCATTTATCCTACAAAAGTATTGAAAGAAGGCACATTTATAATCACAACAGATTCTTATTCATAGGTTACCAAGTAAAAGAGTAAAGCCACTGCAAAACTCTAATCACAAAGAAGAAGGAGAAAGTTCTGTTCTTTCCAACTCAAAGCTCCAAAATCAACCAATGTTTGCTTTAAGATTCGACAATTTTCACACTTTAATCAATCAAAATCAGTTTAGATATCAACAAATCCTATGACTAATGATAAGGACTGGACACAGATCTGCTCAAATTCGAAAGCTAGATTTCAATGGTTCAAAGACTTCAATGTGAGGGGGAAAAAAATTAAACCTTGAGGTCGATGTTGGACCGATTAATGAGCTGATCGGAGAATTCGGGATCGCGGAGGATATTCTTCCACTTACCAGGGCCGTGTTTTTTAATTCCGGCGAGTAACGCCTCCTCTTCCTCCGCCGTCCACTTTAGTTTCTGGTTTCCCATCTCACCCGCTTCTCTCTCTTACGTCGTGCTCCTTCCTTGTCGATGCGGATTGTGTGTACAATCGGAGAGTCAGACGACGTCACGTCGCCGTTAATTCGCCGGCAAGTTTCGATTTTTTTTTCTGACTCAGATTTAAGCCTTTTTTTGTGACTGTGGTTTTGTAATCTTCAAAAATCAAAAGTTTTGGTTTACTTTAACAAAATAAGAAAATCTGATTTACACTCTCAAAATCAATTTTACTTTGCTTTAAATCCTTATTCCTTGCAGACTTTCATTTTAATACCCTCGCTAAATTTTGTACATATGAATTAAAAATTGTTAAATTGAAACTGGTAAAATTTGTATAAAATGAAACTTCTGGGGTGAAATTAGAAATATTCGTATACAAAGGTTGTGGCAAGCGATAGCCAACGAAACCAAAATGGGGCTTAATTAAACAAACCAAAACCTTATGGGGTCAAATTCGAATTAAAGCGAGTATCAAGCGAATCTAGTTTCTACGAATCTCTGGAATTAAACAGAACACAAGACTTTTCAAAGTAAAGTAATAAAAGAAAGAGTTTTTCTCTAAAAACCCTAAACATTTCTTCATTTCTCCTTTCCGCAACCTAACATCGGAAGAGAGCCACATCACACATTTCTCGGTCGTCTCTCTCTCTCTGCTCTCTCGCCGCCATCAAAGGTCCACAACAACATTTCTCTCTCTCTTTCAATGGCGGCCAATAACGGATCCGATCACGGATCAGACGAAAACACTCGCCTCTACAATCCATACCAAAACTTCGAGGTCCCAATCAAATCTCAGTACCTTTACAAGCTCCCCACCTCCCCTGAGTTTCTCTTCACGGAGGAGTCCCTGAGGCAGCGTCGATCTTGGGGCGAGAATCTCACTTTCTACACCGGAACCGCTTACCTCGGCGGCTCAATCGCCGGCGCCACGGTCGGTGTTTTCACCGGAGTCAAGAGCTTCGAATCTGGCGACACGACTAAGCTGAAGATCAACAGGATCCTCAACTCCTCCGGTCAGACCGGCCGGACCTGGGGGAATAGGATCGGTGTGATTGGGCTGATCTACGCCGGGCTGGAGAGCGGCGTGGTGGCTGCGACGGATAGAGACGATGTTTGGACCAGCGTGGTGGCTGGTCTTGGAACCGGAGCTGTTTGTAGGGCGGCGCGTGGTGTGAGATCTGCGGCTGTTGCTGGTGCTCTTGGTGGTTTGGCTGCTGGTGCGGTGGTTGCAGGGAAGCAGATTGTGAAGCGGTATGTGCCCATTTGAAGGAAAGAGTGAGTCTTTGGTGGTGAGAAGTGTTGAGTCTCTAATTGGAAGACTCTGTTCGTTGTTGAAAGTTTTGATAGGAGAAATGTTTGGATTTGATAGGTTTCGTATTGTCTTGGAATCATAAAATTTGAAAAACTTTATTGGTTTCTTGATGTACAAAATCTGTATGTCATAATGCAGATGAATAACCTGCAAAACCCTTTTTTATTTATACTGATAAAAGGTCTTAAATTTCCATAAATTAGTATTCTTGCTATTTTTCATTGCTAATGTTTAATCTCTGTGTTGTATCAGCCTTAATTTGAATAACTTTTTTTTGTCATTTTGTTAAGTGAGATTGTTTGTAGTGTTCACATAATCGTTGCCCTCTGTTATTACCAGAGTTGTAACAGCTTTATGCCATTTCTTGTTCTGTTCCTTATTGTTCCCTATGGTTCACTGAGTTGATAATACGGAGAATGATTCTTAACTCTCAAAGATTGTATATTTATGTTCCTCTTGTTCTTGTCTTCTGCTCTTTAGCATTCCATTTTGTCTCCAAGAATTTAGCAATCGTGGTTCCTGCAAAACGATGTTTGATTTGAGTTTTCCATCGAACAAGGGGTCTTCCTTTAATAGACAACTTCGTTCTTAGAAAATATGTTTTTGTTACAGAATGTTCCAATAACAAAAGAAAACCCACTCTTCTTTAAGATTGCTGCATTTTATTACAAGACCAAAACTAGAAATGTGTTTCATATACAAAAGATATAAGGGAACTCTCCACACACATTATGGGAGTCCACCCCAATCAACTTTGGAGGGAGCACAACTCATAAAAGACCAACGATTGCCTTTGTTTTGGCTTCCATGTGATCTTGGAGGTCGACTTCTTCTTCTTTGATTACTCGTCCCCAACGGATCAAGATCCTCGTCGATCTCAGCTACTTCCCTCGTCAGCTTCCGCTTGATCTACGTCGAATTTTTTTGTGTCAATACTCAATACGATTTTCTCATTTGATCCTCTCTCTACATTGCAGAGACATTAACTGAGAATGTTCTGTAGTAAACACTTTACCTACTTTTTATGTCTCTTGATCAACTATGTTCTAGATCCATTTTCAGTTGTGAACTTGAATCAAGGAATTTAGTTAATATCTATATGCTTATTGTAAGAAACTAACCTCAGAGTAAGGAGTTGGGGAAAGTGGAACTGAGTTGTAAGCGTGTGACACATGAGATGTTCTGTCTTGGAAACGTTCATGATCCTCTGTTGCAAAGTCTCTTAGCCTGTTGAGAGCTGGTAATATAACTGAAGCAAGATCAGGTCTGTCCTTTTTCCTCAGCTCACAGCACTGCAGACCCAATTTAGCCAACTCAAGAGTCTCTTCTTCAGGCCATTCTGTCAACGTTGGATCCAAAATCTCTTTAAGATTCTCATTTTCAACCGCCATCACTACTCTATGGCCTAACCCCATTGCAGGCATGGCTGTTATGATTTGCAGAAGCACCACACCGAAAGAGTAGAGATCAGATTTCACTCCAAGCAACCCTGTTTGCTGATACTCAGGATCAATGTAACAAAATGTACCTGTTGAGAAAACAAACATTTTGGTTCCATGTTATGATTGATATACAAGAAGAGATTGGAAGATAAAGATCCTTACCGGCTGCAGAAGTCATGTGATAGTTACTGGAAGCATCAGACACAGAGGGAGGTACAAGACGAGCTAGACCAACATCACTGATCTTGCTAGTGAAATGTCTGTCGAGTAGTATGTTTGCTGGCTTCAGATCACGATGAACTAAAGGCTCAGGCTTTGCCTGGTGAAGGAAGAGAAGCCCTGTGGCGATCTCAGCAGCGATTCTGAATCTTGCTCTCCAAGAAAGCGGAGGTGTGTTGTTCTTGCAGAAGAGACGATCTTCAAGCGTTCCATTTTCCATGTACTCATAAACAAGACAACCATACTCAGGACATGCACCGAGTAGGATCACCATATTAGGATGTCTCATACTACTCAGAACCTCAATCTAGTGAAGAAACGTATGTGTCAAGTCATGAGAAGACGAAAGAAAAGAAAAGCAAGATAAAGATTGAACACCATTACCTCTTGTTGGAATTGTCTTAGTCCCTGTGTGATACCAGACTTCAAGATTTTAATGGCGACAGAAGTGTAATCAAGAACAGCTTTGTAAACAGGTCCATAACCTCCTTCACCAATCTTTACATCATCTGAGAAGCCATTTGTTGCACCTTCAACATCTTTGATACTGTAACGCCTGTAAGAGACATTACTGACATGTTTTTGTTTCTCCAGCTTTGCCTGCATCTCTAGTAACCTTCTCTTTTGGCTCTCCATCTTCGCTAACCTCTTTGCTATCTCAGATGCTTGGATTGCAGACTGCCTTTTCTGCTTCTCCTCAGACAACAACAACGCTCTTGGCAGCTCTATTGCTTCCTCTGACCTTATGGCTTCGGTTCCTCCAAGTTCTTGAGACTACACAATTCAATCAATATGATTCTTTATTCAAACAACATTGTCATCAACAACAATGAATGCAATGGTAAAGAACATCTTACGCTTTCTTTTTGGTTCATAGTGTCTCTTCCCTTTGAGGCATTAAACTGTTTCAATTCAAGTCTCAATCTCCTCACCTCTGCTTCAAGATTTTGTTGCTGAGGACAAGAACATAAACCATGTCAATATCATGCTGACAAATCCGGGACAAGATTTTACTATGTTCCCAAAAACTTTACCTGTTGCTCCACGAAATTTCCGGCAAGTGGACTCTCCTGTGCATCAGTTGTTTCAAGAAAGAAATGTCAGAACGGTAAAGAAACTGAGAGGTTAGCAAGAATGTGATGATATACTAACCGTGGATGAAGAAGAGTTGGAGCTTCCATTGGTAGTGGAACTTTCAGAGATGGTGTAAGAACTCGCAGTTGAATCCACGCCGTAACTACCATTCTCAGTCTCTGACTGAGAAATCTCACTCATAGATTGCGGCGGCGAGCTGTGAGGTGAACTGGATTGAGAGAAATCTGGCTTGAATATCTTAAGTTGAGTAGTAGATACAGATGATGGCCTGTAAAAGTATAAACCAAATTAAAGAAAAAAAGGCATTCTTCAGTACGACAATGGTTAGAAGAAAGTTGAGATTTACTTACCTGTCGGATTCACTGGAGTTAAAGGAGCTTGATAGCTCGAAGTTGTACAACAAAGAAGAGAGAGCTTGATGTTTTTGAAGTTTCTGAGGATGACTCGCTGATCTGCTTTTTAAAAGCTTACCTTTTGACACAACAAAGACTGCACAAGACTCTGGCGCCGTTTTAAGCAAAGTGGTTGGCACATCTGGACTCATAAACTTCCTGATCACACACACAGACAGAGAGAGAGATGATGAATAGCACTCATGATCATAATATTGAGAATGAGAACGGAGAGAAAAGAAAAGGTACTTGAGGAAGGCACTGTGTGTAGATGCACCAACAACGAGATTTGAAATGGAGTTGTTGTTGACGTAGTTGACAATAGCATTGGAGATTTCAAGATCACGAAGCAGAACCTCTTTGGCTATAATCTGAGAAACGTGCATATATATATATACAATAATGTCATGAATATGTAATATTAGGAGATTGAGAGAATATATGATGGATCACTAACTCCTTTTCGAGCGCAGAATCCTCTGAAAGGAAGAAAAAACTGATGTGCTTCTTCGTGATTGTCATGTTGTAAATGTGGACCTGTGTTCCCTTCTGCAAAAACAAGATTCCTAATTAGGGTTCTCTGAAAACATATTGTTTGTTTTCAATGGTGAAGATCATGATGAGCGAGAGATGTGTCTTTTACGTTGAACGTGGAGAAGAACACAATGTGGAGAATCGGCAACGATGTTCTCAACGGCCCACTTCAAGGCGTGTTGGCTGTTCTTGTCCTTATCAATGGCGATGGCCGTGATTATGCCGTGGTCTATTCTTCTTGCAGACATGTTAGAGACTTGCCTCTCAAGGAACCTGAATTACCTTTTTTCACAAGCAAACCATAGTATATAACTCAATGTCTTTATCACTAAAATGTAAAACCAAAATCGATTGTGTTTGGTTTCTTTCGTTTGGCTCTGCAAATTCTGAGAAGAAAACGATGAACAAGAAAGAAACAGATTTTGTATTGTGAATGATGAAGCTTGAGTGGTTTTGCATTTTTTGCTAATTTTGGAGGGTTTTTTTCTCAAACAAACTCAACAGTCTTTTGAACAAACTAACAAAAAGGGAAATTTTTTGTCACAACTCTCAACTTATCTTTAGAAGGTGATAATTACCGGTTTGAATCGGATTATAACTTTTCTTATCTTGATTACTTGATAGTAATATTAGTCAGGTATGCCTGATCACATATTCACATGTATTAGTGTTTTATATAATTACATAAAACCTTAATCGTTGTTGTTGTTTGTATGGATTCACTATTCTCGATTTGTATTTATTCGTTATTTCTTGTTTTCTCCTCTAAAAACATATGAATACAAACAAACTTAACCTTAGTTTTATGAGACAACGCCACCATTTAATTTGTGTAAACCTCTGTACAAACAAACAAGCCCCCTCGTCGTATATACTCACAGTATTGATAAACAAGAAAACAAGTATTAAATTTTTCGTCAGGATCAATCAGAAAGCCACGTGGGCAGGTAGAAATCGGAATTATTGCAATTTGCAAAAGTTTTGACTTTCAGAAAAACAAAACACGTTGCATTTTCTCCATTTTCTCATTTACACAGCCAAAAAAGAAGAAGAAAAAAGAAACAAAAAGTAACGATCAAATATTTGTTTTATTAGTTGTCGTCTTCCATCTTTTCTCTTCCTAGCCATATCACCATATCTTATACGTCTCTCGAAACATGATTAGTTTCAAGATAATTCAATCAAAATACCATATATTTTGATTCGTCAAAACTTATATATTTCCATTGATGGTAAAAAAAATGTGGTAATTCATGTCGTTGATACCTTATTAATCTACTAATACATATACCACACCACACGTCCAAATTTCATTCTTGATGAATTCTATATTTACCAAGGTTTTCATGTTGTCAATTATATTTCACTTATCTATTTTCTTATTCTATATATATATATATATATATTCAGTAAAAGTATAATACATAATTTCAATGACTCATATTTTATTTTTTTGGTAAAATGAGTGACTCATATTATACTTTTTTGGTAAAATGAGGGACTCATATTTTTTTTGATATCACAAAATATATAACCATTTATGATTGTGATGAATATTATACATGAAAAAGCTGAATTCTGCTAAAACCATACACATATATTTTACGTGTCAAGACTGCATTTATGATCATATCTTATTCTGCTATAGAGTTTATCCATTTAGTATACATGGCTACTTATAATTCACTTATGCTATCTATTCACCTTATAATTCCTACTTAGAATATGTCCACGCGTTAAAATTTACAAAAAAATTCTATATTGTAAACAAGAAAAACAAAATTTCTTATCAAAATACTTTGAAAAAGTGAAATTAATTAGCATGTATACATGATACATAATCCAGATATGTAATCATTTATTAGAAATAGTTCAGTGTATTTGGATAAAATCACATCAGGCATGGTCAGAGTATATTACCAATTGCATACATACTGGTTCTGGAAAATAAATTGGAAAAACAAATATCTGCTATGTTGGTTGATCGACAGGTGTCACCTTAAAAAAGAAAGACCTATAAAAGAAAAGGACAAAAAGTGGAAGAAAAATAAAGGACAAAGTTCTCAAATGATGCAAGACTGGTGTATACGTGTCCCTTTTATAATCCTTTTTGTAATAAATATTGTGTTTATAAATAATTTACAAAACCAAAAAAAAAGGGGGAAAAAAGAATAAGAAAACAGAGAGAAAAAGCATACCACACAATATTCTCCTTCTCTCTCTCTCTCTCTTCTCTCTTGTTTCTCTGATAGAGAGCCTCTCTCTCTCTCACCATAGCCCCGAGCCAAGAAAATTCCGAGAGAGAAACGACACGAAACGAAACGAAACCATCTTTGCTGGTTTCTCTGCTCTATCAACAAAAAAAAATTAGATGCGAATATCTTAAGATTCAACTGGTAAATTCTCTTTTTTTCTTCTGTTTTTGTTTTGTTCCTTTAGTTTTTCTATTTTTCTAATGTTGTTCTCTGTATATTTTCTCTCTATTGTTGTGATAGTAGCTTTTAATCGGATGATTTGTGCTTACGAATCTTTTTCTCCTCCCTCTTGTTTGAGCTTGTTATAGTTTCGTAGCAGCAAAGTTTAATTCCTTTTTTCTTAATCCTCTATTTTCTAGGTAAAGCTGAAGCTGGTTTTGTTATTTAGATCCATGTCCTCTACTCTGATTCACCATGTTAACGATTCGAATTTTTAGCTTTATCTTGTGATTAATTAACATCTCTGTTTTTTTTTTTTTTTTGGTTTTGGTATAATTTTTTTAATTAGTGTCTCTTATGATCTCTCAATAGGCTTAAATCGAGAGATTACAGATAAAGATTTCGCGAGATCAACGAAGCTGTTGAAATACAGAGGATCCGTCGCATAGATCCGTCAGATCTATTCATCTCCGGTACTCAATTTCTCTCCGATTAAAAAAAAAAAAAACTCGAATGGAAGAGGATTTCTTCAAGATCATGAACCATAGCTTATTAGAGGAATCGAAGAAGACGAGAGCTATCGAATAGTCAATTTTTTCAACTTTCTGTGTTCGTCCGTTCGTGGGAAATCTCTGGGTTTTTGTGGGAGGAGAGCTGATGGAAGAGATGACTCCAGCAGTTGCAATGACTCTAAGCTTCGCCAACACAATCTGCGACTCGTCGCCTGTAGAGATCACTCAGCTCAAGAACGTCACCGATTCCGCTGACTTCATACCTGATCCCGCAACCGAAACAACCGATTGTGCCATGGACGAAGAAGAAGATAACAGCGCGGTGATAAGCGAGGGATTGTTAGTCGTCGATTCGAGCTCTGAGCTAAGCTTGATGGAGATCGACAACGGACGAGTCCTCGCGACGGCGATCATCGTCGGCGAGTCTACAATCGAGGAGGTTCCAACAGCGGAAGTTGTTATCGCCGCCGCCGGTGCGAACGTGGAGGAGGATGGTTCTCCGGGTCTAACGGCTTCAGAGGTTGTGATTCGGTTGCCGGAAGATAACAGCAACAGTAATACGACGGCGAGAGGGAGGAGCGTCTATGAGCTAGATTGTATACCGCTTTGGGGGACGGTTTCGATCCAAGGAAACCGATCGGAGATGGAGGATTCCGTCGCCGTGTTGCCTCATTTCATGAAGTTACCGATCAAGATGCTAATGGGAGATCATGAGGGTATGAGTTTAAGCCTCACTCACCTCACTGGTCACTTCTTTGGTGTTTACGATGGTCATGGAGGCTATCAGGTTGCTGACTATTGCCGAGACAGGCTCCATTTTGCTTTAGCGGAAGAGATCGAGCGGATAAAAGACGAGTTGTGCATGAGGAACACAGGGGAAGGCAGGCAGGTGCAGTGGGAGAAAGTGTTCACGAGGTGTTTCTTAAACGTTGATGGTGAGATTGGAGGGAAGATTGGGAGAGACGTTGTTGGTTCTTCTGAGAAGGCTTTTGAGGCGGTTGCTTCTGAGACTGTTGGATCAACCGCTGTGGTTGCTTTGGTTTGCTCGTCGCATATTGTGGTCTCTAACTGCGGTGACTCCAGGGCGGTTTTGTATCGTGGCAAAGACGCCATGCCCTTATCAGTCGATCACAAAGTAAAAACACAAAGCTTCCTTTTTGACTGTGAGATCTCACGCAGTTGTTAACAGCTCGTTTCTTGTTTCTCTGCAGCCAGATAGAGAGGATGAGTATGCGAGAATAGAGAACGCTGGAGGGAAAGTTATACAGTGGCAAGGAGCGCGTGTTTTTGGTGTTCTTGCCATGTCTAGGTCCATTGGTAAGCAATTTCTTGACGACTTTCTGTGAATGAATGTCTTTGAGTTTTGGCTTATTGGTTTTACTATTTGCAGGTGATAGGTATCTGAAGCCGTATGTGATCCCAGAGCCGGAAGTGACGTTCATGCCGCGGTCAAGAGAGGACGAGTGTCTGGTGCTAGCGAGTGACGGTCTTTGGGATGTGATGAGCAACCAAGAAGTTTGTGAAGTAGCGAGGAGACGGATCTTGATGTGGCACAAGAAGCATGGTGCGCCGGCTATAGCGGAGAGAGGGAAAGGAGCGGATCCGGCTTGCCAAGCGGCGGCTGAGTACTTATCCGTGCTTGCTATGCAGAAGGGAAGCAAAGATAATGTCTCCGTTGTTGTGGTTGACTTGAAAGCTCAAAGGAAGTTCAAGACCAGAGCTTGAAAGCTTTGATTTACCAAACAGTAACGCTTACTTACTTTTTTTTTTACTGGGGTAAGTTTTAAATTTTTCTTATATTTTAGATAATTTCGACAAGGTTTTACATATTATTTACTGGGATATTGTTAGAGGGAGGGAAAATAAGGGAAAAGGAAAAATGAAATGTGGGTTTGGGAGGAGAAGTAAAGACTAAAGAAGATGATGATGATGATGATGATGCATAGCTAATTATAAGTACAATTCGTTTTTCTTATGGAATTTGGATTCGTATGTATAAGAAGAAATAGGCCAAGATATGTCACTCTTTTTGGGTATTAAATTAGATGAATATGTTGTAATGTTCTGAGCTAATGAAATTGTAATTGAAACTATGTCACATTAATCCTTTTTCATTTCTCTTTTTAGTATCTTCTTATTCTGCTCTCTGCAACTTGGATATAGTAGGAAGATATATTACACTTTCAAACATTGTAGACTGTTGTTAAGGCTTGACTTTGAGTTGGTATAACTTTTAAATCAATCAATGAAGAACACAACAGTTCGAATCCTGCCATTCACTCTTTTTAATTTTGTTTTTCTTCTCACGAAAAGGATATCAAACAATTTCAGATTTTCATTAATGAAAATGATAAATTGAGAAACATAGAATCTCTAACATGTGTCCCAATGTTATTCCTAACGGTGAGAAACACACAACAAGTGATTTTTATTGAACAACGAGACACCGGAGTAGGAAGTCTAATATCAAGGGGAGTGAATCGCTGAAAAATATTTCATCGGATTCTCAGTCAAATATCAAGGGGGGCATTCATAGAAATAATCTCTTACCACGAGTCTGGCAACAAGACTCTTAGCATTGAGATATCCATAAGTGTGGTGAGAACTTCTCTTAGTATTTGATACAAGAAGAAAATGCCTCGAGCACCTAATAAAACAAATGATAAACAACCATCCATCAAATAATAGCATAGGAAATAAAACAAATGAAATCAACCATCGGATTTCATTTGAAATCCTACAAATTAAGATCACGGTAAACATAGATTACATTTGTTTAACAAATATGATACAAACTAAAAGAAATATACTTTATTTGTACGATTTCACATGCGACGAAGAAAGGATGGCCTAAGTCATGCATCAATCTATGTATGGGGGCCATGCCATGGTGTGCTTCAGGAAAACGAAGAAAGAATATGTTGTTGCAAATTGTAGAGATCTTGTCATGCCAGTCTCTATAAAAAAAAATTGTCCATGGTGGCCAATCAACCCAATCATCTTTTTTGAATATACTAGTAATTGACCTGGGCTACGCCGCGGGATTTGGTGTCGCCTTGATTGGAGCCAATCATAATATTTAATTGAGCATAAAATGAAGCAGGGAAGACTTCAAACTGCTCGATGGCTCACTGCTCTCAGAATGAGCTTTTCAACAGCACGAAGCATTATAAATTGCTAAAAGTCATTAATATCCCTAGTTTTTTTACGTGGTTTTTACTTTTTTTTTTTTGACATATCATGTCAATTTTGGTAATTTGGCATGTAAAAGCTCCATTATTATAGGCTCTTCCAATCAAGGCTAAATTCTATTTCATGTTAGTGAATGACTATTGGAATTTATTTTGTTGGTTATGTTATTATTCTTTGCCACCTTGGTGCTTTTTTATTTTTGATTTTTTTTTTAATTTTTGAATAAAACTATTATTAGAAATTGTAGAAAATCATATATTTTTTTTTTCATAAATGAAATAATTCCTTAGATATAACTATTTTTTAATATTTATTTTTATAAACTTTTATTTATTATCACTTGATCATATCGATGACCTTCTCTTCTTGTTTTGTTGTTCAAACTTTTCTTTTCTTTATCCCAAACAAATTTTGTTACATCATGTTTGTATTTTAGTTTTCCATTCTTTATAAAGGCGGCCATATGTTCTTAGACATTTTTGAGTATTAACAAAAAAAGCATAGTTATAACAGTATGTAGAACACAACATTGAAGAAACTAATAAGTTTTAATGGAGAGATAGAGAAGTTAGATATTGGTTTTGTAAATTTTAAAGAGAAATAATTTTGGTTGTTGGATTTATATATTTTTTTTGAGTATTAACTATTAAGCATAACGAATGAACATTATTCATATTTGTTTTTTGAGTTGTTGTTTTTGGTAGATATATCATGGAGAATGGTTGTTAATTATTAAAGTTTGATTTCGACATGTTGTTGGCAATATTTGCTATGAATTTTGTTTAATTTTCAACAGATCGATGTATTGGTTAAATACTTAAATGTAATTGTTTTAGTCCTATGGGCCATATTTTTAAAACCAAAACGACAACGCAATGCTTCACTCTCTCGATCTTCTCGGCTCATTTCAACTGTTGTTCGCTAGCTAAAGTTGTACAGTTTCAGAGTTTGATCTTCATATGTATCAATTGCCTGAATAATCTTGTCATTTTGGGAGCAATTATTTCCGCTAATGGTGCTGTTAAAGAATTACGGGAACGGCGGCTATGTATATCAGAAGCTCCAACACCAAGCCGGCGACGGAAGCTCTTCCTTGCATCTGACGGGTGTTGATGAAGGAGGAGAGAGATTCAAGGTGGAGGAATCAGAGAAATCCATTTTCATCTTACATCCTTATGTTCCTTCAACCTAATCACTATCCGGAATCATCTTCTAACTGAAGGAATCTCTTTGATTGGTGTTAATAATTGTGAAACAGCATAAACTTGCGTTAAAATACAACAAAGACGACAAAGGCTCTGATAATCTGAACAACTTTTGTGTTCTTTGCCTCTTTTGTGTTCTTCTTCTCGCCATGGACGACCCCTCCCTCTCGATTGAGGTAGATGGAACCTTGAACTCCTTAATTTTTCCAGAGTTGTTTGAGAGATAGATGGAACCTTCACTCAAATGCTATTGATTGAACTCGGCCAAATCCACCGCATCGTTCCTTATAATCTACCCGACGATTCTCCAGCGGATTTGTATACCTCGAGTTCCTCCTCTGGACAATTTGTCGCCACTGTTAAGCTTTCTCTATTTTGGTAAGATTGTCTCATTCTATGATCCACTTCACCGAGTTGACTCGCGTCGGATCAACTCCTTCCATCACCTCTGAGTCGTCTCTCGCCGGACAACTTGCTTGGCTGGTTCTCCCCATCGGAAACTGGAGACCGGAAAAGGAGGAATTTTTTTTCGGAAGGAGAGTGACGACACCCAAGAGACACATCTCCGATGGAAGAAGAAGAAGAAGAAAATGAACGGAATAAACAATGAAATTTCGGTTTACGTTTTCTTAGACTGATTCAAACGTAACCGGTCGGTGGAGAATAAAATCAATAAAGCAAAACCGGGTGAAAACGTGGCACCTAAACCAATTAAGTTGCTGACTATAATTAATTAGAATGTTTTGATTGGCCAAACCTTATAAATGATGTATCATTTTTTCCATGCTTGAAAAAGCTGATGTGTCAATTCCTGGAGCAACACAAAGGGTTTTAGTGTGTTGATTGGAAGGAGATCGCAAACTGCATTATTTGCATTTAGGAAAGCATAATTATAAAAACAACATAAAATTTTGAGCAAAAGAAATAATATTCATCTTCATGTGTTGTAACTTGTAAGCACCTTTCCAAAAACATGGAATTATAATATTTTGAGATGTGGCTAATAAAATTGGAACTGTAACTATATCACATCAACCCTTTTGCATTTATCTTTTTAATATCTCTTTCTGTAGATTGCTTAATCTCTTCTTTTTTACTTAGATCTCCTCTTATTCTGCTTTACGCAACTTGAATATAATAGGGAGTAATAGGGAGATTACACTAGTGTCTAGTGGTCTAGTGTAGACTGTGGCTAACGCTTGACTCTGAGTTTGTATAATTGTTAAATCAATCAAGGAATATGACAACAGGTGGACGTGCCGGAGTGGTTATCGGGCATGACTAGAAATCATGTGGGCTTTGCCCGCGCAGGTTCGAATCCTGCCGTTCACGGTTTTTATGTTTTGTTTTCTTCTTATCTAAAATTTTAAATATTATCCATAATGAAATCATTTAACATTGATACAGATTTTATTATACTGGCACAACATAAGATCTAGATTAGGATAGAAATTAGAAAGTTGTTATCATTAGATTATCTTTTTTTAGAGGCAAAATTAGGGAAAACGGTCATTTCATATCCAAACTTAAGACATATGTTCGATTCATATCTCAATTATACCACTGTCAAAATCCATACCCAAACTTATATAAAATTTAAATTTCATACACAAACTTTCAATTTTTCTGAATTTTCATACATTTTACGTCATCTTTTAACTAATCCGTTAAGTCGTGATGATGTGGATGCCACGTAATATACGATGTCGTTTTGAGTTTAAACGAAATTAGAAAGATAAGTAAAACGACGTCATTGTGTTTTATGTCGTGAGTTTCCAAGAATTTGATGGTTAGATGACGGTTTAATCCGGTTCAGAGATTACATCCAAAAAGATCCATCTTTTTCGGGATGATTTCAAACTTCTCTCTTCATCCTCAGTTCATGTTCCATCTTTAATGTATTCAACAATTCTCCGGACGAGGCCGGTTTCTTCCGATTATTGTTAAACCGAGAAGGAGTGTTTAACTCAATCATCATGATTCAAGCGAAGCTTCTCCGATATTCATTCGACAGACCGTCGATTCCACAACGGCGGAAACTCGAATACCACAACGACGCGAAGCTTAAGACTTTCCAGAATCTTTTGGAATCACATGAGATCGATGTAGATCAGCTCCGCAGATCTGTGACCAGCACGATAGCCATTGGTTTCTTCTTGCGAAACTCAATCCTTCTGTTACTCATAGGAGATCGATGCAGATCATTAATAATTATTTTCCTCAATCCTCCATTGCCATACTAATGCAGATTAATGAACTATGAGTTTCCAAAAACCATCGATTGTTGATTTCGTAGCTTTTGATGGGTTGGAGAAGATGAACAATCGTCTCATTTAGCATAGAATAAAACGACGTCGTTTCATCTCCATCATTAATTTTGGAGATTCTCCTAATCCAGGTCGACAACTTTTAACGGGCCTTTAACGGACAGTCTAGCCATATAATCATTTTTTAACGGAGAAAATGTCAGATCACGGAAAGTGTATGAAAATTCAGAAAAATGAAAGTTTGTGTATGAAATTTAAATTTTATATAAGTTTGGGTATGGATTTTGAAAGTGGTATAGTTGAGGTATGAATCGAACATATGTCTTAAGTTTGGGTATGAAATGGCCGTTTTCCCGGCAAAATTAAACCAACTTGATGATATAAATATTGCATTCGACGGTTCGGCCATTTGTAAAAGCCAGCGTTAGCACCGCCTTTGACCCAAATGCTAATTATTAAAATCGTTGATAATATAAATTATTAAATATCATAAATTTGTTATCCGAAATTAGAAGTTAACAGACAAATTACGCCTCAATTTCGTATAGAAAACGTGTTTATTAACACGTTAGACATATGATTCCATTGAACATTTTTGGCGTACCAATATGCATTTGCTTCATGTGATCCAGCTGTATCACTGGGCCTTTTGTAATTCTATTTCCAACTTTCACAAGCAAATATCACTGTTTTTCCAGCTTATCTAAAGAAATCATCAAAACTAAAATTTCCCAAAATAACAGCTAATGTCATTTGAACCTTTTTTGGTATTTACTAAAGTTTGGGTCCGACTTTAAACTTTAAAGATTAAAAATAATGTCGTCCGTTAAAAGTTTGGTTAAGACGACCATTGATATGTAAAAGATTGTGTAAACTAATTGTTGATCATCGTCAAGTCTCAAACTCAATACTTAAAAGTTAAAACTCATCCATCTCCTAGACTCCTACCAAGTGTTATGGTTTCACCAATTTGCTACCGAATCTAAGCGTGGTTACACTATTCCATTGAGTACTATGTAATCAGCGAAATAAGTCCGAGTTGACTTGGTTTCCATAAATGACCTGGTAAAAGGTGTGTGGTCAAGTACTAATTTGAACATTATACATTTGTTCATATATCCCCTGCGTACTGAAATGTATCTCCATATAAACTACATGGATATGTCCAATATCTTTCCTAATAAATATCTTAATAAACATGTCTACTGTCTAATACTCCAAGACAAATACATATTTTTTGTAAGAAAGTGTAAATAAAGTAAAGAAAGTAGTAATCCAGAAAGAAAGAAATAGAAAAAAACCATATAAAATGACCAAACCCAAGTCCCCAAGCATATACAAATCTCAACAGAAGCAAAGCATAAAAAGCAAACACTACACAGCATCCTCGAAAGCCAACACAACCACTCTCAACCAAAAAAAAAGTTCTCTTTCTCTAAACTCAACTTTTCAAACCAAAAAAAAAGTAAGACTCAAGAAGAGTATGGAAGAAGAAGACGGAGACGCGTCTACGCCGTTTTGGCTTCAATCACGCCGCAACAACACTTACTTCCGCCGCACCGCAAGTCTCGGCGGACGCGCAACCACCGTAGCCACTCAAGTACTCTTCGTCGGAGCAGCTGCGATCCTCATAGTCTTCTTCATTATCCCTCCTTTCGTTTCCTCTGTTTCACAGATTTTCCGGCCTCATTTGGTCCGCAAAAGCTGGGATTACCTCAACTTCGTCCTCGTTCTCTTCGCCGTCATCTGCGGTTTCCTCAGCCGCAACACCGGTAACGATGAAACCACTCATGACAAGGAAGACATTACTAAAAACAATGAGGTAACTAATGGATACAGTTACAACAAATTCTCGAGCTCAAGTGTATCTAACGGTCTTGCCACCACGCCGCGTTATTGGATCGACGATCGTGGCGTCAGCGGCGGTGGAGGAGATCAGTATGCAGATCAGACGGTGTACAAGAGGTTCACTAGATTACGGAGTAGTAGCTCGTATCCAGATCTGAGGGCTCGAGAATTTGAATCCGATGAACGGTGGAGATTTTACGATGATACGTGTGTAAGCGAATGCCGTTACGGAGCGTCAGATCCGATCGATCGAAACCAAAGTTACAGAAACTGGCGTGAGGCTAAGCCGGAGGAAGATGTAGATCGAACAGACGGCGGCGACGGAAAAGGAAAGGTCCATATCGGCGGTTCTGACACTGATAAAGTTGAGGTCGTTGCGCCGGCGACAGTTGAAGTAGTGGAAGAGCTAACCGCGCCTCCTAATCCACCGCCACCGCCATCACTGTCTCCGCCGTCTAAGCCAGCGAAGAGGAGGACAAAGAGAGTGTACCAAGATGTTGTTCCAAAGGAAGATAAGAAGGAGAGAGCTGATTTTGCGGCGGCGATGACGCCGGTTCCACCTCCGGCGATCGTGTATCAAAAGAGTAGTAAACAGGAGAAGAAGAAAAACGGAGCAACTAAGGAATTTCTGATCGCATTACGGAGAAAGAAGAAGAAGCAGAGGCAACAGAGCATCGACGGTCTCGATTTACTCTTCGGCTCCGATCCTTATTCAATGCCACAACAATCACCGCCGCATCCTCCTCCTCCGCCACCTCCACCACCTTTCTTCCAGGGACTCTTCTCGTCAAAGAAAGGCAAAAGCAAGAGAACCTATTCAATTCCACCACCGCCTCCTCCTCCGCCTCCACCTGAACGGAAATTCGAACAACGCGCATCAGTAACGAAGATTCGCAAATCTCCGCTTGAATCACGCACATCTAAACCCAATCCACCGCCAGCTAAAGTTACCCAATTCGTAGGCACTGGAAGCGAATCGCCATTGATGCCGATCCCGCCGCCTCCTCCTCCGCCGCCGTTTAAAATGCCTGCTTGGAAGTTCGTGAAGCGTGGAGATTACGTCAGGATGGCTAGCAACATCAGCATAAGCTCAGACGATGATTCCGACGTACCTCAATCAGCCGACGGTAAGCCCGCCGGTAATCTGTTCTGTCCGAGCCCCGACGTAGATACTAAAGCCGATGATTTCATCGCGAGGTTCAGAGCTGGACTCAAACTGGAGAAGATAAACTCAGCGAAACGAGGAAGATCAAATTTAGGACCCGAACCCGGACCCGACGAATCCGAATCTTAAGCTCAAGAGTATAGCAGTTGATTTTTTTGGTTTTAAAATTTAAAACATTGATCTGCTTGCATTTAGCTTGTAATTGAGTAATTGTGTTGTTTTTTCTTCGTACCTTTATTTAATTTCGTAAACGTAGTTTTGTGGTGTATACAATTAGTATCCGTTTTACAAGTTTAGCCCATCATTAGGCGGTTAACAAAAAAATATCTTTATACTTGCATGGAGTTTTTTTTAGCCCAAATTTTGAGAACCAAGGCCCATAATAGGCCCAATTAACGTAACTTAAAAACTACGTAGCCATCCATAATAGGGTTTTACCTCGCCGCCAATCTCTGTCCTTATTTGATCCAACTCGCCGCCGATTTGCTTTACGGTTCTCAGTTGTCCTTTGTAGCACGGCACTTTTCCGGCGAAAATCTTTGAGGTCAAGGTAGCGACTTGTTGGAAATGGAGGAAGAGAAGGGAGAGGTAAAGACATTTGCAGAACTTGGCGTGCGTGAGGAGCTAGTGAAAGCTTGCGAAAGATTGGGATGGAAAAACCCTACCAAAATTCAAGCCCAAGCCCTTCCTTATGCTCTTCAAGGCAAGTTTTTTTCGGTATTTTCGATGCTCTTAGTTCTGTGTTTAGGAGCTTGAAAAAATTGGAATCTAATGTGGTGATTGATGTGATGTGACGTGTGGTTCAGGTAGAGATGTAGTTGGACTAGCGCAAACCGGTTCTGGTAAAACCGGAGCCTTCGCTTTGCCTATAGTGCAAGCACTTCTGGAGTATGTTCATGACTCTGAGCCTAAGAAAGGGCGTAGACCTGATCCTGCCTTCTTCGCTTGTGTTTTATCTCCAACTCGGTATGAAATATGATGAGTTTCTTCTAGGAATTTACTTGATGATCATGCCTTTTTTTGGTTATTTGATGCTGTTTCTCTTTCCTCCAGAGAGCTTGCAATCCAGATTTCTGACCAGTTTAAAGCTCTAGGATCTGATATAGGTCTTAGGTGTGCTGTGGTAACCTCTCTGGTACTTTTAACCGTATTATTTGCGTTAACCTGGAATGGGTCTAGACTGAATAAGTTTTCTTCAGCTTGTTGGAGGTATGGACAGAATGGAACAGACTATTGCTCTTGCGAAGCGGCCTCATGTTATTGTACGGTTTATTTCTTGAATTGTTTTCACTTCTCATCTTAGGGTCCTTTGTCTAGTTGCTAAAAAGTATGCAAAATGTTGTTTCCTAGGTTGCAACACCTGGTCGTCTGTGGGATCACATGTCTGACACCAAAGGCTTTTCTCTTAAAACATTGAAATATCTGGTAAACTTTATGCTTCTACTTCTTTTCGTAAGTCTTTATCATTTTTATAATTCACTCTCTTTAACATTATTCAAACAGGTTCTTGATGAAGCGGACGAGCTGCTGAATGACAATTTTGAGAAATCTGTTGACCAGATTTTGGGAGAGATCCCCCGCGTCCGTAAAACATTTCTGTTTTCAGCGACTATGACGAAAAAGGTAGGGACCTTTGCTTGACAGTTTTCTTGTCTGGGGGAGTGCAAGTTTTCTTGACAGACTTTTTCTTTTTGTTTTGGCTTTCTAGGTTCAAAAACTTCAAAGGGCTTGTTTGAGGAATCCTGTCAAGGTATGTAAACACTAAAACTTTACTTGATATTGTTTCTTGCCACAGCATCTAGAGGTTTAATAAGTTGTATGTTCGTTACTTTCCCTCAGATTGAAGCTGACTCCAAATATTCAACTGTTGATACTCTAAAACAGCAGTACCTGTTCGTTCCTGCTAACCACAAGGTACCTTATATTCACATTCTGGTAGATACATAGTAGCAAAACACATAAGGGACAAGTTTTAACTTCGGTTTTTTTTTTTTTCTTTTACTCACCTTAACAGGATTGCTATCTTGTGTACATTCTGAGTGAAATGCCTGAATTAGTATCAATGGTTTTCACTCGGACCTGTGAGGGCGCTCGTTTTCTGGCCTTGGTGCTTCGGAGCCTTGGATTCAGAGCCATTCCTATCTATGGTACAATGGCTCAGGTAAATGATACAACTCCTCTTTCTCTGAACATTTTTCATCTCTCTAGATTGGCTTCTCTCATTCTTTTTTTTTTCAAAATATTCCACAGTCAAGGAGACTAGGAGCCTTTAACAAGTTCAAAGCAGGGGAATGCAACATTTTGGTCTGTACTGACTTGATTAGCAGAGGGCACGATATCCCATCGGTCGACGTGGTTATCAATTACGAAATTCCCACACAATCAAAGGTTTCTCCTGGAAAAGTCAAACATGTTTCTTATGTATCAATGATCTTGAGAACATAGATTCATAGTCCGTGTTTTTGTGGTATAGGATTACATTCATAGAGTGGGAAGAACTGCTCGTGCTGGACGTTCTGGTGTCGCGATATCACTTGTAAACCAGTATGAGCTCGAATGGTACTTACAGATAGAGAAACTCATTGGTAAGTAAAAACATATCTGCTGCAGAGATACACTTTATTTTTTGTTCTCTCATAGTCATAGGATAAAAAAGACTTTGGACAATGCTTTGACATCCAGGCAAGAAACTACCAGAGTATCCAGCTGAGGAAACACAAGTCTTGCCGTTGTTGAAGGAGAGAGTTGAAGAAGCAAAAAGATTATCCGCGATGGTAAATTTATCTCCAACCCCTCTCTATTTTTTGCAGTAAAATATGGTTTTACATCTTAAGATACATATGGAGAACTAAATTATGTGCTTTTTTGGGCAAATTATTGTTGTAGAACATGAAAGAATCAGGCGGGAAGAAGAGAAGGAGAGAAAATCAGGCGGTAACAGAAAGAAACTCTCCAAGAAGTTTAGATGAAGACATGCTCTATTGACCTTTTTGTTTTGTTTTTTTTACTTTGTTAAGTTATCAGTACAAACAACCTGAAATCGTATGTCCTCTTCTTTTTGCTTGTTTCTTGAAATCTGAAGTTATGCTATTTGTGATTTCTATGTCCTACTCAAATCCCCAACAAACAAAACAAAAACACAATTTTATGTGAATGTTACAAACAAAACAAAAACACAATTTTACGTGAATGTTTAAAGTAATCTCAATTTTGAGTTATTTTGGTGTTAAAAGGTATAAAACCAGCTTTTTCTTTTGTGAAAGAGTGAAACAGAGAAATAGAGAAATAAATAAAAAAGTTTAATTGTAGAATTTATGTCCTAGAGACAAGAATCATTTCAGAAGAAACACAATCATTTATTCAACACTTAGATTCATTGTTCTTGAGATACTCTTTAAGCACATCCATAACAGAACCAAACTCTGCCTTAACTCTCACCGGCGGATTCGCCAATATACAAGCCATCTCTTTTATATTCTTCGAATGATAATCAATCTTACTCTGCGTAAACTTCAACCCATGAGCCGTACTCACCACAACCGTCCGATCATTAGCCTCAATAACCCCGGACTTCCTAAGCTTCATCAGAGCCGTCAACGCAACACCCGTATGCGGGCAAATAAACATTCCAGTCGAATCCGCAAGCGCCGTCGCATCCATCAGCTCCTCCTCCGTAGCTTCCTCCACGATCCCGTCAGATCTCTTCAACGCGTACACAGCTCTATCGATCGAAACCGGATCGCCGATCTGAATCGCGGACGCAAACGTCGTGCTCGCTTTCAACGCGTTAAAATCTTTATAGCCAGATTTGTAGTGCAAGTAGAGCGGATTCGCGTTTGCGGCTTGAGCGCAAACAAGCCTCGGGATTCGATCGACGAGACCTAACTCTCTACACATTTGAAATCCTTTGTAGAAGGCGTAGATGTTGCCGAGATTTCCTCCGGGAACGATGACCCAATCGGGAACTTCCCAATTGAATTGCTGGAGGATTTCAATCGCCGCCGTCTTTTGCCCCTCGAGGCGGAGGCTGTTGAGAGAGTTTGCTAAGTAGATCGGAAGCTCCGCGGTGACTTCTCGGATCAGATCCATGCATCCGTCGAAATCGGTGTCGATGCTGAGGACGAAAGCTCCGTTGGCGATCGGCTGGACGAGCTGCGCCATGGAGATTTTGTCCGCCGGGAGGAAGACGATGGAGGGGATTCCGGCGGAAGCGCAGTAAGCGGAGAGAGCGGCGGAGGTGTCTCCGGTGGAAGCGCATCCGACTCCGACGACCGGTTTGTTCATTTTCCGGAGGCGATTCACTTGAGAAACGAGAACGGTCATGCCTAGATCTTTGAACGATCCGGTGTGGCTGATCCCGCAGTGTTTCACCCAGAGATCGTTCATCTGGAGGTGCTGTTTCCCGAATCGCTCTGCCCAGAAGAGGTTCGTGTTGCCTTCGAAGGCGGAGACGATGTCGTCGTCGTCGATCTCGGGGAGGACCCACTCTTTCTTCGACCAGACGCCGGATCCGTACGGCCAGTGGGTTTTTCCGACGCGGGAGTCGAAGAGGCTGCGCCAGAATTCTCCGTCGTAGCGTTTCAGGGCGGCGAGATCGTGCTGCACGTCGAGGAGGCCGCCGGATTGCGAGCGGTAGACGATCTCGTCGAGGGAGTAGGACTCGGTGGACGACGGCGGAGCGTCGAAGGGGACGTAGCGGGCGGATAGGTTCTGGAGCTGAGGACGGCGACGAGCCTCGTCGCGGATGCTCTCATCGGCGGGACGACGGTGGTTCTGCGACGGAGCAACGGGGATGGGAGAGGCTGGAGAGGAGCAACGTACGGTGAATGATGCGGCGGAGTGAGGTTTAAGTGAGGTTTCGGAGTGGGAAAGGAAGCAAGTGGCCGAGGAGTGGAGGAGAGAGAAGGTGGCCATGAGTGAGAGTCTGAAAGAGTAAAGTGTAAAGTGAAGAATCGCTGAAACTGATTGGAGAGAAGAATGTTGACAACTTTTTTAGTCACAAGCAAATTATTTATAGCCTAAAATTTATTGGCTATGTAATACATTAATCATTTCAAATTCCCGAGAAATAATTTATTTATGTTGTATGCACATTAATATTGATTTTTTCATTGTATAGATTATCTACTTGCGAGTCCTTTTGGTCGTGTAGGTAGGCACTAGGCACAAATGAATCTTTAACATGCATGAATATGTATGAGATTTTAGTTTTTTATTAGATCTCAAATTTTGCAACTTGTAGTCTCACAGTCACATGTAGGATTTTACTTTTATGAGTAAAACGTAAATACTCTTGTCAATAGCCGACTTATTTTGAGATTTCATGAGTGTTAGTTAAATAAATGATCGGGACTTACTAATTGCGGTATTAAAGTATACGAAAGTATGTGTGTGTGACTTGTAGAATTAACAGAAAACTATTGTAGAATGTGCGCCACTTTTCCTTTTGAACGAGGACACTTTTTCTCCACAGAATCTATTCTTCGGATTGGCTCAAAGATACAATTGAATAAGCAATGTGAAATCCCAACCACGCAATAAGCTTACTTACATAATTGAGAATTCAATAAGCATTCGTTCAAAACAAATTATTAAGTTACTCGTTGCGTTTACCTCAGAATTTGAGAAGTTCAAGTTGGAAATGGAGAATGAATATGGTAATCACTTGCATGTGCTTTGGACCGGGCCTAACCTATGCCTATGCGTTAGATCTAGTATACTCGTTGTTCTTGGTCACAATCATTTTTGTGCTGTTGATAGTGGAACTTATACAGAATAAGACATTTGACATAAGGATTATCAACGTTGGCCTTAACTAAGCAATTTCTTTGGAAATATCCAGTAGAGAAACTAAAGTAACTACCATTGCTAATGTTCGTTGTGAATTTGGATTTTTAGACTGCTGCGAGCTTCCAAGTTTTACCATCTTTCATCTCATTTTGATATATATGATTATGAAGGTTGTCTTTGTATATACTAGGTTTTGAACCCGCGCGAAATCGCGCGGTAACTCATTCTATGATAAATTATTTTCTAAAATTTGTTTGCAATCATTCTTACAATATTATCTGCAATATATAAATGCATTTTATTGCCAATTTGTTCGCTAATAAAAAAAATATTAGTAATACAATAAATAGTAGTTGTACAAAGTCATATTCCCTCTATCCCAAAATGTAGGCAGTTTTGAAAAAAAAAATATTTTAAAATATAAGCAGTTTTATCTTATTATTACAATTTCTACTTTATCGAATATTGTGTTGCCAATTATATTATATAGTTTTTTTTCAAGATTGATGAGATTAAGTTTAATTTATATATTAAATAATACTTTATTAATTCTTTTTGATATTTTGTATATTCGAAGGAAAAAAAAACGCACACGCAATTTTAATTTATAAAGAATTTTAAAAAATGTCATGACTACTAAATATTATTTAAAAGTAAGCAAATTAACATGGACAAAAAAACTCAAGGAGTCCCGTAATTAACCAAATGTTTATATATTAAATTTGGAATTTGATTTATATATAATTGGTCTCGTGATTAACCAAATGTTTATATAATTTGAAGGTCTCTCTACTAACTGGGCATGATTCCCCGCTCATCTTTTTTTTTCCCAAATCAGTTACATGATAGATATAAGTTATAACCATATTGATTGTGTTTGCTTCTCTCAAAACTATAACCATTCCACAGTTTACAAAAATAAATTAACTATAAAAATGAAATGTAATACATGTGATATCTGTTAGTGTAAAGAAATATATTTATATGCAATTAGAAAAACATTCAAACCTTCCAAACATTTATTAGCAACCAAGAGAAATTATTTTAAAATTAAGAAGCTAAAAGAAACCATTATAAACTTCCAAACTTCGTCTAAAAATAATAAAATAAATAGTTACATATTTGTAAGAACAAACAAAATCCAATTGGAAAAATTTGAGTAAATTTAACAGATAAGTACATATTTATATTTTATTGTATAGAAATAAGCTCATATGAAATTAATATAACCGAAGAAGATAAAAAACAAAACTAAAATTACACTTAATACCGCATATCATTTTTAAATCTAAAAAACTTGTGATGTATACTCTTAGTTACGTTCGCCGGTCTCTATCTTAAAGAACGCTTGTCACTCTTGACTCCGATCTAGGGTTCACCCCTTGTGGGTTAGAACAGTTGGTAGAACCTTTGTTACTCTAATGTTAATAGCAGAAAACATTAACATGATGATCAATGATGATTATATCACTCATAGAAATTTGTAAGAATAATTAACATTGATACAACCCCGAGAAAAAAATTCTTGTGATTTTTTAAAATTTATTTTGTTGATTTCAATTTTTTTAATCCAACATAACCAAACAACAGAGCATTTCGATTTGATTGCATTTTATTTTAAAATAAATAGTTATGAATAAATGTACAAAGAAAATAAATATAGTAGAACAGTCACAATTCTATAATTAGATAACCCTTTTAAAATAGTGAATCTTTCTCTCTTGCAAACTCTCTTTAACTCTAACATATTCTCAAGTTTTGTTTTGTTAAAGCCACCAAGTCCTTATGTCGAAAACCAAAAGTTGTAATAGTTCCAAAGGTTTCAAAAGTTGCAATGGTTACAAGTGTTGCAACAATTCACTTAAATCTCAAATATTGTTTTTTTTTCTTTTCGAAAACCTGCTCGTGATTGGTCGATGCATGGATCGGTAATTATGGTTAGTGCTTCTTTTTGACCAGTTTGTGCATTTGCTTCTTTACAACATTCCATGAAAAATTCTGCTTTTTAATCACATGCTCTATTGGATCCGCAGCTTGCTCCTTCTCCTCCTACAGTACAATGAAATACGTACCATATAATATTGCATGTGTAAGGCTAACATCTGTAAGTGTTGTAACATGTGCTACTGTTACGACCGCATTAGTCTACGTACGTTGTAAGGAAACAAATGTATGTTTATATTCCTTCTCAGGACAATTAGTTTACGTACGTTAAAGTTTTATTATTCTATGATAAAATCTAAATAAAATACCTCTTCTTTTTCTTTATTTTCTTGTTCATGTTGCTTTCTAAACCAATTTAAAAGAAGAATATTGTATACACCATCTTCGATATGGAAACAACCATTGTCACCATAGACCTAAACATCAATGAAAAAAATGTTTTGAAAAAGGTGGGAAAGAGGCCATAAAATCTAGGAACCTACCTCTATAGCAATTCATTGATAGTCATAGTATCGATCACTGAATACTCGTTCGTCAAATCTATAATCTCTCATTGCATCACGTGCTACATCCTCTCGCGTAATTCCAGCTTCATGCACACAAAAATCAGAATAGTGAAATTCTTTTGTAGATAGATCTTACAAGAATGCATCAAATTTGTTTTTTATTTTTTCCAACAATTTGAAGAAACGAAACCTAATAATATTTTTTTGTAATTTATAGTTACCGTAATCCTAAACAAGTATAAGAAACTCATACATGATAATGCTATCGAGTCATGTTTATGTTTTGATGTTTATAAGTTACATGAATAAAAATTGGATGGACAAAATAGCTTCTGATTTGTACAGTTGTTGTTGTAATGTTTACATATACCTCAAATAGTAAAAAACATATTTTATAAAAAAAACAACTTTCAAGTCTGTCCTATGCGAGATCGTGCATAAATTCTTTTTGAATAATGATTTACTTCTAAAATTTATTTGCAATGTATACAAATAAATATTTTATCATAATTACAATAATTAGCAGTATAATAAAAATCGTGAATGCCTTTAAGTATTCACATATATATATATATTTTTTTTTTGAGAAATAACAACATATCTGTTTTATTTGATGTTGAATGAAAAAAAAATAAGATTTTCAAAAGAAGAACAAGCTCGTCTTAGAAAACTATCAATGATCAAGGAACATATTGGGGATGATTGGTAGGAGCTGTGATTGCTCTACAGAGCACTAAATCTCTGTAGAGCAATCCAAAATCACCAATCCCATTTTTGAAACGCAGAGCAATTTTTTTTGTTTATGGAAATTCCGTGGCTTTGGAAAGCAATTTTTCTAGAGCACAAAATTAAGTGCTCTTAGAATTTTCTCTTTTCTCTTTCCTTATTATGTTTTTAACATTTATTTTTTAATCTATTATTTCTATATCTTATTTTTTTATTTTAATGTTGTATTTAATGCCACAATCTACAATAAAAAATCTTACAGCACTAAAATCTACAATCACAGCCAAAAATTTTACAGCATAAATTCTACAACAAAAAATTCAAAGCTATAGCCACAACCAATCAGGCCCATTAAAAAAAAATTGAAGTCTGTTTACAAGTAAAGTAATAACAAAATAAGAATTATCTTGGTAATTTATTTTTCAAATTTCTGCTTCATAAACAAATGGTAAATGATAATTCAAAATAAAAATTATATAATTGGAAGTACTTGAGATAATTCCTATATTGTATATATACCAAGCAGTTCAACTATCTTACCAAAATAAACTCTCTCGCTTTTTAGAGAATTCATACACGTTGTTCAGAACATCTATCTTAAATAGAACTTAGATTACAACAAATCCACCAATTAAATTATTTTTTTTCAGTTACAAAGGCTAGGAAATAGATCCCGGGAAATTAAATGTATAGCTAACGAACCTGAGGAAAATAAATGGACTGTTGTAGAAATATTGGATTTGGGTTTGGTGCACTCTGTTTCTTCCTGCGTGGTAGATAACGTAATGTATAGTCCCGGAACGTCCAAAATGCTGTAAGGATTCTGAGGGAAAATTATGGACAGATATAAAAGATTTAGAAGAACTTCCTATGTCACTAAAACGTAGTCGTAGTCGTGTTAGGCTGATGATTATGGTGGAAATTTTGCTTTTTGTGGGAAAAGAAAGTGCCTGCTATGGGGCTTTGAAGAGAATTTTGTTTGGTGTGTTGTGATTGCGTTGAAAAGCGTAACGGACAAGACATCTACGGGAAGATTGGGAAGATTGAGTGATGTAATATTGTGTTTACAGTCTCTAAATTTTGTCGTTTATTGGAATTTATTGCTGTTACTGTTTGATGAATGAACACATTACGCCACTAATGTCGTTTCTATTTTCATTTGACGTTTTTCTATTATGTGTTGACATGTTATCTCCCTCTCTTTGTTGCTTCACTCTGTATTCTCTCCCAAACTCAGTCGTGTAACATAAAACCGTTTTGCTTTTTGTTTTCAGAAAAGCTTATTGTTTCACATGACATTACATTTGGTTACTTGAGAGGATGTAAATGTACAAACTTTGAAATCATATATTTTCCAAACTGGAATCTAATAAGGGTATGTTTCAATCACAACTGACCGAAAAACTTTGTTTTCTTTTCCTCTTGGTGTAAATTCAAAATGCAAACGTAAGAACTATCTATCTTTAGATCGATCCCACTTGCTTGGACATGCATAGTAATATTATTTTTTCTTTCTTTCAATATGATGAAGTAATTTTCCAATTCTTTAAGTAGAATACATATGAAGTTTCACTGTTTAGACATGTTCTTAGTTTCAATCTGTTTCGATCCTGATGCTAAAGCAGAAATAGAGTTGAACCAGAGTAATTAATTACCATAGATGAAAAAAGATGATCACCTTTGGATGTCTAAGATCAACCGGAATAAATGTATGATCAAGATCTCCAGCCATACTTCCAAGATCTTCCTTATCTTATTAATATTGCATAACACAAATTACCCATTTCCTAAAAGCACAACAAAAACAATTACCAACAGCTTATCCCCAGTTCATGCCATTCTCAAACAACATCGTTTCGGTTACGAATCTACTAAACAATATATAATTATAATAACTTTTAATTATTATTTTCTCTTTAGTTACCGAATTTATAATCGTCACCATAATACTTCCAGAATATGTTAGAGGAAAGCACTCGTTAACGCATGCATGCTTAATCAACAGCAGTTCCAGAAGAAAAAAAAATAAAAAAATAAGCATTCGTTGCAACAACTAATTAATGTGATACCGTAAACATTGAAAACTGTAACTTACCTGATGTTTTTTCTACTAATTTACCTTTTTCTGAACAACTTGATGTATTTTTTTTTAAGGGTTACTATAATCTTTTTCTTTTGTAGTGAAAGGCTAACCGTCATGCTGCAACACCACACATATATATATATATATATATACATGCACATATTATCAAAGAGTTGTTAATTGTGATGGTTTATTATTACATAGTAACCAAAGGTTGTGATGGTTCATCACACCGATTCATTATACATATGAACTTTTTTTTTTTTGTTAAATAAACCCAACTATGTCTGGACTGGAAAACAAAAAGGATGCGATGTGGCTGCATTTCGGAAGAATTTCCTCAGGGATCATTAATATACATTTAAATTAGTTTGTTTTGATTAAGTATTGCAAGGGTTTGGATGAAGGAATAAACGTCATGGCAAAGTCGTTCTGGGTTTAGGTTTAGAGCGTCCGTGATATTTTTCCGTGAACTTGTGGGTTTGCAGTTTGCACTTTTGATCTCAAACCATGGTTCTATTATCTCAACCACTTAATCATGTACTCTTATTCTATCAAACCCAACTTTACTCTCATAAAAAATAACAAAATATTCCTTTTCAATGATTGATATTTATCAATTCTTTGTCTAGTGCTAATATTGAAGAATATCTAACATACTCAGAATGGATCTCTTATATTCTACAACATAGTGAATTTATCAATGCGTTTCAGAAAAATCACAACAATCTATATAAAACTAAATCAACTAATGAAAACCATCACAAATTTCTTCTCTAAAATCAATTGGTCATGTTGAGGTAACATATTTAAAACATGTCTAAATGAACAAAGCCAGAAAAGAAACCAACAATCCAAATTCACTAAAATCAAATAACGTACCAGAGAAGTTACCCCATTAGTGAAGAATGGAGGCTAGGTGTTCTTTCTCTAACCAATGAAGTAAACAGGTGAATGTGGCAACAAACTACGATGTGAGTAAGAGATTATTAAAAACTACAAAATAGCGATGATAAGAAAAAAGGGATAAACAAAATCAGAATAATTTTGTTCAGAAGATTCTAAAATCAAAAACTGAAGGAGAAAAAGAGTATTAAACAGTATATATAGAAATGAAAAGGTATCACTAAAATGTGCAACTTTTCAACAATTTAGCAGTTATAAGTAAAAAGATGCCATTGAAAAGACACAACTCTTTATATGAGCGGTTATAGATAAAACAGTTAAAAACGAAAAGACACGGCAACAAAAAGCATTTATTCAGTTTGCTATTATATTTAGATACTAACTTACACACATGGAAACTGTTTTGAACCAAGAAAAAAGTGGACCTTACAGAGGAATATTGTGGTGGGCTAAAATTATGGTCGACTAGTCCATATAGAATCAACATCGTTAGGATCGGACCATAATTTGTCAAGCCCATCACATTTCAGTTTTTGGGTTGATTTGTGATGCCATTCAATGATACAAAGTACACAAACGACAGGAAATTGATTTCTGTTGATTTTTTGGTAGTTTCTTGTTCAAGGACCACCATCACTGTTTATTCTGTCCATGACATTTAGCATCTCTATGAAATGATAAATCTGTTATAAAAAAAAAATTCTAAAAGGCTCGAGAGCAATAGTGGAACTGTGAAAAAGCATCGTACACAAGAGAGGTCACGTGATGTGTCTGAGAGATCACGTGCCCTGTTACACTGACTTCTGCAGCTCCTTCTTTTTTTCCTTCCAAACTCCGCCCAACTTCCCAAGGATATGGCCACCACGTCATCTTATCCATAATCACAAAACCGGATCCACTTTCTCTCTCCTCCGCTGGTCTGATCCGAGAAGAAGATCTCAGCCGTTCGTTTTGATGACTAGTTTTAACTTATCCATATCTCCGCCGTCGATCGTCTTTAAAGTTTACTCCATTTCACAGTAGAACAGATTCTCTCAATTTCTGTTTTCCTTCATCCTCGGTCGTGATTAACACGTGTCACCTGCCAGCATCTGATTTTATGCAGATCTTCCTTATTTCCTTAAAAAATGCGTGATCAAAAGTTTTTAAAAAAGTTGAACATGATGATCATTTTCTGTGTTCCCAAGTTGCATTATCATATATTATCAAGAAGAAAAATTATGATGTTCAACTCTTGAATCAAAGAAACCTAATAATTCCCAGGTTTTTTGTTTCATTACATCGATTAAACCGATAAATTTTGTGAAAAACGATAATACCAGACAGCATTTTGCTGTTAAAAAGAGAAATCGGTTAATCGAACCGGAAAATACAAGTCGGTTAAACACTAGGAAAAATCTCTATACCGGAATCTTCAATTTCGTTTATTTTACAGGAAAAATAAAATAAAACGGAGCCCTAGTCTCGTCGCTTGATAACAGTATAACTGTACAAGGTCTCATTTTCGTGCTCCCTCTTGCGATTACTCTCTCTCTCTCTCTGACTCTTTGTTTTTTTACATCCGTCACGTATTCGTGCTTTTATTGGACATCTCCGGCGAATAATACTGGTTTTTGCGGCGGTGAGATTCTCTATAGGATGATCGATTCTTCGGTAAGGTCGATTTACCGATTCTGTTTTCGACGATGTTGTTAGATCCTCATGGTTTTGGTGATCGTTCTGGATCGAAGACGTGGTTCCACAGACGGAAAAAATGCCGTCGTCTCTTAGTTTGATATCTTCCTCCTGAATCTCTCCTCCTTCCGTTCTCGGCGAATCTAATTTTTTTTTTTATCTTCCTCCGTTTTCTTAGAAATTTTGGTCTTCTAATCCTGGGGATAGGTTACAGTCACCGCTTGTAAATAGAATTTGCTCCGTTTGTGTTTCCGAGGTTAGGATAAGCTGTACATATAGAGATTGTAGCTCAATCACTACGTTCGTCGTCGATTTCCCGGATTGGGTTTTTAAAAGTGGCGAAGATGAATCTGGGTGCGGCCGAGGAAGAATCATCATCGGCGCAAGAGATTCATATCCCAGCTGATATCAATTGGGAGATGCTTGACAAATCGAAGTTCTTCGTTCTAGGCGCGGCTTTGTTCTCAGGTGTCTCCGGAGCTCTTTACCCGGCGGTTCTGATGAAAACTCGGCAGCAGGTTTGCCATTCTCAAGGCTCCTGCATCAGAACAGCTTTCACCCTCGTGAGGCACGAAGGTTTGAGAGGATTGTACAGAGGATTCGGCACCTCTCTGACCGGAACAATCCCTGCTCGCGCGCTTTACATGACGGCTTTGGAGGTTACAAAGAGTAACGTTGGCTCTGCTGCTGTTACCTTGGGGCTCACAGATGCTAAAGCTTCTGCGGTTGCGAACGCGGTTGGGGGTTTAACCGCTGCGATGGCGGCGCAGCTTGTTTGGACTCCTGTTGACGTGGTCAGCCAGAGGCTGATGGTTCAAGGAAGCAGCGGTCTAGTGAACGCGTCGAGGTGTAATTATGCTAATGGTTTCGATGCGTTTAGGAAGATTGTTAAAGCTGATGGGGCAAAGGGGTTATACAGAGGGTTTGGGATATCGATTCTGACTTACGCGCCGTCTAACGCGGTTTGGTGGGCGTCTTACTCTGTTGCGCAGAGGATGGTTTGGGGTGGGATTGGGTGTTACGTTTGCAAGAAGGACGATGAGAGTAATGGGAGCAATAACGCGATGAAACCGGACTCGAAGACGGTAATGGCTGTTCAGGGAGTTAGTGCTGCGATTGCTGGGAGTGTTTCTGCTTTGATCACGATGCCGCTTGACACGATTAAGACGAGATTGCAGGTTCTTGATGGGGAAGATAGTGGTAAGCGTGGACCGAGTATTGGACAGACGGTGAGGAATTTGGTTAGGGAAGGTGGATGGACGGCTTGTTATAGAGGATTGGGGCCGAGATGCGCTTCGATGTCGATGTCTGCGACGACTATGATCACTACCTACGAGTTCTTGAAACGGCTTTCTGCTAAGAACCATGACGGGTTTTAGTCTAAATCATAGTGATGAATGATGGTAACAAGTGAAGAAGAAAACCTCATAGAAACAAATCGTTTGATGGGAATGTTTTTAATTTCTCTTACTTATGTTGCTCTTGTCTAGCTGTTATGCTTTGTTTTTTTTCTTTTGTTCCACTCATGTAAGCAATGCGTTAATTTCAGTTGTGTCTATAAATAAAAGAAATGTTGAAATCCTCATTTGCTTGGATTCCGGTTGGGTTTGGATTGGTTCACCACAACCGAGCATTTAAACCGGAATGCGATATAAAAAGATGACTTGTGAGACTTTTTGGGCAACTCTCTCAGTCTTACATCAGTAAGAAATTGATTTGGCAATATGTTATAATTAGTAATTCATGAATCACTGACGAAAGTGATATACAGGATTGTTCATAATAATTTATATAATAATTTATATATACTGGATTCTTCACTAAATATCTCTCAAACATTGTCAACTAAATTGTAAAATATTTTAAGAATCCGAATGTGTCTCTTCGCACAAACTAATGATGGAGTGGAAGCAGAATCTGTGTTTTTCTTCATCATATTCATACAGAATCCGGAGACGACGTCATTACAGGCACAAATGAAAAAAAAAAAAAGAAGAACAAAATCATGAAAAAAAAGGAGAAGGAGTTGAAGTTTACTAAAACAATCAAACCACTAGTTTAAACAAGAGACATGGTTACAGAGGATAAAAGACAAGCAAAAGTGTTTGCAAAATGAAGATCCTGGTCCTTCTTGTGATGTCTACAACAAACATAATGTGAAATCAAAACACTTACAACAAGCAAAGAAACTAGTAGCCAAGGATGACTTCCCCCTTTTGGTGGGAACATGAACACAGCACCAAAGATCCAATGTCTCAGATGTGGACAGAGAAATGGTGCAAGTCCCCACCTCCATGCATGTCATTAGATTGACCATGAACAAGCATGGCTCGGTTCGTCTGAGTTGGGAAACCTGAGAACTGGAACCCAGTGTGTCCGAAGATATCAGCACCGTCGGAAACAGAGGTGATGTCTGATCCAGAAGTGGTTGAGCCGCGGTTATGAGTTTCAAATCTAGACACGTTCACCTTTCTGTTTTGCTCCTCTTGCCCCGACTTGGCATGTTCTTGTTCTCTAGCAGCCTGTTCGGATTCTTGAAGTAGTTTCTTGGTGTTTAGGAACCTTCCACCAGATCCTCTAGGCCTTTTAAGAGCATGAACATGTCGAGACTCATGAAGATACGGCTGTTGCAATAACAGAAACAAAAAGCAGAGATAGATAATGAGCAAAAGCAATTCTAAGTGAGAGATGCTTTTCATTTGCATTGGTCCATAATGTTACCTTACGAGCTTTGATTAGTTTGTTCTGAGCCTCGAGCTTGGCGCGTTGCTGCCTCCTCCTCATAATCGCATGGTATTGCTTCGCATTGACGAAGACTGGCTCAGTCTCCGTGAGCTCTACTGGTAGCGGAACTCGTCCAGGAACCATACTCACCATTTGAGGATTGCATGTCTGCAAAAGAGATTAAGAGCATAAACAAACTAAATGCAAGCACACCAAAAGAAGAGGATATATTATACTTACTGGTCCTTGTGGTAGATAAGTTGCAGCCATTAAGCCACCAAAATGTGGATCAGCATAGTGAAATGAGATATTAGCCTACACCATGTAACGATATAAGATATCAATCCAACATCACAAGTTTGCTAATATTACTAATAGAAGAAGATTTTACATATACCTGAGTAGGAACAAAGTGAATATTCTGGAATCCTGTCACCGAGCAAGATTTAGGATTAGCTGCAAATCCCTTCCGCTGTGGTTCTTCAGATCCTACACAAACATCTAAGAAGATAAACATTTTTATGGCAAAAAGATGGATTCTTTTGTAAATAACAAGTCAAAACATCAAGCAAGAGTCTTTATCATAGAAGACTCTTTAGAACTGACCTGATTTAGCAGAGAAAGAGATTTGTCTGGTCGGATTGTCATCATCTCCACTGCTTGCAACTTCAGTGTAAGATTGACCAGTGGACTGAGATGAAGAAGAGTCCTGGTCCTGAAAACTGATTTGCTTAGTGGTTTGCTTCATATGCTCAGGCCGTGTAGTTGTATTATCCACTTTCAAGCTTAGCGTTTCAGTTGGAACCACTCCCCATGAGATGCTGGTGTTCAGGTATGGCAAAGTCGAATCTTTCTTATTCATCTGATGCATAGTTTCTAACTAGCTATGAAGAAGACCTGTTTCATGATTCAAAAGATTACAACTTTGGATAATAAAAATGATCCAAGAAACAATTTTTCAAGGGCTGAAGAATCCGAGAAATAGAGATAAAGAGAGATGGCAAGTTTCTAAATTGATTCGATTTGATTGGATACTAGAATTAGTACTGTATTGAGTAGACAAAATGAAGCAGAGATCGTGACGATTGGTTCCGAAATTAGAAATTTTCCGACCAAGAAAGAAAAATCTGAGGCCGTCAAACATTTTTTGGGCAAAAAAGGCGTTGACTTGAGGGATGAATTTAAACGCAGAATTTCCAAATCAGTAAACATCAATTCGCACGCCACAAGACAGATACACCAAAAAATTCGAAGCAAAAGAAAAAAGGGAAAATTTTGACAGAAATTAAAGCACCAAAGCCCTCGAATCACAGAGTTCAGATGCAGAAGGAGAGAGATAGAGATTAATAGAGAGAAACCTTTCCAGATTTGATGAAACGGCGATGAACAAAAGGACACGGATTAGTTTTGCATGTCTTCTTCTTGTCCTCACAGAACAATAGTGAACTGTCTCTCTCTGTCTCAGTGAATCAGAGAGAGTGTAATCGTATTGGTGTGGTTTGGTATGATCTTTCTCTTCTACTTATTTCGACTCAGTCGATTTCTCTTTCTCTCTCTCTCTCTCTTAGCTTTCCTGGGAAACCACCATCGCCATGACCACCATTACCACCTTCTCATTTCTGGTTCATTATTGTCTTAAGTGCTTTAATTATTCATTAAAAAAATCAACTTAATTTAATTTTAATTTAATTTTCCACTTTACCCAAAACACAGAAGAAGACTCTCTCTGGCTCTCTGCCTATCCCCCACCTTGTAGAATCAGTTACCTAAATAATATCTTATTATAATCTTTTTTTTCTTTTCGTTTTATTATTTCAGATTCTTTATGGTGTTTAAAGTTTTATTATTTCAGATTCCTATATTAAATTTTAAATTTAAATTTAAATTTAGGAAAAATACAAATGAGATACCTGTAAAAGCCAAGCGATGAGTCATTATTTTGTGATGATGTAATTCTGGAAATGTAAACGATTAATTCTTTTTTATTCTTATTAACGATTCCTATCTCTACCAAACAGCTTGTTTTTTTTGTCACTTTAGCAACGATTTTATTATTATTGTAAGGTTCTAAATTAACTTTTCCCCCATCTTTTGTTTCGGATACAACTAAGTTTGTTTTGGCTGTATGATGTCTTCGTAATTGATCTAATCTAATAACGAAGCCAAAAAAGGTATTAGCTATCTTGATCTTGGTCACGTTAGCTTTGTTATAGTATATGTTTAATGGTATTCGTGAAGATATTAAAATGCTAATTTGATATGTAAGCTTTTTGTCCAAAGTGTGTTGTCGTTTACAGAGCATATGACACTTTTAAATTTCTGGACCGTCGTTAATTGCCCTTAGGTCTTTACTCTTTAGTCATTAGCCGCCCACATTCATCTCTCACGCGCTCCTGATCTCGTCATTCACATGCTCATTGGAACAAAACCAACAGTTTTTATCATGGGAATCCATTGATTAGTAGAACCAGTTTCGTCAGGTATAGTAGTTTAAGGAAAGTGTGAGCATGTAAAATGAGACGAGAATAAGTGTGTTATTATATACTAAAGCTTAGGTTGGGTTCTTAATCAAGTACCTAACCTTTTTTTTGCAATGAAAGAAAGCTTTAGTGCAAGTCGAGCATAGTAGCTAGTCATCGTCCTTTACTCCTTTATCTTTGGAACAACCAAATAATAATTGCTACTTCATGTTTTCTTAATTCCGTTTTCTAAACAATTTTTATGTGTTGTGGGCTGTGACTTGTGAGCCCTTGATTGATCCATGAAAATTTGAACACGTGGGTAATGGGGTACTCATCCCCTAGCCCCTAGGGACCAAAAATCTAAAGTTATTTACCTTTTTCTGGACCAAAGAGACAAGAGAAATCTACAATAGTAGAACTATAGAAGTGATGAGTAGGTTACCAATTGTTAAGACGAAATACCAAATACGTGAGTTTAGGGAATCAAGAGTTTGATCTCGCCGATAAGTTTGGTGAGATTAACAATGATGAACAATGATGAACAAAGGAAGAGACGAAAAACTTCCTTTTAGCTGAAATGGAAAATTTCATCTTGTTCTTGATCTCCTTTTATTATTTTGAGTCGGCATAATATATAATTTACATTTTCTTATTGTGTTTTTCTTCTCAAGTATTGTTATTTTGTTGAAGAGATTAGACCAACATTCAGTTAATTTTTTATAGTTTTATTAATGATAATGGAATATAAAGAATATGCTAATTTCACCTTTAATAAATGTTGTACCTGAAGAGGCTGAAAACTTTTCAGCTTATATGAAACACATACACTCTCTCACTACATGATATACATCCGTAAGGGTAAATGAGAATATCTATTAGAATATGGATCTCATATGTATAACAGATACACTCTTCCATTACATGATCATCCACAAGGGTAAATGAGAATGTCTATCAGAATCTCTGGCTTCACAGTCTTATATGAGAACATGATTATAATTGTCTAAAATCAGGGGTAGAATTGCAAACAATAAAGGGATATTATTGAATTTGTTTATAATAAATTAACATGAGACTACTGAATTGAGTATAGTTAATTGTTGGATTTTTCTTTTCCTCTTTGACTTTTGTACAGTTTGATGTTTGATAAATAAATTTGGTTGAATTTTGGGACATCCAATATGTTGATTTCGAGGTAGCACTCGTTAAGACGGGCTATCAAGGATTGAGTTTAGGGAACTGGGATGCTTAGATTATCTCAAAAAAGTATCAAAGATTACAAGAGGAGCTGCCTCGTCCACAAGCCGGGCGAGACAAATGGTGATTTTAATGTGAGAAAGAGAACAAAAAACTAGATTGCCTAGGGTTTTTCAGAAATGAATTCGCCTCCTTCGTGCCGAGGGAAGAGTCTTTAATATATAGTATGCTGGTTTGCCTTTTTGGTGAATATCTTCCATGAAGCGAGATGGAAGATTTCCTTTTCGCCAAAATAGAATGTTTCCTCTTGTTCTTAATATCCTTCCTTTATGCGAGTCGGTCATGAGATTATGTTTACATTTTCTCATGGACGTTGCCTTCCTCTTCAAGGGTTGCCTTTTGCCGAGGAGGTTCATGACCAAAATCTAAACGGACTTACTGATATTATTAATGGTGACGGGCTCAGGAAAATGTGTTAATTTTTCCTCTAACACAATATATATCTCTAAAAAAAGTCGAAAATGATAAATTTAAAGCTAATAAGAACTTTAAAACATTTCTCATGTTTAAAAGAAATCAATAAAAAAAATTCCTACACGATTTTTTTCCTGCATGACGTCAGAAAAGAAAATGATAATCCGCGGGGTTTACGCGGCCTTCTTGCATAAAATCAGATTTCATTCATTCCCTTTTTTTTTGTTGAAAAAAAGAATATTTTGACTGCCGCTTTCGTAGACCCATAGACTGCTGAATTCGACAAGTTCCGTTTCGAATCTCGCTTGGTTTATCAGAAGAAATCAACCTGCAGCATTGTTCGTTTCCGTTTTGTGAAAGAAAAAAAACCATTGAAGAAACTATCTGTCTCGGTAAGTTGCTATTTTTGGATATTCATTTCAGAAAACAATTTCCGGTGGCGAACGTACGTAGAACACTTTTAGATTGTGTTGTGGCTCTCAGCCTCTGTGTGTGTCACCAATCGATCAACATATGCTTGATCAGCTTAGGGTATAGAGATTTAGACAACAAGACAATTTCAAAGGAACCCAAAAGAGATGGTACATGGTGAAAAATGTAAATGATCATATAGATCATGATAGGACAACATCACCTAACAATTGGAATACCTAAGAGGCGGCTTTTTATATCTTGAGTTAGGTAAATGTTCTTCTTCTTTTATTTTATTTTTTGGGTATAAATGTGCGTCTTTGTGATCTTGTTGCTCGATACTCTTACATACCTTTTTATTTTCACTTGTACGAAAGCTTTCACTAGGGCCCTATTCGTTTGATCATCCAGCTGATCCATCCAGCTGGATCATCCGGATGATGTTCGTTTTTTACAAAAAATCAGCATCATTCAGATGATCCATCTGGATGGATCAACTGAACATTTAAAAGATTTAGGCTAAATTGTTAATATCCAGCTGATTCATCTAGCTGCTTCAAAATGAATCATCTGGCTAAATTTAGGTCTCCGCCTAGTATTTGCTCTTCAAACCTGATCGAGCTAGGTTTCTTCTTTTAGTTACAAATCCTACTGTTTTTGACTGTTGGTATTACCGATTTTCTTCTGCCATCAGGGTTTTGATTTGGTACGTAAATATTCGGTTAAAACTTCCCAGCTTAGGGTGACACAAGGCCTGCGAATTGAAATGGAATGTCAGAAACAGCTTCTGCTATATATGCCCCTCACTTATCTTGTCAGTGGCTTTTGTTTGCTTGTTTGTTTATCAATAGCTTCTGCTATATAAGAAAAAAATATATGTTTTGCTTATTTTTGAAAACCATAGAGCTGTTTTACATAAACGTAATGACTTACCTGTTTGATTTAACATGATACAGGCACACAAAAACATCGACTATTTCTTATACTGTAGCTGATCAAAAAAAAAAAAGAAAAAAAAAAAGACAAGTACTGTGAAGAGATAAGAGAGGCTGAATCTTGACTTATAATGGATGTATAGATTGTGGGATATGGAATAGTTTGAAGGAAAAGCAGTTCTTGCCTTGTGCGCTAAGCTCTGATAGTTCAACAGGGGCTTCATGATCTTGTCTTGATTCGAGCCTCTGGAGTTCACATTCCCATTCCTCTTTTGTTCTGCCACAGAGAAAAGAGCCGAGTAACTTAAGGCCCAAAGGAAGACAGCCGGTAAGCCGGACTGCACAGACCGAGAGCTTTTCAAAATTTTCAGGGGGATACTGCTTCTTGAAGGCACATCCGCTGAAGAGCTCAAGAGCTTCGTCATATTTGAGACAGTCCACTTCGTAGACATTTTCAACTCCACATGCTAAGAGCAAACTCTTGTCTTTTGCGATTATTATCACTCTACTTCCTGAGCCAAGAAAATTCACATCCTTCATGATTCCATCTAATTGTTCAATAGTCTCAACATTGTCAACTATGACCAGAACTCTCTGGTTGCAAAACCTTGTCTTTTTACCATCAGAGACCAAGTCAAAACTAGTCGATGGTTCTTTCCGTTTAAGACCTGTTGGAGAAAGAAGCTTTGCACGGCTGACATGGCCTTGATCTTGAAATGCTGGGATTGGTTTCTTGTAAAGGCTGCTCACAATACTTGTTTTGTAGCTTCCTTGGGTGCTTGAGATGTGATCAAGAATGTTGTTTCTCGAGGTCTCAAGAAAGCAATGGTCTTGAAAAACTGGAGATAGTTCCCGATGAATAAATCTCGCAAGAGTAGTTTTGCCAATTCCTGTGACGCCTGAAATGCCGATCACTTTAATTTCACTAGTAGATTCTAACTCCAAGACTCCGTGTATCAGCTCCATGTGACGATCCATGGCAACTAGGGTTTTGGGTATCTCAGTTATGGTAGCCCTAAGTTGGTCGGAATCAGATACTTGTCGACGCAAAGAAGTTTTCTTTGCAGTTGACTTGTCTCCACATGCGTTTCCCGGAAGCAACCCCTTGTGGAAACGAGATTGAGACAACAAAGCAGAAACGTGACGTGTAATTTTGCGAACCAGCTTCGAGTCATCCTCCCTACCAAAGATTTGAGATCCATGAGTATCAAAACGAGTACATTATAAGAATATGGCATTAATTGAAAGAAAAAAAAGTGCTAATAAAACATGAGACTAAATTGTTTTCAAATTGCAACCCAATTGCTTATGCTTACGTTTGCGTATTTGTGATTTTTTTATCAAACAAAATGTTTCTAAGTTTATATGAGAGTTGATATTAGAAAAAAAAAAGAAAAAAAAAAAACTAGATCCATGAGTATCAGAAGCACAATATTTGAAAAGAATATGACTTTTTTTTTAAAGTTATGCTAAAAACTAACATGACTGTTTTCAAATTGCAACCCGACTGTTCATGCTTACGTTTGCATAAACCCTATGTGCTTCCACTTTCTAACAAAATTCCCAAAGACATGGGTTGAAGCTTCGGTCAGACCGCTCTCCAAACATGGGTTGAAGCAAGAAGTTAAAACTCTTTGGTTTCTGTTCATTAGGTTCTGGAAAAATTAAGCTGCACCTTGATGTAACCAACATATATATATTTTTTTTTTGGCTTTGAATAAATTTTAGGGAAATTGCAATAGATAACCATATTTCCACTCATATTTAACAATCTAACCATAGGAAAAGCATGGGTACTATATTCCGTGTATTTTGTACAATATATACCAAAAACTCCTTCTTGGAAAGAGAAATTCGAATTTTGAAAATTTATGTCAATTTCGAGAGGGGTTTATCCAATTTAGAGAACAGTGTCATTATTCATACCTGCAGAGAGAAGTTAAAGAGACGGCGGAGAAATCTATAGTCGGCACTCGGCAACCAGAGATCAACCTAAATTCTAGTCATGAAATTGTACCTAAACTCTTCCGAAGGAGAGCTGCTTACTCTGCAACCACCATGTCGAAGCGAGGTCAGATTTTTCTATCCGATTTCGTGTATCTTCCATCTGTATATTGTTCTGCTTTTCTTATCCTCGCTTAGAAAATCAACCACCTTCGATTTTTCAAAAGTCTGTGACATTCAATCGAATAGATGATGTAGCTGAATATGCGATTTCGTTTGCTTGTTTTCTCCTGATTGAGGTTATTTCTAGGTCATGAACCACTGATACCGAGATCTAACTCTTTAGATCCCTATTAGGTTGATTGGTGTGTTAGAATGCGTTTTCTTTTTTCTTCCGCCCGATTATATGATCCAAATGATTCGATAGTGATGTGATCTCTCTGAGATCAAAACGTGATTCGTTGTGATTTGGTTGATTAATGTGTGTACGATTTGTTTTATTTTTCATTTTACCAACAAAATGATCCATATGATTTCATTTCTTGTACGTTTCCGGTGATTTGTTTCTCTGAGGTCTAAGCCTGATGTGTTCTTATTTTGGTTGATGCATGTACGATGAAGTATCAGATTTCATTATGATATTCTCTTTAACTATTGTGTTAATGATTTGTTGTGATTGACTGATATAGGAAGAGGAGGACGGTCGATAATAAGAGCGCCGCCTGCTATCTCCGCCGCTAGAGTCGTAAGTAGATCTAAGTAAGTTTCCATACTCGGTCTATTGTGATTTCCAGTAGATCCAATTTATGTGTCGTCCTTACCGATTTTGGTTAATCTTGAGGGCTCTGATAGTGGTTTTCTTGGGTTTATTTGAAATGTGTTGATTATTTTGCTATAGGTTTTAATATGGAAGAGGAAGGTTTACCAAGAAGGATGTTTGAGACATTGGAGAACATTTGAAGATGCTTTAGAATTATTAGTTTAGTCGTTTGAGGCCCAATCGCGCATAAAGAGGATTATATTTGTAGTATGTTTTGGTTGTGTGTGGTAAGTTTGTATGTTGATTATCTTGGTATTTATCGATATTATCTATGGTTTGGAAGCTTTTGTGGCTGTCGATGTTGTTCACGTTATTGTTATTCCCACTATTGTTACAATTTTGGTTTTCTACGTCTGTTCCGAACGCTGTCTGTATTAGGCCTGGGCAAATTATCCGTCATATTTGCTTCGATTCGTTATCCGTTCCGATTCGATTCGAAAAATCCGGATAACCGTAACTTTACCAAAGCAAAGCAAATACAAAAAATGATTATCCGTTAAAAACGGAGCAAATCACAAATACCAAAATTTTAAAAGCCGGATATCCGATTCGCTCCGTATACATATAAATATACCTATATATATAATTACATATATAAAATGGATAGGTTGACAAAAAAAAAATATAAAATGGATAGTTGTTATATCTATATCTAAATTTTATAAATCTATATTCATCAAATTGATTATTTAAACACTAATTTTCAAAAAAATAAATAATTAATTATTATTTTTTAATTAAAATTATTTATTTTTGTATTAAAAATATTTTTTAATAGTTACGGAGCGGATAATTTACGAATATTGAATAAAGTTACGGATATCCGGATCATACGGATCAGAGCGGATAATCTGCGGATATTAAAAAATATTACGGATATCCGAAAATTTTCGAATTGGATCGGATCAGAAAATCAAATATCCGGACGAATCGGATCGGATCACGAATATCTGTTTTTCCCCGGATATTTGCTTCGTGCCCAGGCCTAGTCTATATCACATTAATGTATCTCTTTGTTATACCATTTCCTACCTTTTTTGTAAATAGTATAATATTATTTTTTATTGAATGTACTATACTATTTGGAATTACATACTATATTATTTTGTTACTTGAAGTAATAATTCAAAGGTTTAGAGTATGATTTAGAGTTTATGAATTATAATTTCAGGTTTTAGGGATTAGTTGAATGTACTGTACATTTATTTGTTTGGGTTCACTAATGTTAATTAGGGTTTAGTTTTAACTATACTAAACTTTAAATACAAAATCCTAAACTTTAAATTAGATGTACTGTACATTTATTTATTTGGGTTCACTAATCTTGATTAGGATTTAGTTTTTAGTTTTTAAGGTTTCAAGTTTAAATTAATGATAGAAATTTTTTATAGTATAGACCACAAATTCTAACGTTCATTAGTGTGAATGTAAATTATCCATTTGTTAATGGTTCATGTTGTAATAGGGGTGACGTCGTCGACACTTTAGAGAGAAGGTTATATGTAGGTAAAAGGACAAAACAAGAACTAGGGTAAAGAATGTTGGAGGGAAATTTCCCGCTTGTTTTAAGGAGAAAAGAGAAAAGCAAAGTTTTCTCTTTGTTAGTTACTTAATTAAGTGTATAGCATAGTTATAGAGTTGAGTTTTTTTCCCAATATTGTTATCTACCAAATTAACCCTAAATTTTACATTCAATTAAAGAAAAAAAGAAAAAAAGAAAACCTCTATGTCAGGCAAGTACGTCCCTCTTCTTTATGTTATATACCAATTTTTCTTAAACTCCTTAGTTGCAAATGACTAGACCAACTTATTTTTTTTTCTTTTTTTTTTCTCTAAGCATGCTACTATCATGTTAATGATTTAAAGGTTTTACAAGAGAATATAAAAACCTATTTAAAATTGATTCCTCGGCAGAAAAGGTAAAAACAAGGAAGCACAAAGATTTACGATTAGACCAACTAGTTGGAGAAGGTAGTATAACTAAATATTAAGATGCGAAAACTGTAAAGGCGTACCAATCAAGGGAGGAGAAGCCCGGTTTAATGGTGGTCAATTGTCTCAAAGCGTATCTCCACTTCTGCAACATATCTGGATTCTCTAGTTGACCATGTCTCTCAAAATCCTCATTGGAGCTGCTTAACAAATCAGACGAATCAACCTCGTAGAAGACCGGGACTACTATCATCGATTTATTCAGAGCAGAACCCATAATCTTGACCAGTTCATCTAAAGTACAGGCAGACGACGCGTAGTTCTTCGATAATATAACCACCGAGACTCTCCACTCTGAAATTGCGCGGAGAGAGGAAGGTGAAATCTGCCTCCCTCTCTCTTTCTCCTTGTCTTCATCCTCGTCCATACAACTTCTGATGCCAGTTCGAGAAAACTCACGAAGGAGATGACTGAGAAAATTCTTACGCAGAGAAGAATCTTCTCTTCTGAAACTCACAAACACGTCGGAATACATGTACAACATGATCAATGATTATAGACTGTGCAGCTAGAAATATTTTATGTAGACCAAGTTTTCTTTCGTCAAATAATTTATATTCCGAAAAGTAATCGAACTGGGTAAAATCCGACAAGTCACGTGGCGCGTGGCGCTAACTTGGAATGTGCATCAGCCAATACCACTTATTTTGATTTTGCCAAACACGCAAAAGCAATAATGAAAGGGAAAGACATTTTTGATTTTTGTCAAAAATCATGTGTGGTTTGATTATTCAAAGAGGCAACTAATAAAGAAAAAGACATGTGTGGTTTGATTATTCAAAAGATAAGAGCATGTCCAGCGCATTGGACCAATCTCTTATAATTAAAAATAAATAAAAACTGTGGAAAAGAATGAAAGAGAATGCAAAAGAAAGTGAGACGTATATGTAATACTCCCTTCGCCTCCGTTTTTTTTATGAATTTTCTAGCTATTATGTGTTGTTTTACAAAGATAAATTTTTTATCTTTTTGATGTACTTTTTCAGTTTTCAAGATACAATGATTATATTTGTTGGATTTTTATTGGTTTAAAATTATAAAAAGTTGTTTTGTTGCAGAAATCTATGCACTAATGATTGAAAATCAACTTTTTCTTAATCTGTGTGAAATTTCCAGAAAATCTATAAAAAAAAAAACAGAGGAAGTAACAATATCTTTGAGACTTTTATTACATGTGTTGCTGTTTATGTGGCTGACATGATTTTATATTTAATATTTAATTATAAATTAAAATTAAAATAATTTAATAATGTTATGATATTCATATATTTGTTTTACTGCTGGACATGCCTTAAGCGTTGGGTGCCATGTTCAAAAGCTTGCTTCTTTTCTCGCTTATTGTTCGGTCGGATAGTGATAAACGATTTTTGAAAAAAATACTACTAATTTGGGAATAAATAGAGATGAAATTTTAAATTTATTTCAATATATTTTAAAAATGATAATTATATAAAACATTAATAATACAAAAATAATATAAAAGATAATACAAAACTTTTGACATTTGATTTTTCCCAATTCATAAACATTTCTAATACAAAAAATAGTAGTTCCGCTCATAAATATTACAAAATAAATACTTCCTCTGTTTCAGAATATATTATGTTTGAGCGTATGTATCTGCATCTGAACATAATTATATCCATATATATTTTTTTATGAGTACATTTTTCCATACATCATACATTCTGAAACAGAGGGAGTATTATCTTGATCATATTAAAAAATATACCAAAGATATATAAAAGATGATAATAGATAATGTGAGCTTAACTTCTAAAAATATGAATCTTAATATCAAATTCAAATTTTTTGACCCACATAATTTTACAATTTCTCGGATAATTATTGGAATTTCGTGGTTAAACCAGTCAAACCACGATTGATTGGTTTTTAACATTGATTTCACGTATAGTTATGGTTTCCTTTCAATATGATATATAATAAATTGTTGATTTATCGTTGATTATCGCTTGATATTTTGAACAAAGGTTGGTTTGAGAAAGAACGGGTACGTAATTGAGTTGAAATACCCTTAACATTTTCATTTTCAGATGAGACGTCTGTGAGATCCAGATATAGCACTCTGTAAGACGGGCTGTAAAGGATTGAGTTTAGGAAATTGGGATGCTTATTATCTCGGAGGAGTATCAAGATTACAAAAGGAACTGTCTCGTTCACAGGTCGAGCGAGACAGGTGATGAATTCAAAGTAAGAACAAAGAGCTAGATTGCCTAGAGTTTTGGAATTGGCCTCTCTCGCGTCGGAGTGATGGGTCTTGAATATATAGTTTGCCGGCTTTCCTTCTTGATGAATATCTTCTATTTTAGACAAGATGGAAGATTTCCTTTTGCTGAAATAGAATGTTTCCTCTTATCCTTGATATCTTCCTTTACGCGGCTCGGCATGAGATTGTATTTATATTTTCTCATGGATGTTTGCCTTCCTCTTCAAGGATTTCCCTTTAGCTGAAGAGGTTTAGGATCAAAATACAAACGGGCCTATTGATATTATTAATGGTGACGGGCCGAGGGAAATATGCTAATTTCTCCTCTAACAATAAGTCCCTCCCCAGCTCGGCGAGTCAAATGCAGTTTGATCTCGGCGAGTTTCGTGGAATTAGAGGGGCTCGGGAGCCATTAATAATAATCTTGCCGTGCTCGGTGATTTTGATGCCTAGGTGCCTGCTGAATGTAGATTCGTGCCGCCTCGTTAAAACCTTAATGTGGAAAACCTCGTGGGACAAAACCACAAGAAGGAAAAAGAGTACGTTGACGTCATCTAATTCCGAAGAGTGCATTTCGAATGGTCCTTTCCGAGACCGAGAGTGCTTCCTCATCGAATTTAAATTTTCATTTTGACAATCGGTCGAAATTGCCACGTGGCTGCGGTTTTAAGACGAAGGGATGCGTCCTTCGGCTCGCAACTGTTTCTATGGGCCGAAACGATTTACGGGCCTATCTTATGCGAAGAAAGCCCGGCCCATAAGAGTTTCTCGTTGTGAGCGGGAAACGACATGTCGGGGCAAAACCCTTGAGCCGTTTCGCTCTTGGAATCTGCGCGGACTCTATAAGAGTCTGTTCGAATTTCCTTTCCACATTTATTGTTTCTTCCCGTTTGCGACCGTCAAGACAAGAAAAGGTAAATTTCTTATCTCGACTTTTTGAATCTTGCCGATTGTTTCCCGATTTTTATAGTGCCAGACCCAGTGCTTAGGTTTTACTCGCTTAGTTTCGGGATCGTGCTCTGATTCCGTCTTCTCCATCGATTCCCTTTCCGCAATTTCTAGGGTTTTCGATTGTTGCCTTCTCTCGGATTTTTTGCGAAATCGAGATGGATCCGTCTGATCGAAAAGGGAAGAGAATTGTTACTGATGGTTTCGACGAGAAGCTATCGTCGTTTAAGCGCCAGACGCAGTCTTCGTGTCCCGCGGAGAGGCTTCTCGACGGAGCTATCCGGTTGGGGAGAGCAGAGGAAATGCGGCGGAAGGCGGCGGAGGATTCTGCTGCGGCCGCAGCGGAGGCGGAGAGAATAGCCGATGAGGCCGATAGGCTGGAGGCAGAAAGAGTCGCGGATGAAGGCGACTGGCGAGAGGCCGCAGAGAGATTGGCCGGAGGAGAGGCGGAGAGAGCGGATTCCGACTCGGAAAGCAATTCTGGGTATCGCGACGAGCTCCGCCCTGATGATCCCGACGCCACTTCAGATATAGACGAGGGGGATCGTTCGAACCGAGCCCGGCTCCCTGGCATCCTGGATCTGATTGAGATGCCGAGCCGAACTCCGCCGTCTCATCTTACTGATGACGGAAGGTCTTGGATGACCGTGGAGATCTTGAGAGACCTTCGCGAGAGGGTTCAGTTTCAAGAGGACGTAGAATTCCGCCTCCCGCGAATGCTCGATCGGCCTTACACCGTTCTGGAAGGATGGATGTGTGTCTATGAGTGCATGTTCACCGAGTTCGGAATGAACTTCCCTCTTCCCGCAATGCTGCTGCGGTTTGCCGCGGAACGCAACGTTCCGGTGAGTCAGCTGACTCACGGCGTCATCCGCCATCTCGTCTTTACTGAGGCCCTGGCTAGAGCTCCCGAGGTCGCCTTCGATCGGTTGTTGTTTGAGCACGTCACCGATCTCCGTACCGGAACCGCGGAGGAAGCGGGTTTCCGGCGATTCCACACCACCATAAGACACGGGATTGTCTTTGGTAACTACCGGAGCAAGCTTTACAATTGGAAGAATTAATTTTTCTATGTGAAGATCAGTCCGGCGACGATCGGGGTGATCATGCCTGATCGGGTGAAGACGGATTGGGTCACTTCGCCGGGTAGAATTTCGATAGGATTCTTGTCTCGTCGAGTATGCTTCTCTGACTTTCTCTGCTTTTATTTGTCTTGCAGGACCGTTGACGCGGAAAAAGCCGTCCACTTCTCTCCGGTACAAATTCACGCTCCTCCGGGACCTCAGTCGCAAGCTTTGGCCCGAAGTGGTAGCGAACCTCGATAAGAAAAAGAGGGAAAGAAAAGAGAGAAAGGAAGGGGGAAGCAAGCCTGCGGTTCCTAAGACTCCGGCAACTGGTAAGTCTCGTCATTCCCTTCTCTGTTTTTTCCTGGTCTCGTCAAGTGCGCTTCTGACGCTTTGGGCTTGAAGAGAAGGGCCCCTATAGCCGTCGATGACGCTGTGATCACGTCAAGACCGGCAGAGAAAAAAAAGAGGATTGAGTCCCCGCGGCTGAGGGATTCTTCTCCATCGGTTCCTCCTCAGGTAGCCTCCGTTGCGTCAAGGACGAAGTAAGCGAACTTTCTCTTTGCCGTTTTCCTCTTTGCTGAGAAATCTGTGTTTTGAATTGCTGGTTGCGTTTTGCGAATAGGGCCGCGTCTGCTGCGAGGCGCGTCACAAGGGACTCGTCTTCTGAGGCTGAGAAGACGCCGGATCCGGTGATCGAGCTTGTGTCCTCCCCGTTTGCTGACGGAGATGGTGGAGCTCCTGAGCGCTGGGAGGGTGCATCCAGTTGTGGCAAAGAGGCGTCTCGTCGTGTCGACGATATGCGGATGGTGGTTTATGGCGAGACTCCGCCGGAGCTGGAGGAGGAAGAGTTTCTTACCTCTCGTGATGACGGTCCTTCCTTTGTCGCGCCGACGAGGGTCAGCCAGAGGAGGGGGGTCCGTCTCGACCCCCTGGTGATGGAGCCGACGAAGAAGGGGAGCCTCGTCCTGTTGAGTTGAGCGGCTCTAGTGCTGATCCTGCTCCTCATGGTGGAGATAGTCCGCCGGGACCGAGGATTGACGAGACTCGTCAGAATCCTCACTCTGTGGCAGTGACCTGGGCCGGCCCGTGCCCTTTAATGGACGATGCCGAGGCAAGCGGAGGTTATGTTTTTGCCTCCAAGGTTCATCCCACCTGGGGGCTCATGCGTCAGGGTCTTCGGTACAAAGACGACTATAACGAGGCGGCTCGGGACCTGGTCAGGGCTAGCGGGAAATTCACCGCGCTTTTGCTGAAGTATGAGCAGGATCTCGGGTCTGCCGAGGGTGACGCTGAGATGGCGCGCCGGGAGATGGAGAGGATGCGAGAGTCCGACAAGATGGTTGCCGACATGCGACTCGAGAAGCACGCTCTTGAAGACAAGTTCGCGATGCTGAGCGATGAAGTCACGAGGGCCCGCGATCTCCAGGATGTCGCAAAGAGGCTTAGGGCGGAAGTCTCCGGTCTGCGGGGTGAGAAGCTCGTTCTCGTAGGTAAGGTCGACGAGCTGAAGGGCGATCACGCGAAGGCCCTTCATCTTCAGGAGGCCGTGGAGGAGCTCCGGGCAGAGGTCGGGCGTCTTGAGGAGAGATCTCGCCAGGACGCAAAGATTGCTGCGGTGGAGGCGGATCGCCTTCGCCAGTCGCGCCGGGAATGGGCGGATGTTGCCGTTACACAAGCTAACAATGCTGCGGTCGACTGGTATACGCCTCGGCTCCGTCATCTCGCGGATTATGTGGCGCAAAGGGAGGTGGACGAAGCTTTGCTAAACTATGTGCGGAAGATCAGGGATACTGATCAAGATTTCGACGAGTCCATCGAGGAGATCATCGTGGGATCGGATGATTTCGAGAACGCGCCAAGGTAAATTATGCTTTACCTATTTGCTTTGTATTTGTGCGAAATGATTTGCGGTGCGCTTACTTGCTTATATTTTGTTTGGACAGCCTGCCCTTTGCGGAGTTGATGCTGCCGGGGTCTCCTTCTCGTCACGATGCGGGCTTTTCTTTGGATCCGTCAAGTGCTGCGAAGACGGCGGGGCCGTCAGATGCGGGGACTAAGTCACCTGAATTTTAAAACTCTTGTTGGCTTCGACCTTAGTTGTAATAACATTGCCCGGAAGGGTTTTTATCTGAATGCTTAGGATTTGCAACTCCTTCTCCTTTTGTTTTTAGGCGCCTTTGCGCCTTTGGATTTCTACTTATAATGCTATAAGTATTTTGCATGCATTAGCTTTTCTTAGCTAAGCGTGATTACATGCCTCACGACTTTAAGATGCAATCGGTTAAATCACAGCGGAATGAGATAACCCTGCTTTTGTTTGCATCTTTTCAAATAAGGGGGAATTATTTTTATCCTAATAATTTGAGAAAGTTTACCAGTCGTCACCGGGAGAGATGTTCAAACATCGGATTAATTCAAAGCCCTTATATTCATCACGGCCTAGGCGCGCGATGGGTGCGAGTGCGTCATGACGAGACGCGATGCTTTCGCGTTGTTGTTATGACTTCTCATTCGAGACACCGACCAGTGCACATTAGGTCTGTAAGCTGGCATGGTTAGCCTAATTTTGGCGACGAGGCCTAGAAAACTCGAATTACGCTTTCCGACTACATAGTTGGTGCGGGAAACGAACTAGCGATTCTCGGCTCGCCCGACAAACTAAGAACCGTGCGAGGTGCATGCTCTCGACTTAGGCAGATGGGTGGATCAATCCCCTTTTTTAGTGCATAGTGCGTACGCGTATCGGATGTGCCCCGATTAGTTTAGTTTGACGTCAAACAGGTGCGTGCGCTTAATACTATGTTTCGGCGATTGCTTGCCGAGGCGAATAAGACTTTGGATAAAATAAAGAGCTTTTTATTTTATTAAGTGCTATAGCTGTGCCTTCTTAGCAAAAGAGGCTGCCTACGTACCCGTGCTGGGATCAAGCGTTACAATTGTTCGAGCAGTGAACATGTCTTTTTTTTTTTTTTTTTTTTTTGCGGGACTAGCGCGTTGCTTCGCGTCTAGTCGTGGAATCGGCGGAGATCGATGGCGTTCCACGTGCGGTTGAACGTGTTGCCGAAGTTATCCTCCAGCTCGTAGATGCCGCGCTTGACCACTCGTGCGATGCGGAAGGGGCCGCTCCAATGGAAGCCAAACTTGCCGGCACGATCCGTCGTGCTATCCGACTTTCGCAGGACGATGTCGTTGACGGCGAACTGGAGATGCTGTTTTAGGAAGGCGGCCGCTAGGTCGTCGAAAAATTTGATCGACTCAGTGCGGAGCTGGATGAACCAAGTTAGGGCTTCGCCTTGTAGATGCTCGGCGAAGGCTTGGCATAGATGTGCGTCTTGTTCTTCAGGTGACGAGTACCGCTGTCTTTTGGTGGCGTCCAAAAGAGAAGAGAGCCATTGCTCCGGATCAAGCTGGCCGCTGTAAAGGTCGAGGCGCATGGGAACTCGTTTCTTCATGGGGATCTCCGAGATTCGAGTTGCTAGCGGCGTGCTGCGCGCGTCAGCAATTAACTCTTATATCTCTTGGTCGGAGAATCCGCATTATGGCGTGCTGACGATTTGGCTGTTGGTGAACAACTGGCCGTGCATAGGTGAGGCAGGTCTTTGCACCCTTTCGTCGTCGTCACCTTCGTCTATGAAGATAGTCTCTGGCCGATTCAGGTGTTGCTGATGGTGCTTCGGGGTGGATTCTCCCGGGAAGAGTGGTCCTCGTCTGCTTTCACGCCGATGCCTGAATTCGCCTGGTTCAAGTGAAGGGGAGATTGACCTCTTAAGGTGTCGTCTCGGCGGTCCTTGCTCTATGCGGATAAATTTTTCCGCCCGAAGGAAGGCGTTTTTCAAGGTGAGACAAGGGTTGTGGAAGAGGTCGTTCCTGAGGTTGGAGCGGTAAAGGAGTCCATTCTCGAGTGCTTGAACGAGGACGACTTCCGAAGTTGAGCGACCATCTTACGTCTCGTCGAAACGGAGTAGGGCGGCTTGGAACCTGTCGACGAAGCTTTGTAGCGGCTCCTCCTCGAACTGTTCCAGCTTGAACAGATCGGTCAGCTTCAGCGGGTTCCTGGTGTTCTTGCGGCACTTCAGGTCAGACTTCCACGGCGTCTCATCAAGATGTCGGCACTGGTCCGGCGGCTCGATGATCATGAATGAGGACGCCGCGCGGAGTCTGCGCTCTTGTAGAAAGCAAGATTTCGTTTCTCTCTGGTTTCCGCGTAGGGTGAATATCCCGGCCGGCGTTGGGAATTTCACGCATTGGTGGAAGGTGGAGATGACAGCTCTCATCTCGTGGAGCCACGGCGTGCCGAGGATGATATTGTAGATAGCTGGTTTCTCCATCAGGATGAACTTCTTGAGCTTCGAGATGCCGCCGATGTAGACGGGAAGTCGGACTGTGCCACAAGTGTAGACATGCTCGGCAGTGAAACCAGTGAGGGGACAAACCGCGGGTTTGATGGAGTTTTCCTCTACACACATGCAGTCCAGTGTTTCCTTGAAGATCAGGTTCACCGTTCTCCTGGTGTCGATCAGGATTTTGGACACGTCGCAGTCGTGGATTTGCATGGTGACCACGAGCGGGTCGAGTTGTGGGGTATCCAGTCCGCCGGCGTCCCTGTCCGTGAAGGATATGGTAGGGATTCCTTGATGGACATAGGGGTTGCGCTGTGCCGCGACGGCCTTCCGTTCATACTTCTTGATAGCCGATACGGATTCGTCGCCGTTTAGGAGGCCTCCCATAATCATGGTGACGTAACGCCTTGGTGGTGGCGGCAGATCGTCTTGATCGTCGCGGCTTTTCCCGTCGGGGGGTGCTTCGGATTTCCCCTTGTCCTTCCTCGGGTTGAACTGCCGCCCGCGCTTTTCTCGCTGTCCCGGCTTGGATGGTCTCGGCGCGAAACTTTTTCCATGGGATCTGTCTCCGTCCATCGGCGGAATCTGCCCAGAATTATACATGCGAATGAGGTTACTGATGAGTTGCTTACAGTTTTCAGTGGCGTGCCCGTTCCTTCTGTGGAATTTGCAGAACGTGTTTATGTCGCCATCGTCTCCGAGCTGCGTGGCATCCGGCGTCGTCATGATGGTCGCGGCATGTGGGGATCCTTGCTCGGATTCGTCCTCTGCTGCTGCGAATGCGGTGAGGAGCGATCTTTTGGGGTCGGGCCTCCTGCGCGTCTCTATGACATCCTCTTTGGGCTTGGGTGGAGTGATCCGCCTATCTCCGTGTTTCTCGGCATAGAAGCGTTTATCCTCCTCAAGAAAAATGTAGTTTTGGGCGCGATGAAAAGCGTCCTCTAAGGATGTGGATGGCTTAAGCGACAGGTCCTCCTTGAGCTTGGAGTCATACCATAGGCCATTGCGAAGTGCTTCGAGCGGGAGGCTGTCCGGTAATGCTTCAGGAACGCGTTGGTCAGGTCGTCGAAGTTATCGATCGACTCGGCGGGTAGGTTGGAGAACCATACCAAAGCGTCTTTCGTCATGTGCTCGACGAAGACTTGGCAGTAATTGGCTTCCCTCTCGTCGTGGGAGTTGTATCTCTCCCTCGTCATGGCGAGGTTGAAAGCGGTCAACCACTTCTTAGGATCTTCGTCCCCGGGGTAAGAGTCGATCTTGAGGCGAATCCTATCGCGGAGTCTGCGGGTGAGCGGGCTCCTCCGGGTGTCGGCGAGTGCTTTCGTCAGTTCCGGGGCCGAGCTGGTGGCGCGATGAATCTTTGAGTTGACCTCGTCAAGACGTCGATTCATTCGCTCGAGTTCCAGGGCAGTCTCTTGGTTAAGACGCTCGGAGCGAGGTGCGGGCTCGTCTTCCATCTCGGTGGAGTGTATCGATCGTCCTTCATCATCTTCTCGGTTTAGAGCTTCGATTCGTTTTTGGGTTCTGCTCTGCTGAGCTCGTATCTCGGCGAAGCTCTTATTGATAGGCGCCATGAATTTCTCCATGACTCTCTCAAGCTCGCTGCTCGAGAGTGATATCTCCGGGTCGCGGTGCTTCGCGGGTTGGTCGGTCTCCTCGACCCTTCTCGCCGGGGCGGGTTGCTCTTCGGACGAGGTAGGCTGGTCGTTTGGCGGGGCTGACCTGCTTCGGCGGACTGGCGGGTCGTCTTCCGCTCCATGCTGCTGCTTTTCTGTCGTCGGCGGAGTGCGTTCCGTGCCGAGGTCTTCTTCGTTCCGGGGGGAACTTCTTACGGGGGTGTTCTCCTTTGAGTTCACCATGGTCGTCTTGTTGCAGAAGTCGAGATACCCTTGAGATATTAAGCGAGAGGTGTTCCCAGCCCCACGGTGGGCGCCAATTGTGAAATCCAGATATAGCACTCGGTAAGACGGACTGTAAAGGATTGAGTTTAGGGAACTGGGATGCTTATTATCTCGGGGGAGTATCAAGATTACAAAAGGAACTGTCTCGTTCACAGGTCGTGCGAGACAGGTTATGAATTCGGAGTAAGAACAAAGAGTTAGATTGCCTAGGGTTTTGGAATTGGCCTCTCTCGCGTCGGAGTGATTGGTCTTGAATATATAGTTTGCCGGCTTTCGTTCTTGATGAATATCTTCTATTTTAGACGAGATGGAAGATTTCCTTTTGCTGAAATAGAATGTTTCCTCTTATCCTTGATATCTTTCTTTACGCGGTTTGGCATGAGATTGTATTTACATTTTTTCATGGATGTTTGCCTTCCTCTTCAAGAATTTCCCTTTAGCTGAGAAGGTTTAGGATCAAAATACAAACAGGCCTATTGATATTATTAATAGTGACAGGCCGAGGAAAATGTTCTAATTTCTCCTCTAACAACGTCTCTACCGTTTTATCATTACTCCATTGCTCGTGGATCCCACCATTGTCAACGGCTCAACGCTCTCTACATTATTTCCGGGAAGCTCTCTAAAGATTTGTTTGCCGTCTTTACTCTTTGCAATACCACATGATTTTTTCCATGTTTTTTCCTGAATCCCACCATTGTCAACGGCTCAACGCTCTCTACATTATTTCCGAGAAGCTCTGATTTGTTTGCCATCTTTACTCTTTGCAATATCACATGACGTTTTCCATTGTTTTTCCTGGCTAACACAGTTCATGATTTTTTTCCTGACTAACACAGTACCACGCACAAATTATTTCTTTATCGGTCATTCATCTTTTCACAATTTCACTATAAACAATCTTAACTTTAATCTTTCTGTTTAGACTATTTTGTGGGATAAATTTTCCATAAAAAAGACTTTTTTGCCCAGTTATTATGAATAAAAAGTAAAAACAAATTCTATTTTTGGATGGGAAAAGAAAAAAACACAAATCCTTCTTAAAATTTATCCATTTTATTTCACTACCAAAACATTGATGAATGGACTTCAATATTCCATTTTTTTTAATTCTATTTCTTGATCATCCCATTTCTTTTCTTTCCGCACATTATATTTAGCACATCCCTTATAAGAGTAGAGCCAACAACGTGAAATTCCGCCCAAAACACATATTATCCCCTACTTTTTATTATAAACCTAATGAGATAACTTTTTATTATACATTTTAACAGTGTTATATATTTGATTTCATATTTTTTTTAAGTTAAAGGTTTGAATTTGTAAAAAGATTTTATTTTGCAAGTCTTTTTGCACAACATATTTTAATTTATTTACAAATATAGAGAGAAATTATACTGCATGTGACTTTGAAGTTCATATAATTGACTTGTAAGTTGCAAGTAATTTAGTTGAGAGCTTAATTTATAAAAGAAAATAGCTTGAAGATTTTTTTCTTTCACAACTTCATCAATATTATACTTAACTTTTATCTTTCTTTCTTTTACAACCGTCAAATGAAAAAAATAAACCTTTATGGTAAATAGATAGTCAAGTTAATTCTATTAAATCTCTCCATATAATTTTGATATCGTGATATTACAAGAATGATTTACAATAGTTGCCATAAGCTGGTAAGGTCATTGTGGTTGGAAAATCGTGAACGGAATTGCGGTATTAATGTGTTGATACTTGATATTGAGTACTGACCTGTTTGGATTATTTCACAAAAAAAACAAAGGCGGCCATATCACCGGTGTGACCACATGTCTGTGTAATGTAGCTATCAATTTTTTTTTTTTTTTGTTAAATATGTAGCTATTAATCCAATGGACATTTCTCATTCTCATCAATTGGAATTGTTTTGTTTCAGATATACAAATTGACATTACCAAGTTGTATATATAATTTTTTCAAGGCCAAACAAAACTGAGGGTCCTTCATAAATTAGAAAAAATTGCATACACATAGTCAATATGAATATGCTATGACCTAATATACCTGTATATTATATCTTATTATATAAAGTTGAATATGTACAATTTAAAATGTATTATATTGTTACATGTGTCATCTTTAATTAAAATCATGACACATATAGATTATTTTTTTTAAAAGAAAAATGCAACACATAAAATAATTTACATATTTACAGTTTATAAGGTCACGATAATCTTTTTTTTTTTTATAAATGATACATAAAATGGAAAACAAATAAAAATACCCTAGATGCACACAGCATGAATGAAACACGCATGATAATTACTTATTCATGTTGCATATGTCATTGTTAACTAAGATCATGACTCGTTTAAAATCTTCTCTTAAAACAAAAAGACAAAGGTAAATATTTAATTATAAATATTTTTTTACTTTAAATTCATGTTTACGCAAAAGGGTAAAAACTTTATTATTACCTTTACTAACGGTGTTTCTTACGTAGATATGTTTTTGAATGAAAATAATATAAAATAAAAGTGAATTAATTATATAAAATGGATTTTAAGATAAAATATGTTTAAGAGTTGGGTTTTAGATACCACATGAAAAGCTTGTGATTCGTTGCTCTAAATTCTATTATTTTCTATCATCGGAGAAGAAAAATAAATTTCTAGAGTTTTTAGATTAAAATTATTTTAATTTATTTATTTTTGATGTTTTTAGATATAATATATTTTTAGTTTAAAAAGGAGGAGAATCCTTTCGAAATAAAAACTCTCAATTCATTTCTTATTATTATTTATAATCTTGAAAAGCTATTTTTGTAAGTCTTTTAACTTAAACATTGGAGAATCCATATGAAACACGCATGACAAATTCTTATTCACCAGTGTTATATGTGTCATTGTTAATTAAGATTATGACTTTTGTAAAATATTCTCTTAACAAAAAAAACAAAAAAAAATGTAATTTTCATTTTTTCAATATTTATATATAGGAGAATTAGTTTAATATTATAAAAACTTTTTCTAATTTGAGAACTAAATCTTTTTAAATTTTTTTGAAAACTAACTTTTTTTAATAAGTAAAAAAATTAATAAGTAGAAAGACAATAAACCATTATTCAGTTTTTTAAAAATTATAACTAAAAAGGAAAGGAAATCTTTTTTAAAATAATATATATATTAGTTGCTATCTTAGATTTCTTATATATCAGAAACAATATTATTAATCATTCTCATAGATGATTTAAATAATTTATCTATTTTCTTGTGATTCATCTCAAAATTTTAGGATTCATTTTGTATTATCCAATCTTCATAAACTCAAAAAAATGAGAATTATTTTAGTCTGTAACAGAAAAAGATTGAGGTTTGATTCTCTAAAAAGCTTATAAGATGTTTGAAAGTTAAATCATATTATTTATTTATCTAATAATTTAAATTTTCAAATCAAATCTTTATGATATCTTTTTTTTTCTCTTGAAAATTTGATGTATGAAAAAGAAAAAACAAATATTTTTAATTATATCAAACATGAATATCGTTAGAATAACTGAATTTTGTTTTCAATATAAATAATATTAATTTTCCGAAAGTTTTATAGAAATTAATAAAGAAACTTAAATAAATTTTGTGTTTAAAAAGTTAAGGTTATTTTTGTAATTTTGAATATTAAAAAGATAATTTTCAAATATTTCAAAAGAGGATTTAGTTTTCAATTTTTTTAATAATTTTTATAATATTAGTCTAAATTATCTCTTTATATTTTTGGTTTAAATTCATGTTTACGTGAAAGGTAAAAAATTTATTATTAACTTTACATCAATAGTGTTTCTTAAGGAGATTTAGAAAAAATGAAAATAATATAAAATAAAAAGTGAATTGATTATCTAAAACGGATTCTAAAAAAGATATGGTAAAGAGTTTAGATACCACAAGTCAGCTTATGATTCATCGCTGTAGATTTTGTTTTTTTATTAAAAACTTTTAATGAAGTTCTATCATTGGGAGGAGAGAAAAAATAATCTTTTTCTGTCATTGATGGAAATTCCCTTTTTCTTGTGTAACTTCGTTTTTGCACGCAGAAGTCACCATATCATTTCACGAAGAGTGGAGATTATTACTATAACGCACCGACCGTTTCTTTTCGGTGAGTTATTCACGCCCTTTTTCTGGGTTTGCAGACCCATTTCGGTCCGTGGGTTTCACCTATATCCGACGATCGATCCGATATTTTTGAGAGGTTATACTGACTTGTTTACTATCTCTGCAATCAACACTCGATCTTTTCTCGTATTTTTTCCTAACTTACATGGTTTCACAGAGGACTTCCTGAAAGGTCACCCATCCTTCCACTACTCCAGCCAAAGCACGCTTAACTCTGGAGTTCTTTATGGGCCCTTGACCGAAAAGGTAAGTGCACTTTGTTGACATAGGTAGCCAAATCAATTCTCTTAAGCCTCTCCACAAACCGGGATGTTACAACTCACCCCCACTCACTATGCGCAACGTCCTCATTGCACACCTGGATCGTCACCTCCTGACGGTGTGAGTCAAGGCCACTTCAACTTGACTCCACACTCTCGTCTGGGTTTGGCTCTGATACCAAATTATAACGTTCCGACCGCCCCTCCGGTGAGTCACCCACGCCCTCTCTCTGGGCCCGCAGGCCCATCTCGGCCCGTGGGCCTCACCCCTGTCGACGGCCGGTCCGTTATTTTTGAGAGGCTATACTGACTTGTTTACTATCCCTGCAATCAACACTCGACCTTTTCCCGTGTTTTTTCCTAATCACACGGTTTCGCAGAGGACTTCCCGAAAGGTCACCCATCCTTCACTACTCCAACCCAAGCACGCTTAACTCTGAGTTCTTTATGGGTCCTTACCGAAAAGATAAGTGCACTTTGTTGACATAGGTAGCCAAATCAATTCTCTTAAGTCTCTTTACAAACCGACATGTTACAATTACCCTCAGTGAATTCTTTGCGAGCCGTGCAGTGTAACTTTTTTTTTGTTACATCATCTTAATTAAACGCATAGAGCAATTCTCTCTGTTACTTTATTTAAATTCTGTTAATAAAAAAAGTTATCCTAGTTCTATTAACAAATAACAATTTTTCCATGATTTTTATTTAAGAAGAGTCATATTTTTAATTATAGACCCATAAAGCAATAAACCAGTATTTCTTTGTTTTTTTACTTTTGCTTTTAGTTAAACTAAAAATGGAAAAATGTTTTTGACCTTTTTAAAAGATTTGGATGCCATACGCCAATGGTTCTTTTTATTTTTTTCTCAAGTGAGCATAGCCCTGCTAAAAATAAATGCAATAGAGATACTAGGGTTATGACTTCGGGTGATCGGGTCGGGTATGGGTAGACCCGATCGGATTTGCGTCCTTCGGGTAGCAGACTCTTGTATCCATATCTAAATTCACACCATTAGATTGTTTTTTTTTTAAAATACATATTTCAGGTAACATAAGTTTACATAACATATTTCATGTACTAATAGTATTTTATTTATTATATTATTTATAATTTATTATGTGTTTGGATAATATAATCTTGATGAATGAAAAAACATTTATCTATTAGGTTATGACAAATATAATATTTTTTATTTAAATTAAATTTTTATTGCCTCTATCTAACAGTTTTTTAATTATTTTTTATTTTATTTTTTTTATTCAGATATGTGTCATGATCGTAACGAACGTAACATTAAAAATGACACATGTGATGATCCGATAAATTATAAAAATCCTATGTATCGCAACCATTATATACTAAGATAGTTGCAATAAATCATAGGAAAATACTAAACAAAAATCTGGTCACTTTAAAAAGTAAGTAGAATAATATTCAAATCCGCTAACAAATCTCTAAATAAAATAAAATTGGTAATAGTTTTACAATTTAAATATAATTGCTATTTTGTTTTAATTAATGATATAAAAATGAATTATTTTTTTTTCTTTTTATCTAATATAGAAAGACATACACATATGTAAATCTGATAGGCTAATTAGTTCATGCAAATCTGATTATTCTGTTTTAAAAGATTTTGATCGATGAAATCTTTTACTTAATATTGTTTTACCTACAAACAAATAGAAAATTAAACTATTTAGAATTAGAATATCGGTCAATTATATATATTTTTAATGTCATAATTATTTTTTTATTTTTCTATTTATCATGTTTTTTTTTCAATTTTGTTTTGCCTCGGACCATTATAAATTTTCTTATTCATAATTAGTTAGTTGTTTTAAAATTATTTTGTTAGTTTTTTTATTTATCTTATTACATTTTTCTAATTTTCTTTTGTTAACACATGTTATCACATGATCATATATTAGAAACATTTTGCGACAAAAATTTCAATTTCTACCCAACTTATCTAAAGTTAAATATTCTTCATTGATATCTTGAACTTTAAAATACATGATTTTTATTTTGTAATAAAAAGAAAGTTTAAACAAAAGATAGAATCACATATATAAATCATGAAAGCTATAACTTATTATATATATATATTTTTTTTGTTTCCTTTTCAGAATGGGAATATATATTTTTTTCTCCTTTTCTTAAAGGATGTAACATTTTATTTATTATTTGTTTCATATTTTTCTGAATTTCGATTATGTTTTCCTTTTCGTAGTATGTTTTTTTTTCCTTTTCTTCATGGATATAACATTTTTTAAAAAAAATTACTATTTTTTTTCTATTTTTTCTTGAATTGTGTTTTATTGTTTCAAATTAAAATTAATGTTAATCTATTTATAATTATATATATTTAATTTAATGTTATATGTTAAAATTTCCATTTTTCTTAATTTTCGTTTTTCTAATATTTAAATAAAAGAAATAAACTTTTTTTTTAAAACATGTGTCACGATCTTAACGGTCTTAACATTAAAAGTGGCACATGTCGCGATCTTGTAATTTATAAAAATCCTACGTGTCGCAACCACGTTGTGCGCATCCAGCTTTATATAATATGATTTCTTAAATATCCCAAATTTCCCATAATTTTTCTTATTTTCCATATTTCCGTAATTTTTCAATATATCTTCAATTTCCTGATTTAGTAAGACTTCGGGAATTTTATTTTTTTATTCTCAGTTTTTCCGTTTTCTTCCTATTCCTATTATTTTCCGTCTCTTTATAATAAAGAAATATTTAGGGTATCATATTTGGTTTTTCAAATTTCTTATTCCCATCCCTAAGAAAATATTTTGGATATCATCTTTGGTTGCCTAAATGTTTCATTCCCATCCCATTTCCGTTAATTTCCATCCTCAAACTCGAAATGCTCGCGGCTAATCAAAACACAAAATTTTGATACAAACACTCTTTTTGCAAAAAAATAGTTTGAGGTTTGTTTGCACAAAAACTTATTTAAAAAAAAATCTGACAATACCACATTATATTACAATATAGGCAGGATGACTATATTGCGGATGACTTTAGAGATAAATGATTTGACTTACATTATTCTCAAAGTCAGGGTTTTTCTTGTAAAAATAATTTAGTTTGGATTTTTTTTTGCACAAAACTCTTAAAATTTGTTAACCTCTTGGATAAGAGAAAGAGAGACTCATTGTATATGTGCGATCAGAAATGGTTAGACTTTTCCATTCAGGCATGCATACGTAATCTTGTGCCGACCCCAAACGACAAAGTATAATTATTAAAAAGAGTATTTTTAACAGCAAAGCGTAATCCTGTTTGAAGCAGCTCAGAAATGGCGTCTTCGTCCTCTTCGACTCGCCATTGGATGTACGATGTGTTTCTGAGCTTTCGAGGGCTAGACACCCGCAGAAACATTGTTAGCCATTTGTACTCGGCACTTTGTAACAACGGAATCAGAACTTTTAAAGACGACCAGACGATGGAGAAGGGAGACCCGATTCCAGACAAACTCCTCAAAGCCATCAAGACCTCACAGTTCGCCATAATTGTCATCTCAGAAAATTACGCTACTTCGACTTGGTGCCTGGAGGAGCTCAAGACGATAATGGAGCTTCGCAAGGCGAAAGGAGGCATCATCGTGATTCCAATCTTCTATGGAGTTGACCCCAGTGACGTCCGACGCCAAGGAGGAAGTTTCGAGACTGCGTTTGCTAGCATGGGACAACGTCCAGAAACGGCTGACAAGGTTCTCAAATGGAGAGAAGCTCTTACTGGAGTCGCTGTTCTGCAAGGCTTCGACTCCAGGAAATGGTATATAAACTTGTTAGAACTGAATCTGTTTGTTTACAAAAAAGAAAAAATAATATATATTATGGAACTTATTTTCTCTTGAAGAAGTAAATAAACGAACCTATATCTCAATGCCAGCATGGACGAGGCAACAATGGTTGAAGATGCTGTCCGAAGAATATCAAACCAGCTGCTCACTGAGCACACTACAGATCATGACGAGGATATTGTTGGGATGAGCAGTCACATGGAATCCTTAGGTTCTCTGTTGGAAATGGAATCGGATGAGGAGGTTCGTTTTGTAGGGATTTTGGGAATGGGAGGAGTCGGCAAAACCACCATTGCTAAATATCTATATGGCCGGTTTGCACGTCATTTTTCAGCTGATTGTCGTTGTTTTGTAGAAAACGTCGGAAATGATTATAGGGAGAAAGGTCTCTTGTACCTTGAGGAAAATTTCCTCTCAAAATTTTTCGGTGTTGAACAAACAAGGCGATGTAATGTTGGATCTATAAAGGCTAAACTCAGGCACCGAAAAGTTTTTGTTGTGCTTGATGATGTAGACAAAGTAGAGCAGCTACATGGCCTGGCAAAAGACCCGAGCTGCTTTGGTCCGGGGAGCCGTATCATCATAACCACACGAGACAAGGGTATCCTCGACACCTACAGAGTGAAAACTCATGTATACCCAGTTAAATGCTTGGACCAAGACGATGCCCTCCACATGTTTAAACATATTGTTTCCAAAGGAGAACCTTCTCCTGATGGTGTGGAGCAGCTCTTGATCAGAGCTTCTAGGCTTGCTCATGGCCTTCCTTACGCTCTTAAATTCTACAGTTCGGAACTCCGTTGGAAAAAGACAAAAGAGGAGTGGGAGAAAGCAGTGCTTGAATGGGAAGAAGCTCCTCACAAGAACATAATGGGTACTTTGAGAAGCATCTATGACCGCTTAGGAACACGGGACAAGATTGCTTTCCTTCATGTAGCATGTCTTTTTAATGGAGACAGTTTGTTGCGTGCCAGTAGCCTTCTTGATTGTGGTGAATCTAGGATCAGAGATTTAGTGGAGCAGTCGCTTGTTGACATATCAGCTCAAGGGTGCATACACATGAATGTTCTGGTAGAACAAATAGGAAGAGAAATCGTGCTTGAAGAATCCGGTGGTATCCCACAGAGACAGAGAATTTTGTGGGATCCTGAGCATGTCTATGATGTCCTGCACGGCAACACCGTAAGCCTGGATACATATTTTAAATTAGTTAATTAACATTGATTTTTTTGTTTTACTTTATTAACGACGTTTCTACATTATTAGGGCACAGAAAGTATTGAAGGTCTGGCACTACACATGTGTGACATGCGTGACGTGTTAACTTTCCAAGGCAGTGGTTTTCAGCGGATGCATAATGTGAAGTTTCTCAAATTCTACACGCACTTGGATAATATCCGATCCAATTTGCAGCTCCTTCCACACACAGCTTCACTTCCACGCACGCTTAGGTTACTACATTGGGATTCATATCCATTAACAACCTTGCCTTCGGACTTTTCCCCGCGCAGTCTCATTGATCTCAGTCTGCGTTACAGCAATCTTCACATCGTCTCCAACAGAAATCTGGTAATATGACTTACCAAACTACTTTTGTTGGTTTAGTATTTATGGTTTAGAAGTTCTCACTCAAGTAAATACGTGTACCTTACGTTTTGTTTTCAGGACCTAAGAAACTTGAAGAGACTAGATGTGAGTGGATCTAAGGAACTAAGAGAACTTCCAGATCTATCAAGGGCTATCCAGCTAAAGGAGTTGGTTGCGGAAGGCTGCAGGAGGCTTGAGCGAATCCTCATGCCCATCAAAAGACAATATGCTCTGACAAAACTCGATCTATCAAACTGTGTTAGTCTTCAGACTCTCCCGGCTTTCATACCAGAATGGATTTCCCTTGCACAACAACCCATTTATTTCCGATGCCATGGCACTGGACTGACGTTTGAGATAAATTCACTGAATCCTTTTGCAAGTCTCTCCATCGAAGGTGACATCAGAGTTAGGTTGCAGCAGTTAGTAGGAGATGCAGAGCACCTCTCCTATGTTTCTGATATTTTTGGAAAATCACTCAAGATCAAGCGGTCAAGCTACATGGAAGATTACGCTCCTTTCAGCTGTGTTAGCTTATCAGATTTCTCCCACTTGGCTGAGTTGAAACTCATCAACTTGAACATCCGTGAAGTCCCAGATGACATCGATCAATTGCATTTGCTAGAGAAACTGGACCTTAGCGGAAATGATTTCAAGTGTTTACCAACAACTTTGGATCACCTTGACAAGTTACACCACGTCCTGCTATGCAACTGTAGAAGACTAGAGGCATTGCCGAACCTGACTAAGTTGCAGACGCTCAAACTCTCTGGGTGTACCAAATACTGGGGCGCGCAGATACAATTTACGTGAGCTCCATCTGGAATCACTATCACATCGGCTGGGTAAGTTCACCAATTTTATACTACTGGATCTCTTCACTCCCTTTGATTCTAGCTTATGCTTTTATTCCCCTTACCCTATGTCCTAACATACACTTCAGGCGTCACTGAGATTTGCTGGCATACCGGGAAATGTCATGTCCAGTTACTTGGATAACCAAGCCCCTAGGCTTTCCCCTAATCTTCTTGGTTTCACTGCATGTATCAAGGTTTCTTGCGATGGAAGCTTCCATCTCCAGTTTCCAGTCTCTTCTTATAGTTGGAAGTGGGAAGCTGGTGGTGTATTTCAGATTAACCTCAGGCCAGATATATATCGTTCGACCGAGCTGGAGTCTCAAGAGTCGCTTACGTCGCATCACCTGATTATCATCCAAGTCTTAACCAGCGAAAAGATTGGTGAAGCCAGTAGATTTGAATTCAAATCAAATCTTCAGTTTTCACAAGACTTTACGTCTCCACCCGTTGGGATAAAAGTGTTGGAACATAATTGAGTTTGTTCTAACACTTATTTCTCTTAGTAGCCATTATGACTGTTTACTTTGGATAGTTGTGATAAAGAGACACAAGTATGAAGAGTAAACCATTGTTGTGTCTGTTTGTGATCTATATAAACCATTGTTGCTGTAATGTAAACATCAAGTTTCAGAGTAATAAACACATTTCCTCGTAACTGTTCTTCTTCTCAAGAGAAGAGATAATCTCTTATCTCTTACTCTGTTTTGTCTCATCTTTTCTCTCTATGTTTTGTAAACAAAAATTCAACATGGTATCAGAGCTTTCATGGTTGTCCGCTGCAAGAAGAAAAGATATAGAGACTAAGCCGGAAAGAAGAAGAAGAAGAAAAAAAAATAGAAAAGCAGAGGTGGTTGACGAGAGTGGTTGACGAGAGCACCATCAACCTTCACAAGCAAAAACCACATACCGTATCCTCAAGAGAAGAAGAAGGCTCCAACAGCGAGTGAGAAGATAGGAAATCTTCTCAAAAGGCAATGGAGAAAACAGATGTAAGAGTTGAAATTGTTGAAGGAGAATTCTGAAACTTTGATCGATAATATCTTGGTGTAGCACAAGGATGCGGAGAAGGCATCACTGAATGAAGGCATCACTGGAATAAGAAGAAGAAGCCACTTCTTGGAAGACACCAAGCAAGGCACAATACGGGAACTATGACCCAGTTAACCGGAGAAATATGTGGTGAAGAAGATTCATGCACGAGGAGACATTGATGATGATCCAAAGAAGCCCCAAACAAAAGAGGATGCTTACCTCGGAGAAAAATGGAGCACAAGTCGGTTGAAGGGTTAACGAAGACGGCATGGAGAGAGGATCGATGCACGAGACATCAAAGAGACGTTGATGGTGATCAAAGGAAGACACCAAAGGAGGATGCTTACCTCTCTGGAAAATGGAGCAGAAATTGGTTATATAGATAACCAGAGAAGAAGTGATGAAGAGGATTTCACGCATCAGACGCCAAGGAGACGTTTGATGGTGATCAAATGAGATACTAAACACATAAAAGGCTGCTTACTTAAATGAAAAAGAAGCAGGAACCGGTTACAGTGTTAACCCAAGAAGACATGGACAAGAAGATTCACGCATGGAACTGGTTAAACAGATAACCAGAGAAGAAGTGGTGAAGGAGTTTCACCCACGATACGTCACAGAGACGTGATCATGATCGACAGCAGTCGCCAAAGAAAATGACGCAGAGGCTAAAGGAGAAAGAGTAAAGAGGTTATACTCTAGAGCAAATGCAGAAACAGTTGAGACGTTATGAGACGTCATGAGTTGTCAAGGAAACGTGAGAAGACTTTGAGAGATTGGAAGGAGACGTGGAGAAGGCTAGTGGGTAAGAGAAACCTAGAGTTCTAATGTCTTGATGCTCACGCAAGAGATTGTGTGAAGCATAATGAAACATTTTTTTTTCCTTCCTATTAACGATTCCTATCTCTACCGAACAGCTTGTAATTCTGGAAATGTAAACGATTAATTTTTATTTTTCTTCTTATTAACGATTCCTATATCTACCAAACAGCTTGTTATTTTTTCACTTTAGCAACGATTTAAGTATTATTGTAAAGGTCCTAAATTAACTTTTCTCCCATCTGTTGTTTCAGATACAACTAAGTTTGTTTTGGCTGTATGATGTCTTCGTAATTGATCTAATCTAATAACGAAGCCAAAATAGGTATTAGCTATCTTGATCTTGGCCACGTTAGCTTTGTTATAGTATATGTTTAATGGTATTCGTGAAGATATTAAAATGCTAATTTGATATGTAATACTCCTTCTGTCCTATATTATTAGAAGTTTTTAGAAAAAAAAATTGTCCCAAATTATAAGCTATTTTCTAAAACCAATACATATTTTACTTTATTGAAAGTTATGTGTTCAATTATATTTTGTAGTCTATTTTTATGATTGGTTTAGTTGTACTTTATTTATATTTAAACAATATTTTACTTTTAAAAATTAATTTTCTTGGTTTTTATATCTAATATATTATTTGCGAAGTGAAAATTTCGTTTCCAGCCACCACGTTGACTCTCAACCGGTTGATTACCCAGTTGCCCTTAATGAAAATCTTTTTTTAAATCTTTGTATTTTTCTTTTTTTTAAATGTCTAGATTTCTATATTTCTAATTAAAATATTTAACGATAATAATAATCCTAATTACCATATTGCACTCCACAATTATGTAAAAATTAAAAAAATTGGAAAGAAAAAGAAAAAGGAAAAACCTAGATTTCTTTTAATATAAAGAAAAAGAAAAAACCTAGATTTCTTTTAAAAGAAAAAGGAAAAACCTAGATTTATTTATTTCTGAATTTCCTTTTATTTTAATTTCATGATTTCGTTTTTTAATATAAAAATATATTTTTAATTTTACTAAATATGGATAATTATCCTTTCTTTATTTCATCGATTTATATTTATCACTTAAATAAATAAATATATCCGATTCATGTTATCACACACTTGAAAGAATACTAATATCACACACATGTTTTGAGCTCTTACATTCAAAATCTAATGCATCATATATTTGCTCTCCTCTTTTTCTTTTGTTACTATAGTGATATATAATCATATTTATATGATTTTTTTTTAAGTCTTTTGAATATGTATTTGACTAATAATAGTTTATATTCCTAAGAAGAAATATCAAAAGATAAAGAAGAAAACAAAACTGAATGTTACAAAAGCCTAAAAGAAGAAGAAGCTAAAGACCTGAAAACATAGAAAAAAAAAAACTTGAAATAAATAAAAGGAGAAGACGAAGGTTGTTAAGAAGGAGGGGGGAAGAGGAAGAGACATGAGTATAAGATTAAGGTATGAGAAAGAAGAAAACAAAATGTTGAGAAAAACTAATAAAAAAATATGAAATATGAGAAGATGAGAAAACATAAATAAAAGAAAATAAAGAGGAAGACGAAAATGATAAATAAGATGTTGAAAATAAGAAAAAAGTTGATAATACAAAATGATGAAGAATACAATATGAAATAAGAAGAAAAACATGAATAGTAATAAGAAAATGATAAAAGTTTAAATTCCTAAGAAAAAATATCAAAAGATAAAGAAGAAGACAAAACTGGTAAATAAAATGTTACAAAAGTCTAAAAGAAGAAGAAACTAAAGACCGGAAAACATAATAAAAAAAAAACTTGAATAAATAAAAGGAGAAGACGAAGGCTGTTTAAAAGAAGGGAGGGGGGCAAGGAAGAGAGATGAGCATAAGACTAAGAAAAATAAATGTGAACAACACGTGAAAATGTTGGATGCCTAACACGAAAAGAATTGAAGAATATGTAAACAACAAAGAAGTTGGAAAAATCAAAAGATAAAAAATTGAAGAATAAGAACACAAAGCCAATTGAAAATATGAGCATAAGACTAATGTATGAGAAAGAAGAAAACAAAATGTGAACAACATGTGAAAATGTTGGATGACTAAGATGAAAAGATTGAAGAATTGGTGAACAATAAAGAAGTTGGAAAAATCAAAAGATAAAGAAATGAAGAATAAAAACACAAAGCCAAAAGAGAAAAAATTATAAATAAAAGGAAGAAAACGAAGAAAACCAGAAAATAAAAAGATGGTGATGGAAAAGAGAGAGGAAAAAAAGAGAATATAAGTTTTGATAAGAATAAGAAAATAGTAGAAAATAAAGGAAAACAAATTATGAAAAAAGAAGTAAAAGAAGAAGATAATATAGGGTTGGGATTTATGATGAATGGTTTATATTGATTGGCGTGAGTTTTAGTTTTTGATGAACTTTAAAAATTCTGATTACAATACATTACCGATTAAAAAAATATATATTAAAATAAAAATAAAATAAAATCTAGGACCAAGTTGTAAAATGTGGGGTTTGGATCTGCAGTTTAGCGGGGGAGAGTTATAATGTGGGGTTTAGGTTTAGGGTGTAGGGTTGCTTAGGGGGAGGGGACTTACTACATTATGGGGTTTGAGTTTAGGGTGTAGGGTTGTTTAGGGGGGGTGTTATACTGTGGGGTTTGGGTTTAGGATGTAGGGTTTATATTGATGGTGCAGGGTTTAGTTTTCGGTGCATTTTGAAATATTTGAACAGAAGAATATCATAATTAAAAATGACTGGTTGTAAATTTATATCCACCTATCTAAACTACATCCACAAATAGAAAAATTAACAATTAAAGCAAAAGATCTCGACTATATAAAGATAAAACTATTTCACAAATCCTTGAAAATATAAACTATCGAATGAATTGATAGATGAAATATAAGATGTAGACAAGAACGAATAAAAATACAAGTAAAAGAAAAGAAGACAGTAAAAAAGAAGATGAGAAATTTGGATACGAAGAAAGAAATTTGAACACGAGGAAAAATAAATCAAAGAAGAAAAAATGAAATGTGAAAAATAAAAAGACAAAGAAGAGATAAAGAAAAACTAGAATAATTTAATATTAGAGAAGACAAAGATGATAAAGATAGAGAGAGGGGGAATGAGGAAGAAGAAAAACAAAAAAAAATGTAAAGAAAATTAGAAAGAAAAAGAAGAATAATGAGCTGAAAGATATGAAAATAAAAGAAAAGATTGAAAAAACAAAAAATTGGGAGAAGAAAAAGAAAAATATGATGAGAACGAATATAAAATTGAAATAAAAAGAACAAAATAAGAAGTGAGAAATTTTTTATATCTCTCTAAACGAATGAATAAGAAGAAGAAAATTTGAACATTTGGAAAAAGAAACCAAAGAACAAAAAATGAAGTGTAAAGAAAAAAAAGACAAAAAGAAATAACTAAAAACTAGATTAATATGATGTTATAGAATACGAAGATGATAAAGATAGAGAGAGATAAAATGAGGAAAAGAAAAACCGAAAAAAGAATGTACAAAAATTAGAAAGAAAAAGAAGAATAGTGAGTTAGAAGATATGAAGATATAAGAACAAAAATTGGAAGAAGAAAAATAAGAAGGTGAGATCATTGAAGAAGAATAGAAAACAACAAAATAAGAAGTGAGAAATCTTTTGTATCTCTTTAAACGAATGAAGAAGATTATATAGAAGAATAAGAAAGTAAAGATAAAAATAAGACACATCATAATTACAGAAATAAGAAGTTAGCGAAAATAAAAAATGTATATAATCAAAAATTCTACTACTTATATTATTAAAATTCATAATTAATGAATTTACTTTAAAATATCGTAAATAAACTAAAAGCATATCCAGAACATTCGCTTACATAATTTTTTTCAATAATATTTTTAAAAACATTATTATAAGTACATGATAAAAATATTAAAATATTATACTATTCAAAACTACATTCACAAATAGAAAATTAAAAAAAAATAAAGTAAATCCAGAATCAAACGATAACAACAGAAATAAAGATAAAAACTATTTCACGAAATCCTTGAAAATCTAAACCATCAAATGAATTGATAAGTGAAATACAAGATGTAGACAAGAATAAATAAAAACACAAGTAAAAGAAAAGAAGAGTGTGGAAAAGAAGATGGGAAACTTCTAGAAGAAGAAGAAAACGTAGATTATCGAATGAATTGATAAGTGAAATACAAAACGTAGAATAGAACGAAAATGTGAGTAAGAGGAAAGAATACGATGGACAAGAATATGAGAAACTTCGAGAGGAAGAAGAAAACTTGAACCCGAGGAAAAAGAAATCAAAGAAGAAAAAATGGAATGTAAAGAAAAAAAAAGACAAAGAAGAGATAAATAAAAATTATAAAAAGATGATATCAGAGAAGAGGAAGATGATAAAAATACAGAGAGAGGGGGAATGAGGAAGAAGAAAAACCAGAAATAGCATGTAAAGAAAGTTAGAAAGAAAAAGAAGAATAGTAAGTTGGAGGATATGAAGACACATGAAATGATTGAAGAACAAAAAATTGAAGAAGAAGAAGAAGAAGAAGGAAAAAAAAAGATAATGACACCGGATAAAAAAACGGAATAAAAGGAAGAAGATGGGATCACTAGAGAAGAATAAAAAGGAAAAGATAACAACCATTACACAAAAAAAAATCATAAATATAATAAAAATAAAAGCAAATCCATAAGTAATATGTAATGTGAGGTTCAAGTATGCGGTTTACGGGGGAGTTATAATGTGGCTCTGGGTTTAGTGTGTAGGTTCTTTAATTAGGGGGAGGGGGGATTATAATGTCCGGTTTGAGTTTAGAGTTTAGGGTTTATATTTATGGGTGTAGGGTTCAGTTTATGTTGTATTTTTAACATTTTGAATTATCATAGAAGTATATAAAAATTAAAAATCACTGATTATAAATTTTATATTTACCATTCTAAAATACACGCACAAATATACAAAAGTAAAAAAATTAAAGCAAATACATAATCAAAAGAGAACAACATAAATTAAATAGATTTTAAAAACATTTTGACTATATAAAGATAAACACTATTTCACGAATTCTTGAAAATCTAAACTATCGAATGAATTGATAAGTGAAATATAAAACGTAGACAAGAAGAAATAAAAGAAGATGGTGGAAATGAAGATAGAGAAACTTTGAGAATAATAAGAAAACTCGAAGAGGAAAAAAGAAAACAAAGAATAAAAAATGAAATGTGAAGGGAAAAAAGACAAATAAGAGGTAAATAAAAACTAAAATAACAAAAATTGGAAAAAGAAAAAGCAGAAAAAAAATGATGACAACGAATAAAAAATGAAAGAAAAAAAAGATGGGATCATTGAAAAAGAATAAGAGAGAGAAGAAAACAATCATTACAAAATCTAAATATGTTTTTGTCCTTTCACAATCAAATTAACTACATGTTAAGCTATTATTTCTTCGAAAAATAAAAAATTACAAAAATATGAAAATTATTTAAAAAGAATATATATTAATCTAACATTTATTGAATTCGTGAATTAACAAAAGTCAGACTATCAAGAGAATTTATAAGTGAAATACAAAACACAGACAAAAACGAAAAACATGAGTAAGAGAAAAAAAGACGATGGAATATAAGATGAACTTCGAGAGGAAGAAGAAAATATTCATATAAATATTAACAAAATATTAAGCTATTACTTTAATAGAAAATATCAATTGAAATGTTTGTAGTTCTGAAACATCTTTTGCCCGCGCTGGCGCGGGCCAACCCCCTAGTTTTACCTTAAACAGCTAATATAATGGGACTGAGGAGTAAGCTTTTTGTCCAAAGTGTGTTGTCGTTTACAGAGCATATGACACTTTTAAATTTCTGGACCGTCGTTAATTGCCCTTAGGTCTTTACTCTTTAGTCATTAGCCGCCCCTCCCCCACATTCATCTCTCACGCGCTCCTGATCTCGTCATTCACACGCTCATTGGAACAAAACCAACAGTTTTTATCATGGGAATCCATTGATTAGTAGAACCAGTTTCGTCAGCTATAGTAGTTTAAGGAAAGTGTGAGCATGTAAAATGAGACGAGAATAAGTGTGTTATTATATACTAAAGCTTAGGTTAGGTTCTTAATCAAGTACCTAACCTTTTTTTTGCAATGAAAGAAAGCTTTAGTGCAAGTCAAGCATAGTAGCTAGTCATCGTTCTTTACTCCTTCATCTTTGGAACAACCAAAACATAATAATTGCTACTTCATGTTTTCTTAATTCCGTTTTCTAAACAATTGTATTTCCTATGTTTATGGGCTTTGACCCCTTGATTGATCCATGAGAATTTGGACACGTGGGCACTCATTTCCTAGCGACCAAAATCAAAAGTTAACTCTCTTTGGACCCAAAAGAAATCTGAAATCTTGTAGCAGTGGTGATAAATCACTCAAGATTCAATCAGATTTCTTTCATGAAGCGTTAAACTCGCATCCAAAGGCTTTTGTATTGGACTTGCTATTGCTCTGTTGTGGTAAACTGGTTGGTTTCGGGTTTATTCTGGTCTAAATAAAAAAAAATTTGAACAGCGATCTTAAAATAAACCGAAAATGACTGAACCGAGCCGAAGTAACTTTCTTTGGTATACCCGATTTTGAGTTGGTATAGATCCAAACCCAATTGTCCGCAATTAGTTGGTTCTCGTTTCGTCATTTCTCACGCGACCCGAATCCCACAAGCTTTGATCTCGCCGGGTGGAATTTGAACATCCTCCGGGAATCGAAGATGAGATTCGAGTCGCAACTCGTCGAATTCCTCGGTGTTGATGCTATTTGCGATGTGGATGATAACCAGGTGATGCAATGCAGCAGTCTCTTCTTCTTCTTCTTCCACCATCTCCGGTGAAAGATAGAGACTTGGTTTGAGGTTAATCCGAATTACTCCGTCAGCTTCACAGGACCAACTATAAGTAAACGCCGGAAACTGGAGATGGTTCGGCGTCTTGCAAGCAATCACGATACAGGCTGCGAAACCCAGAAGTTTGGGGGTATCCCTGACTGGAAGCAGGCTGATCTTCGTAGATGCCCCTAGGGCTTGATTATCAATGCAACTGGGCACTTTGGTTCCTGGTAAGCAAGCGAATCGCTCTGTGACCTACATAATATGCAAAATGAAGTCAGAAAATAGAGTAGGAGGGGTAAATGGTTTCGAAAGCGTACCACTTGGCTAAATCCGTCGTTGAAAATCCGAGTGATCAAATGTTGGTCTTGTTTCACGCTAAAGCAATGGCTAAGATCGAGTTGCTCAATTGAGTGGTTGGAGGGAAGGGAAACATGCTTCAACGAATCGCAGCCGTGTGCGTAGAGATGCTTGAGGCTCTTTGGAAGGTCTTTCACTGATTTCAGTTTCTTGCAGTTGTTGAGGCACAGGGTTCCTAGAGATGAGAGCTCTTTAATGCTTTCAGGGATTGCCTCAAATTCGTGTCTGCTAAGGTCCAGGTGTATTAAGCTGGTGAGTTGGCGAACCTGATACGACAATGATTTGAAGTTTCTGCAGTTGTCAAGCCCGAGCTCTAGCAAACAGTATCTGACCCGTTTGTGGAATGCGAGAGAAAGATTCATCAGTGATCTGAGATTAGAACAGCCGGAGAGTTTGAGCGTCTGCAACTGAGTCAGCTCTGGCAACGCCTCAAGTTTGGTGCAGTTGGAGAGCCTGACGTATTTCAACTTGGAAAGGTTGGTCATATATATGGGTAGATTCTTGAAATCATTCCCGGTGAGGTCCAGCTTCTCTAGTGACTGCATTTGACCGATGTCGTCCGGGATATTCAAGATGTTTAGGTTGATCAGTTTCAACTCTGTCAACGAGTGGAAATCCGAGAAGCTAATACAGCTGAAAGAAGCACCATTCTCGTTGTATCTGGTCCGCTTGATGTTGAGCGACAAAAAATTATAACAGCTCGATAGCATTGTTTCATTAGGGATTAGTTGTTTGGGGATGTAAGAGATGTGCTCTGCGTCTCCTATGAGGTTCAACAGCTGAATGTGTATGCTCCCGTCGATGGATAGATTTACAAGAGAAGTCAGTTTATTGATTTCTCCAGGAAGGTGCACTGTGATCTTTCTTCTTTGCAGACCGCTTTCTAGAGGGAAAGGCTGTTCTAGTACATGAATCTGGAGATTCGCTAAGCCATCACATTGTGACAAGTTGAGGTTTTTCAGGCGAAACAAGCTACCAATAGACTTTGGGAGTTGTTCCAGTCTCTTGCAGCCTTCCATTAAGAGCTCTTCGAGATTTGGGGCATGTGACAAATCTGGAGGTTCTCTCAGGTTACTAGAACAAGTCACGTCTAGTCTCCTCAACGTACGGAGCCTCTGAATTCAAAGAAAAGGAAATAGTTTAATGGTTTTGACGGTTTTATAATGGATGTATCACAACGAGGAGCTCACCAGGTTTCCATCCCAGAGGCGCTCAAGATTACTGTGACGGAGATTGATTTCGACGATATTTCGCAGACGCTCATGGCGTGGCAAGCTTGTCAAGGGAAAGCCATCCCAATGCAGTAAAAGAAGATTCTGGGGAAGGGTCTCTTTTCCTTGAATGAACAGCAACTTGGATCGTTTATGATCTACATGCCGGAAGACCTTTAGAAAATTGATTCCGCTTACATAAAAATTCCTTCCTGTCATATAAAACACCCGAGGCATGTCACACATGTGTAGTGCCAATGCTCGCGCCGATGATGATACCTGATGAGAAATTATCAGTCTGGTTGAAATGAAGACATGGAAAGAAAACGAGCCTTAAAACATTTTGAGAAGCAGTTACTGTGTTGTTTTGCAGCGCAGATATGATCTGCTCATGTTCCCAAAAAATTCTCTGGTTATGAGGCTCGGAGCCTGATTCTTCACGCGCAATTTCTTTTCCCGCTTGTTCTACTAAGACATGCATGGTGATGTTCCCATCGGCTGATAAGTCGATGAGAGACTTTTCTGCTAAACCTTTGATCTCTAAATCACCATCTTCAAGAAGGGCCTTTACACTTTGGACAGAGTCTCCGTTGAATACGCATGCAACATGAAGGAACACGGCTTTGTGTTTCCTGTCTAGCCCCTTGTAACTGGTTCTCAGAATATCCATGATTCTCTGCTGAGGAATTTTTTGGAGTCTTCTCATTGCCATTTCCCATTCCTCTGTCGAGGTCATTCGACGAAGATACATGCCAAAAGCTTGAAGGGCGGAAGGAAGACCTTGAGCAAGACTAGAAGCTTGGATTGCCAATCGTTGGTAGATATCAGAAGGAGCTTGTCCTCCTTCAAAAGCAAATCGTTTAAGGACTTGTATTGCATTATCGTTATCCAATACGTCAACATGGTATACAAATCTGACTCCACTGGAAGAGAACAAGCCCTTGTCCCGTGTGGTGACGATGATTCGGCTCCCTGCTCCAAACCAGCTAGTCTCTTCTGCCAGCGCATGCAACTGGTCCAGATTGTCGATGTCGTCAACGACAAGGAAAACTCTACGGTTTCTAAGGCTTGACTTGATAACACCGCGTCCTTGCTCCACACTCCACAACGTTTCATGTTCTGCGCCCACAATACTCGAAAGAAGCTTTCCTTGCAAGTCTAAGAGAGTACCTTTCCCTTTGGAACTCCCAACGTTCTCTATGAAACAACGATGAGGAGCAAATCCCTCCGAATGTATCTTGTAGAGAAATTTGGCAATGGTGGTCTTGCCAACGCCTCCCATTCCCCAGATTCCTATCATCCTAACCTCACCGTTCGACTCCAGTTTCAAGAGAGGATTGAGTCTTTCCATGTGGGCCTTCATTCCAACAATTTCACCCAAATCTATTGGCTCCATTGATATTAACTGTCTCGAAATACGCCTAGCAATATCGTCAACCATCATGGCCTCATTGTCACTGATACAGACACAAGGGATATGTTATACAACAACATGAACTTATTTTGGATGAACTAAGTAACACACCAAGTTCTTAGAGCTTTGGTACAATGGAAACTCACCAAGTTCTGGAAACCTTGCCTGTTATTCCGGCAATTTCGGTAAGCGCTTCTCTCCATTTCTGAACTTTTTCAGCCTCTTCTGTTTTTGTTCTGAGGAACGACATAAATTTTCTTTCATAGTACCTTTCTAAGGAAAATGTATTTCTCTGGTGCCTAACGTCAGATGGAGTAACATCGTAGAAAACTGGGACGGCAATGAGTTGCTCTCTCTTGTGAAGTTCCATTATCATTTGGAGCTCGTTCAGACACCAAGTCGAAGATGCATAGTTCTCCGAGATAACCACAACAGCGATCTTTGAGTTCTCTATAGCTTCCTTGATTTCATCCGAAATGGAGGCGCCAATCTCAAGTCTTTTATCATCTTTGAAAGTATCGATTCCTCTGTCAAGAAGAGCTTTGTGCAGGTGGCTTACGATGGTTCTGCGGGTGTCTTCTCCACGGAAGCTGAGGAAGACTTGGTACTGCTTCATGACACGAGGTGAAGGGGATGAGTCCATTGGTACGATCGTATGATGTTGATCTGTTCAGAGGAGATTCTTGGTTTAGACTGAAAAGAGGTTCTAGTCTTGTGTATGTCGTTGGTTTTGATCAGTGGAAATGCTGAAGATTTCATAAGAAGAAGCTTTGAAGTCAACGATCTATTGTGAATGTTATACGTGCGTGCGACAAGCTGGAAACTTAGAGCGCTCTGGTAATTTTCATTCTTCAAGTTTATGACAAATTAATTGATGGCCTATATATATAATTATATATATTTGGTGTAAAAGACTAAAGATATTTGGCAAACCATTACCGCCTCCTTTAGCAGTATGAATGGAATGTTAGGAGGAGGTTTGACATGTTGTCTATTAGATAATTGTAACAAGTGCTGATCACGTCATATATGTTTTTGGAGAGTTGATACGCAAAGATCGATTCCTATAAAACTTTTCAACTCTTGAAGAAATTATTTTTATCTTTTTGTAAAGTATCGTGTAATCATCATGAGGTACGACGTTTTCCTAAGTTTCAGAGGGGAGAAAATCCGCAGAACATTTCTTAGCCACCTTGTGCATTCTTTGGATAGAAAAGGGATAAGGTCAGTTACATCTACAGCGAGCAATCCCTCCGAGAACCAGGCAGTCAGGGAGTCCCTAGTAGCCGTATCTATCATATCGAATACTTTCACCTCTCTGGACTTGTGGGCGGAAGAACTTGCCAGGATCATTGCTTGCAAGAAGAAAGCAGTTCCTGTTTTCCTCGGAGTTGATCCTATCGATATTTTAAGAGTCTTGACTCTTGCTGAGGATTCAGCGGGCGTAAATGAACCCTGGAGGAATACCCTGGAGACGGTGAAGGACTGGCTTGATGGTCATGTGACCAGTAACTCTGGTTTCAACTCCAACGATTGGTACTTTTTTTTATTTTTCTCTTTCTTGTAAAACAACATTTGAAATTTTCTGGTTACAAACTTTGATGCCTTGATAGGGAGGACGACTCACAGCTGGTCGATCAAATTACTCGTTTCATTTCCGATACCGTGACGCAAGATTCCGTATCACACCGTTGGTTTCCTGGAATAGATTTTCTCACGAGTCCCTGGCGTGACCCGCGTAGGAATCCTTCTACGGCTAAGCAAAAGTTGATCAAGTTTTCGTCAGATGGATCCTCCTCTATAGGTCCACTTTTGCCTACCAACCCTTCTGATGAGGCGTTGATCAATTTGTCGCCAGATGATTCCCCTACGCTTCCACGTTTACGTAGAAATCCTCGTCAGACTACGATCAAATACTCGCCGTCATATGTATCTCCCCCTAGGAGTCCAGATTTTCATAGAAGCAGCTCTAATGAGACTATGATAGACTTCTCGTCAAATGAATCCCCCCCTACGAGTTCGATGTTGCATAGAAGCGACCCTTCTGAGACTATCATTGAGCATAGCGACCCACGAGACATGAAGCATCGCATAGAAGAGATGCTTTCAATGTTGCAGCTGGGAGATTCTGCAACAGAAGTTCGTACAATTGGCATTTACGGAACGGAAGGAGTTGGGAAAACAACTCTTGCCAAGCACGTTTACGAGGAGATCTCATCACAGTTTCAGCACCATTTTTTCATTACTAATCTCAGCGATCAAGGGAGCAGTTTACTAGAGATTCTTGCCAGCGAGACTCTTGACACAACCACTAGCTTCAATGGGAGCTCTGATGTTATCGAAGAAATTGTTGGTCGAAAAGTTCTGCTTATCGCTGATAGCGTAGATGACATTACACAGCTAAAAAGTTTTGCAAAACAAGCCAGTTTGTTTGGTCCAGGAAGTCGAGTTATGTTTATCACTCAAGACAGGTCTTTGCTATTTCAATGTGGAGTGAAACACATCTATCAAGTTGGGTGTCCGGGATATGATGAAGCTGTTCAGTTATTCTCGCAGTTTGCTTTCAGGCAAACGAAGCCTGTTTCTGGTTACGAAAGCCTCTCGGGTCGTACTGTGGAGGTTGCGGGTCGCATTCCTCTGGCCCTCAAAGTGTTGGGATCTTATCTGTATGGTAAGGATGAAGATGAATGGGAAAGTACACTGCGTACGCTTGAAGAATCACATAATAACTACACTAGAGAAGAGGTTCTCAAGTACATCGGAGCAGATGATTTCGCACCTAGAACTCCCACTATACTGGAGCTCGGGGAAAATGAAAAGAATCCTTTCCCCTTGTACTCTTTCACTCTTCAATGAACACTGTCAGTTTCGTGTTCCACGTTCACTTGTATATATTTGAAACTATATTATGCAACCTTCATTTTCCAAAAATCTGAACTCTGTATTCCTTTCATCTTTTCTAACTATGGTTTTGATTTTCTTTTGTATCTGAATTTAGTTCACAACTCGTTTGACCAATAATCAGTTCTCCTAGTAGTTTAGGACTCTGTCAGGTTGCCAGCATCTCATATGTTAAAATCATAAGGTGGTTCATTACAGTCTACGTACGGTGTAAATTAGCTCTCTGCCTTGATTTGAAATCTGACAAGGAAGTTCGCTTGGTCGGAATTTGTGGTCCACGAGGCGTTGGCAAGACGACACTAGCGAGATATGCTTACGAAGAATTGTCTGTCAATTTCCATGCCCATATGTTCGTAGTAAAATTCACATCAAGATAGATTCAAGAGGGAGCTCAAACGATCAAATCAGCGCTTGGACACAGAAAAGGTCTGCTTGTGATTGATTGCGTGGATAACCTCGAACAGTTAAAGGAGATAGGAGAGGTCGTTTGCTGGTTTGGCTCAGGGAGTAGAGTCATCTTTGTTACACAGGACAAGAAGTTGTTAGATGAATTTGGTGTGGAACATGTCTATGAAGTCCATTCTCTGAGATATGATGAAGCTCTTCAACTAATTTTGAGTCACTCTCTCTTCGAGCTGTCCAGGTTTCCAGCTTCCTTCCTCTAACTCTTAAAATCCTTGGTTCGTTTTTACAAGACAAAGATGAAAAGACTTGGGAGGAGGAACTGCAGAAACTCGAAGGAGACAAAGAGAAAACTATAATGGAACTAATGAAGAAAAGCTACGCAAGAGCAAACGAGGAGTAGCTGAATGGATCAACCGATCAAATATTAAGTGGTTTTTGTGTTTTCATGTTGTATCTTTTCACATTTGTAACTTTGAACTGCTCTCTTTTGAGCTTGTCTGAATTTTCTTTGTCAATCTTTCTGCTACTGAAGCACAAGTTTATGAATTCGTGTCACACACAGACAAAGCTTATTGGGTAAAAGCAGAACACTGTATAGTATATTAAAAAGGAATAACTAGAAGTATACGAGTCTCCCAACCAAGGGAAAACCTGAGAAGCTAATACAACCAAAGGGGGGCACTATTCCTTGATGGAGTTAAACCGCTTGATACTGAGCTGATTTAAAACCATAGATGCTTTGTTATTATTGAAGACTTTTCCTTTGGCATCATTCTCAATTCACCAGGGCTTTGTTGCTCGGAAATAAAAAAGAATGTTGCTCTGCATATCCCCTTATATGCCACAAGTCTGTGTGTATTTTCCCTACTCTATGGATAGGTTTGTTAGAGAACTTAGCTTCTTCACTGATCTTGGAAGCCTCGGTATGATCCACCAACGTCTCCTGGAAGGACAGTATTCTCTGATATATGGGATTTGAAGATTCATTAAGCCGTCACAGTGGGATGAATCTGAGTTTTCGCAGGCATGATAAACCACCATTGGACTCCGGAATTTGCTCCAGTCTTTTACAGCCTTTAAGTATCAACGCCTTGAGTACTGTGTCTTTGAAAGATCTGGAGTTTTGGTCAGATTCTTAGAGCCAGTAACATCTAGTCTCCTCAACTAATCCGAGGCCCTGAAAATTTAAGAAAACTAAAAGACCGTGAAAACTCAGACATACTTCACCAAGAGAACTGTGGGTTCCATCGCAGAAACGCACAAGAATGCTGTAACGAAACTGATTTCAACAAGACAATTGGGATAGTATTCAGAAGGCAAAGTTTCCATTGGATAAGCATCTTTGAGTTGGCATTCTGGTAAATCTTTTGACGTAAAAGGAATTACAGATAACAAGACTGACCTGATCAAAGAGTTTCGAAGTGTAAGTTGAAGAGAGAAGCGAATCGTTCTTCTTTTATGGGGTTTTAATCTTGTCTGTTACGTCATCTTCCCAAATCAAGCTAAATCCACATGATTTTATCTCCGCGGAGGGAGACTCAAACTCCTTTGAGAGTTGCAGATCAGATTCGATGCCAAGCTTGTTGACTGATTTGCTAAAGTTCTTTATCCCGCGGATGATAACCAGGTGATCTGATGTAACAGCTTCTTCTTCTTCCTTTTCTCCAGTACTACTGTACTTGTGGTACTGAAAGAAATCTGGATGAAGGTACAAATAAAAGTACCTTTCATAATCCCAATTATAGTCATAAGAAAGTGGCGAGAATTGTATATGAAAGGGCCTCTCGCATGCAACCATGATACATCCATCAAACCCCAGCAGTTTCGGGGATGGCCATGGTAAGCCAACTGTATATGACTTTCCTGTCCTTATTTTATCAAAGTAACTGGGCACCTCGGTTCCAGGAAAGCAAGCGAATCTCGGTGAGTCCTATTCAATGACAACAAAAGAAAACAAAGAAGGAAAGAGAATGATCAAGTTTATGGTGTTTGCAAATGGGGAAAAGGTACAAAAGCTGAAAAATACCTCTTCGTCTTGTCCCTCCTTAAGAAACTGGGTGACCAGATGCAGTGGACCTTCATCCTGTTTTAAGAAGAAGCAGTGGCTAAGATCAAGGTGTTTTATAGAATGGTTCAAAGGAAGGGAAACAGTTTCCAGGGATTCACAGCCATGTGCATAGAGATACTTGAGGCGCAATGGGATTCCTTCTATCGATTTGAGTTTCTTGCACTTATTAAGGCAGACAGTTCTCAAAGATGAAAGGTCTCCGATGCTTGATGGCAATGTCTCCAAGTCATTGCTGCTAAGATCTATATATGATAGCTTGATAAAATGTCCAAGCTGGACTGAAATGGACTGAATGTTCTTGCAGCCGTCAACCCAAAGCTCGAGCCATCGGAATCTGCCATCTTGTTCAGCATGAGAAAGTTCCAACAATGATTGGAGTTTCATACAGCCGGAGAGTTTGACTGTCTCCAACTGAACTAGTTCTGGCAATGCTTCAAGTCTACTGCAGTTACAGAGGCTGACGTATTTCAACTTGGGAAGTTGAGTCATGGTTTCTGGTAAAGTCTCGAAATCATTGCCGCTCCAGTCCAGTTTCTCTAGTAGTTGCAATGCAGATACGTCATCTGGGATCACTTGGATGTTTAAGTTGATTAGATTTAACTCTCTCAAACAGCGGAACATGGAAAGGCTGTCACAGAGGAAACTTGCACCATCACTCTTGTAGTTGAACCTGATAATGTCGACTGAATTAAATCCATGAAACTCTGGCACGGCATGACCATGAGGTACTTGCTGGTCCCTCTGCATCACCCATTCATCACCATGGAACTCTGACATAGTCAATCCAAGACCAGGGAGCATCGGTTTGTTATGAGGTGCTTGCTGCTTCTCCATCTTTGTCAATTCATCAGGTGCTTGTTGATCAGTACTAAAACAGAGGTGATCTGCGTTGCCATCAAGACACAGCATCTGGATATGAATGTTTCCTCCAACGGATATATTTTCAATGTATTCCACTTCTACTTCCACTTCCACTTCTTTACCCGAGAAATACAAAGCAATCTGACGGCGGCCCCCAGTCAGCTCCCTTATAGTGGTGTCGTAACTATTAAGCTCATCACAGTATGAGACATCAAGCTTCGTCAACCTAGTAAGATCACTGATGGATTCTGGAATTTTCTTCAGCCTTTTGCAGCCTTGAGTTATTAATTCCTCCAAATTAACGGCCATTGAAAGATCTGGAAGTTGCTCCAGATTTTCAGAGCCTGATAAGTCCAATCTTCTCAAGTTTGGTATCGCCTGAGCATAATTCAACAGAGAGTAGGGAATTTGTAAAAATGTATAGTACTAGAAATGCAAGAAATGCATGTAATAAGCATTGATCTATAAGAGCTTTTACCTCGGTTTCTTTCCAGAAGCTCGTCAGATTGCTGCGACGTAAACTGACTTCAACAAGATCTAGTGGACAGAATCGGCTAGGGAAGGTTGTCAGGGGAAATGTGTCCCAATGTAGTAACCTTAGCCTCGATGAAAGTAGATATGTATCGTCACTACTGCAATGCAGTTTGGTCTTTATATGGTCCGAGTGCTTGTAAACCTTGAGGAATTTGAGAGAATCGTTTTGGTATTTTGGATAGCCACCCAGAAGCAACGGAAAAACCATATCACACATGTGTAGCGCCATGCATTCCGTTGGTTCGTTTGTCTGTGGGATTTAAAACGACAATAGCATACAGACAAGCTTAGTGCAGAAACCACCAAGAAAATTAAAACAGATGTTACAGATACTGTAGGGCCTTACCGCTTTACGTTCAAGCACTTTATAAATTGCATAAGGATCCCACAAAACTCTTCGTCTTCCAGCCCTCTGCACGGATTCTTGATTCACAATTGCCTTTGCAGTTTGGTCTACCAAAGAATGCATCTTTATATACCCATCAGCTGTTATTTCAATGAGAGACCTCTCAGCCAATATTTTTACTCCCAGACAACCTTGTAGCTCACCATCATCGAGAAGAGTAGTGGCACGCTGGAGAGGTTCTCCATTAAAGAGGCACGCTACATGAAGAAAAACAATTTTATCTGCTTCCTCTAAGCCATTGTAGCTAATTTTTAAGATCTCCATGACATTTCCATCAGGAGTCCTCATAAATCTACATAACGCATCGTCCCACTCCTTCAAAGATGTCATTCCTCGGAAATATAAACCGTAAGCTTCAATAGCGGCCGGAAGACCTTGTGCAAGCCACGCCGCTCGGATTGACAGTTTTTCATAAATTTCATCAGGAGGAAACCCTCCTTCGAAAGCCAACTGGTTAAATATCTTAAGAGCAGCATCAGTATCCAAGCACTTAACTTCATATACAGTTCTTACTCCGCATGATTTAAGCAAGCCCTTGTCCCGAGTTGTTATGATGATTCGGCTGCCTGGACCAAACCAGCTAGACTCTTTAGCCAGGGCACGCACCTGTTTCATGTCATCCACATTATCAAGGACAACAAAGACTTTGCGGTTTCCAAATCTCGCCTTAATCTCCTGGGGTCCAAGTTCTACGCCCGAGTTCTTGGAGAGACAAAGTGTGGTCGAAAGAAACTTTTCCCGTAAATACGAGACACTATGCTTTCTACAAATCTTCGAAACGTTTTCAAGAAAGCAACGAGCTGTAAATGGCCTTGAAAACAGGTCAAAGAGACACCTGGCGATGGTGGTTTTGCCAATGCCTCCCATTCCCCAGATTCCTATCATCCGAACCTCTTTCTCAGATTCCAAACTCAACAGAGGATTCAGTCGTTCCATGTGATCGTCCATTCCAACAAGATCACTGAAATCTACTGGCTGCATAACAAACAACTTGTTTGAAATGCCTTCCACAATCTCTTCAATCATGATGGCCTCGTTCTCACTATCATATGGAAAATTCGCAGAGCAATTATGAACGTTTCCATAGATATGATAATGGTACATATATATATATATATATATATATATATATATATATATATATGTTGGTAACGAAAACTTACCAAGTTGCAGAATCCTTGCCTGCTATGCTGGCGATCCGCGAGAGCGCTTCTCTCCATTTCACGACCTTGTTAGCGATTTCTGAGCCTTGGTACTTGTCGAACGTGAAACTCCCAGTCTGATGTCTCACATGAGAAGGATCAACTCCATAGAAAACGGGGACGACTTTCATCTCTTTCTTCAAGCGAAGATTCATTATCATTACGAGTTCGTCCAGGCACCAGCTAGATGTAGCATAGTTCTGTGATAGAATAACAACAGCGATTCTGGAGTCTTGGATGGCTCTGGTTAGCTCTTCGGAAATGGAGTCGCCGACCTCAAGCCTTTGATCATCCTTGAAGGTAACAATTCCCCTGTTGACAAGCTCTTTGTGCAAATGGCTGACGATATTCTTGCGGGTGTCTTCTCCCCGGAAACTCAGGAACACATCGTACTTCCAAATAGGAGACGAAGAGGACGAAGCCATCGGTCTCTATGGATCAACTACGTGGCCAAGAAAGAAACTTTTGCAGGTTGAAGAAAATCAAGATGTGATACCAACAAATCATAGCAAATCCATAGTTCAAAAAGACCACACACTTGCACGTTGTCCATATAATGATATCAAATTCATGGTTCCATAAGAACCTCCAAGCCATGACCATCACATACTTGCACGTCGCCAGTATCATTTTTTAATCCGTTAACTTTTGGATTATCGTCGCTCTACATATTCTGCACCATTGACCGACTCTATTTCATCGGTCAAATTCACGAATCGATCATATCTTCACTATCGATAATCATGGATTCTCCTCCGTCGGTGTTTCTGAGCTATAAAAGGGAGGACACTGGCACAACTTTCGTCAGCCATCTCTACCGTTCGTTGGATCAAAAAGAGATTCGTACTTACAACGATGAAAACCAGCAGACGATAGACGGAAGAGTATCTCCTGAGGTCGATCGGGCTATCGAGGAGTCAAATGTTGCCGTCGTTGTGATATCAGAGAACTACGCCTCTTCCGTCTGGTGCTTGGAGGTACTCGCGAAGATCATTGAGCATGCGAGGTTTACTTTTGACATGCCCATCTATACAGTCTTCTACGAAATGGATCCGGAGGATTTGACAAGACCAACTGGGAAATTCGCCGACGACTTGAGGAGGCATGAAGAGAGTGAAACTCCTGAGACCGTGAATCGCTGGAGGAATGCACTGGAGCGATTGGAGAGCAACGACCCTAAATTTTGTTCGCGCGATTGGTAATCTACTAACCAAGCAAAGATCAAATATTGATAGTGGCATAGTGCTCATTACTCGGCTTATTTTATTTTGCTAACATAGAAGTTCTAATCTAAACTATAGGTCTTAACCATTTTGTAGAAATAAATCATGCGTCTCATAATGTTTAAATTATGTGGGAAAAAAAAATATTATCTAAAATTATGTTGTATCCATTTTGTTTACATAGATAAAGAAATTCATTGCTATTACCTATTAGAGTATAGGAGAATTAAAAAAGAAAAAAAAAAAAAAAAATGTTTTGGCATGGTGATATTTTTAAGGATTTGTTCCTGGACAGGGAGGATGATTCCAAGATGCTCGATGATCTGATCAACAGCATTTCTTCTCCTCGGTTTCCTAGATTCCATCTAGGCGCACAAAAATCTGAAAGGGCGGAGTCATCAACTGACCTCGAATCCAGCGAGTTGAGCTTGATGAGCGATACCTATATGAAGCACATACCGCAAAGCCTGTCTGGAGAAGCTGAACTTGAGAGCCAGGACACGTCTTTTACAGACGTTGAATTGTCGAATAAATCGCCTTCTCCCGCATCTGAAGACTCCAGCGGTCTTGTTGGGATGTATCGTCACAAGAAAGCCGTCTATGCATTGCTTGATTTGGAATCTACGAACATTGTCCGTACAGTTGGCATTTGGGGAGAGGATGGCGTCGGTAAAACGACACTCGCGGAAAGTGTTTTCGACGACATCTCGCGCCACTTTCAACACCACTGCTTCCTAAGCAATGTCAACAACATCTATCAAAACCGCATCTCACCAAGCTTGCTAAAACATCTTACAAGAAAAAAGAGTTCCGATAACATCTTTGATGCCATCAAACCATGTCTTGTAAACCGAAAGGTCCTACTTGTTATTGATGGTGTTCATCAGAATTACCATGAGCAACTCAAGGATGCCATGAAGGTTACCCGTTGGCTCGGCCCCGGAAGTAGAGTCATCATGACATCTAGATTCGACAATACGCTTACCTCCTGCGGTGTGAAATATGTCTACCAGATGGAGTACCTAAGATATGATGAAGCTCTTCAACTCTTCTCTCAGTCAGCTTTCAAGAAGACTTGCCCTCTGGTTGGTTTTGAAGGGTTATCCATTCGTGCTGTCCAATTTGCTGGGCGTCATCCTCTGGCCCTCAAAGTACTCGGATCATTCTTATACGATAAAGACGAAGAGAGTTGGAAAAGAACACTGCGCAAGCTCGAAGCATTACAAGATAAAGGTAGCCGCCAAATATCTAACTACATAGGAGCAGGTGAATACTTCCCAAGAGCTCGAACAGAGTTGGAGCAATATGTAGGAGCAGATGAAGAAGTTTCGCCTTCATATCACATGTGGCTTTGACAATCAAAGTGAAGATCATGTTCTAAGCCTACTTAAAAAAGATTTGGTCGGTGTGCCGGATACAATGCAAGTGATAGTACTGTAACTCTGTTATCTATGTTGATGTCTCGCTACACTAATGTTGTTCAGCATCCATTAAGACAAACAGGAAAGATAATTCCTTGCTGTAGAACCTGGATAGTGCAGTATTTGTTGGTAGCTATGCAAAAGTTGTAATACATTTTTCTTCTTGTATCATGAAATGTGACTTGTGTGTGTTGTCATTTGAGGACTAATCTGAAACAAGATGATTGCCAGAGATTTGAAATCAAAACCAGTGCAATCTTTGGCTAGGATTGTTAGTAGCTGTCTGGGATTTGAATGTGAAATACGTGGCTATTGGTTAAATCTGAGATATTAAAATCCCAGTGCCTCCCTCTAAGAGACATTCTGAAGAGATGAGTTTAAAAATGAAACTGGCAAAATTCAAAGGTTACTCAAGTGGTGGATGATGCAATTGTGTTTTGTCAGCCATAACTTGTGAAAGACCGTTCTTCTCAGTCAACAGGTTTACAAAACAAAATGCAATGCTGTATGAATTTGGAAGAGAGAAAAATTAAGCCGACCCGTTTTTACCAATTACAAAGGTAAGCGTTACCAAACAAGCCAACAAAACCAACCCACGAGACTAGTAGGGGAATCGAATAAATAAAATTAACAAAAGGGTTAAAATGACAACAAGACCACAAGAACAAACAAATGCAGAATCGAGTTATACCAGAGTTGAGAGAGTTTTGGCCACAGATCATGTAACATAATTTACGAGTATGGCCTTTTTCATTGATCAGAGTTAAGTGCTTTGGAGATCCATTCTGATGCTGCGGCTTGAGTTTCTGAGTCCAGTTTTGGAAGTATAGACAGTGGAGTCACAGAAACCTGTCATTACCAATAGTAGTTTAGAGTCCAGATCGGAAAATATCTATAGATTCAAGAATTTAACCAGACAAACTCTGTATCAAGATGAGCTAAAGTATTTATTCAGAAAAGAGCAGGACACAGAAAAGGAAACTGGATAAATGATACAGAAGAGAGCATGATCATGCCAACTTACAAAACCATCTTCTAGAGCCTTGATATCCAAATCTCCATCCGTATGTTCTTCTTCTTTAGCCACAAACTGCACATAAGCATAGTCAGAATCTCAACCACAATGTCAATGGTACATACTTAATATCCAAAGGATCTGTGAAGATAACGGCTCAATTTTTTTCTTTACCTCTAGGCGGAAGTGTTTCTTAACACGGCTATCAGTTTTACCAGCAACACCAACCGATTCAATCTCCACAATACTCTTCTTCTGTGTGGTAAAACGGCGAGCCGCTCCCTGAGATTGCCAGATATCTTAATCTCAGTATCTAATTAACTAATCTTGGACCTTCCTAACCAACAACAAGGTATAGGAAACAACATATTTGAGAGCTTAAACGTTTTGAATAAGAGGAGTTAACTCACAGCGGCTGAAGCATCTCTGCCAAGCTGTGCAAGCTGAGCTCCGAGACTTTGTTGGTTAGACATGAAATTCCCAGCACCAGGATGACGGTTAGCTGAAACACCTTGCCAACTAGGACTCTGCCTCCACGTGCTTTGTTTTGTTATCTTGAAACCCTATTCATATGTACATGAAACGTCTGAATCATTGACCAGTGAGGTTATGATTTCACAACATCATAGAATAAACCATCGCAAAGCAAAGACCATGTTCTTAGCATACAACAAATTTCAAAAATCAAACCTTGTTTGATGAGGGTGATGTTGGAATTTCGATGTTGAGAGAGCAGTCTTTAGGGAAAACTCCTTTCTCAATGTCTCTGATTGTTGCGTTTATCAAAGGTACACAGACACCAACAGCGTCCTTAAAGTCACTTTCTTTGCTTTCATCTTTCTTCCTATAACCGATTACAAAAATTAAAGGCCAATGATTCCAATTATGTAGCAGCACGTATTCCCACGAGACACTCACCAGTTCAACGATATTGACAGAGAGGGTACTCCAGAAATCAAAGCCTCCCTGGCTCCAGAAACAGCACCAGAATAGAACCTGGAGGATTCTCGAATCAGAACACACATAGCAGATGGGCAGACAAAAACGGATAACCAGTTCTATACAAGACAAAATCACCTACATTTGGTGCCCACAGCTTGATCCCTGATTGATTCCACTAATTACCTGAAGAGAATAAGCAAAGACAGTGAAGTGGAAATGACATAATACCAGAATATCATACAGCCAAATGATGAGATGATCAAAATGCTAACCAGTACTGGTTTTGACCAAGCAAAGAGGGCTCCGGATAATCCTAGTGAGATGCAGTCCACAGGAGTCCCTGACACAAATTCACAAAACAATCATCTCAGAGCCTATGAACAGAAACTAATACTCACACGCACACTGTATGCTTCTACACTTTTCAAACAACTTGAAAATCAATGGATCTTGCTTCAACAAAGACTCCAACTTTCAGATTATAAATGTTACCTGAAACTTCAAAGGCTGTGGCACCTTTGATATTAACAGAACTTGCAGCAATGGTTTCTCCAGGAGTCATGGAATGAGCAGAAGCCGACTTATCCCTGCACATTTCCAATTCACAGACCTTGTGAGACACAATAAGCTCGAAAACGTAACCAAATCAACAGTTGAAAACAATCGGATTTTGAAATTGAAAAATGGGGGAAACCGCACGTTTGAGGAGCACAAACATGGACATTATAGAGCCCTTCGCGAACCAAAGCCTCAACGAGAGAGACGAGCCCAGGCGAATCAATCCCATCGCCATTCGTGACTAAAACGATGGGTCTGGAGTCATCGATCTCCTCCTCCGCCGCCGCCGCCGAAACATCGACGGAATCAGAAGTAGACGGAGCCTCCTCCGCCGCCGATCCATCGCTCACAACTTTTTCCTCGTTCGCTCCTTTTCTCTTGGAAAGCACATCCTGGAGATTCGAGACGAGCGCAGCAGACAAGCCGTTGTTCTTCGCGGAAGTCGAGGTCATCGTGTAGAGAGAGAAGAAGAAGAAGAAGAAACGCAAATGATTGTTGAAGGAATCAAAACCCTAGCGAGAAGGGGAAGACGAAGAAGAAGAAAATTCGACAAAGAGCGGGTCTTACGGAGATGTCGTGGAGAAAGAGAGATGCTTTAAATTTGGGTAGAGAGAGAAAGCTTGAAAGGAGAGAATAGAGATTACTTGTGAACTGTAACAATTGGTTTCCGCTTAGATAGAAGAAGAAGAAGAACAGTGACGCGCAATTTTTTCCACACTAAAATATTGTAATTTTTTAATATTATTAATTTCATTTTCTATTATTAAATGGTTATTTTCACTAAGTAAAATAATATTCAGATTTTAATCATCCATTAAGACACCTAAACCGTGAAAATTTAAAGATATTAATTGTTTTCACTTGCTCCGGTCAAAAGGATGGAAACATGTTAGAAATGGTCCACATCTAATAATTATTCAGTTATCAGATGTCATAAGAATAATTATTACATACATTTAAATTTTTAGAAAACAAATAATTTGTACCGACAGAATTATAGTACCATGTTGGTTGAAAATTAAATTTATACTGTTAATTGTTGCTAGATCATACGCTAGTGAAATTTTTTATTATAACAAATAAAATAGCCTTTTGATTTAATTGATTTTAGCTGCACTTTCACTATGTCCTTAATGCTTTTTTCCTGAATTGGGTACAGGATACAGTAAACTGGAGAAGAAAAAAAATATGCATTTCTAAATTTGTCTATTTGATAGCTTAGTTCAACTAATAATTAATTTTAGTTAGTTAGCGTGGCATACTATTAATGGTTAATGATTTAAAAACTGATTATGAATAGCAAAATATTGTAGGGTCTCAAAGTCAACAAGCGAATCTGAACATATTAATGCGAAGGTGTTATTGGCATAAGTGTGATAATAGTCTTCCTAATCATAAATGTCAAAGGTTTAGCTAGCTCCTTAATTTTGATAATTGAAATGGTGTGATCGTCACGTCGTGATGATAATATTTAATTTAGAGGAAAACATAAATTGTTGTAAAGTAGAGCGAATTAAAACCATTTTTTCCCCTTATCCATTGTCCGCTTAACAGATTCAAAAATGTTTGTACTTTTCTCAAGGTTTGGGATCTCTTTTTGCCTTTAATCTTTAGATCTTTTAACAGTTGGCTACGAACATTTTTAGAGCTTTACAGACATGAAATACAAATCTGTATATGTTAAATAATCAAAATTCATAATTAAGAATGGCCCATTTGTTATCAACTTCTTCATTAGATAGTATTGACTTCAAAATTTATGTATTGCTAGGAGAAATGTTGGGTCTAGTGGGCTGAACATATCATCTGATGTTACATATCATTAAGCTTAAGAAAGCCCATACAGACAGCAAATAATTCGTTCCATCTAGAAAACCAAACGAAGAAAAAACAAACACAAATAGTTTTACTTGATCGAGTTTTCAAATTGAAAATCAGAACAATGTTTGAGCCTATGACTAATTCCTCTTTAAGATTTGTAGTACCTCTGACTTCTAGTTCTTAATTAGGAAAACATAATATCATGATGACGTTTAGGAAAAAAACAAAAAAAACTTTATTTGACTTATTTATCGAGTAAAAAACAAAATAGCAGTAGTGTCGACGAATGTATGTATGACTCGACCGGGTAAAGTATAGTAGCATACGTTACTTACGAATTCAGTGACCGCACGCACGACAATGTCGTATAAAATATGTTTAGAATTTTTCAACGACGATCGATTATTTTTAGCAAACAGATTATAACGATTCTCTTTACCGTACGATAGACGTATACACAGATCTCCAGTATCTGTGACGATGCATGTGTTACAGATAAATTAAACTACAACTTTGGAATATATGATTGCGACATTTCTAAATGGACACCTAAGTACAATTCCTAGATTTTTGTGGAAAATAACAATTTTTAAAAACTTAATTAAGGACGGCTTAAATATTGGTATTTTTAATTATTTAAACGTAAACATGTCGCTAATGGTAGAACATTTCGTTGGAGGTTTAAGAATAACTCGGTTTTTAAGCGTGAGCTTCACGGTGTCTAAAAGGATCATATATGTCTTCACAGTGATCTCAGGCCATGGGAGTATGTGGACATTTGTTTCATTTTATTTTATTTTTTCTTTGAATTTATAATTTACTAGATAAGCTCAAATTATACATGTATAATAATTATTCTTTCTTCAGTTTCCATGAAATTTTCAAGCAGTATACTCACACCACAGAAAACTAATCTCAACTTCTTGTTAGCTAAGTAGCCTTAAAACTCATATGGGCGGCTGGACCAACTTATCTATTTACGATATATAAAAGAGACATTAATCTATATAGAAAACGATAGTTTTCAGTATGAGATTTATTGATTTGTTACAACTTATAAGTCGATTTATTTAAACAAGCCTACTCATACTTAAGAAAAAAAAACAATCACCGGATCTTATACGTTTGACTGCAAAATAAATATTTCTGAATTCAAACAAAAAATAACCATCGAAGACATTATTTAACTAAAGAATTTGGGCTCTCATCCTATTTCCACTAATTAATTAACTAAACACTTTCACATAAAGAAAATGAAAATATTCTTCTAAATTCACCCTAATTGAAAATGTTCACAAAATAAATCCCTTTTCCAAAACAAATTAAAAATTAAGAGAATGTTCCTCGGAAATTGAATGGTAATTTCAAATTACCGTTAAGTGTTTTTCTTCTTCCACCTATAAAATCAAACGAGAATGTGACTCCTTTTTGGTACACTTGCCAAATGCTCTCAAACTCAAAAGTCCCATAAAGAGAAGAAGAACAAAAATCATGTTCCCAAAAAGAAAAATCATGAACAAGATCTTGAAAAAATTATCGTGCTTTGAAAGAAAAGTTAAATCTTTACGAATATTCGAGTCCAGGTCATCACTATCTTCTTCGTCTTCTTCCTCTCTCACTCCCCAGAAACAATTCGACGTCTTTCTAAGCTTCAGAGGCGCAGACACACGCAAAAACTTCATCAGTTTCCTCTACAAGGCGCTAGACTCAAAAGGGATCCGAACTTTCAAAGACGACAAGGAGCTGGAGAGAGGCCGTCCGATCTCGCCGGAGCTTCTCCAAGCAATCAAAGGGTCGAGAATCGCCGTCGTCGTCGTCTCCGCCAATTACACAGCGTCCGACTGGTGCCTCGAAGAGCTCAGGGAGATTCTGAAGCTCCACGAAAAGGGTTTGATCAAGGTGATCCCGATCTTCTACGAGGTCGATCCTTCGCATGTGAGGAGACAGATCGGAGAAGTCGCGAAACAGTTCAAAAAGCACGAGAAGAGACAGAGCAGCGAAAAGGTCAGATCTTGGAGGCTCGCGCTGTACAAATTCGCTAATCTCTCCGGCGAATGTTCAAAGAGCTGGTAAAAAACCTCCGATGAGTCGTCTTGTTGATTGAATTGGATCGAGAATCTCTCAAAGTTCGGATTTTTATTTGAAATTGAGAATCTTTCGAATCGTTTCTCAAAGTTTTGATTTTTATTTGCTCTGTAGGGAAGATGACTCCAAGTTAGTCGACGAAATTACTGAGAGAGTATCAAACATGTTGTTCGCAGCAACACCAATCAACGGCAATAACCTGATCGGAATCGACGAACACATGAACGAGTTGTCTCCGTTAATGGCTCTGAACTCAAACGACGACGTTCGAGTGATTGGGATTTGGGGAAGAGGAAGTATCGGAAGATCAGCACTCGCTAAACACGTCTACGAGAACATCTCACACCACTTCGAAGCTCATTGTTTTCTCGAAGACGTGAGGAAGATCTCGCAGTTCTCACTACATTGCCGGAAATCTCATTTGCAAGAAGAGCTTCTCACGAAGATGAAAGGAGAAGGCTTGATGATGAACAACACGACGAAGATGATCTCTTATAGCCATAGGTGTAATCTCAACGCCATCAAAGCGAGGCTGAGGAACAGGAAGGTTCTGCTTGTGGCTAACGATGTGGACAAGATCGAGCAGTTGGATGCACTTGCTGAGGAGTTTAGCTGGTTTGGTCCGGGGAGTAGGATCATCATAACGACGCAAGACAGGCAGTTGCTGATTTCGTCGGTGGTTAAGAGTGTTTACGAAGTTGAGCTGTTGAGATGCTATGAAGTTCGTCAGCTCTTTAGGTCGTTGGCATTCAAACAGAAGGAGAAAGAGAGAGATGATGATCCTGTTGGTTTTGAGCGGTCTACGTTTGATGAAGCCACCATGAATGTTCCTGGTATCAATGTTTTTACGACCTTGAGGTATATAGTGGCTTTGTTGTGTAATAGAGGTCAGCTTAGGGAAAGACTAAATGCAATAATATATAGTCTTTAGATTCATTTGATTCTTTGTAGATACAAAGTGTAGATTTAGGTAAAATAAGTGTTCATTTTTTTATTTATGTTGTTTAGATTCGGGAATATTGAATTGATGTGTTTGTTTGTTCCTAGGTGTATAATAAATTAATAATGCTTTAGCCATTTATAGGATCTGGATTTTACCAGTTTGTATGTAATGCTGTTCTTTCTTAATGAGAAATAAATAATATATTATTTCTTAAAGATTTGTCTGCACGATTTGGTTTTTGAGGTTTCACAGTAGACATGAATCTTAAAAGGTCTAGAGGAGAGATGAAAAGTTTTATAACTTTCACATGATGATCCAAAGCCTGTTAAAGCTCTGAGCCACTGACAAGTTTATATCACTCTCTCGTCCGCTTTTCTGATGTAATGTTTTTTTTTGGAATTTTTGTTATTAACAAACTTAAAGGAGATTAATAGTACATTACAAAGTATGTTAAAGCTGAAATTGGATTAAACTAAAAATATAAATCCGAGTGAACTTAATTAACCAAATGAATTGTTAGTTCAGTGATAATTCGATCACATTTTCAACAAAATCGACCAAAAACGAAAATCTAGTCCAATTTTATACGTCTAATCTTTGTTAATGCTAAGTTTGTGCCTTCATGGCTATGGTTTTATCTAAATCCAAATAAATGTGGCGATTTCAAACAAATTAGCAAAATAACACAAAAAATTGGAGAATGGATATCAATTTCTTTTGTGGGATATCACAAATTGATAGTGGACATTGAGAAAATCCATGGAGAATGGGTAGCTGTATGCAAAATGAGCAATGGAGAGAATATTGATGGATACATCTATGCTAGTTAACAACTCTTTGCTTTCGTGTGAATGCATCTAATGATCAAATTCACTTTGTTTAGGGCTCAACGCAGCCGATGCATCTTCTGACTAATTTCATCATCATAGAGATGGATGAGGATGAGATACGAAATGATTTGTCTCTATTATATATGCACAAAAACAACACAAAGACTAAATGCAATAATATATAGTCTTTAGATTCATTTGATTATAAATACACATGATTAAGTGTAGATTTAGGCAAAATAAATGTTCTTTTTATTTATTTATTTTGTTTAGATTAGGAATATTATATTCATGTGTTTGTTTGTTCTTATATATATATTAATGTTTTAGCCATTTTTTGGATTTGGCCCGATTTTACCAGTTTTTTATACTCTTCTTCTTGACGAGAAATATTTTTTCTTAAGATTTGTCTATATGATTGGGTTTTTGAGGTTTCGCAGGATACATAATAAATAAGTTTATATAATTTTTCAAAGTTGGAATCTTAAAGGTCTAAAGGAGAGAATAAAAGTTTTATAACTTTCACATGATGATGATCCAAAAGGCAAAATCCTGTTAAGCCACTGACAAGTTTCTCGCCTTTTTCAGTATATAGAATTGTTTTCTCGGTTCTCACACTCTCACAGAGTATATTAAAGCTGAAACAAACCAAATATAAAATGAAACTGGATGAAACTAAATAAAATAATCCGAGTGAACTAAATCAACCAAATGAACAAAGAATGTATGTTCATTCAGTCATAATTCGATCACATTTCCAACAAATCCGACCAAAACAGAAAATCTAGTCCAATTTTATACATCTACTCATTCGTTAATGCTTGTTTCGTGGCTATGGTTTTATCTCAACCCAAATAGTTGTGGCAGTATTAAACAAATTATCAAGACAACCATATGGCTATCAACTTAATTAAATTTCCCTACGTTTTATAGTTAAGATCAAACTGATAAAACAAACAATTTTTTTATTTAGATTCATGACGAGTCGACATCCATGATCAAATCTGCTCCACAGTTTCTAGTAGTAGTATTTTAATCATGTGCTCTATTTTCTTTATCCGGCGGCTCACATGTTAGTCTCAAAAGTCACCATGTTGTTTCTGACAACCTTCCACTGGAAGTACTTCCTCAACAATACTGACAAAAAAGCTCAACAACCCAAAAACAGAAAATGCGAGGCAATTTACTCGTGTAAGAGAGAGTCTACTATCTATGGAAGTGAAACTCCTTCGATTGACTTCTTCAGACGCCTCTATAAATACCAGAGTGATTCTCTGACTCTGACGCATAGAGAATCAATCAAAGATGTCGAAGAAGTACGATGTCTTTCTCAGCTTCAGAGGACTCGACACTCGCCGCAGCTTCATCAGCTTCCTCTATAAAGAACTGGTTCGAAGGAACATCCGAACCTTCAAAGACGACAATGAACTCAAGAGTGGCCGGAAAATCTCTCCGGAGCTCGTGCGCGCCATCGAGGAGTCGAGATACGCCGTCGTCGTGGTCTCCGCGAACTACGCGGGGTCCTCTTGGTGCCTCGAGGAGCTCGTCAAGATCATGGAGTTCGTGAAAAACGGCTCCCTCACCGTGATGCCGATCTTCTACGGCGTGGATCCGTCGCATCTGAGGAGGCAAATCGGAGAAGTCGCCGAGCAGTTTGAGAAGCACGAGAGCAGAGAAGATCAACAGAAAGTGCTTTCGTGGAGACAAGCATTGACCAATTTGGCCAGCTTCTCCGGAGATTGCTCATCGAAATGGTAAATAAAAATCAAAACTTTATGATAAAGTTTCGAGCTTTAAGGTCTAACGAAAACAGAGAATGCGTAAAGGTCGAATCTTTAATGGCTAGATTCGATCTCTGTGTCTTTAGAGACGATGATGATTCGGAGATTGTTTAAAAATCAAAACTTTATGATAAAAAAGGCGTAAAGGTCGAATCTTTAACTGTTAGATTCGTTTTGTGTGTTGTTTAGGGACGATGATTCGAAGATGGTCGACGGAATTGCTGATAGGATATCGAAGAAGCTGATGATGATTACTCAAACATCAAGAAGTGGAAGTACCCTAGTGGGGATTAATCGGCACATGAAAGCTCTTCACAAGTTAATGGATCTGAATTCGAACAAATCCGTGAGAGTTGTTGGGATCTGGGCAAGAGGAGGGAGTTGCAGATCGGCTTTAGCTAGATTCGTGTATCAGAACATCAGTCAACACTTCGAGAGCCATTGCTTCTTGGGAAACGTGAAGAAGATCACCAAGGGTCGTCACATGTCTCATCTCCGTGAAGAGTTTCTGACCAAGGTTCAAGGCAAGTACTTGAGCAAATCAAGGGTCAAGAACCAAAAGGTTCTGCTTGTTGCAGACGACCTCAATAAGCTTGAGCAGTTGGATGCTCTTGCAGAGGATTTCAACTGTTTCGGTCCGGGGAGTGTTGTGATCATCACTACACAAGACAAGCAGCTGTTTGTTTCCGCTGGGATAAAGAATGTCTACGAAGTTGAGCTCCTGAGATTCCAGAAAGTTCGTCAGCTGTTTCGACAGGTGGCTTTCAAAGAGAGAAGTATTGCTGCTGTGTTCAAGTCGGTTTGTTGTAGACCAACGAGTCTTGCCTTGGAATGGTCAGGTTTTAGACGTGGCAAATCTGGCTCTGGGTCAGGGAAAGTGTTGGACTCACTTTTGTAAGCTAATATGCTTTAAGACTAAGTTTATTAAGTATATGACTAAACATAGTAAGATTGTAGGTTTCGAGATGGGAGACTTGGGAGTGTCTTGTCTAGTTTTGGAGTGTGTAGAGGAATATAATTTCTTAATTGGGTTATAGCCATAATAATACACACATTGTTTTTTCAAGATTGGGCTATAAACTTATAATGTGTTTTCCATATGCCAAACAATTTGTAGAGAAGATCTAAAGGATGAAAAAGGGTCTGGTTGTAAAAAAATGGAAATCCTATAAATACCGGATTCTCTCATGCACTCATTATGCTTTATAGAATCAATAAAAAATGTCGAAGAAGTACGATGTCTTTCTCAACTTAATGGCTGCAATATGCTGGTATGGGTTGATAACTGGCCGCATGATGGGATTCCAAGTCGACCAAGGTAAAGGCATTCATTGATGAATAGAAATTTATGTTGTGTAGATTCAGGAATAATAAATTGATGTGTTTGTTTGTTCCTTAGTGTATAATAGTAATGTTTTAGCCAATTTTTTGGATCTGGATTTTACAAGTTTGTATGTAATGAATAATGATGTTCTTCTTGATGAGAAATAAAGAATATAAGATTTGTCTGCGCATTGTGTTTTTGAGGTTCCTAAATTTTTAAAGTTGTACTGGAATCGTTAAAGGTCTAAAATCAGAGAAGAAATGTTTTCTATCTTTTTCACATAATGATCCAAAGTGACCAATAAATATCTGAGCCAGTGACAAGTTTCTTGCCTTTTTCGTTTTAAGGAATTGTCTTCTCACTTTTCTGATGTAATGCTTTTTTGGATAAACTTAAGAATATTAAATCACAACGCACTATAATTCTATAAACGAAATTAGACCCGACTGGACTAAATTAACCAAATGAAAAAGAAAAAAAATCAACTAAATGGACAAAGAATATGTTAATTCAGTCATAATTCGATCGCATTTCCAGCGAAACCGATCTAACCGAAAATCTAGTCCAGTCTCATACGTCTGCTTAGTTTGTGGCTATGGATGGTATTAGGTGAATCTGGTTAATACGTCATGTACAATACCATTCATATGTTTACTTTAACTGATGTTCTCATCCTCTTTCTTAGTAAACAATTTGGTTTTAGAAAGGGCATGTACTGTTTTTTGGAAGAAATTAGTAGAGAATAAATCAGCAGCAATTTCAAACAAATTATCAAAACAGCACAAAAACATAACACTTTTCATTTCAAATGAACTTTACTGAGCAAAAAAGATCAAATTGATAAAACATTTTTTATTTTGATGACAATATGACATACATGGTCAATTCTATCCGCAGTTTTTAATAATAATCTATTCACGTACCACTTAATCTGACGGCTCTCAAGACCCCAAAAGTCAATAGATGTTATTTCTGACAATCTTCCACATGTACTTCCTCAATACTGACAAAAAAGTGTTCAACCGCCAAAAAAGAAAAAGAAAAATCGAGGCAATTAATTGAGTGATACTCCTACCTATAAATACCATAGTGATTCTCTTACTCATACAGATTAGAGAATCAATCAAAGATGTCCAAGTTCGATGTCTTTCTCAGTTTCAGCGGACTCGACACTGGCCGGAGCTTCATCACTTTTCTCTACAAAGAACTTGATCGAAGGAACATCCCAACCTTCAAAGACGACAAAGAACCGAGAACTGGCCGGGAAATCTCTCCGGAGCTCATACATGTCATCGAGGAGTCGAGATTCGCCGTAGTTGTGGTCTCCAAGAATTACTCAGCGTCCTCTCGCTGCCTCGATGAGCTCGTCAAGATTATGGAGTTCGTGAAAAAGGGCTCCCTCACCGTGATGCCAATCTTCTACGGCGTGGAGCCGACGCATCTGAGGAGACAGATCAAAGAAGTAGCCGAGCAGTTTGAGACGCACGAGAGCAAAGAAGATCAACAGAAAGTGCTCTCGTGGAGGCAAGCATTGTTCTCTCTGGCCAGCATCTCTGGACATTGCTCACGGAAATGGTAATAAAAATCTTAACTTTATAATAAAGTTTCGAGCTTTATTAGGGTCTAAAAAAAATTATTTTAGTTCATTTACATTTTATAATTAAGTTTTAGCTTTTATAAAAAAGTTTGAACTAATAGGAAAATTTACAAATGTGTTTAGGAACGATGATGCAAAGATGATCGATGTAACTGCTGACCAAATATCGAAAAAGCTGATGAGGATTAGAGCAAGACCAAGAGGTCCAAGACGTGCAAGTAGCATAGTGGGGATTAACCAGCACATGAAAGCTATTGACAAGTTATTGGAACTGAACTCGAACGGAAGTGTGAGACTTGTTGGGATTTGGGCAAGAGGAGGGACTTGTAGATCGGCTCTGGCTGCATTCGTTTATCAGAAAATCAGTCAACACTTCAAGAGCCATTGTTACCTAGGGAGCGTGAAAAAGATAACCAAGGGTCGTCACATGTCGCGTCTCCGTGAAGAGTTAACGAATAAGTTTCAAAGCGAATCAAGGGTCAAGAACCAAAAGGTTCTGCTTGTTGCGGACGACGTCAATAAGCTTGATCAGTTAGATGCACTTGCGGATGATTTCAACGGCTTTGGTCCTGGGAGTGTTGTCATCGTCACTACACAAGACAAGCAGCTGTTTGCTTCCTATGGGATAACGGATGTCTACGAAGCTGAGCTACTGAGGTTTCGGGAAGTTCGGCGCCAGCTCATTCGACAGGTAGCCTTCAACGAGGTCAGTATTGCTGCTGTGTTCGAGTCGGTTGTTGTAAGCCAACGAGTATTGCCTTGTAATGGTTAGACTGTCTACTACGTGGTAATTCTGGCTCATGGAAAGTGTTGGAATCAATTTTGTAAGCCTTTGTTTCATAATATTCTTTTTTGTTTCAAAACTATGTTTTCAATTTTTTATGCAAAAAATTGTTGTAGTTGTGTTGGAATCCAAATTTTTGTTTGACTCTCAGAGTTATGTATATTGTTTTGTTTATTTTGGAATTATAATAAAACATTTTTTTAATTTTAAAAGAATATGATTCAATTATTTCTTAATCTGTGTACAAAACGTAATATATTGTGAAACATACACACAGAGTATATTACTAAAAATGTGGTATTGAAATAGGAGTGTTTTCGTCTGTTTTTGGAATGTGTAGGGGAATATAACTTGGGTTATAATAATGTGTTTTCCATATGCCAAACAATTTGTAGAGAAAATCTAGAGAATAAAGAAACTAGTTGTAAAAAAAATGTTCTGACATGAAAATACAGAGCCATCATAACGACAATAGACAGGCAATGGCTAGTTTCATCGGTAGTAAGGAGTGTCTACGAAGTTGAGCTCTTGAGATTCTACGAAATTTGTAAGCTCTTTAGATCAGTAGCATTGAAAAAGAGAGACGATCTTGTTTGGTCTGGTCTATGTATGAAGCCATGAATGTTCCAGGTATTAATGTTTTTTTCGACCTTGAGATATATAGTGGCTTTGTTGCGTGTAGAGGTCAGCTTAGAGAAAGACTTACTGCAATAATATATAGTCTTCATATTCATTTGATTCTAAGGCAAAGCCCTTATAGATACAAAGTGTAGATTGTTGGAACATAATTGAGTTTGTTCTAACATTGATCTCTTTTAGTAACCGTTTGACGGTTTACTTTGGAGAGTTTTAGTAAAGAGACACAACTCTTGTGTTGTTGTGTCTGTTATGTCTATATAAACCATTGATCTTGTAATGTAAAACAATCAACTTTCAGATAATAAGATCCAATTTCTTGTAATGTTCTTCTTCACAAAAGAGAAGAGATAAACTCTATCTCTTATACTGTTTTTTGTCTCTTCTCTTCTTACTCTGTTTTTCAACACAAAATCTAACATAGATTTTAGTCAAAAGTTTATGGATGGAGGAGTATTATTTTTAGGAGAGAATTGTTAAGAAAAGGGCTAAAGAGCTCAAGAGTTCTCACCAATTGTTTTAGTTGAGTTACCCATTGAAATACCTTCCATGCTTTGTCAGTATTTAGAAATGACATTGACATACCGAAAAAATACTGTTTTTATTTTATTTTTAGAACTAGCAATTTTAAACAAATTAGCAAAACAGAACAAAAACATCAGTTTGTTATCAAATGAAAGTATTTTGCATATACATAGACTATGTAACATTTTTTTTTTAACATCTGAAGATATATATATCAAAAGGAGTTACAAAGGGTCATAGAAAAGACCAGAGCTACAGAGTTTAATCTACAAGCAAAGCAAAGCATCAACCATTTACAACTACATCAATAGGGCACAACAGCCGAACCAAAAAACTACACTATTACATAGAGGCTGAACTTTTCTCATTCTCAAATAAACCATGGAGCCAAAAGGGATGACTACTTGCAACATATGATTGATGAAAATGATCCTCCAAAGCACTTTGAGCAATGAGAAATGCTCCTCTATTGGCTGCTCGTGACACTACTTCCACTTTCCAATTTGAAAACCTTACCAAGAACTGATTCAGCTCCCAGAAATGAGCTTTGTAGGAAGGCCAAGCCATAGGTCTTGACATGATTCCCAAAATATCTGCCTCTTCTGCTGCAAAAACTACATGATTGATTCTATGGAACACCATACTCTCCAAGGACCACAACATGCAACACATCTTCGCATCCATAATACTATCAATAGCAGAGAAAGATCTCCTACTATGAAGCAGAACAACCCCTTCATGATTTCGCAAAACCCATGAACAACCAGCCACCTTTTGTATTTTTATTCCACACCACTGCTGTATTACACTTGAGCCAAGGGAAAGGAGGAAGCCGCCATCTTGTTTTATCACCTTTCTTTCTAATCTTCTCCCTTTCTCCAACCTCTGTTTCCACATCCTGAGATAAAAACCATACATTGACCTCCTCCAAAATTTTCTCAATTGTATCATTAGCCCTGTATTTTATCCCTCCATATAGAAACTTATTTCTATTTTTCCACAATCTCCATAGAACCCAGGGGAAAATACGCCGTATATCAGGAGGAACTCTAATGTTTTTACTCATCAACATAAGGTAATGCACATTGACATGGATTGATTCTTGGTGAAAACCATTTTGAGGTGATGGAAAACCTGAGAGCGCCCAAATTTGACGAGCTAAAGAACAAGTGAAGAGAACATGATTAGAGGTTTCACCTTCAAAACCACACAGATTACAGCAAGTTTCAATCTTCACTCCACGGGTAATAAGGTTCTCGGCCACAGGGAAATCATCAGACAAAACCCTCCATAGAAATGTTTTAACTTTAGGAGCAGTTTGAAGAAACCAGATTTTTTCTTTGATCCCATTGAAAGATGGTTGAATTTCAGCTTCACGTTGAGCATCAGACTTGTTAAACTGACAAGCCAGCCAATATGCCGATTTCACAGAGAAATCACCATTTTTATTGAATCTCCAGGACCAGAAATCAGTAGAGTGAACCGCTGGCTTGAGTAACAAAATCCCGTTAACATCTCCTTCGAAAACTGGTCTTCAAGTATTGTCCTGTCCCATGATCTTGTTCTCACATCAATCAGATCACTTACCATAAGATCAATATTCGGATTTTTCATCCAAGGACATCTCATGATATTATCTTCAATCCATGGGTCAATCCAAACTCTTATGGATTGACCATCACCAACCATACGCTTAAGCCCTTTCAGCAACAAATTTCTCCCAAATAGAATGCTTCTCCAAGCAAAAGAAGGTCTGGTACCAAGCGCAGAAGACAAGAACTCAAAATCAGCAAAATATCTACTTTTAAAGAGTCTTGAGAAAAGGCAATCTGGTGCCTGCAATAATCTCCACGCTTGTTTAGCTAACAGAGCTTGATTAAATCTTTCAATATCCTTAAACCCTAGCCCACCAAGCTTCTTTGATAAACACATCTTCTCCCAACTTATCCAATGGATTTTTCGTTTATGATCTACCGAGTTCCACCAAAAATCGGCCATAGCTCTACTCAGTTTTTTAATTGTTGATTTAGGCAATTTAAAGCATGACATCGCATAGACAGGCAGAGCAAGGGCTACAGCTTTAAGTAAAATTTCTTTTCCACCATGAGATAAGGTACGAGCAAACCAACCTGTTAACCTTGCTTTCAAACGATCCTGAATGTACCCAAGGAGATCTGCTTTTGAACCGCTAAAACATTCAGGCAAGCCCAGATAGGTACCCGCTCCTCCTTCATTAAAAATCCCAAAGGTTTCTTGAATTTTAACCTTAGCAGAAGGATGCACCTTAGAGCCGAATGTAATTGAGGACTTTGTTAAATTAATAACTTGTCCTGTAGCTTCTCCATAAACTCCTAAGATGTTTTGTAGAGCTCTTGATTCAGGTTCAGAGGCCTTGCATAGAAAAAGGCTGTCATCTGCGAAAAGAAGATGATGAATGGTAGGACCTGAGGGAGAAAAGCAAACCCCATGAATCTCTTCTGATTGCTCTGCTTTACTTAACAAGTGAGTTAGACATTCTGTGCACAAAACAAACAGAGACGGAGATAGTGGATCACCCTGTCTCAGACCTCTGGATGGATAAATTCGCTTTTGAGGATGATCGCTGATCAAAACAGAGTAGGAAACTGATGTTATACAGAACATTACCCATTGAATCCATTGCTGATGGAACCCCAGAGCAGCTAAAAGACTTCTCACATAAGACCATTCAACTCTATCATAAGCTTTTGACATATCAGATTTAATAGCCATAAACTCCTCTGATATTGTTGGATGCGTCCTCAAAGCGTGAACAACCTCATGAGCAATAAGAACATTGTCTGATATCAACCTCTCAGGGACAAAAGCTGATTGGGTAGGAGAAACAATTTCAGCCAGGAAAGGTTGAAGTCGCTTTACCAAGATATTTGAGATGATCTTGTAGAAGACCGAGCAAAGACTTATGGGTCTAAGATCAGTCATTTCCTTTGCTTGAGGAATCTTGGGAATAAGACATAAGAGGGTGTAGTTCCACTCAGAAGGAAAAGATCCAGACACAAAAAAGCATTTCACTTCCTTACTAACCTCATAACCAATGATGTCCCAGTATTTCTGAAAAAAGAAACCTGTCATTCCATCTATACCTGGAGCGCTTGAAGGTTTAATTGCAAACACTGCTTCTCTGATTTCTTCATTTGTGACAATACAGATTAACGCATTGTTCATTCTCTCATCTACCTTTGGGACAAAATCCTCAAAAAGATCATAAAAATTGCTCGGGTTTGATGTTGAAAACAAATTGTTAAAATATTCCGAAGCAATCTCACCTTTGGCTTTCTCTGATCTGTATTCAACACCATTAGCATCAACCAACAGTTCAAAACCTTTTCTTCCTCTGTTATCCTTCACGGATAACCATTAGTGTTTTTATCACCTTCTTTTAACCATTTTGCACGACTTTTCTGACTCCAAAACAACTCCTCATCACGGTAAGCTTTAACTAATTCCTTCTTGAGACTATGTAACATAGTTATGATCAAATTGATAAAAATAGTTTTTATTTAGATTCATTCTCTACTGAATTGATAAAACAGTTTTTATTTAGATGACATACATGTGCTTCGGCGGCTCTCAAGACAACCACTCCTTCTCTAGATGTTGTTTCTGACAATTTTCCGAACTGCTTCCTCAATAGTACTGACAAAATATTTTTTTGGATAAAGTCATAAAACACAAAAGTTCAACAAAAAAAAAAGAAAAAGAAAATGTGAGGAAATTCACTTTTGTGGAAGAGAGAGTATCTATGGAAGACTGGAAGTGAAACTATGGTCTTCGTCACTCGCCTATAAATACTCGAGTGATTCTCTCACTCATATAGAATCAATAAAAGATTAAAAGATGTCCAAGTACGATGTCTTTCTCAGTTTCAGAGGACCCGACACTCGCCGGAGCTTCATCAGTTTTCTTCACAAAGAACTTGACCGAAGGAAGATTCAAACCTTCAAAGACGACGACGGATTGAAGTGTGGCCGGGAAATCTCTCAGGAGCTTGTACGCGCCATCGAGGCGTCGAGATTCGCCGTCGTCGTGGTCTCCGCGAATTACGCAGCGTCCCCTTGGTGCCTCGGAGAGCTCGTCAAGATTATGGAGCTGGTCGACAAGGACTCCCTCACCGTGATACCGATCTTCTACGGCGTAAATCCCTCGCATTTGAAGAGTCAAACCGAAGAAGTCGCCGAACAGTTTAAAAAGCACGAGAGCAGAGAAGATCCCCAGAAAGTGCTTTCGTGGAGACAAGCCTTGACCAATTTGGCCACCTACTCCGGAGATTGTTCATGGCAATGGTAAAAAAAATCAAAACTCTATGATAAAGTTTCGAGCTTTTAGTCTCTAATGAAAACAAAGGCGGGATTTTTAACTGTTAATTGTTCATGGAAATGGTAAAAAAATCAAAACTTTATGATTAAAGTTTCGAGCTTTAGTGTCTATTGAACAGAAAGGCCGGATTTTAATTGTTCATGGAAATGGTTAAAAAAAAAATCAAACCTTTATGATAAAGTTTCGAGCTTTTAGTCTCTAATGGAAACAAAGGCGGGATTTTTAACTGTTGGATTCGTTTTTCTGTGTTCTTTTAGGGACGATGACTGGAAGATGGTCGACGAAATTACTGAGAGAATATCGAAAAAGCTGGTGGGGGTTACAGGAACACCAAGACGTGGAAGCAGCATAGTGGGGATTAACCGGCACATGAAAGAGCTTCACCGGTTATTGGATCTGAATTCGGACAGACCTGTGAGAGTTGTTGGGATTTGGGCAAGAGGAGGGACTTGCAGATCGGCTCTGGCTAGATTCGCGTATGAGAGCATCAGTCGAGACTTCGATAGCCATTGTTTTCTTGGAGACGTGAAAAAGATCTCTCAGGGACATCACCTGTCGGATCTCCATGAAGAGTTTGTGAAGAAGGTTCAAGGGAGACACTTGAGCAAATCAACGGTGAAGAACCAAAAGGTTCTGCTTGTTGCAGACGACGTCAGTAAGCTTGATCAGATAGATGCACTTGCAGAGGATTTCAACGGCTTTGGTCCTGGGAGTGTTGTGATCATCACTACACAAGACAAGCAGCTGTTTGCTTCCTATGGGATAAAGAACGTCTACGAAGTTGAGCTTCTGAGGTTCCAGAAAGTTCGTCAACTCATCCGACAATTAGCCTTCAAACAGACAGGAATTGCTGCTGCGTTCCAGTCGGTTCGTGGTTGGCTAACGAGTCTTGCCTTGAAATGGTTAGGTTGGCTACGTGGTAAACCTGGCTCAGGGTCAAGGAAATTGTTGGAGTAAATTTTGTAAGCTAAATCCCTTTTTTTCATGTACACATTATGTTTAAGTATATGACTAAACATAGTAAGAGTAAGATTGTGGCTTGGAAATAGGAGTGTTTTGTCTATTTTTGGAGTGTGTTGCTTGGTGTGTAGAAGAATATAGTTTCTTGTTTGGATTAATAATAATAATAATGCACACATTCTTTTTTTTCAAGATTGGTTTATGATGTGTTTCCATATGCTCAACAATTTGTAGAGGAGATCTAAAAGTTCCTAAAGAATAAAGAAAATAGATGTAAGTTCGAACCTAAAGATGATCTAACATGAAAAAACAGAGAAAGTGAAGCTTTTTGAAGAGGAAGATCCCAAAAGCGTGAAAGCTCTGATCTTTTGCTTTCTCTCAGTGACAACACTTAGAGAATTTTCTGTCTCAGAAAGACAAAGAATGGGTACTCTCTCCCTCTCTCTCTGGCAATTGCCTTTGTCCCCAAACTTATGCTTTTAGATAGATTCCTGATTGCCTAATGAATAGAAATTTCTTTGTTGTACTAGATCCAAATAATTTGAAAGAATGTCCTTTCTCTCGTTTCATGCAAAATTGTTTGATGAATATCTCAATGAGGATCCATTGATTGTTTGTCAAGAGCTTCTGTGAAATGTATTCCATATTGGATGCAGATACGAGCGAGGGATGTTGTTCTGTACAGCTAATTGATGAAGATGGTATATACAATGTCTCTGGCATTGATCATTTCATTAAAGATGTAAAACTTGGAGAGTGTGGTCTCTCCTATGCTGTTGTCTCCATTATGGGCCCTCAAAGCAGCGGTATGCATTCTTTAATATCAAGAATCTTAGAGAATAGCTCTAAATAGTAATCTATTCAAAAATTCTATGGTTTGTCAGGGAAGAGTACATTATTGAATCATTTGTTTGGAACAAACTTCATGGAGATGGATGCATTTAAAGGAAGGTATGGTTTCATCTGATAGTATTTGCTTATTTTACAATTTATGTATAGAATTTTGTCGCCTGATTAAGGAACTTGTGTATAGGTCTCAGACCACAAAAGGTATCTGGCTTGCAAGATGTGCTGGTATAGAGCCTTGTACCCTTGTAATGGACTTGGAAGGCACTGATGGAAGAGAGCGAGGAGAGGTTACTTTTTCCTTCATTACCTTTTTTGTCAAGTGTGAAACAGAGTGGCTCTGTTCATGACTTATAACATAAATGGTGGCTTCTTTTAAACATAAGTTTTATATAAATGGTTGTCTTCTTTTGGCCAATCAGGATGATACTGCATTCGAGAAACAGAGTGCTCTGTTCGCTCTTGCTATCTCAGATATCGTCTTGATCAACATGTAAGTTCTAAAGTGCACATGGCTTTTGGTTTTTCTGAGAAGAAATGTTACCTTACCTATTCTTCTCAATGTTTTTTCTTTAGGTGGTGTCACGATATTGGCCGTGAACAAGCTGCTAATAAACCTCTCTTGAAAACTGTCTTCCAGGTATATTTGTTTGTGATGCTCAGAAAGTTAAAATAAACTATTTTCTTGCTCTTTTGAATCTTTGAGGTTGTTGTGTTTGACAGGTTATGATGAGATTGTTTAGTCCACGTAAAACAACAATGCTGTTTGTAATACGAGATAAAACTCGGGTACTCTCTCTTCTTACATTTGCAGATGTGCAACTTCTGACCGTTACATACATTGTTATATTGATATGATTTTGGCTGCAGACACCGTTGGAAAATTTAGAGCCTGTCTTAAGAGAAGATATTCAGAAGGTAAAAAGAGAAAAATGACTTTTAGCTTATTCCAATTTGAGATATTCAAGGAAAGAAAGACTGATCAGTGGTTTCTTCTTCGTTTGTGGCAGATTTGGGATTCTGTTCCAAAGCCTGAAGCACACAAGGAAACTCCATTAAGTGACTTCTTCAATGTATGCTATACTACAACAAGAATTGGTTGTCACATTTTCAGAAATGTCATGATGTTTCTCTCTTTGATGGTTAGGTTGAAGTTGTTGCTCTTTCCAGTTATGAGGAGAAGGAAGAGCAGTTTAAAGAGCAGGTATGTGTGTGTGGCTAAGCTTTTATACAGATGCTTGAAAATTATTCTGTGTGTTCCAAATTGGCATGTATTCCTAAACAGATTCCAACTTTTTTGTTTTGGAACTTAGATTGCTAGTTTACGACAAAGATTCATGCATTCAATTGCACCGGGTGGCCTTGCTGGAGACAGGAGAGGAGTGATTCCAGCCTCAGGTTTTGCATTTAGTGCAGATCAAATCTGGAGGGTCATCAAAGAGAATAAAGATCTTGACCTTCCAGCTCACAAGGTAGGCTTATAGAGCTAGTTTCAAGCATTATTTAAACTCCTCTCTCCCTCTTACGCTCATTCTGCTTACAGGTCATGGTGGCTACTGTGCGTTGCGAAGAAATTTCAAATGAAAATTTTGCTCATTTCATCACAAACGAGGCAATGTTTCTGCACAATATCTACTTTCACTCTTACTTCATTCTTTGAAGCGTCTTTGTGGTTAGTTAGTGACCTTTTTCTTTGTTTCGTTAACAGGACTGGCGCAAACTTGATGAGGAGGTGCAAGCTGGTCCAGTTTCTAATTTTGGAAAAAGACTAACTTCTATTCTTGGTTCTTGCTTATCAGAGTAAGCACACTGAATTTGCAATGATCTTGATAGATGTCAAGATAAGTGACTTCTTGATGTCTCTGCTGACTCTATTGTTCAAATCTTGCTATTAGATATGATGGGGAGGCTACATTCTTCGATGAAGGTGTTAGATCTTCCAAGAGACATCAGCTTGAAGAAAAGCTTCTCCAAGTAAGAAACACAATCTAATCTAAGATCTCTTGAGCAGTTGTTAAATGATTGTCTACAGAAACTAATTAACTTGTTTCTGTCACAGCTTGTGAATCCAGCGTTTATAGATGTATTGGGACATATAAGATGGGGAATGCTTGAAAAGTTTAAGGCTTCTTTTGACAAGGCTTTAGACATTGGTGAAGGGTTTTCTTCAGCTTCAAGTGTTTGGTTCAAGACTTGCATGGCTCAGTTCGATGAAGAGTGTGCTGGTGCCATCGTTGAACAAGCGAACTGGGACACAGCTAAAGTGAGGGAGAAGCTTGTCCGTGACATCGAGGCTCACATTTCCTCTGTTCGGACTTCCAAGTTATCTGAACTTACCAGTCAATACGAGGTAACAGAAAGAACCAAGAAAGCTTGAGAAGATTTTGAGTTTTTTCTTGTTACTGATTTTAGCATCAAATTTGCAGTCAAAACTTCATTTAGCATTGTCAGAACCAGTGGAAGCTCTGTTGGAAGGAGCGAGCGATGATACTTGGACAACAGTCAAGAAGCTTCATCGACGTGAAACTGACTCTGCTGTCTCTGGACTCAGTGGTGCATTAGCTCGTTTTGAGATGGATGAAGAAACAAGAGAGAAAATGGTGAAAAGCCTTCAGGATTACTCAAGAGGTGTGGTTGAAAGTAAGGCGAAAGAAGAAGCTGGAAAGGTTGTGATGCGTATGAAAGAAAGGTTAGATAAGAATAAGATATAACAAAACCTTTTCAAGAACCGGTTTAAAGCAACACTAAATCTTGAATGTTGGTTTGTTTTTTTCTTTTCAGGTTTGGTACACTCTTCAGTCATGATTCTGATTCAATGCCGCGTGTATGGACTGGTAAAGAAGATCTCAGAGCAATTACTAAATCAGCTCGATCAGCTGTAAGATTTGTGTCATTTCTCTTTACTGTTTTGTTTTTAAGGCTTGAGAAAGTCTAAAACCCTTATCATGGTCTTTCTTGTTTTAGTCCTTGAAGTTGCTCTCGGTAATGGCTGTAATCCGATTGGGAGATGAGACTGAAAACATCGAGAAGACACTAACTGTTGCTCTGATGGATCCAATAAAGAGTGAAGCTTCTAAAACAACATCTGATCCATTGGCTTCAAGCACTTGGGATGAGGTATGCATGACTCTGTTCCAATATGTTTTAACTTTTAACTTCAGTTGATTCTTGATCTAAAATTCATTGTCTCTTTACTTTTGTAGGTTCCATCAACAAGAACTTTGATCACACCGGTCCAATGTAAATCTATATGGAGACAGTTCAAGACAGAAACAGAGTATACAGTGACTCAAGCCATATCTGCACAGGCATGATTGATGATTACTTTACTCACAAGTTAGCTTCTTCACTCTGCTTTATGAATAATGTTAAAGTGTTTTTACTAATCCAGGAGGCGAATAAGCGTGGTAGTAACTGGTTACCTCCTCCATGGGCAATTCTTGCATTGGTCGTTCTTGGATTCAACGAATTCATGACTCTTCTAAGGTCCATCAAAAGCTAGTAATTTGATTGCTTCATATCAATGAATGATTATATTCACATTCTGAAATCTCTTTGCCTTCTTTGATATTACAGAAACCCTTTGTATCTCGGTTTCTTGTTTGTTGGTTTCCTTCTCGCGAAAGCGCTATGGACGCAATTGGATATCCCTGGCGAATTCCGGAATGGTGCAGTAAGTGTTTGCCAAATCTTCTCAAACCCTCATTAAAGTAGTGTGTAGTAGCTTCTCATGAATCTTGTTCAAGATTCAAGAATTCTTGATAATAATACTCATATGGTATTGCTAATACTATATATGGTTTCTTCAGCTTCCAGGGCTCATATCGATATCCGCAAAGTTTGTTCCCACGATCATGAACCTTCTCAAGAACCTTGCGCAGCAAGGCGAAGCTCCTCCTGCAGCTAATCCAGAGAATCGTCATTCAAGCAACAACACTTCTTCATTAGAAACAGAGCAGAAAAGTGCCTCTAAAAAGGATTAAAGAGAGGGAAAATTACAAAGATTGTTTCTCTGCAAACTCCAAAGATTTGATCTACAGTACTTATTGTTTTGTCTTGTTCACTTACACTTCCTCATGAGTGCAAGACGCTGCGTTTTTGGGACATTTTGGTCTGTTTTAGAACTTCAACAATTGACTTTAAAGCGTTGT